TTAGGCACGCTTATAGGGGCAGTAAACATTCCGGCGAGAATCGATTTCTATCAGCGCGTTTCTGTTGTGGTAAATTAAAATTGAATAGGTCTCAGTTGTTGGTGTGGAAAATGTAATTGACAATCCTAAAATTCCTTTGCGAGGTGCATTAATGCATGAATGATCTCCGACATCCGGTTCTAAATTGAAACCGTAAATTGCAAACCCACGTCCCCAGTCGCCTTGCATAAAAGACAGGCACGAATTCTTAAACAGCATTCCGGTCGTTTCCATTAAGCTTAGATAACCATCGCGGTAATTGTGATCCCCTAATTCTAAAGGCTTCCTGGGAACGGCTCCGAGTTGATATAAGTTACAATCTGACCAACTCCAGCAAGAACGAAATTATATGGGTTTCTTGTTAACACGCCGCCAACAGCTTGCGAATGTACAATGCCGACAAGAATTTGTTTGGGAATTGTCCCGCGGAATAAATCGTCCCGCGACCAATGACTACTTCCGTTCGGGATAGTCATTTCCATAATGTTAGATTCAATGAATGGAATTAAGGCATTACGTTTTTGCAACATAATTTCATGAGCCAGCAAAAATTCTGGGTCCAACCTAATTTTTTTCAAACGTAATGTTGCTCTCTGAATAACAATTTTTAAATCTAGGGCTGGAACGCTTGACATAAGAACAAATTTATCTTTAGCCCGTGTTAAAACAAGTTTCATGTCCACTTTAGTCGGAATCAGACGCTGCTGATTAGCCAAATCAGACGGAAATTTAAAAAACAGACGCAGTGTGATTCCCGCTTTAAGAGCCAGATTTCGGACAACATACGCTTCGTTAACTTTCAAGTCATTATCATTTGGGTCGGGTACGGCTAGCAACAACGTGTCGAATTGACCCGGGGTTTCCGGAACCCATCCAGCATGTGACAGCTGCTCATGGCCATGCTCTCCATAATTAAATAAATTCTCAAAGTACGATGCGTAATGTGATAGCGATGGTATCGATGAAACTGATTCGCCGTTAAATAAAAGTTCGTGTCCGCTAAATAAACTACGCGCTAAATTATTCACTGCACCAAAATTTAATGCATCCGCTGGTAGTGCGTTTCCTGAGGTTCGTACACAAACATCCAACAAAATTACACTGTGAGCCAAATCAATCATTTCATCGGGAGTCCCAGCGATTTCCCATGAAAGGGTATCAACATCAAGAGTATTCCCAATTGGGTTATAAGATACATATTTTGCAGATTCGATAGCCGTTTGGGTAGGCGGAAATGAAAAGTGGTCCAACTCAGACTTTAAACATAGAGGAGCTGATTGAAGATCCATGATTGCCACGTGGCTTTCTATAGAATTTATTTCTGATTCAGTAAATTACTCAGAGGAAAACGCAGCTTTTTCTTCTTCAAAGATTTTTTCACTTTTGATTTCTTGTGACGTTTAGCAGCTCGCTTTCTCGGTTTTGCTGCCTGCTTCTTTTTTCGATGGCGACGCTTCCGCTTCGTGATTGGCTTTTCTATATTTTTGACAACTTTTCTGGAGCGAGTTCTGCGCTTTCTTCGCTTTCCGGACCCTCCCTGAATTTTACTAGCGATGTTTTGCATAGCTTCCACAGTATGATTCCGAGCCGAATCCAACAGAGGCGTCTTGTTATGAAGAACGTCGTTAACAACATTTTTCCCTAACCTTACGAGGTTTGGAAATATTATATTTTTAGCCGTTCTAGCCAAACTACCAAAAAAATTCCCAATAGCGCCATATCCAGTTTGTGCATGCCCTTCGCTGTGGTTATATGTTGGTGATAATAGCTGCACATAAACCTGAGCAGGTATGCTGAACGTTTGGATATCATCCATGATTATTTTTTCCGAAAATGTAACTGAAGTACAGTAGTAGCGCCTTTTTCAAATAAAATGTTTTTGCCACTTGCATCCGTTATCGAAAATGAAATTCTGTCAAACTGATTGACGGCAATGTCAGTGTACGATCCACGTTTCGATGCGTTTCCGCCACATGCTTCTTTGACGGACAGCAAAGCTAATAGTGAAACTCTTGAATTATTTAAAATTTGACTTCTTATTAAATCAGAGTGCACAAAAAGGGTGGTTACATCAGAATTTATTGGCTTCGGACATTGTATAAACGTTAAAGCCATTTCATAATCTGACGAGAGTTGCATATAATCAGGTAAATACACGGTAAACTCAGAGGCAGTATTGCCGTTCAGCTTATCAGAAGTAGCAGTAATAGTAAAATCCATGATTGATTATTTAAACAAGCACTAGACCACGTTTAGCTAACTCGGAAACTGAAATCCATTCATCAAATTTTTTATTCCACCCAACATAATGAATAAGGACTTTGTTTCTCTTTTTTCCAATAACAGCGATTTCAGCGGATTCATTCGTTTCTTTCGCCACTTTTTGCAATTCTTCAAGGTAAAATTTTCCTTCTAATTGCTCACCTTTCAAATCTTCCACAAAAAATACTTCAAGGCCGTCTTTCGTATCTTTGCTTTTTATTCTGTACACTTCAATGGTCCACCCAATCGTGTATCCCTTTTCATGGGGAGTTTTTTTTAAACTTAATCGAACGTAGTCTCCCACATTAATGTTGGTTTTCGAATTTCTTGTCAAAATATGATTAAGTTTCCACGTTTCTTTCATTATTTTCACGAACTCTGCTTCGCTTTCTTTGTTTACTTCTTTAGGCGTATGGTTCTTTAGTGAGCGATGTGGAGAGTTATTGTATGAATCCAAAATATCTTGTATAACATCAATCCATCTCTTTGATTTGTTAAATGTGAGATAGCGAAATAATTTTGTTGAAATTGTTCTGTTAAGACGTTCCACTAAACCGGCTTTAATTTCAGCGTTCTGAGTAGAAAAATGATCAATATTATACTCTTTTAACAAACCGGAAACATGTTGGTTGTAAAACTCTTTTCCCAGGTCCGTTTGCAGTCGCACTGGTTGAAAGCCGCAACGTTGTAAAATTTTTTGAAGAGCATCCTTTACTTGAATACCGGATTTTTGCCGGAGAGGTTCCACCCACGCTTGACGTGAAAAACAATCGACTACCACAAGCAAATAGTTATATCCGTCATTGTGTACAGCTAATGAACTGTAGTCAATTAAATCGGCTTGGAGTTGTTCACCAAATGACATAACAACAAACGGTCGACGAGCAAATTTTTTCTTGACAGGTTTATGCAAAGAGTAAGCTGGCTGAGCTGTGAGAAATTCACGCACATCACTTTCAGAAATCTTTTCACTTGATTCATTTCTTGCGGCATGAAGAAGTTTTCTGATGCCACCGAAACCCCCAGGTGATGCTGGGTTAAGATAAATTTTTTTCAACAATGATTCCATGAATGATTTTAACCAATTTTTTGTCCAAACCTTTAGGAAGAGCGTTATCCAAAACTGTTTACGCATCAGCGGTCTCCAGATAGTCAGGCATTTATAATATAAAATACAAGTGCAGATTTTATTCTTTTCGCCTGTATATTCCTCGAAAACCTGGTTGAAAATTCTTTTCAGCTTTCTTTTGTTGAGAGTGTTTAATAAAATATAAAAGACTGAAGACTTTAAATTACGATCATTGAGTCGGTTTTGCATGAATGCTCCAGTGACACAGAATAACACCCCTTGCAGGCCAAACGCTCCGATTGCATGAACTGCTGGTTCATCAAATACGCAACGATAAATTTGAAAGCAGAGACACTGCGTTTATACAAAGGGATTTTTGATCATGTACTGGTAAGCGAGAACTTCCGGAAGAACAAAGCCCTGACACAAGCTCGCTTTTCAAACGCCCATTATTTTCGGCTCTCAAATGCGACATTTTTAGGTTTAAAAAATTGAACAAACCAACTGATGAGTGAAATGTCAAGCACGTGGCGTTGTATCTGTTGCGCGTCCATCTTGGCAGCAATTTTTTATTTTTTCTTTCTGACCAATCGCGTGCGGCCTAAATAGTTGGGGCTGCCCACAAGTACACTGATGATAATCGGCTGTGTCCGGCTACCAACAAAAGATTGCAAATTTTAGATCTCTCCATTTGTATTTGATTTAGTAAGGGATTCTTATATTTTTGCAATGGACGCAGCATTTGAAATTAGATATAAAGAGTACATTGAGGCTCTGAGGAATGAGTTTCGTGAAATCGGTAGTATTGATGGCGCGACAGTGTATTATTTAAATTGCAGTGTTATGGTGTTAGTGACTTGGTGTGACCGGAAGGTGAAAATGGTTACAACCCTTGAACCAAACGTTGTCGATTTGGACCTCATTGAAAAGAACGGCATCTGTCTACACGATCTAGAAATGGCACAGTTATTCCGAATTTTTGAAGATCGCTCGGTCATTGATAATATGCATCTGGCTCGTACGGATGGTACTGCTCAAACGATCTCTTTCCGTGGAAAGCGAAACACCACCGTGACGTGTTTTCCAACGCCACTTGAAACTAGTGTCGACAAAGAACAATGTATTCGGATTGCACAAGGGGTGAAGTCTATCGCGGGAACTTGGTCAACGTTGTGTTACTTACTTCACCGTTTGGAGAATGAACTAGGACAGGAATTGCCGCTGGGACATTTCAACAAGCCGGAAGCCTGGGATATGGAAATTTCTGCATTGCACATGGCAGAATGCATATTGGAATAATTTGTGTGCACTCATTGGTATTGCAAATTTCATCATTCTTGTTCGATCTTATTAGTTTGACATTATTTGTGTAGAAACGGAAAAGCAAATAATCTCTGTGTGCACTCAGTTTTGAATAATTGTAATATTTCTGCGCTATCGCTTTTGCTCAGCTTTACTTTGAAAGAAGACAATGTCAACCGATGTTTCACGTTTTTAATACAATAAATGCAAAGAATATTCAGTTGTTCGACAGAAAAGTAGAAAATAAAAAGAACACAGTACACATTTTGACGCCATTTTGACGCCATAACACAAATAAAGATACGCAAAACAGAATATAGAAATTATGCTAATCCGCTAAGGATTCGAGAGCCACATCATCGTCAATGTTTTCATACAACATAGCAGGGGTGTATTTCTCAAGCAAATTAAATACGAGATCCATTTCCTTCGAGCCGATTTTAGGAAAGGGAATATTTTCATATCCGTGCGGGTACGTTACAAAATTTTCTCCGATCACTCTGCTGGTAAATGTGCATCCCACGCGCCGCTGCAAAGGCACAGTTTGAATGGTAAAGTCCGTGGTGTTCCGTTTGAACGTTATGTCATCGCATGCTTGGACAGTTGATGGGCCAGTGCTGAATAACATGTCCCGTAGTACCGATCCGTGGAAACGATCTTTCAGTGCTTCGGTTTTCGGGATACCTTTGCATTTGATCCGTTCCTCCCCGTTAGACATCATTTGGCAGTACGTTTTCTTTGCCAGTGCCAACCATTCGACGAAATAATTACCACCCAGATCATCGGAGAACTCGCCCAACAGATCTCCAAGAGGTGGATCTGGCTTTTCCGGTTCACTAACAAACATAACGGAGTCCGTGTCGCAATAAAGAAGACGATCCTCAACTAGCCGTAGTTGCTGCAACAGCTTCAGTTGAGCCAAACCAGTAGTGAAAACACCAATGTACGGATTGCATCGTTTGTTTGGCGCAGCCTAAAAGAAATAAAATGCAATGCTGAATAAAACTGACAAAAATCAATCCGAAATATAATACCCAGTTTTTCTTTTCCATATAGGTGACATCCAACGCTTTGCCGTTATTCACGATCCGAACATCTTTTGTTTCGAACGATGTATTGAAAACGATGTCCTTCATTTGCTTATAAGTAGTGCAGTATTTATGTTGCTGGTACAGCGCTTTCATAACAAACCTATCAAAAAATTTAGTACAGAAACACACTACAAAATATCGATAATATTGCTTTTACCTGCCCCACACAGCGTTGACCCAAATTTTCGCACAGTATTTTGCGCCTGGATTTAGCTGCACTTCGTCAGGTTCAAAAACAATTCCTAGCTTTTCGGCATAGTTGCGGCAGTAATCCCATTTCTCTTCCTCCGTCACGATGTGCGCCGGAAACCCGCTGTTCACGATTTTGCCACGGATTAAGTCAAGAATAAACTGAGCGAAAATTCCTCCGTTTTTGGTTTCAGGATTGAATTGCGACGTTTCTTCGAAATGGTGGATCTCAAAAATGTGGCCAATTTTGTACCCGTCCGATACAGCTTGTTCCATTAAAGGAGTGATCCATGCACCTTCAAGTTCCCGTTCTTCATCTGTGTGCTCACACTGTTTGGCAATATTAACTTCTTCAGAACATGTTCTGCATAACGTGTAGACGGTTCTTCCATCTTTCAGTCGCATTGGCAACGTCGGTACAAACAAATTCTTAGGGGGAAGTACACGGCAATAAATCACGCCGTAATATTCCGATAAGTCGAACGGGTCGCCGAAGTTATTGTAAAGAATCGTAGGATGACCCACTGGATACTTGCCGTACACCATTATTGACGGGTACAAGGATATGAAATCGAAAGCTTTTCCTTTCAGCGGTGGTGGAATTTCTTTATACATGGCAAAAATTTCAGTCCTTCCGCCGAACAAGTGGTCACGTACATTCAGTGGCGGTCGAAATTCTTTTTGCGGTATGATTTTTCCATTTTTAACCAATTCGTCGTACTCACATTCCCAGATTCCCACAAAAAATCTGCCATAGCTTTCAATCTTTCTTTTAATCCTTAGCGTTTCCTCTCGCAATTCGCCAAAAGTACGCATTCTGACCGTGTTCATTTTCCGTTGGTCAGGGAAGCATTTTTTGCAGCCGTGCCAAAAGCACCCGTAGAACTGATAACATGTTCCGGTGGGTTCCCAAAATCCATCAACACATATTTTGTCGTCCAAAAACTTTTCACCTGCAGCTGAACGAGCAGTCTGAAGGAAATCCTCCGGTTGTTTCTCTTGCAACTGTCTTTCGATATGCGACAACCACTGAAATCCTTTGAAACTTTGATTTTGTCGCCCGCCGTAACCACCTGGAGGAATAATCCCGATGGTGTTTGGTTTCAAATAATGAACTTGGAAAGCCAGAAGCACTGCTGACGGATTTGTTACAGAATCGAATGGATCGATACCAGGAAACATATCCATGAAGTTTTGCGTGTAATCCGGCAACATTCTCTTAAAACCAAAACGTCGTTCACGCAGTATTTCTTGCATTCCTCCAGGAGGTTGTAATTGCTCCCAAAGGTATTAACGGCATCATCATACCACTTCTCGAATTCTTCAAATTTCTTTCGTGACATCCGCGGGCAGTCAAAATATTCTTTTCCTAAATAAAAAATTGAATTTTAAAACTTCGACGCCATTTTGACGCCATGAAAAGTAAAATTTTATTTCTGAAGTTGTTACCTGGCAACGGTCCATGATAATTTTGGTTTGCCGGCGTGTTGAACGCGTAAGGAAAAATCCTTTCAAAACTAAATCGTCAATTCCCAAATCTTTGGAAGCTCCGAAAGAGAACGTGGCATGAAGGACAGCGTGTCGATGAACTTGCACTTCAGCCCGGGAATTTTTAGCATTGTAATACTGGAGCCATCTTGAATTTTTTCGACGATGTGGCCTTCCTTTTCTAATCCACTAAGGATGAAAAAGTTGTCGTAACGCTTTCCGTTGTGTGACAAAAAGGTGCACGATCGGCAGTTTTTAAAAATCCATTCAAGTAGCTCAGAAACACATCCGTATCCACTGAAACAAATCTCAAACGAATCATCGTCCAAGCACATCATGGCCACGACCATCGGCTGGTGATATCGACTGTTGTCCAGGCATGTTTCAAAATCAAAAACAAATTTTTTGTTCTCAAAACGGACTTGCTGTTTTTTACTTGTCTCGGAAATAGTGGATTCGGAGTCTTCGCACTCATCATCCGCGTCATCACTAACGACTTCATCCACATCATCGCAAAACTCTTCGCTGCGTGCTTCACTTTCCGCATCATCGTCCAGAAAATCCGACACGGCATCATCTTCAGAAGCAAAAGTTTCGCTTTCAGCAACCGCTTGATTCTTTGGTTTTGCTTTCTTGTTTTGCGCTTTTTCTCCATTTAAAATATAGCACAAATGGTTAGGAAGAACAAATTCTTTACAATTCAGGCACAGCGTCGCATAGCAGACATGTGGGTCCGAGTACTTCCGGCCAGGCGGATTTATGTACCTAATAAATTAGCTTTTGAAGTCACAAAATATGTTTCAGTGCAACTGTTATTAATTACGTTGAATAACACTTTTAATAAAATTACAGTAATTACCTGTTGCAGTCTGCGCATTTCTTCCAGGCATCACAAACGGTAAGATCCTTGGATTTGTAAGCAATTCGTTCTTTATGCTTTTCAAAACATTCGTCGGATGGAAAGTTGCGATTGCAGTCGTTGCAAACTCTTTTGACAAAATCATTCAATCGACAGTCGGGCTGCATGCAAGAGTAACAGGGACGATAACATTTGTGACTCTTTTATCGTGGTAAAAATTACCACAGATAAGGCACCGTGCACGAAATCCCAGAATCGTCCATGGTTTGGTTACACAATCAAAATGTTGATCATGATATAGTATAGCGACGAAGTTTTTTCGAAAAGGTGTGGAATAAGTGATTTCGAAATGGAGTTCCGCATCGATGACAATTAACTGAGTATCATAGCGTTCCGTTAAAAGTTTTCCGAATTTTTCAATTCCATCAAAATCAACAGGACCGTCTGAAACACCAGCCTCTGCACGTAGTTGCGCAGCTAGGTGATGTTGTATGCTTATTCTTGAATCAAGTACTGACGTAAACCCGGTAACCCGAGCGTTTGCGCTAATCCAACCACAATTGCTCGTGAGGCACATAAAGTTCCTTCAGGATCATACGTTGTGTTGTTCTTGATGCAAACAACACTTTGGACCGCTCCAGCATCTCATTCACCTTAAACATAATTCTCCCTTCTTTACTGGTAAACGACCCCGTCCCTGGATATTGCGGCAATGCGTAAAAGTGATCCGCAAATCATCGGTAAATAAATAAAAATTCATTCCACTTTGCATGATGCGCACGATTAGCTGGAAGTATAAACTCAGGAGATAGTTTATGGGAAGGCATAACGGAGTTGAAAATGCTCGATTTGCTAATTCCGGATGTTCAAAACAATGCGCACTCTGTCATTACCGTTCACTTGATGATAAGCCGAAAGCTCCGCCAAAAGTTGACTGAATAGCTTGCGCACTTCCGCCGACGCCGCCATCAGTGACATAGGTTGTGGAGTGAGCCGAAATAGTAGGGTAAAACTATCTTCCGTGGTTCGAAAGTTGTCTGCGGTCGTGATGCGTCGCGTGTTTTGGTTGATTTGGTACAGTTTTCTGTTTCTAAAAATAAACTAAGATTCTATTGCGCTGTTGTTGCTGTTTGTGCTAGCGTGATATGCATGCAGTTACAGATCTCCAAACGGTACAGTTTTTTTTTTTATTTAATTTTATCTTAAGGCATAAATATAATGTCCGGCAAACGTATCATGCATATACATGCATCGAGCCAAATATCAGTATTCAACATATGAGAATAATAAAACAATTAATGATAATCAGAAACAGCACACAGTTCTCAAACACACGCTGAATACAGACCATAAGCAGGTTAACATTGAGCAGTGAAACACGCATAAAAAAATCAAATATCCAGCATCAACCTGTTTATACAGTTTCACTTAAACCACAGAATTAATTTTAGCGGGATGATCAGAATATCGTACGGTCAGTATAAATAAAACGATAGCATGCAAGTAAACACAATTATATCGCATAGATAATAACAGCGCTGAGGCAAAATGATTCGCGTCGCCGAAACTTACTGAGTTCCATTATTATTATTATTATCTCCGTTGACGACGCTTCCATGCCCGTGATTGTCGTTCCTGTTATTATCGAAGCGGTCCCCATTGTTGTTGCCGTTTCCGATTCCGTTCAAACCGAAGCCGTGCCCATTGTTAGCATTCCCGATACCAAAACCGTGCATGATGTTCATCATCATGTCGTACTCCCGCTGATACGCATTCGGCTCATACCAGTGCGGAAATGGTTGTCCAAATCCTGGCATACCGGGATAGTATCCAGGCATAGCCGGGATATATCCTGGAACTCCCCACGGACGTACTAGCTGGAGGGGCACGTTCGGCCTTATCGTCATTTCGGCACGTGGAACTGCTGCTGCCATCTGCGAAGTGCTGGGGCGCGGCCCCGGCATGACCGGTGGACGCCTCAATCCGGGTATAGCCACAGGCGGCCACGGCCGCGGAGCAGGGGGAGCGCTAAGCACACCTCGAGGAAGTCCAGCTCCGTACTGTACGGGCGATGCTGGCATATTCGCGAAGCGCTCATGGATAGCCTTTCGTTTCTTGTACGGCGCCGGTGGCGCTTGCTTCCGGTTGCCAGGTGGAGCAAGATACGTCTGCACAAGAGGCTTCCGTTTCTTAGCTTGAGATGATGAAACGATGACAATATCATCATCGTGCTCGTCGGCTTGATCAGGATTTTCCCATTGCGCTAAACACATATAAACATATTATACATGGCGGCAAAATGGCGTCAAACGTTTTTTATGTGATATCCGAATTTATATGCGGCATGAGAAGTTGTACGTTGCGTTAGAAAACCGATACTGTATTTATTTATACTAAATATAACAATAATATTAATTCAGTTTACTTACGGCTGTTAACCGGAATTCGACCGTTGGATGGCTCTTGGACCAGATCATCTACGACGATGACATCGCTATCATCCGCTTTTAATTCCGGTCGGGTGTTCTCGCTCTCTAAAAAACAGTATATGACTGATAAATGTGTAATAAATGAAAACAAAAAAAAATTAGTACCCGCGGAATTGCTTGCCAAAGGCGTTGAATCTTGGCTTCCACAAGGCAGTGCACTTGCGTCGTCAATATTGGCCATGGCTAGCAAATAAGCGAAATAAATTTTTTCGTTTCACCTAATTTAAACGCGATATGAACGTACCAGCTTCAACTTCGGCGTTGGTAACTTCCGGCCAAGCTTCTTTGGCCAAAGCAGACAAAAACGTTTGGTCAAAAATAGCGCTTAGGCTTAAATCGTCCACGTCGATGTCGTTGGTACAGCCGGTATTCGGCGTGGAAGTTGCACGAGAATCCATGCCCAGATAAAAATTCAAAACTTACAACGGCTTGGAAATTTTAAACTGAAAGTCTGTCGTTGTCGGTAACTTACGCATGGTCAACCATCTTACAAGATTGCAGTTTGAAAATTTTACTGCATTTTGAAACAGTTTATTGGCTACAAGCGACTTCGCGTACACGCCATGCCAGGTCGAAAGTAAACAGTGGTGCGATGTGGTGCACGTGTGGAGAAAGCCTATCAAGCGCTTAAACAGGTGTTAATTTACACTTGTAACTTTTTATGGCATGCAAATGCAAAGAGAGCGCTGTTTAACGAGCCCATATGTCAGAAATTTCATGTGTATGCTGACAGAAACTTTCACTTCATTTTATTGTGTACAGAATGCGGAGAAGGATTTTTACATTGCACTTGCAGATTTGCATAAATGTACGTAAAATGTGTAAAATGTAACGTTTAAGTTGATTCGTTCTTCGAAATTCATAATGCGGCATGAAAAAGCCATAAAAAAGTACTTCGGCGTATACATAACAAAATATCATGATAGCATTGGGCGATGAGAAACAAAAATCATAATAGTGTTGCACAGCATTCAGGACATTAGAGCAATAAAACAAAAATACTTCATGGAGAAGACACCAACCATACAAAATTTACCCGCAACAGAAACAATAACACGGAATCTCATTCCTTTCGAATGTTGCCATAGTGCTTCCCCTTATGCGGAACAACTTCATTATTCCCACCAGGGGCAATTTTTACGTACGGAACCAACGGTTCGATTTTCGTTGGTGCAGTGACGCCTTTGATGCCCGCAGAATCCGGTTCGGCGCGGGCGAAGTACACGCATGGGCCCTGCGCTGCCCGTCCACCCACAGCCCGCTTGCCGATAACATGGCGGATGCAATCCTGCCGCGCCTTTGAACGGCGATGATCAGCGAAGATATGGACAGCGGGCTTAAATTCAGCCTTGGCGTAGCAATAGCCACACACGTAGCCCCCGTACAATCGCACTTTTTCCATATGACGTTCGTATAAAGCGCGGTTTTTCTCCTCGACGTCCCCCCACACAGGCAAGCGGCGATCGGGATGCGTAGGACCCGCAATAGGGATGCCGGAGAGATCAGCGCCACGGAAGTTACTGACTGGCATCAAGAAGCGTCCGTGCCACTGCCCAGAAACGAAAGTCTGAGTTGGAGTTTCAACCAGCACAGCGTTGGTGGTATCGAAATAGGCAACACTGCCTTCACAAAACACTCCCGCGACGGCTGGTTCCGCTGCGACGCTTGTGGCACTTGTACCGCCAGTGCGGCGTCGCTTAGCAGGCTGCAATGCAATAAAAAATCGAAAATCAGACAATGGCGTCAAACTTTTCATCATGGCGTCAAACCATAAAATGGCAATGATTTTTTCTTACCGGTTGCGGATCTTCTTCTTCTTGGTCGTCTTCGTCTTCTTCTTCTTCTTCAGCGTCTTCTTCTTCCGAGTCTTCTTCCTCTTCGTCATCCTCCACGGGTGCCACAGGCATTCGCTTGCCCACATTCACGCTGTTTTTGATCCGTGGGTCGTGGTCGGGACGTCGCCTTGGTGCCTTCTAAACGAAGCAGCAAAACGTATAACGCAATAAATAATTATAGCACGTATGAAACGTACTTGTTGATCATACACAGCTAAATTTAATCATTTTAAATAGTTAAATTTGCGCAGGCTTCTTGTCATTGAGTACACGTTGTTGCCGAATAAAAGTACAAGGCTAAATGTGCCAGCACGTACAAAACCACAAAAAATAAAAAGTTTTTAATTTGTGTACCTGTACACCGCTGGCCCCGGCGATCGGTTCTGAGGATGACGGCGGGGCCACAGGTGCTGCAGCAGAAGACGCTGGAGAACCATTGCCCGTAGAAGCGGAAGACGGCCGTTCAGCATTCGCAGGCGCGGCAGTTGATGGTGCCGTGGCCGCTGTTATGGATGCCGATGGTGCAGACGGTGATGTGCGTGCAGCAATCTCCTGTATACGCGGGGATCGACGCTGGCCGTCAGATGCAGCTGCAGGTGTGTCCATATTGCAGGCGAGAATGAGAACGGTAAAAGAAAAAACAACCAAAGCACAGCCACACAAAAAAGCACGACGAAATACCGCGAGGTCAAACTTCGCTAAAATGCAGGCCAAAAAGCAGACCGTGTGCAATTAGCGAGAAAATCAAAATTGCCAAACGCAAATGAGCGGCAATGCAAATGACCAGATTTGCAAATGCACGTGTGTCTGTGCAGTAATTAAGACGGGCAGCAGCAGCACATCCTGGTTCAGCGCTTATCAGATCGGCTGATCATCAGTGCCTTCTCTCTGTTCTGTGTCTCTTGCCGGTCAGTGTGCTCGTAAAGTACGGAATGTACGGTAATAAAATGTGGAATGTGTTTGCACAGGTGTGTGTACATAGTGTTTTTTACTTCTCCCTGATTCCCTATCAAAAGTTTGTTTACATAAGAACATTTAACGACTTTGAACTTCTCCCTGATTCCCTATCGAAAGAGGTTTTACGATTTGTTTACTTACGGCATAGAGGCTTTTGTATCTACTCCGTGGTGTCCGTATTTATCGACGTGCTTATGACACTTTAAACATTTGTGGAGTTCACATATCGCCACTCCCAATCTCAAGCCAACCGAGATTTTAAGAGTGTCATTGTCCACGAGGTTGCCTAAGTGAGCGGAGGGTAATGCGTTTAACCAGATGCCGGCTTCGGGTGTTGACTGAGCAAGAGGGCGGGCTTTGTTGAGTTCATCATTGCGGTAAACATCCAGCAATGTAGACAAGGACACATTACATAGCGGCAGATCCCAAGACTTCTGCTGCTTCGGAAGTTCACTTGAGGCAGATCAGATAGGCGAGCGTTCTTTTTCCATAGCTCAAGAGCGCCTGTAATTTCATTGACCGCATGACCAGAGAGTAGTAGGGACACCAAATCGGATACGAAGTGAATCGAAGCCAAAAAGGCGGGAAGTGCTAATGCCTCCGACCGACGAATGCCAATACCGCCCCGGCAAACGGGCAGGCTAGCCTGTCGCCAACAAGGGTAATCATCGTGAGCAGTTCTGACGTTACACAGCGACTGAAAACATAACCGCAGCTTCTCGTCAATTTCGTAGAGTTTCTCCGGGTATCTCCACGCATTGCAGCAACGCAACATATAGATGACTTTTGGCGCACCAAGACAGTGTCCGAGAAGGTACAAAGCATGATGACGTGGCAAAAGTTGCAGTCGCTCGCACACTCTGGTCAGCGTTGCAGATTTTTCATCGAGTGAGGAGCCGATCGCGTCATCAAGGACAGGGGCTCCAAGAAGTGTAAGGGAAGAGCAACGCGCAGCTGAGGATGACTGGCAACAAAGTCAGCAACTACTTCCCGTTGAGCGCTCTCCGTTTCTCCACACACGAACCATTCACATAAATTTTGTCAATGTTTATCTCGAGCCCAATGGAATACGCCTCTTCTAGGAACCGGGCGAAGTTTTCGAGCACGCTTACAGGAGAACCGCCTAAAGTCCCGTAGTCTGTTGATAGTGCAGTACATATTGTACATGGCAGTATTGTATTGTTGTAATGTTCCACACACAAGCAAATGCACTGCGCAGTGCACAGCCGATACAGCAGTTCGCCCAACTGGTCCTGCCCGACGTTGAGTCATTTTTGCAGTCCATTGTAGATAGTACGGGCCATATCTGTTTTAGAGCTCCCAAAAGCATCATTACGCAATTGTTTTGCATTTTACTCACACTGCTCTCAGTGGCGTTCAGTCAAAAAGTGCATTTTTCGGCTTTCTGGTCTGACCAGTGGTCACTTTGCTGACCGCCATGCTCCAGTCTGTTAATAAAGCTTTTTATGACTATCTTTTGATTGTCTATTGTACCGTGTACGATGCTTCTGCCAATTGATACGAATTTTTAAAGATACTGTAATTAATAAATTAGAACCATGGCCAACCGTGTCAAGACCGACATGGTATTTACTATTACAATCTTCAATTGACCAACAATGACCAATGAGCGCTTTTCGTAACAACGGATTGTAGAGGAGACGTTCTCCACCATGTCGGCCTAACACGCATGGTGTGTGTGGAACGGCCGCGAACGGGCATAAGTTGGAAATTAAGGCATAAGCATAAGCTGCATAACCCAACATATTTTTTGGTGCAGCAGATTTAGAAAAGCAGTTATTAGACAGCGATGTGCCAAGAATAATTATTATCGTTTCCAACTTTCCGATGGGAAATGGATGGTGATGATTTCGCAACCAGTTTGAGAAAATTTGTAACCGTTTACCGAAAGCGGTCGCTTGCATTACTAGAGTTAAAAATGAAAGCAGGAAAAATCGATAAAGCTCATCTTTGAACTTCCTGAAACGTCAAACTGAAATCTGATGAGACAAAAAATTTCTGATGATTGATTAAATGTGCCATTGAACTATCAACAATAATACGACTATGGAGCAGGTTACAGACATTTTTGTCTTGAAAATGGCTGCATGAATTAATCCACTAGCCTGCTCCGCTGCTAACTTTAGCAACTAGCAGTGCAACGTCGCATAAAGTACTTACTGTACTTTGATTCAAGTTTCAGCCATTATTCCATTCAGCTGGGAAAGGACGGGATGAGATCACATGCAGAATCCTGGAATCAGTGGAATGTGTACATTTTTCAGTTAGTTATTTAGTTGCGGTGACCATCCAGGAGCAATAATTCTGCTTTTGCACATGTTTGTCGCTTGATCGCTCCCTACTCGACTGTCGAGTCTCTGTCGGAGTACAGTGTGTACATCATCTTCTGTATTTGGTTTCGCCTGCGCGTCACTCTGATAATGGATTCTGATTTCATATGGATTGGCATTTTGCTGCTGGTTGTTGCTCTGCAAACAGGATATATCCATCCCGATGAATTCTTCCAGAATCCAGAAGTTGTTGCAGGTTTGAGATCTACGGTACTCTAGCATGTTGACTTGCGTGCATTCTCTATGTTTCCGCTCATTGCAGCTGACATTTTCAACATCAGCCATTTTCGCGCATGGGAATTCAACCCGCATTTTGCACTGCGCAGCGTCAGTATTCCGTATCTGATATCGGGGATCCCCTTCACCATCTTGCGCATTCTGGAGAATGGGCTGCATTTCCGTGTCTCTCCGCAGCTCATGCTCATCATTCCCCGCATGTCCATGTTTTTTCTTATTCCGATTTTGGAATGGTTGCTTCTAATGCTGACCAAGTCATGGAATATTTCCACGTCTTCCGTTAAAATGGTCTTCCGCACGTCGTATCTGACGTTTGTTTTTCTCCCGCGGACATTCAGCAATTCGGTGGAAGTTGTGTTGTTTGCCGGTTTGATGCTGGCCGTTTTTTATCCGGATAAAAATCACAAATCGGGAAATGTGACTACCGTGGCAGTCGGTGTAATCAGCGCACTGGGGATATTTAATCGGCCGACATTTCTCGCCTTCGGTTGTGTGCCCTGGATGTACTTTTTGTACGTGTCCAAAATGCGTTCAGTCATTAATACGGCATTTTTTGGAGCGTTGACAATGTGTGTCTTAGTCGCTGTGGATTCGTGGTACTATGGACAATTTGTGATTACGCCGCTGCGGTTTATTGTCTACAATATCGATGCGAAAAACAATGAATTACATGGATTGCATCCGCGGTGGTTTCATTTGATCGTGTCGCTACCACAGTTATTTGGAACACTTTTGTGGTGTTTTTTCCAACTCGGAATTGTCAGATTTATTATGCAGAGGAAATTGTTGTTCCTTTCCTTTTTGGTTCCTGTATGTCTGATCTCAATCATTCCTCATCAGGAGCCGCGATTTTTACTGGCAGTATTAGTCCCGTTGTTTTTATTAGCCGCTGAATTCACGTGGAAGTCACGGATACGGCGCACGGTGTGGATTGTATTCAATTTGTTGTTGGGAATTTTCTTTGGGTTTATTCATCAAGGTGGCTTGACACAGAGTTTACCGTTCGTCAGGACCCTCCTAGACGAAGATCCCAGTGCGAGAGTGTTCTATTACAAAACGTACATTCCACCGTTCTATACTCTGCGTTTGCCATTGGACCAGTCTCACCGCGTGCTTGATCTCGGACTGGAGCGCCTAACGCTGGAAGATGTAGGACAGACCATTCACCACCATCCGCGCACAAAAAATTTCCTGATTCTTCCGGGGACAATTGACTTGAATTATGCACCGCTGGGCAGTGTCACGGCTACACTTGTGCAACAGTTTTGCCCGCACTGGTCCTTTGAGGCGCAAGTAGCATACGATCAAATATTTAGGAAACTGCCGGAGTTGTGCTTAAATGTGTGGAATATTGCGCTGAAAAAGTCTGCTCCGAAGTGAACGTTTTACCGAACTGACCGCACTTGTTTTTGGATACGAAATGCTACATGCATGTATCGCACGATAAGCGGCGGGTGAAGAATATATTAAAGGCGTATTGACGTAATATCTCCTTTTCGACGTTTATTTACCACAGCAGAGCGGAAACCAGCATTACACAATGCAAAGTATCACCACAAACGTTACCATTAACGAAACGAGCACGGAAAAACAGTTAAAAAGTAAGATCAGTCATGGAACACAGTATACTGTTCTGGTATTCTTTGGCTAACTAATAAAAGTTCTAGCGCATTTTAACACAGACTAGAACCAATCCGAAGATAATTCAACAGTTATATGATCGACTTTTTTGGAATTTCCCGGAACGATCGATTACTTCCACTAGAGCCGTACACCAAAACTTGCAGAAGAATCGCGATGTCAATACATACTTGGAGAATGCCGCAGATAACGAACTGAATGGGCGCTGCACGGGCAATGAAATACACAGTTTTGAAAACATCACCGGAAGTCCACATAGCAACCATTGCAACACTGAAAAAAACACCAAAGATTGCCCGATATACTTAATCTACTGATATTGGTCTACACAAAGACCGAAGGCATACTCTAGAGTACACAATGAAGTATGTCTACTACATAATTACTCAACCATTTCCATTGTCCATACCTCATCCCCGCTGTTGATTTGTTCTGGAAATTTCGATAGAACTGCGGTACACCCAGCATGGCTTCCGTGAAAACCGCCAAAAATCCAATAGTTTCAATGAACAGAAAACTGGATCCAAATAAAAGATACAATACAACGCAAAACGTCGTAAAGCAGGCCAGAAATTCCACATAACTTTGAAAATCTGTCCACTGCCAAAAATCTTTCACGTTCATCTCTGCAAGGGATAAATCAAAAGTAAAATTAGATGCTAAAACCCGAATATGCGTGACCATCATCTTAGTAAACACATGCTAAGTAAAGGAAGAAAATCATGCATACAACTCCTAAGAAGCACGTAGTGAAAAGCAACGCAAATTACCACAAGAACAAAGTCAGAATGCAGATAAACAGTTCGTTTACCGGTTTATAAATTCATAAGAAAACAGACATTACCGCGAAAATGTTTCCTTGTCGATCCGGCAGCTCCAGTGCGCTGTCTGACAGTGACAACCAATCGCAGAATCAACAACATAGTTGCGATCATAATGAAGCTCTGGATAAGTAATGGAAGCTCAAATGGTTTGCCAAACCTAAAAACACATAAAAATTAGAAAACTACTTCTCTACAAAATAGAATTTTCGTACATATAGTGCATGTGACGACAGAAATGTTGATATCCATTACGATCTGGGTTACCTAATGAATTACAAGTAAAAGTTTTTTAACTCCATGATTTTCAGACCGACTTTCGTCAGCTGGATGATTTTACCGCACTCCGCTGGGCAATGCTTTAATTTTGTAATGAAATGCAAAAAGCTGTGGCGTAAAAACTGCATTTTAGGTTCGCCAACAGGCAGTCATATATTTTACCAGAACATAATCCGCAGAATATTGGCAGTAAGAAGCGCCAAGCACACAAAGTGCTGAAACCTTCAGCATTCTGGTTCTGTCTGATCGATCGATACTGTGGAATGTAAGGTACCGCCTACAATGGAAGAAAGAATCTGTCAGTGAAGTCGTGAAAAGATCTTGGTATAACAATTGTCGTTTTACCCCGCCAACCATCATGACGATGGCCGAAATTCCGGAGACAACCGAGGAAAACATTGTGGCGAAGTCTTCGCTGGAGAACAAATGCCAATCCCACGAAGATCGAAGAGGCTTCTCAAGATTGTCTTCCGATTCTCTCTACGAGCGAGACTGATGGTATACTTTCAGTATTGTAAAGGTTTTACACACTGAAAATTTAAAATTACACCGTCACGGAATAACTATAACCGAAACTCATACATACGGAAATCAGAAATTACGAAAAGAAGCGCAGCGTCACAGAAGGGACAACTGCCCTACTGTCAAAAGTTTGCAGGTACGAGTATGTAACCAAGGCCACTGAGACACTCACCAATGCCGATCCCAAAGAGACGAGAACATACAAACAGACAGTGGTTAGAAGACTATGGAAAATCCCATAAAATTTTATCATGGTTTACTATGGAGGGGATTTGCCAATGGATAATTATGAACTATAGAGACGTTTCTTCCGATGTTTTGGCATGCCAAAAAAAATGCGTGCTGATTACAGCTGGAGAAGTCGTGACGTCAGCGCGGTGGAATAGCAATGATTTTCGCTTACCGAAGGGCGGTTGTCTACATTGTCCGCCGCACGCGTTCCTCACTAGTGCGGGAACATCGCGATGATTGGCTGTGAAAGCCTGTGATTACAACCAATAGAAATTGTGCAACACAACACTGTATTATAACTTCAGTAGCACCTAATTAGTGGCACCTAGACATAACTGACTGTGTGCTGTATTCAAACTATTAGTAGCACCTAATTAGTAGCACCTAGACACTATGTGCTGTATTTTAAAGCGGTAGTCTGAGTGCTACACACTAGGTGCTACTAAATGTTTGAATACAGCACATAGTCAGTTATGTCTAGGTGCCACTAATTAGGTGCTACTAAATGTTTGAATACAGCACACAGTCAGTTATGTCTAGGTGCCACTAATTAGGTGCTACTAAAGTTATAGTACAGTACGTTGTGTTGCACAATTTCTATTGGTTGGGATCGCAGCCAATCATCGCGATGTTCCCGCACTGGTGATCATGAGGAACGCGTTGTCCACCGCAAAGTGTGCACACCCATGCAGGATGCGCACAGTTAACTATGCGTGCCCGTAACGCACGTATTTGAAACTTACGAGCTGCGCAGTGTGCATATCATTCATAAAGCATTTTACGCAGGATTTGGCGATCTTGTCCCGAACTCCAGCTGCGAGATCTTTCGTGAATGTTTCTCGATTTGGATTTCATCGGGTCCGGTTGATAACGGTTGATAACACCAGATGATCTATTTTGGGCGAATTAGTTTGATATTTTACAGTAAAAGTTGATTAATTTCGGCTGTTGTAACTCACAGAGTTGCAATCAAAGAATTAGTGGCCAGAGGTCTGAAGCTTGACTTCATTAATTTTGATGTTAATTTGTCCTCGTTTTTCTAAGTTTTATTCGTTGTTACTTGTGTCTTTGGCAACACTGAAAGCCAGAATCTAGCTGACTCTAGCAAGCTGCTGCAAGTCAAACTCCGAGTTGCAGTGCTTGTGGTACCATATTGCCATCGTTTTCGTGTTATGTTGTAATCACTGAATCACAGAGCAGTAGAACAGATTCCTGGATAAGACCTTCAACAGAAATCAAACCCCGCTCTGATAGCTGGAATTGCGCATGTTGTTGTTAGGACTAGGTGCTGTATTGTGATTAACTCTTGAGCTTCGTGCGCCTTGTACCTTGTTGTTTGGACGTAATCGCTTCACGCAAACTATCCCAGTTGTTTGTTTGGCACCCTTCGACGGAATTATTTCTTGTGCATCGGTTGTCCACGATGCCTCCTCGAACTAACAGTAAGGATGAGAGATCTCCAAGGTCAAAGAAGGCGACGCGGCCGGAGGTGATCGCATGGGCAAGCAGGTATGCCGTATGTGATAAGGTTTTGTTGCGTACAGTACTTAGAACTTTGCTTTATAACGTTGAATTAGTACTCCCATTGTTACTAGTAAGCAGTAATTTCATTAGCTTCTGCCAAAAGCCTTCTGGTCATTCGTGCCTTCAGCTTTGCTAAAAACTAGACGTGATTGGTACTTAATAAAATCGCAGTTATTAGAAACCATTCCATCAGCCTTAATTATTGTGAAAACATGAAATTGTTTAACTTATAGCTGTTTTGCAGAATTCCGGAAACGCAAGATGCCCAGGATATGGTGGAAACTTTCAGGCGCAGCAATCTCGCTGCCAAGATTTCTCCCGAGCAGGAGGCAGCTTCGTCGCGGAGCGTGGAAGCAACTAAACAGGTAGGTAATTTTTCTTTTTAGTTTGCTGCAGTTCTTTCTCATGTTCATATACGGTATTTTCCGATAATTTTTCGGATGTTGCAGTTGTACGATGATGGACAGATCCTGTGTCGTGCGTTACCCCATGCCAAACAGTTAATTATTCCCACAGTCGCTCCTGGGAAAATTGGTGATTTTCTCAACGTGGGACGATTTATTGAAATCATGCAGTATGTGTACGTGAGGGACAAACCCGGTGGTGACAGGAAAAAGCGGTGTTTTGATTTAAGTACGTTATCCATTATCCTTTTTCCGAATCTGTGCAGCTTATTTTCAGTGAAATGTTATACCGTAAATTTTCAAAGTGTTACACTTTTCTCCCTCGTTTCGTCGCGCTTTTACATCTTTCGTTTCTGTTGCTGATGGGATGATATTTTTTCTTGCAGATTTTCTAATCCAAGCTGTAACCATACCAGATGGAAATATCGGACTATATCTCTCCGTGCTGCACTGGTTTGTGCGAGCATTTAATGAACTTTCACAAAAGGAATCTGACAAACTGGTAATAAGAATTTTGAAACGGCAAGCGATGCATGTATTTACAAGGCATCATTGAATAGCTTAAGATACTTGAAATTATTCTGATTTTTAATGCCGCCGATTTTTCCGCAGAGGGTAGCAGAATACGGTATTGCACTATCATCGCAGTTGGACGAAGAGAACGATGAGATATTGGCATGTGAAATTCTGCGGCAGTATCTGATTAAGGTTAAACCTAATCAGAGAACAGCGTTTTCGGAAAAGGTGAGAGCGTGTGTCGGGGTTATGCTTAAAATATTTGTTTCAAACTATCTTGCTGATGGGATGGTATTTTTTTTAGATGGAAAATCTGCTCGATCGCCTGAAATTTATCGATATTTCCGAATGCTCTACTGATGATCGTGTCCGTCTTTTAATTAATGTCCATCACACCCTCATCGAGGACACTCTCTTCTTTAATGTTTTTTCCGAAAAGATTGGTCAAGCACGAAATGAAATTCGGTTAGTATATTAAAAGTTGTTATAGTGTTAGCCTGCTAGTCACAATGCAGTGTCAGTCGTTTTTGGTGGGTGATGAATATTGCTGTCTGGTTAGAACGGAGAAGCAGGGACTGGAAGCTTCGATTGTGGAAAGAAATCACTCTCTAAAAGGTGCGGAATTATAGAATTAACAATGCAATACATACTTTGAAGTACTTGAACTTGGATGTAATTTGACGAAAGCGTTGACTCGTCGAGTATTCAAAAGATTCTTATTTTGCTACGTAGATTTTTTTCAGGAAGTTAGATGCATCATTCGTATTTTCGCTTAGCGTTATCTAGAAGACGGTAATTTCGCTTTCTAGAACTGGAAGAACGATTGAAAGACACAGAACTGAGTGAGCCTGATAAAGAAAAAATATCGGGTAAGTGAGAACCTGTGGGACTATCAATCCACATTTTGAATATAGTTCAATCCGTTTTCTGTGTAAGTGCAACGGTAATAATTGTCCTGAAGTAAGTATTTCGTATGCGTGGTGTTAATTTTGGTTTTAACTATCTTTTTGTTGTAAGTCTCTGATTTAACATACTGCGCTTTAATTTCGCATGGTTTCAGGAGGCGGACTTGATGTTTTCGTACATGACACATTCCAGATGCCTGGGTTACGACCGACACCATAATCGATATTGGCACATGCCCGAATTGAGCGCGAATATCCTTGTTGAAAGCGGCTGGGCAGTTCCCCTTCCACGGCATGAACGTAAAGAGATACCGTCGTCTGCTCCGATCGTTAGCAATTTCGTGTATGCCAGTGATTTGAGTCAGCTGCACTACTTGCGTGCAGATGGAAAGCATAGAAAATGCGATGCAACAATGATGTCGGCGCCGGGAAAAGAGGTGCAGTGGAAGATGTACGCTCCGGATGAACTGATACAACTATCTGCGTCCCTCAACTGTTTGGGAATTCGGGAGAAGGCGTTACGAGTGCAGATAAATAAAATTAAGAACATGATAAAAAACACAGCTCGGCCGCAGCCAGTGTTTGTGGAAGACGCCATGGAAGCCTTGAAATCCTGTGTGAGGATTTTAGCGAGTGAATTGGAGAAGGCAGAATTCTTGACACAAGAGTTGCCCGAGGATTGGGAGGCCAAACTTGAGACGGCCACTTGCTCTAAACTAAAATCCATCATGTCCACTTTGTTTTCGCTCATTTCTAAAGTCATGATTAAGAAAGAATTCTCTCTGGCGGATCAGACATGGAAGGAAATTATCGGAGAGACGAACAGTATTTCCCGACTGTATTATTTGTGCAAAATGGTCGACTGGTCGATACTGTGGGGTACGGGATTGGAAAACGAAGGCTGCAAAGCCTGCGGCAAGCCACAATGGCTGAAAAGTCTGCGTCGATGCCTGGGCTGTGGTGACGTCTTCCATGAAGGATACTGTATGGCCTTCTACACCAATGTGTGCGCACCTTGTGCCGGATGCGCCGGCCGCGAAAAGCGCACGGCAACAAATAATGTTTGCTATAAAGAAATGGACGAAGAGGCCACTTCGAAATCGGAGCGGGGCGACGAGAACTGGCTGCCCATGGAAACAGATGAAACGGGCAGTGTCAGCGGGAAGCGCAAATTGGGATCGGAGTCGGATGGGGAACGGGAACGCGTACCTAATAGCCGCTATCAGTTGCGGGGTGTGGCGGGGATGGAGGGTGCATTGTTGGACGGGTTGGCTTAAAGCTGAATTTCGGAGTTCCAAGAAATCTCCATAATCAATAGTGGTCGCTTATTTTGTATTGCGTAAGTGTTGGCCTAAAATCGAGTACCCGAAATTTAAGCCTTTTACTTTCTTTTGATCTTTGGAAAATTCTGATTCCCTCGGCTTTGCCTTTTTAGGATTGCCTCGTTAAATCTGGTATAAAGTACTATAAACTGGTAGCACTGGTTTTACCTTTGTGAATTGCAACTCTATCCTACTTGACGAAGTTTAAAGTCGTTAGCACTGTGATGTCGTCACTATCAATTTATCTATCAATATGGCGAGTCGGCGACTTAATTTTCAATGATATTACTCATCATAGTAAGTAGTAGCGATACTAGCGAGTATTGTACGAGAATTGTTGTATTGTAGTCACTATTACGTATCGTGGTTCAAATTAATAGAATCAAACCAAAACTACCCATTTATCTACAAAACTACTGGTAGTGAAAATAAGTGAAAATTAACCCTATTAACGACACAGGCAAACTGTAAATGAGGACACGAAAAAACAAAACTGCATCGGAAACTTTATACGGCTTAAAGTACTGCCGAAGCGGAAACTATAACTGGAAATGAGAAGGCATCCCAAATATTGGGATCGACATAGCTTCAGATTTATTTATCATCTACCGCGGTCCAATGATAATCAGTTCCGCGACAATCATGCTTCATCATCCACATGAACCTTCTTGGGTTCGGCTGCATCGGCAACCGGCTCCGGGGCAGTTTTCGTTTGTCCTTCGCCGCCCACCGATGATGTGCGGGGTCTGGGAGGAACTTTCCCCTCGCATACGGAATGCTTGAACGTGCTGTCGACTCCGCTGGGGACCACTGTTCCTTCCTCGTCCGGCTCTTGCGAAAATGTGGACTCCATTGATATGTCAGTTCTATAAAGCAGACAACAAACATGTAACAGTAAAATGTATAGTCACTCAGATTGACCAAGTAAGTTGAAATTAACGACAAAACAACAGGCATCGATGCACTGCAAGTGGACACATGTGCGCTGCGATGTTTACAAATCCACTAATAATCCAGTAACTTCAATCAAATAACAAATCTGGCAACGTGCGTTACTGTACGGAAGAGTGAAGACTGCAAGTCATAACTCACATTGTCCTCGATCCTACTATAATAATGATCCAGCCGAGTTAATTCAAACGTGACAAAAAAATTAAAAATATTGGTCAGTTCTGCAGTTAAGCTTTCTCTATCGAGTAGTTTTGACTTTTGGAGTTTTGGAAGCGAGAAAAGCAAGAGATTCAAACGTCAACAGAGGCAGTGGTGAGCTAAGGATAATCCTAATAAGAGGGCAAAAGCGACAAAACGTTATCAGCTCGTCGAACGCTGGGTGACAGACCCTGTCCTAGGAATCACGCACGTTACGACACATCTCGTAGCATTTTTTGGGCACTCTGCATTCTGCAATCAGCAATCTGTTTGAGCGCTGTGTGCTGGCAAATGACATTCGTTCTTCTTTCAACTTATAAAACAAAATCTAAATAAATTTTAATAACTGTGACTGCTTTGTTCCAGTGGAACGTAGTTTCGCAGGGATATTTTGCACGTAGGTGAGCTTATCCCTGATTCTTACCACCACAACGATGTCTTCGATGTTGATGCGTACCCTCCCCAAAACCTTTACTCGATGCCTCTTCCAGCTGGAAACATCTCATTCAGCCAGCAGCAAAGTGCTCGCTAGACTGGGCGCCACATCTTTTTCCTCCGTATGCCTCAACCGTACGCGCCACTTCCACCACGGTGCACGTGCCTGACGCCGTGAAAGCCAAGCATAATCACGCCACCCACTGGACCATTGAACGTGTGGTGTCCGTGGCGATGCTGCCCGTGCTCCCGGTGGCTTTCCTCACGGACAACATCGTGAGCAACTACATTCTGATCCTTCTGACGGCAGCGCATGTGCACTGGGGATTGGAGGCCATCGTGATTGACTATATGCGACCGCGTGTGGTGGGCCAAGCGGGATACTATGGAAGTCTGGGATTTGTTTACATTTTGTCGTTTGCCACCTTGGCTGGACTGCTCTACCTGAACTACACACAAATGCCCGTGACCCAGGCAGTCAAAAAAGTCTGGAAGGCTTTGTAATTGAGATTTATGAGCAAAGTTGGTTTTCTGTCCGTATTAGGGTTGCTTACAATTATTAATGTCTTTTGTTCTATTTAAAGATTTATGTAATGATAATTCATGAATTCTGACGCATTATTGTAAAAGCATCGTGTGTACCGTAAACACGAAATTCGATAATACGTATCCATTTATGCAATGCTAGTAAAGTTGTAGCGTTCATGTGGAACAATTTTTGGCTTACTGTATTATAGCATATTAAACGATATGTCATATGCACACTGCACAGCCTGATCCTTTTAGAAAAGTCGTACTTAATCAGTTAAACCTAAAAAACCGACAGCAAATTGCACGTCCACCCGATATCGTCTTCATCTACAATGTATATCTTAAATTAAGTGCTTTCATATATTTCGTCGTTAGTGTTGCCTTCATCTTTAACAACAAAAATGACTGATAAATGACAATAAAACAATAAGATATCAACAAATTTTCTTTGGCACTCACATCCCCGAAAGTGACCGATTCGCTTTTTTGACACAGAAAGACCAACCTTAATAATTTAAGAGGTACAAGTCGACCAGAGTAAAAACCTGACTACACATACAGCAGCTGTCGCTTCACGTCGTGTCCTTACTCCTTCAATGTGTCCTGAGTAATGGAATATACCCTACCATGGCGAAGATAGCGGTTTCATTTCCGGCCATTTGGACACTTCGTATTTGGTAATGTCCCCATCCAACAGTCTATCAAACCATGTTCGTAATCCGTCTAGAGTCGGTTTCTGTTCTGTATCAGAGGAAAGCTTCGATCGTGTATCTTTTTTCTTCCTCCTGCGTATTCCGGTCTCAACATCTGATTCGTCGGAGCTCGAAAACCCAAGAAATTCCGCTCCCTCATAGCGGCTTGGCTGAGAAATTTGTGCATGGAATACACAGTAGCTGCGTTTGAAGCCGTTCAACACCAAAACCGTCCCACGGGCGTTCTTCACCGAAATGTTCAGCGGGCGACCATCGCATGCAGTCGTCTCCGACAGAAGAGATTCGTACCAGTGTTTATATTTGTCCAAATTCAGATAGCCAAATCTCAGGCGGGCTTGGCTGAAATCAACAGGACAAATCAATGCGATATTCAATTTGGAATGCATAATTAACAACAAAAATACTACAAATTCTGAATCGCCCAGCTGAACAGCTCTAAGTGTTTTTTCTAATGTATCGCGTACTGAATTTTTTGTAAAACTGAACTTCCTGTATTAGTAATTTTGCCAACTACTAATCACCAATATCTTACAAAATTAGAACTAGGAAGTGCAATTGTTTTAAAGTTTTTCGCGATCTTCTTACAACTGAAAAGGTTTCATGATTTCCGCAAAGCTGTCCACCAATTCCTTTCTCGATTCATCATCGACCAACACCACAATGGTCCGGCATCCCGGTTTCGTATGCCGCAATAAACCATGATATGTCTGCGCTTTCAATTCCATCACAAAACGATCTACCGGTAACGCAGCCCGCCGTCGTTCCTCCTCCTCGCGGGCCTCTTTACTCCGATCGGTATCCAGCCATTTCAGCCATAACGGAACACCCACCATGGCCAGCAGGGCCAACACGATGCTAGCGAAGGGGATGGCCTCATCACGTCCCAGCAACCTCATCAACCCACCCGGCAGCGTCAACAGCTTCTTCCAGATACGACTGCTCAGTGGCTCCTTATTCTGATACTGCCGCCGCTGGCCAAAAGGAAAAAACTCATCGAAATCCGCATCATCGGGAAAGATAAACATCCGTCCGTCCGGTGTGCGGAAAGCGCGGAAGGATGACCGCATATGGGGATGCTGACCACCGTGGAAACCGGAGAATCCCTGATTGCGCGGCTCCGCGGTGCCGTATGTGTCATAGTTCTGCCGTTTTTCGGGATCGGACAAGATCTGCACAGCATAAAACATATTCAATACTTTCATCTACCGTAGGAAAACTGTAAAGACGAAAAACGTGTAATAAATAAAGGCGCAAAGAAAACAGTTTTAATACGTAGCAACATAGACCAAAGCATAAAGCTAAGTGAAAACGATTACTTACTATTCAAGCAGAGAATGATAAAAACGTAGCCACGCTGGTTTCGCAATAACTTTGTTTTGTTCCTCGGAGAACTGCCATGGACTAAGGTCAGTTGTACATAACTCCAAAATTTAATATCAGCAGCAATATTAACATTTCACAAAAGTTCTGGATTTAAAAAAATTTAAAATAGGTGAACCAGGCTAAATAAAGTACTAAAATGAGGCTAAGCAAATCAGGCTTATGCCTGTGACAGCATACATTAAGTGATGCAAACCGAATACTTAATTAAACCAATAAACCCAATAATTAAGAAAAAGAATTAAAATATTCACCTCGTAAGCCTCCGAGACCTCTACGAAACGGGATTGTGCTTGTTCATCCTTATTCCTGTCTGGATGCCTGAAATTAAAAAAAAAACGACAACACGATGAGACCGAACCAGCGAAGGTAAGAAGACTGATAAAAATTCAAAAACACATAAAATGACAGCAGAGATAAACATACAACCTGGGATATGTCAGACAAAGATTGTTAAAATGAATAATTATGGTACGTTTCGTACGTTCGCTCGCTCATGCGCGCTGAAAGATTAGAGGAACAATAAATTTCCAGTTGTTTCTACAAGGGATTTGTTGTTTCTCGCCAGATGAACTGCAAAGCCTGTCAGTAAAGAGCCACAAAAGCTAAAGTTATAATCACCATCACCTACCACTTTTTCGCTAGGGTCTTATACGAACGCTTGATATCTTCCGCGTCAGCATTACGAGAAACTCCGAGCACCTGATACGGGTCTTTACTGACGGCACAAACAGAAGAGAACAGTATGAATACACCAATAAACCAAAACGCCTTGGCAAGACTCATGGAACTGACAGCTAAGCAATACCCCAAACAAATCCACTTCAAATTCACGTGCTATATTATTGCTAAAGCTAAACTACTCCAAAAATACAGAACTAACGAGTAACGAATAACGAGCTAATCTAATCGTAAGATGATACAACACAAATAGGGGTTCCGAACTTCCGATCATAAATTAAATACTGCAGAAATCCAGATTTGTTAAATTTTGTGATTTATGATCATTTATCATAAAATCTTTACTCTACAAAATTATAATATCCCCTGTGCTCTCCGAGTTTCAGCAGATGGTGCGAGCGGTGTCGATCGAATGACCTCCTTAGATGACGGGAGCGTGGAGTCTTAAAAATCAGCCCTGATCCCATACGCGTTCGCAATTACAGTATATTTTCAGTTACTTATTTCCGGTTTGGGACTGAACCGTATTACATCATGGAAGCTTCGACATAAATAGCATAGATAAGTAAAACGAATTTTTTAAGCAGTTAACCATATATTTTTAATTTCAGTGAGGGGATTGCCGGTAGCATCATCATCAGAAGTAGTCACTGACGTAGATACTACATAAAGAGTTTCCGTAAAGTATAGAATTAGGTGTGCCATAATTCTGATGTTTGCGACAATTTGAACTGACACCTGACATGTTAAAATTACAAAGAACTGCGTATTCGTCGTCCAGAATTTATTTAATGTTCATGTGCACAACACTGTAGGATTAACACGAATGTACTATAAAAAATAACAATATGCTGTAATATAGCGGCACTGGCCCAGCGCAGTGACACATAATACGGTAGACCAGTAAAAATATGCGTGTCATTATTCCCATGTACAGAATTTTACAGTGCAGCCCGTGCATGTGGATCTGGAACTAATCCCGGAGGGCGTTTATCCTGGAAGTTCATGCCGGGGTCTTCTCCTCCTTTGTCCTCGCGGACATCGTGACTCACTACATTGCCGGCTTTATCCGTTTTCACCGTTTCCACGCGCTCCAGTTTTTCTTCCCGTCCATCCACCGGAGCGGCAACAGAATGACCTCCCACCGGGGTCACCGTCGCAGTGCGAGTGTGAGAGGCATTTCCCGTTAATAAATCCGCATTGGCAGTCGCGTTTGTGGCGGTTGGATAAGCGGCTCCGGATGTTTCCACAACATGACGCTCCACACGGGTAGTCTGGGATATGTTCGACATCTTTCAACAAATTCGATAATATTAGAATTAATGGTAGCAAAGGTCAACGCAGAAGTTTTGACAATGTATAGATTTCGTCCAACAAAATAATTCAATGTGTGACTTTGTAGTCCATGCGATTGTTCTGGTATTTATAACTGTAATTTATATGGCAAATTCTGTACCGGAATTAACGATAAGTGTCACTTGAGCGCATAGAACTTGATACGCATGTACGAGTACATGCAAGTGCGGCCGTCACACTGCTAGCAAAGTGCACCTGTGGGATTGAAGTCATCTAGCCGTAAGCAGGTTTTTCTTCAATTTATGCCGGTGTAACCTTATTGGGATTTTCCCGTGGTTGCATATTTCGCTTACTAACCATAACCATAAGTAAGCTAAGCGCTTACAAAAAACACAAACAAGTTGAAACAACGCGGCTTTCTTAGACCATCTTATGACAACTGTGTACCGGGTAAATCACAGCATTACATTTTTATGTGAGAAAGTACAAACATTAACCTTCAAGACAGTTGCAAGTCGTACAAGTAATTTATTCGTTAGAATGCTGTTAAGTCCAACAAGGTTACAAAGGAATACTGCATTTTGATAAGAGCGTTATCCAATTTACAACCAAAGGGATTTATTTTCTCTACACCGATCACTACTTTCGCATTTCAAAACATATATCAGGCTGATAATATAACTTCTCGGAAGAACAGACCAAAAACACAGAAAGATGAAGAAGAAAAATACATAACACTCACGATAACTGCAAATACTGCACTAAAAAAAAGCTAAATCACCGTTCAATTATATCCACTAACAAAACTCATCTCATCTGCATTTGTGCAAAATTATAAACATAAAAACATTCAAATTTATTGAATCTTGACCAGTGCGGACGTTTCATCCCCTCGCCGCGTTGCATGCCGGTTCAAATCGAAGATCTCAATGAGCAAAGGTTCCACCTGTTCGGGATTCAAATCCAGGAACATGGTAATGTGCCGATCGTTCAGTTTGTGAAGTATTTCGATTCGGCTGGTCATCTGCGTGTACAGCGCTTCAATCTCTTCTTTGGAATTCTTGGCATACTTTGAGCGGAGATAGCTGTGCAGTAGATAAAAGTACAAAGACTGCTGCGCACCAATCTGCCCGCAGTGTTCCAGGGCTGGTCGGCCAGGATGGAATAAAACCACGGCGCCCATTATTAGTAGCAGTGGCTCATCTTGGCGCAATTCCGGAGCAAAGGAACGAATAAATGTGCGGATTTCTTCGTAGCAGTTACCTAAAATCACCAGCTATATTCGGTGTTCCACAATCACAAATTCTGCAACCACGCGCTAACTAACTGCCAAGCGATAGAGTAGCGGTCCACTTTGAAAACTTGAAAAGCACTTCATATCTGAATATGATATCGACCATTGAAACTTTTCCATAAAGGACAATCACATAAGCCAAACAGAATGCAATGTATTACCGGGTACTTTTTCAGCATTAAAAATGACTCAATTAGAGCAGCTTCTTGTACAGCCTAATTGCTTCATGATTATTCTTAATTTTTTCAAATTAGCAATACCGAATGCTATCAGTTACGGTGTTACCGTAAGCATAAAACTTTAACTGACCAGTAAGTGAAATTCGAGTTAGTTGCATCAGTAAGAAAGATCGAACTCGGGTACGCAACAAAATTCCATTAAAAATCTATTCTTGCTGCAACATCTAACTGCCTGAAAGCGAAACAAGTTCCCTATGAAATCATTCTTACCGCGTGCTTCCTTCAGCACATCAACTTTGATCAGTGTGGCTTGCGGACCTTGCCAGCAGTCTTTCTCCAAGTCGTAATGACTCACCGCTCGAAGAATCATCATTTCGAAACAGGCGCCTTTTAATAAGGCGATCTGATCCTCTTGTAACAAATTCCTAAACTCGGATATACGTTTGGACATTTTGATGAGTCGGCGTATTGCAATGTCAGTCATGTTGATAACATCCACTAATCGATGGTGCTGTTCCTGATACCGGACTGCAACACAACAAAACCGGACTTGAAAACAGCATCACTTTCCACTTTTCAAACAGATTTTAATTCAAAAAAGACCACCACTGAATAAAGGAAAAGCTACAGTAAGATAAGAAGAAAAGCTACAGCAAGATAAGAAAAACCGGCAGCAACATACTAAAAATTAACTGTAAATACTTAACCCTGTAAATTGTGTATATCAAGCTTAGCAGGATATAATGCAATATTTTCAATCGCTTACTACAATATGCAATAGTATTCACTAGTACTACATACACATAAGTTTTTTGAAAATGCTGCGCATTTGGCTAAAATCAAACTAACAATATCCCACACTGCATGCAACGTCATAATTTTGCAAGCAATAAATGAACAGATATACATTTTGGAGACAACAGATTTCGAAGACAATATAATTTCAGAGGCAAAATAACTTTAGAAACAAAAAAATTTGGGGCTAATAAATTCTGGAGACAATATACAGATATTTCCCTTTTACAGCACTACAGAATATCATTCAAACACACTATGAATTTAAACAAATTAAAAAGCCAGACTTACCTGCTAAGGGATCATCCCCGGTATTGGCCTCGTACATAACTTCGTTGGCTTTGACCAGTTCCATAATTTTCTGCTTTTCAAACAAAGACAACAGTTCTAATCCATCCGGGAAGGGATCATGGGAGGAACAGGATTCGGCACTGGGTGTCGGCGAAGAGATCTCCACACTGGACACATTCTGCATAATCTCGCCCACGCTCTCATCACGCACTTCTTCCTTGACCGTATTGCGCAGCACCGCAATCACTTTGGGTTGACGCGTGCGAGGACGCTTGGCTGGACTCTTGGGTACCGTGTCGGCCAACGGCGCCGCTTCCGGACAGACGAGACTGTCCTCGTACCTGCCACCACCTAGATCATCGGAGGGGCGTTTTCCCTTCTGGATTAGTTCCCGTCGCATGCCCACCGTGAAACATTTCCGCAGCCGGCATTGCTGACACCAGCGGCGCGATTCGGTGTCCACGTTACAGTTGCCTTCGAATGGACACTTGAATTCCTAAAAAGCACAGACCAGTGAAATCAGAATGTCCAGCGAAGTATTCACAACAGGCATACGAACCCTAGATCTGCGTTCTGAACGAGAATCAAATATAAATATGTTAAGATCTATTACATCACGACGAAGAAATTTTGGTCTGCAGATAAAACCGCAGTCTTTTACTAAAAGATGGAGAAGTGCAACGACAGGTAAGCTAACTGCTAAAAAATATGCTATGTGCAGCAATGTCGATATTACTGATTACAGTAAGGAAATGATATGGAAATTACTATTATTTGATTTGGAAGACGAACTGGCTACCTGTGATAAATATCAGCAACAAAATCTGCTGGTAATCAGCAATTTGCTACAGAACCTAGTAAAATAACATCAATAAAATAACATCAGCTAGTTACTGGTAGTAGTAAACTGTGGCTGATGATTTAATTTTGTCCACTTATCGAAAAACTGGGATGGCTGGAGATACTTAGCTTCGGATGCCTAAATAGTGAAGCTAAAACAGCTGGTGGGGCAAATACACCATCCCCTCTCGCCTGTCTTCTTGTACCGAATTACGTCAGAGTCGGTCAGACTTACCTTTCCTCCCAAGGCATTCCTTCGGAAGAAGGCCTTGCATGATTCGCACGTTATGGCACCGAAGTTCATGTTGAGAGCCACATCGCCGCACACCCGACACGTCTTCGCGGGGCAGCCAGGCGACGATCGCTCTTTACTGTGCGACAGCTCCTGACTGTCAACGGGCGACGAAACAGCCTGACGCACACTGCTGGGAGCCCCGCTGCTGCTCGAAGGGCTGTTTTCAAGGGGCGTGTCTATCGAAGGGGGCGACTCGAGGGAATCCATACCATTTAGCGCAGACAATGGATCAACTCCAGATAATAATACGCGGGAGAAATCAAAATACATCCACAACTCCACTGGAATCGAAGGACTTACCAGTTGGAAATAAGAATTTCTACATCATGATACATCAACCAATAAGAAAGTAGCTAACCTGGTTCTGTTAAAAACTAGAAGTATAGATAATTTATCATATTTAGAAAACCACAAGAGCGGAAGCTCAAACGCTAAAAAAAGCACATGATTTTTCAAATCACTTGCGAAGTTGTGCGTACGCTTTTTAATACTGCTTACATGGTAAAGAGACACAACGTAGAGAAACGGCATCGTTTGGAATGAGCCGCCTGCATTGATGGTAATGAATAATGATTCATCATAGAATCATACTTTAGATCTTATGGTTAATAATTCGTATGCAGATGTACTTATATATTTTCTGCTCCAAATATTAACAATATCAAATTAAATTGGTATGATTGGTAATTTTTATCTGTTTCAGTTTTCTATGTGAAGAAGTATGTACTTTTTCAGTCCTCAGCTATCGTTCATTGCGAACCAACTTGTACTTTTACCTTGTACGTGCAATTCAGCCGGCCTCGGACACTGTCCGCGGCCGGCTGATTAATATTCCCGAAATTTTATAAAATACCGTTAACATACTTAGTTACACGAGTATGCAGTATTATTTTTGTTGAATTCAAGTGTCTTGTTTTATCTTATGCGACAACAAGCCGTTCTTAAAATTAAGGAGAAAAGATAGGAGAATGTGATCATTTTGTTTTGTAACGAAAGTTGGCTGTCCTATTATGTAAAAATAGTTTTCTAGTTTTTCTGTATGAAAAAACAGATTTGAATTGGCAATAACCGGTCAGAAATAATGGCCAGGCAAGATATGCCGAATTGGTGAAATATTGGCAGAAACCAAAGTATTTCGGCAACTGCTTTTAATCATTTTTCGTTTAATGATTTAATCAAAGTTCAATCAAAAGTTTACGCCTTGGTGCCAACTATGGTCAGAAATCTGGAATGATAATAAAATCGGCTGTGTACGAAACGTTTAACGATGGTCAGTTCTGCACAATTTTATTAAGTATTGTTTGCAGAAAGATTACCTAGAGTAGGGAAATATCGCGCTATACTAGGTAGTAAGTACTTGTATCACAGTAGTGTGTGCAAAGATCACTACTTAAGTTGCTGTTTTTCTTCTTATTGCCTCGCTCTAGTAGCATACAACGAATTGAACTTATTTTGTAAAATTTGTAAACTGGTAGTTCGTCCTTTTCGCTGGTATTGTGGACGTGTAGCCATTTGTAGGTACTTCTCTATTTGTAACCGTCATGATCATACACTTTTGCATCGTGTTGCAGATAAAAAGATTATCGATCGTAAAAAATTTCATCCAAATTTGTATTTCTTTCACAAATTTTTGTAATTCCAGTTTCTATGCAAGATTAGAAAATCAAAAAAAGGCAGTCGGAAAACGAGTTGGAAAAGATTGCAAGGAAATCTTGCGTACCGTTACGTACTCTCTAGGTACGCTAAAGTACCTCGTATTCATAAAATTGTTAGTTGTGACTTATTATGATTAGTTATAAATTAATTATCTTCCGTACTCGTCCTGACTAGGACAACGTTACCATTTGGCCCGTACCACATATCGTTTATCGTAATAAATAATGTAAGTACTTTCTTACAAATATGTACAAGACTTTTTTTTATTGTAACAAGTCACAACATAATGTACAATTAATTCTGTGCATAATTTTCAGGTGCACCCCAATATCTCCAGCTAGATACACGACCAGCGCGATCAGGGAAAACAGCCAGGGATGTTGTTGTATAAACAGTCCAGGAGCGAAACGGCGTCTACGTGTATTCCCAAGCAATAACAACCAAAGGGCTATTAGCGCCCAGCGTAGCCATGTTATCATCCCGAGAATAAACGTAGCCGCGTTTCACTTATCCGTACCATATGAGAAATAACAGGATCATTCACATCCGTAGTCCACTGCGCGCCCGTGACCCGACCCGGCTGATGGGGCGCATGTGCGGTGTATACGAGTAAATACAGTGCATTATTAACATATAATGCCGACGCCGTTATCCCAGGAATTTCCAGGTTGCGGTGTGCATTAATTTTGTGCGCGCTATATCGTCCGGCATGTCAGCACTTTTACAATCCAGATCGTTCTGGCATTTTTCTAAAGTATTGCTATTTCTGCAAAATAAGATGTTAATGCTTCGTAATGCCTTAATGTAAGTTGCAAAATATTTAATAACACGACTCACACAATTACAGTTATGCTTTATAATTAGAATACGTAAAAGTAAATCAAACGCATTTCATAGTGTGTGCGCAATTGAGCTTTTAAAACATCATATTAACTAACGACTTTTGCGGACTCGAATTCGATCGTACTGTTCTACTTAAACTTTCGTTTATCTTGCTTTTAAATACGATCGTGCATTGTACGAGTATGTCGTGTGGTTACAAGAATATACTTTACAGAATTGCAGCTGAAAACGAACAGATGGAAGCTGGTTTGTCCCAAAAAATGAAAAGTATTTTTACTACTTGATACTAGATAAAAATTGCCTTTTATAAAAAATCAACAAGTTTTATAAAATTTGTCACTGCTAAGGGTAATTAATGTTAGAAAATAATACATTCTACAAAGTTCGGGCTCAAATGCAATAGAGTATATTGTGAGAAATTCGCGCATTTCCTTACACTGAATAACTATTTCTACCGGTGTACGCGTAGTTTTAATCGATAATTGCAAAAGAGATTTCGCCATTTAAATTCATTATTTCGCATTTTTTTAAAAGGGAAAATTAGCTAACAGCATCCACATTTAAAAAATGCAGTATTATCAAAGCATACTCTGTGGCTAAGCATGCTACTCCTAAAACAAATTCCATACTTACGCTTAATGTTTTACCTACCCAGTAGTTTATATAAGCCAGGAATATACTTACCTTAATGCAAATTTGCATGCATACTGACACAAAACAAATCCAGAATAATTTCCTAAATAAAATAAAGAAACGCATTAAAAGGAGATCACTGCGATGTTTACACATAGTCAATATTTAAAATTACTGGTATAATTTTGTTTATCGGCATCGTGACATGCATCTACGTCACAAGATATACAAGCAATCACGCAGGTTATGGTTTGGGAATTTTTGGAATTAAGGCTACAAGCCGTAAACCTGGATCAGGTATGTCAGTAATTAATTGTAGTCGATACAGGTTGCCAGCATATCGATATCAGTCACATGTATACCATGCCGAACTGCAGCCACACGACGCAGCAAATGATCAACGATAATAATGGGACTGTCAATCGGCAGGAATCGTATCCGCTGACAACTGTACAATGTAATTATCGTAGACGTTAACTTCCCGGTTGGGATGATTGTTTTTCTCCCAAGTCGCATTTAACCCATTTACATCCACAGGATGAGCAACCATAGAGCGGGCACAGTGGTAACATATTATAAACAGGATATATGTATCCAACCAATATTTATAAATCTATCAACGCATTTGCCGTATAATGCACGGTTATCGCAATCTGATTTAGATGGCATATGGGATTTACTCGATACAGGCCAAAGATCCATCCTTTAAAGTGATCCCGGCCACCAGTTCCCTTAATATACGGGATTTATAATATCGGCCAACGCAATCTTCAGCGCAGCTCCAATATAAATTTAATATCCCGTATGTTGCGTCGCGCGCGCGGATATCGAGCCCGACGCGGGCAACACGGGATTGAGCGTATGTTGATGAATGTTTTATGGCCGCTGTCCTTTGCATATATAGCATATAAATATGACATCTATCCTTGGTTATGCATTACTCCGGCTTCCATATATACGGGATCTTTCAATCCCGAGACCGGGATTAAAATCAAACATCGCACACAGTAGCATAGCGGCGTACATTGCACTGGGAGTATAAAACAAATGATGAATATATTTCCCACTGTGACACACCCAGACTGTCACCACGTTGACTGGTGCTCGCTGTTGGTGATACAGGAAATTAAAAAAAGTCCGCGCCGACAATAAATAATCCCTTTTGTAAATAAACTGAATATTGTTTTAAATGAGAAACATTACAACATGTTCGCGCGCGGAAAAATGGACAGTGATAACTCGAAAGGTCACTGGCATCAATGACAGACAGGATGCTCTAAACATCCGGCGCAAACGGAAACGCCGATGGCTCACACACACAGCAGCACACATATACCATACAGTACATACAACCGAGAGGAAGCCAGCAATATCCACTTAAAAAGAAGTCATTCTTAAATTGAAGACTATACGAAGACTGAAGGGATCATGCTTCAACTCGATCTAATGAACAAATCAAAATCCTTCCTCCTGTATGAAAGACTGTATTACGAGCGCGTTGCACATTTCCCGATCAAATAACATGTCCAACATGCGGCGCTACTGTGAATCGGATATCAGTACAATTTGCGGGCGGCGGCAATGCATATATATGTGCTGCTGTTGGACACCATAGGAAATCAAGCCTGCCCAAGCATCCAATTTCTAACACTCAATTAACCCTATTGTTTGCAAGTTATTTAGATTTATTGCTTATTTAACGCCACAGTCAGCGTGATCATTTATAGCATCCCGGCTGATATGCCAGAGGATTGTGCCGGGATCGGATCCATGTAGCCCCAGTCGACCGGCGCCGCCGCCGCTGCGGTTACGTTGTTATAGTCATTGAACTTATGCCACCGTTCGGAAACAGTTAGCCGCGGCATCCGTATATCCTTCTTTGGTAATTGCTTCGATCCTCTCAATTGACATGTTCAGTAACAGAAATGTTTATCAAGTTCTCGGTTTACTACAGATACTGCACTACATTTATATTCTGAATTATATTAATGCCGGCTGTAGTTGCTTTGACACAGGAATCAGGTTTCAGCTGTTCGTCCGCTTGACGTTTCTATATATTTGTAGTTACGTAGATTGTTACCGCTTCACTTTAGAGAAACTTTTTTATACGATCATAAAGAACATCAGCATTTTTTGAATAAATATAGCGTAAATGATTTTGATTTATTACTATCACTGGCTTGGGTTGCTATTCTCCCTGTCAATACTATTAAATAATAGATAAACCTATAACTATGTTTCGTTAAACATGCAGCACGATTTATGCCGACCATGGTTCAACCGCATATATATACTGCATCGTTGTTGCTGTACGATCCGATTCGTCGGGATAATAATTTCGTCTATAGATGTCACAGGAAATGGTTGAAGCCCATGCTCATCATTAAAAAGTGGGATAAGAACGATGAAGAACGGATATCAATCCACTTGTTGACACAAAGCTCGTACAAGTATTTGATTCCATAATCGGACAGCAATATCGTATGTACAATATTTGACACTTGGTTTCTGGCCGATCACACCGCCAACAAGTTTGTCTATACTCTATGGCATTGTAACAATCAGCGGCATCGATTTTGCAATCATTCATATTTGTGGCATATTGGCCAACGTAATCGTGTCTGGATATCGGGATTAGCAGGGGAATACTAAGGCACAAAGATTACATTTAATACGTGTTAATATGAGCGGCAGTTTGTGTACCGACACATATAGGGCTGTAATAAATGCCGGAGTAAATGTTAACTGCATTCAGAAAGCGTTCACAGTCATGATAATACTAAAGAAAGTAGTATGTCTGATGAGATACAGTAGCCATTGGCTAGCTATAGGAGGTATGACGCTGAAGAAAGCGTCAAAGGTCACCAGCGGAGATGTGAGAATAGCAGCCACTTTTTGGCTGTGGACCGGGTGGTAAATGAAGACCCGGGGGGGGGGTATAATATACTGTATACGGGATGTACTGTATGTACTGTAAGATGTACTGTGTACTATATAAGATGTACTGTACAGTCACTGGGCAACATACATTGTTGACTGCAAGGACCGTTTGTTGTGGTTTTTGCGATCGCAACGTAATACAAAAAATGAAATAGAACCAGGGAAAAAATGTTTGTTATATTCTCCAGCAATCGTAATCTATATGTTTGTATTACAAAAATAGGAAACTATCATATTACTCTACGCTGTCACGTCGCAGCACAATAATCGAATATTTTGATATTTTTGCTTTCCAACGCAGACATAAGTCCCGGCAAGAGCGAAATAATAAAAAAGAAAGAATAATAGCAAGGAACTAATATTATGAAAGTCCACCGCGAGGACCCAGAAAAATAAAAAATCATTGCAGAGAGAAAAACCAAATGCCAAAACTCTGCTTACAGTTTCAAAACACTAATCGATCGTGATGACCTCTGGCACTGATTTTCCTGGTCCATCAAAGACAAAACCTTCATCATCTTCGGTATCGGTATCCTCTTCATTCTCGTTATCCGCATCCATAGCTTCGTCTACAATGATGGTATTAATTAATACGTTTGTACAAAGGTGGAGCTATTGACTTACCGCTGAGAAACCAGGAAATGTCGTCGTTATCTTCTTCATCGCTGTCGACATCATAAGCCGTGATGATGAACCGTTTGACCCGAGGGAAGGTATCCACCATCCAGCGATCGTGACCGCGGATTTCGCACAGCTCGTTGCCTTCGACATCGAGTGCGCGCAGCTTTGGAAGACGCGTCAACGGTTCCAGTTCATCGCGATGCCCGAGCTTGTTCCCGACGATGGATAACTTCTCCAAGTTGGGGAAGCACGCGGGTATGAGGCTCAGGTCCTCTAGGTGGTTGTCGCCCAACATGAGTACACGAAGATTAGGCAGGCGTGGCATCCCCTCTAAGGACCAAAGGTTACAATCGATGAGGCTGAGCTTTTCCATTCCTTGGAACTTGGCAAACCCGGGAAGAACTGATGGTGGGACCTGTTTCCCGTCGAACACCATTTGCGGAGTTTGGGGACTCAACTTACTAAACAAATTGCGGTAAGCTACCTCCTTGTTGGCAACGGAAGCTGCAGACATTTTTCTTATCGACTTAAGAAAAGTAAATGATTTCAAGAAAAGAAAACTACGAGTAGGACAGTGCCAGTGCTGCCTTTATATACTAAACAGGGTAATCGTTTCAGATTACCTGTGGTGGGATGTGTAATCCTTTCTAATTACCTTAGACTCTATGGCAACTAGTACGGGTAATCGTTTTGGATTACCTTACGTACGAGTTGAGGTAATCGATATTGATTGCCTCTTCGGAGGTAATCGATTTTGATTACACCAAACTAATATATAAATGAGCAAAAACGATTCAGGAAAGTGTCATTAGCGCTTTGTTTGTTCAAAAGTTGCAATAAGTTACTGTGCACATATAAACATGCCCATTCGGGATTGTCCTCTTACCTGTTTTTGTTTAGCCGTCACACCGGTAAGTCACGATGTATCATTTCGTAAAGTTTTATTCCAGTAATCTGTCTGCAGAATTTTTCCGATTCCGTCCGTAACGACAAACGTAGCGAAGACGATAAAAAACACCACGTACAAAATAATCAAAAGAACTTTTTCACATTTTTTCTCAACGTTGCGCCCGAGGCACATCATAGACTGCAAATTAGCCATTTTAAAGGTGATAAAGCACCAGTACGATCGCTGTCCTTAAATAGACGTTTTTTGTGCAGGAAGCCAGGATGAGCTTGGAAGATCGGTTGAAAACTTTCGACAAATGGCCTTTGGCGTATGTTTCGCCGCAGTCCCTTGCGGAAGCAGGGTTCATCTACACGGGTGCAGGAGATGAAGTCAAGTGTGTGTTATGTAATATTGTGCACTTCAACTGGATGATGGGTGACCAACCAAAGTTTGAGCACCGGCGAATCAACCCCGACTGCGCGTACGCGGCTATGGTGGCGGATGGCGAGCTGTATTTTCCAGCGATGAAGGAATACCGCGACCGTTTTGCGACGTACGCTAATTGGCCGGGGCAAGTTGTTAGCCAACGTCCAATGGATATGGCTAACGCTGGATTTTTCTTCAATGAGGGAGTGTGGGATCAGGTCCAGTGTTTTTGCTGTGGCCGCAAACTGGCGCAGTGGACCCGCGACGATGACCCGTGGATCGAGCACGCCAAGTATGAACCTCAGTGCGCATATTTACTGGAGAAGAAGGGTCTGCGTTTTGTGCGAGAGGTTCGACGGCTTCACGATATGGACAAGCTGAAGTGGGCGGGTAGTTTGCGAAAGAATCGAATGGATTTTTTGGTGGCGTTCGCAATGGAGCAGGGTGTACACTACACGTACCTGATAAAAGCTGTTCAACGGTATGGGCGCTTTGAGCGCATCATTGATCTAGTGAAAAAGGCAAATGTCATCAAGGCCCGTACCATAGAAGCCCGCTTGGACGAAAACTGTCAACTGGAAAAAGAGTGCAGTGTATGTCTGAATAAAAACGTATCCATATGCTTTGCACCATGTGGGCATGCCATTTGTTGTGTCGAATGTTCTGGTAAAGTGAGAGAATGCCCGCTGTGCCGTCAAGTGATTTTGCAAAAAATTAAGCTTTTTTTCGCCTAATCAGTCTATTTAAGCAGACTAGCATACTAAAATGATTTATTTTGCCATCGAAGAAAATGTTCGGTTTAATAAATGATTATCCGCGCTTTAGCGCTCCTTTTGGAATGTGCGTTTGTGGACCCACAATGTCGGGTAAAACGCAGTTTGTTTTGCTTTAATTAAAAATAGGTCGTTAGTTTTGATCGACCACCAGACCGTATACTGTACTGCTACGGTCAGTGGCAGAAGGGTTTTGACGAGTTACGGAAAGACGTTGATCAGGTCGAGTTCGTGCATGGTTTGGATGACCTTTTCTCGGTGGTGCACTCGATCGATAGCAGTACGCATACCTTAGTTGTCATCGATGACCTGGCCACGGATTTGTGTAAAGACGTTCGTTGTTCCGACCTCTTCACCCGCGGCATACATCACAAGAATATCTCCGTCATCATGCTCCTGCAGAACCTGTACAAACAGGGAAAAACTATGCGGGACATAACGCTCAACTCCCAGTACTTGATACTATTTAAGAACGTGCGGGACATTAATCAGATTTCCTTACTGGCTCGTCAAACTGGACTGAAACATTTGGTGGATGCATACAACAAAGTCACAACGGAGGCCTACCAACCACTCATCTTGGACTTGCGTCCCCTCTGCCCCGATTATTTAAGGGTTCGATCGCATGTGTTGCCAAACCAGCAAATACGCATTTATCTCGACCGCAACCGTACCAGCGACCTGCCAAAATGTCCGAACGCGTGAAAGCTTTGGCACCCTTCGTAATAACGCTTCAACAGCTGAAGCCGAAACAGCGAAAGGTTTTGATGAGCTACCTGACCAAGACCCAGATGAAGGCACTGGAAGAGGTCGCTGTCAACATTGTAAAGAATACTGTAAATCTGTCTCCAACCCATGCGGAGAAATGTAAACGCCACCGAAAAGCATTAAAGCTGATCGCTTTGAGGCGGTATCCCCTTAAAGAAAAACGGAGAATATTTCAACAAGGAGGATTTATCGGAGCCATCTTACCTGTCATTGCTGGAGTTTTAACGTCCCTCATTGGTAATGGATGAATTCTACATAGTGTCACGGCGTGTAATGGAGAACCGGATGCAGAACCAGCTCCAGATCAACAAGGAGCCACCCGAGGCCCACAGCGTCGTAACGTTGGATGCGCTAGTGGCCAAAACTCTGCAACGAACCGATATAAGTGAATATGAAAAAGCTAGTCAGCTAAGCAGTATTCTTGAGCGGTTCCTCGCTCTGAAACAAAAAGCCATACCCGATGAAAATCCTTGGATTTATCGGCAGACGTTGCTGCACAACCGCCACCGATAGCTTCCGAAAACAACCAATCGTCTCTACCTCCCGAGCGCTACCACCGCCGACACTATCGTCGCTACCAAGACATCCAGTCTCTCGCAAGCGTAAAGTCCTCGAAGAAACGAATGAGTCAACGAAGCCTGCTAAGCAGCCTCGACAACCATTATTTCCGTCGGATCTGCCTACGAAAGGAGAAAAGCGGAACTTGGAAAGCGACTTGGAAGACAGCAGTACACCGAAGGCAGCACGCATTGCACTGTTTCCACCATCACTACCAAAAAAAGGACGGAAGCGGCGTCTACAAGACGAAAGCGCGGAAGTGCGACCAACCAAAGCAGCGCGCATAGCGCTATTTGCCCCTACAGCATTAAAGAAGGGTCGGAAAAGACAGCCGGAAGACGTTGAGAGCCCAACATATCCGCATAAGCGACCGCGGCGACCTCTGTTTCCGGTCAACCTACCTGTACGTGGTAAGAAGAGAAAAGCGGACCAGATCGAAGGCAGCGTAAGGAAGCTGCGCTCCCGTACTATCCAAAAAGGAACGGGTTCGCCCAGAATCCAGTGGATCACTCTAACGTAATGGCGAGCTTGCTGCCTAGTGTGTTGCGTTTATGCCGAATATTTAAGATCAATTGCGTGTCCACCTGTTGTAACAAAGCCGATGGAGAAACTGATGAAACGATACCTCAATCCACGCGACCCCGGCGGTCTTGGAGGCGTAGAAAGATTTCGAAGAAGTCTCAAGACCAGAGCCAACAGACGGAAAGCACAGGAGATTCTGCAAGAGATCGATGCGTATACTGTAACCAAAGAAAATCGCCGGCGGTTTGCGCGCAATCGGATCGTAGTGACCAACCTTCGCCAGCAGTACCAAGCGGATCTGGCTGATTTATCAAAATATTCCAAAGAAAATGATGGATACAAATACTTGCTTTTGTGATTGATTGCTTTTCCAAAAAAGCTAAGCATCCAACCGATGAAAACCAAAACAGCCAAAGAAACAAAAATGCTTTGTCGCAGGCCTTCGAAGAACTCGGCGAACCGGAGAAACTACAGTATGATAAAGGAACCGAAGTTGTTAAAAACCAAAAAAATCAAAAAGAAAAATTTCTTTTTCTGAAGAAAAAAATTGGCCATACGCGTCATTCGCAGATCAACAAATGTTTCGCGTTTTTCAACACGGTGTCAACGCAAATTGTCATTTCGGAGCTGTGTCAACGCGGTACATTGACAAGCTGGAAGACTTCGTGTACTCGTACAACCACTCCAAACATCGTGCCCATGGACTGCGACCAATCGACGTCACACAAAACAATTCGTTGGCGGTATTCAACAAGCTGTATCCCACCAGTAAAAACCGGCGACCTCGGTTCAAGATCGGTGATGCAGTTCGCATTGCCGTGCACAAAACCAAAGTGGAAAAAAGCTATACGTATCGATTTAAGGAGGAAGTATTCTACATTAATAAAGTCATCTCGCATACCGTACCGGTATACCGACTGCAGGACTACCAAGACCAACCTATCGAAGGGACGTTCTATGAACACGAACTTTCCAAAGTATCGCACCCGGAACAGAAGGAACATACCATCGACCGCGTTATTAAACGCCGTGGACCAAAGATACTAGTACGTTGGTTAGGTTACGGACCTGAACACGATTCCTGGATCAAGGCAACATGTATGAAGGAGCACCGTTCTACGTGACGCTGCCGAGCGATGTCGCTACGGATCCCAGCAACACTCCGTCCAATTGGACGACTAAACTGAAACATCCCATTACCTTGAAAGGGAAATGGGAAATGGCCCTGGTTGAACTACAGTACCTCAACTCTTTTTTTACTCTACCTGTGGAGCAGAAGATTGAGGTGCACATCGTTCGAGAATTCAGATTAAAGAAGGATGAAGCAAATTTTCTGGAGGCCGCGGACCAAGTTGTCCATACCGACGAGATCACTATTCCTCCTGGAAATTACAAGGATGCTGAATTGTTATTGAAGACTATTAACTCATTGGTACCCAAAGTTGGATCATATATGGTGGATGATACAGTACACGCTGACAAGAGCGCTTTAACTGCGGACAGAGCTTTCACCGTTCAACTGCTGACGCCCACCAATCATCGGGTCCGACTAAATATTGGCAACGATCGGGTTTCCATCGTCTTTCCCCCGTCGTCGATAGTCCTGCAAAAGATGCTGGGATTTGAACATAGTGTATTAAAACCGGATGTGCCGATGGAGAGTAACAGCAATGGAATGGTCGGTCCATTTCCTTTTGAAACGAAGAACGTCAGTATCCAGTACCTGTCATTTCTGGCCAAGCCTCCTAATCCCAAACTGACCAGCTTTATTTCGGAGCGACCGGTCAATACTCTATTGGAAATCAAAGCCTGTTTGTCTACAGTGATGTGGCCGATTACAGCTTGATTGGCGATACCGCAGCGCAGTTTTTACGTTCCGTACCTATTAGAGGAGAAGTCAATCAGATTGTGGAGGCCAGATTCGACATTCCCCACTACGTCCCTGTGTTACGACAACATTTCGAAACCATAAAGCTGACCATTGCCAATGATCTGGGAGACGACGCCAAGTTCCAAACTGGAAAATCCCTTGTAAAGCTACATTTCCGACCACAACGACTCTACTAGAATGCCTCTCGTGGCGTACGTGCCGGATCCCCGGCGATACGAAAACGTCTTTGTCAGTCAGACGGGTGGCAGCGCATTGATCCGGTATCGAGGAACCCTGCAAAACGGATCGGGTTTCCCGCAGATTTTGAAGAACCTTTTTGCAAAGCTCTCAGCCTTTGCTCAACCCATACTACGGAAAGCAGCACCGCATGCCAAAGCCGCTCTTGAAGCGGCTACCCCTCACCTGCAAGAAGCGGCGACCGGGGCTATTAAAGAGGTAGCCTCGCGTGCGGGAACAGCCATTGGAAAACGATTCGCTTCCCAAGAAGGTGAAGGTGTCCGGAAAAAACGACGAGTTCGACGTAAAGTTCTACGAGTTAAACGTATTCCTCCTACCAATATCCCCGACTTCTTGTGAAAAAATGGCCATGTTGATGATGGAAAATTCGGAGCCGGCCATGCAACTGGAGAACCAACTCTTTGCATTACCGGCGACTTTGACGGACCGATGGCGCACTGAGCATGAAAAGTTGAACCCCACTACCATCTTAACGGACAACGGATCGGCCGGCGATATCAATTTTTTCATTCCACCCAGCACATCAGGACTACTCAGTTTGGCGGACATGATACTGGAATTAGAAGTGGGTATTAAAGTCCGTAAGACCACCGGAGAATGGGAACTGATAACAACGGCTGATGGAGTGGCACCAGCCAACAACTTTCTGCACTCCTGTTTTCCTCATGCCATGTGACGGTGGCCAACCGATTGATCTCAGATGCCGCAACTTTCTACCCGTACCGCGCCTACCTGGAATCACTGTTGTCCCACACACTGGACGCTCAACAAAGCCAACTGACATCCGCCGCTTTCTACTACGACAGTCCAGGTTCCTTCAACAGTGAAACAACCAACAACGGTGAAAAAAATCGAGCGGCACTATTTAATGCGGGGCAATACGTGCAGCTTTCCGGCAAATTGTTTTCGGACTTGTTTGACCAAAGCAAACCCCTGTGCACCGGAGTTCCCGTTAATATTCGCCTGGTGGTGAGCCGACCGGAGTTTGCCCTACGTGTATGGGATACGGACACCACCAAGACTTTCAAACCATTTATCCGTAACGCGCGTTTGTCGGTACGTCGTTACATTCCATCACCGGACTTTCTGACCGCCGTAGCCGGAGAACTCCTGAAAAAAACGGTCAAGTACCATATCGAACGCGTAGTGATGCGCGTGTCGGACATTCCCCAACGGACTCAAAGCACCGTAATCAGCAATTTGCAGATTGGCCAAATTCCCAAGGTGGTATTTATTGGTTTTGTGGACAGCGAAGACTTTCACGGCTCGCAAAAGAAAAACCCCTTTTACTTCCAACACTTCAACATTACACAAATCAGCGTCGAAGTGGACGGACAGAGCTACCCGACAAAACCGTACACGGCTGATTTTGCCCGTAACCTGTCTCTGGAGTGCTACGACGGGCTGCTGGACACTCTAGGACACCGCCCTAGCTTGCATGGCGGCTTACCTTTCAACCGAACCCAATACAACGACGGATACACCATTTTCGGATTCGACCTGACTCCAGGACATACCGGTCGTGGACCACTGACACTGATTAAGCAGGGAAACCTTAGTGTCTCGGTGTCGTTCGGGAAACCACTGAAAAGCACCATTATGATGGTGTGCATGCTGGTCTATGACAGCATTATTGAAATCAACCAGCATCGACAGCTGATTGCAGACTTTACAACATGAATACACAGGAAATTACCTCGGCCCTCCATGGAAATCCTCAGACCACAGCGGTATTTCGTGGGGTCTACGCCAGCGATCAAGTTCCAACGACATTGGCACCTTTTCCGGGAGCGTGTGTAGTGAATACCGACCCAGCGGACCAAGAAGGCGAACACTGGATTGCGCTGTACCAGGAACAAACCGGTAAAATGGAAATGTTTGATTCGTACGGGAAAGCTTTGGAAAGCTACTCTCGATATTTTGCGCCACTGGCGGCCGCCAATGAAATAACCTTACAAAATGAACAGTTTCAGTCTGAGTTTAGCACTGTCTGTGGACAATACTGCTTGTTTTTTATTTTGCGACGCTGTAGTGGTGAATCTTATACTAATATTGTGCATTTGTTTACGGATAGCCGGCTAAGCAACGACAAAATGGTGTGTCAGTATGTCAATTCTTTTTCGACATCAATACATCCATGGTGGATGGAGCTTTACTCCGTCAAATGTGCAAACGTTTAATGAAATAAAAAAATTACTGATCCGTTTCCGTTATTCGTACGAGTAGATGAAAAAACAGCAATTCAACAGTAATCAGCCGAAATAATATCTCCAACATTGGAACGAATTTGATCGCCATGTTTAGCCAAAAAACCAGCCACATCGAGGTCAAGAGCTTGTTCAACACTTAACTTATCCAGTCCAAACAAAATCCCATGGACCATACGTAATTCCAAAAAGCGCTCCACGGCCCCGTTCCATTCCGCATCGGACGGTACGTAGTTGTCTTCATGGCACCGTTGAAAGGTCCCGTCGTCTAGCTGCTTGACCAGTGGCGCCAAAGCATCAGCAATATTTTCACACAGCGTTGGGAACGTCAGTCCTTCCTTGATCGGGTCCTGGGTTCCCTGTTCTTTTTGAATTTTGGCAATGTCCTTGAACAGTTGCAGGTCCTTCATTAAACTTTTCAGACCGTCATAGCATCGTTCACCGAAAGAGATACCGTAGCGAGTAGGGATCATATCGCCACCCTTTACTTCAAAGCGCCGAATCGTGGCCACGTTGGTGCCATTGAAGCGGCTCCAGCCAAAGTACATGTTACTGTCCAACAGATACAGCGGTGTCAGGCGCCCGGTTTCGGCTGCACTGGCCGGGCTGCTTCATCCATGTCGGCTTTCTCGGTCAGCATCAGTGCGGCCAAGCGGAGAAAGCCGGTCTTGAACAGCGCGACATTCTTCCGTAGCTGGCTTTCCAAGAATTGTCCGGCTGTTCCTTCCATTCACCAAAACCACACGAATCGTACCAATTTTCCCGTCGCTGTTAGGGCCCACGTAGACGAACTTGTCGTTGCCCAAGCGGTACACTGGCTTCCCCAGCTGCGTGAAAGCAAACCGCGGATGCGTGGATATGGTAGCCGGCAAAATGTTTGGTTTGACCTTCTTAGCATCCGGCTTTCCTCCTTCTTCCGACTCTAGACCTTTCCGCTTGGACTTGGGTACAGCGGTTTGCGGACGCTTAGACGTTAATAGATCGAGAAATTCCATGGTAAAAGATAAACTTTTCAAAAGAGGTAAACAAGACAACCTGATGAAGATTCAACCACTTGCACTCACTTTATATAGGAATGCTTCTGGCTCAAGGTAATCGTTTTTGATTACATTGGTACGAAGGTAATTGTTTTCACTTACCTCCACTCGTACAGAAGGTAATCGTGTTGGATTACCTAGGTAATCGTTTTGGATTACCTTGGTAATCGCTTTGATTACCTCCACTCGTACAAAAGGTAATCGTTTTGGATTACCTCCACTCGTACAGAAGGTAATCGTCTTGGATTACATGCGGTAATCGTTTTGGATTACCTCCACTCGTACAAAAGGTGATCGTCTTGGATTACATGGGTAATCGTTTTGGATTACCTCAACTATTACAAAAGGTCATCCGTTCTAATTACTTCTCCAGTGCACAGTTAACGATCGAAAACGAACCGAATCATTTCGTACTAAGTTTGTTTTGAGCGGTATATTTCATGATATTGTTGTTTTCACCGTGGATGAAATGGCTACGCCTTGTATACTGGACACAGACTGGTTCGTTATTAATGGAACCAAGTACATCAAACAACTGGCGTTTTACTGTCCCGATAAAGCTGAACAGAATCTGTACACGTTTACGCTAGCACGTTTCGCCAATCAGCACATTCCCGAGTTGAAAAGACAAGCACGTCACTCACACGGTTTACTGTGGAATACGGAAGGGGATTATCGACACAATCAGGTGACCTGCGCTTTGGAAGACATCTTCCGAAGAGTAGGGCGACCCAGCCAAGTGCGTTTCTTTGCCAAGGGTCTTGAAAAGTGTCGGCTGCTGGAACAGTACTTACCGGAAGTAAGAAACTTGGAATCTCTGGGCTGCCCCCCATACCATAGGCTCACGTCGCTCCCCGTCTCAACTCTACGCAAAGCTGTGCGGTTTGCCTTGTGGTACCACTGCGATGCCCAAAATCACCAATGTTGTTGCCATTGCGGATTTAAACACTATCCTGGACCTGAAAAGAATTGAAGAACTCCTTCCTATGGCACAATACATTCCACAAAAGTTTTCGGGCCTGCTCCTGCGAATCCTTTATCCCTACAAAGCGCACTGCCAGCTGTACCAAAACGGTAAGATTACCGTTAATGGTGCGCGGTCTGAACCAGACGCCCGGGAGCTGGTTCAGCGTTTCGCCAAAATTCTGGCTAGTATTGGTTTTACCTGTACGGTTACTAACTACCGTGTGGTGAATATTGTTGGCAATCATGCATTTTCTAACCGTTTGCATATTGAAAAGTTTAGTACGTACTTTCGTTTGGAGTATACTCCTGAATTATTCAGTGGTTTGGCCATTAAACTGAATGTTGGACGTGCAGTGCTTTTTCCATCGGGTAAATGTAACTTTTTGGGTTTGAAACAGTCTGCTCATTTGTCAGAAGCGGTACGCGAGATTCAGGAAATGATCGATGAATTTAATAAATCATTGCTCTAAGCAAGCTGGTATCCATACGGAACCGTATTATACTGATCATCTAGTATTCGTCTTTTGTCATAGGTCACCTGAAATCGTTTGACCATATTCGCATTACGAATCGTCATTTTAGATTTGTCACGTTGCAAAATATCAGGATAATTTACATCGACAATGCTACGGTTGGCCAGCATATCTAACATCACTTTAAAATTAATTTGCTCGCTGGTTCGACCGTTAATAGTAAATCCTTTAACTTTTACTACACTCTCGCCATCGTTGGTGACATAGGCATAGGTCTTGGCTCCCAAGCTGACAAACTGTACAATGTGTTGTCCAGGCTTTAATTCGTTGGTGAGGTCGCCAAGAAAGATTCCCGTTGGAGGATCCGCAAGACCAGCCCGAGTCACGAAGAATATGGAATCTAATAAAATCAAACGGATATATAATGGATTAAAATTTCTTGAGAAACAAGCATCGACTTTACAAACCTGTATCAAAGTACAGTAGGCGGCCTTCTACGATTTCCATAAACTTAAGCAGATGCAATCGAGCCCAGCACGTTGTAAATCTGCAACAGGAAAATCGTTTTAAAAATAAAAAATAAAAAAATAATATTTACTTACGCAGCTAAAATCACATTCGTATGGGGATTTCGATCAACAAAACCATTTTCAGTAGTGTAGGTTATTTGCACAATATCATCAGTAAAAAGATCCCAGGAGTGAACGTGGTGTTTCCCCGACAGCAGCATGTCGTAAAACTTCTCCGGTTCGCTGATATACATTGTGTTCAATTTATTGTCCTGCATTCCAAGACGGCCCCAAAAACTAAGATGAAAAAAATAATTAAATTATTGATTATAAAATTACAACCAATTGTCGTAATTTTAACAAACGAAAATAATCACGTCTGTGCAGAAGTTACCTGTTCAAACATAACTTGGCTAACGCTCTTAAACCAGGATTCGGATTAACTTTGTCGTACTCCAAGTCGATGTTTTCATGGTCCTTAAAGTCCTGGATGTATTTGCGCTTTTCTGTCTCGCTTTGAACTTCTGCTGGCCAACCGCTGGCTTCAGTCTTTAGTTTGAGGAACTGATTAATGTAGTTTTCAAACAACCGATCTTCGTGCTTGTCAAAGTGCCAAACTTCAAAAATCCTTACGATACTGTAGCCATTGTCCAAAGCTTTTTGAATCTCTGGCGTGCACCAGGTGCCGGTAATAGTACGTTCACAGTCAGCATGCTGACACTTGTTGTTCAAATGTTTTTCCATACACGTGCGGCACAACGGAAAGGTCAGCTTACCACAAGAACGATAGGGTAGAACAGGATATTGAAGATCTCCAGGTGGTAAAACTTCACACGAAACAACACCGAAATAAGAACGTATATCCTGGAAATTCTTTGTAATTATGGTGGGATGTCCAACTGGATAGCGCCTGTTCTTGTTGACGAATGGATACTCGCTATTGACGTCGAAGTAGCAAATCTGCTCGTCTGCAGCTACTTGATGAAAGAGCTTAACAGCGTTGGTTCTTCCTCCGTAAAAAGCATCGCGCGGGTCCAAGCGCTCGCCAAAGTGCAATCGCGAAACAAATGCTCTCATTTCAGGATTAGACTTTAGCTCTTCGTCAAAGTCGTGCTCCCAGATGCAGGTGACACTATATCCTTGGCTTCGTATGTAATCTTCACGGTCCATAGTTTCTTTGTAAATATCGGACATTGGGAGGTTCCGGAACGGATGCATCGTTGTCGGCGCCACACACTTTGGACAACCGTGAAACCGGCAGCCGTAGAATTCGTACACCATGTTGATATCTTGACTGTAACCATCAACATAGTAGGGTCCCACCCTGTACTCGGAACTGTTGATTACGGACTGCACAGAACGGTTCGTATCTTCTTCGACCCACGATAACCATTTCTTGGCCTTAACCGATTGGTGGCGATTGCGAGCGTTCAGTCCATGTGGCAGTAATCCAATTTGTTCAGGTTTCAACATGAAAGATCGCCAGTATCGATTGCATAGACCGGCAATAGTTAAGGAAGACACAAACGGGCACAGACCTTGACTTATCTCTTGAAAAAGCTTTCGAAATTGTTGGCAGCATAAGCGGAGAACCGTGACGTCCATCTTGCAGTATTCAACAAATTCCTTGCGAAAATCGAATAAGTTATTCTTTTCCTGTTTTTCTTTTTCGTACCATCGTTGGAAGGACTCCTTTGCTTTGCTATTCATACCTTGGTACCCGTACTCTTCCATTGTCGGGAAGGGAACCACTTGGTCCCAGTTTTCTTTCCGGTTAAACCGGTGCGGGAACGTTCCTTTGCTAATTTCTGGTAAGCCAAACGTTGCTGGCCACTTTGCTAAGCTTTGGGGATTATAATTGATGCTGTCTCGGAACCGGATGTTGAGCTGAGGCACGTCGAGCTGTAGTATTTTCCCACCGTTTAGAATAACTTTCGGAACGACACCATTTTTCAGCAGCCAATTGAGAATGAAGTATCCATCAAAAGACTACAAAAAAAAAGTGATTTAGAAAAAAAACAATAAAAAAGATACAATAAAAAATAAAAAATACAATAAATACAATTAAAAAAATACAATGAACAATTTCTTACCTTGAAATTATGCGCTATAATGAAATGGTCCCGGTGTCTTTCACTAAACAAAAATGTGCACAACTCGTTTGTGACATCACCGCTGAGAGGAACATCTTCTTCAGGGAAGACCCACTCGCTGCCGTTGTCATCCTGTACCACCTAGAATCAAATAATAAAGAAAAATTATTTAAATTTGTTTTATAGAAAAAAAAAACAGCAACATTAATGACGTACCGCTAGATTTGGTATCAGAGTTCCGTCCTCCTGAACATAAGTTTCGAAATCAAAGTACAGAAAATCTGCATTCTCATTCATTTCCAGTTCATCAGCATTAACCTTGTGTGGTTGCATGTAGCACTGGTGTGACTGCGGCAGAGCGTGAATCTGGCAGGTTTTGCAAAATATTTCGCCACACTGGTGAGTGTTTCCGGGTTTTCTGCGTTTCAGCGAGACTATCCGCAGGCACTTCTTGCAAACATACACCGTGCTGCAAAGGCTTTTCTGATTAGGTTTCTCCCTTGTAGCTGCTTTCTTATGGTGTGTGTAGCAGTCCTGTCCAAAAAAGTCTCGGTTGCAGTCGTTGCAGTGAATCATTGTACTTGATTCCGATGGACATGATGGTTGAAGGCAAGCCTTGCAAATGAAAGAACAACGATGATTTTCTCGATTAGAATATCCTTTGTCGCAGGAGTAGCACCAGTATCTTTTCTGAAAAAATGCTGGTAGTGAGTTTAGCAGGTCAAAATGCCGGTCGTGATGCAGCAGAATAATTCTTTTCTTTTGTGCGGGTCCTTTGAAGACAATCAAATTCGCATGGTCCACACTGACGACAATAATCTGATACTGATGTAGAATTTCTTGAAATTTATGCAGATGCCGAAGATTAAATTCTTGTTCAGTAAACCCCGCTCGGTGAACAAGACACTGAGCTTCTTTTGTTTGCAGTTTCTTTCCTCGCAGCAACTTCCGATACAGATTCAAGTTTTGATCCGCATAAGCCTTTCCAATCCAATAACCAAAGCGCGCGCAAGGCAAATCTGGTCAGAATTCTTGATCACCACCACCGATCTCATTTTTTGCAAACGTCTCCGTAGTAAGGCGGGAACTTCACGATTACACGTTCCTTTAGGGATATCTGTATACTGAAGAGAGATTTCAAAGGATTCGTCAATAACAAACTCTTCGTACGAGTTTAATACACGTGCGACCTCCGCCATCCACCTGGCGACAGTCAGCTGCGAACGTTGAATGGGCGGTGTCCAAATCGGTCGATTCAAACACTTCGAATCCATTCGCATCCTGACCATTTCGCTCGGTCCGACACCCTCCAACAGAGTGTCTAGTATATTCTCTAAAATCTGTGTTATAACTAGAGGCACATCAGAAAAGGGCAACCTCTCCAGCTCGGACACTTTCACCGAAAAACACTTGAAATGCAATCTGTATTTCTTAGAAAATTTCTCACCGGTGCGTTCAACGTGAATAAAGTCCTCCACAGCATATGGAGCCTCGCTTTCTACACCATCCATAATGTCAAAATTTTGATAAAACCGATAGAAAACTGAAAAAACTACGCCTTCCAAGCGGCGCGAGAGCTTCTTTATACTTCGACGTGTGTAATATGGGTAATCTGATACGATTACATCTTGTACGAGTGGAGGTAATCCAAACCGATTACCTTTTGTGCCACTAGATTGCGTAGTTCTAACACAGGTAATCAAAAGCGATTATCTTGGTAATCCAATTTGATTACCTCTAATGCGAATAATACTGTGAGCTCGGACGAATGCAGGTTATGCGAGAATAATTTACCGACTCTAGCAGATTTTTGTTTCCAGATTTTATTAAAATCGATGAAAACATCGTCGTTAGAAATTCTAAATCATCTCAGGAACTTCTATATTTTCTGGCACTAGAACAGCGAGTTTTTCCCGCTGCTTTAGTAATGATTCAACAGCAGCCAAGTTTATATTAACACAACCTTCGTAAGAATTAAAGTGACTAATTCGGGTCAACGTCAGGTGCGCCGTTCGCGACTTCTTCTCACACTGCATACCAGCCGCAAAGTCCCTGTACCAGGCCAGCAAGGTGCGGCTGAAGCGCCGATACGGGTGTGACAGGACCTCTTTGCTGTTAGAGCTTTTAACCGAGTTTAACGCATCCTTATGCCAACCTCCGTTGAAGAGGTACTTCAGCAGTATCTGCAATTCTCCGCGGCTGATTTCCAGGATGCTACGCTTTGTGAGGAAAATCAGCATCGCATGGCTAAACCAACCGGCCGGATCCATGTCCCCTCAAAAAACATCAAAGGTTCTTCGCCCTCACATCCCAAGGCACATTGCGCAGCGTGGGAGGTATTAGAATGTGGGTGGCAATTTTCTGATTAGTGCGCTTCCACACAGGTGTTGGTGGTTGTAGGAAAGCCATGGCGACCGCTTCGGCTACCCAGTTCCTGGGGCAGTCCCTTGGTCGACGATAGTGATGGTCGGCGGTGTGCTAAAGTTGTAGCACACTGCCTCAGTACCTGAGAAACAACTCCATAAATATTCAGAAATCGGTGCTATTATTTCATTATACTTACTCGTAGGCCAGATTTCCTGCGCGCTGCTCCCAGCGAGTGGTTCATCCAGAACCATGGGTTCCACTATAAAATTACAAAAATATTCATATTGCACCATTTTAGCATGTAATATCTTTCTTTTGCATTTTTTTAAATTAAATTAATTATCTTAAATTTTCTTTTCTTTTCTTTATTTCAATATTTTCTAAATATTTTCGTGAATATTTAACCATTTTTTTTAAATCCTGGTTTTTTGAAAATTTCTTCCATCAATTTTTTTAAATATTTTTTTTTGTAAATAAAATTTTTTCTTAATTTTGTTTTATTTTGTTTTTATTTCAAAATGTTAATTATTTTGTACAGATTTAACCATTTCTAATTCTAGCATTAACGATAACAAATCTTACGTTCATGCATGGATTCCAAAACGCTGACGTCCTGCTGAAAAAACTCAGTATCGTTGCTTCCTGCCGCCGCCAAAAACCCATCGTTCGTGGCGTTGTACGTTCCCAAAATGTCGCAATTAGTAGTAGAGAAATCAACTGAAAGAATTAAAAAAGAATATTGTATATTTAAAAAAATACGTTAAAATTAAAATAAAAATTCCTGAAGATAATTATTTATTATTTTATTGCTCCGACAAGCCCTTACCTAATTCCTGAAGGTTTGCCCCATTGACTTCCTTACACCATTCGTCCAGCCAACGATAGTCGGTGTCAGGTTCTTCAGCATCCCCATTTAAAGTGGCGGACGGTACAACAACTGCTGTAGAAGCTGTACGTTCTGCAGAGTTTTATTAAAATTAAAATAAAATTGAGATAATTCTTTGTTAGCTTATTGCTCCATAAAACCCTTACCAAGTTCCTGACGGTTTGCTTCATTCACTTCCTGGCACCATTCGTCCAGCCAACGATAGTCGGTGTCAGGATCTCCAGCATCTGGAGTTAAACGGGCGGACGGTACAACATCTGCTGTAGAAGCAGTACATTCTTCGCCAACCTGGCGGCGTAATTCCTCTAACCAATCGGTGAATGGTTGTGGGTTGTTTACTGTGTTGTCAAGGGATGTGAAAAGCTCTTCTAAAAGATCATCCATTGTTACATATTTTCGAAGCAAAGATCACGAAAATGATACGAGTGCGATGACCTTTTATAGGATCCCCGATTTTTTGCTTTCCATTAGAGGTAATCGTTTTTGTTTACCTGTATACAATGTTGCTATGCACCAGGTAATCAAAAACGATTACCTCTAGTGCGAGGTAATCGAAACCGATTACCTCTGGACAAATCCTGTTGATATATAAGGATCCAACCGTGGATGCAAATTCCAGTTCATTTGTTTTCTCTAAAGCAGTAAAATTTTCTCATTAAATGATGTCTACAATAGTATTGCTAGCGTTTTGCGGTGTGGCAGCTGTCCTTGCTATGGACAACCACAACACACCGCCTTTTCGCCGTCCATACGCTCGCCATACGACGCGACACCGCCCCCATCACCGTACTGCGTACCACAGAGGGAGCTCCTTCCACCTTCCCCTACCGCGAGGCTGGTATATCAGGTGCCGTCATTCCCAGTGCACAACAATTACCCTCCACTGTATATTCCCCAACCTGCACGTGACTCCTCAGTTCGTCCAAATGTTTCAGTCCCTGGTTCGTCCGACACCAGTCACCCGCACGGCGAGTCCTAACGGAGCCATCTCCGTGGCGTCAAACTTCCTGTCGACCCGCCGCTCTCCGCAGTCACCACGGGCCAGCACCTTGGTGCCGCTGTTTCCCTTGTCCGCAATGAGCCCGCGATCTTTGGACCCATATCCCCACCGCCGTATTGGGAAGCGCCTTTTTGGGCCCGGTCCGTACCAGCGAACGAATTGGTTGTGCAACGGTCTCCGCGGACTGCGGCTCGGGTGGTCGAGGTGATGGATTCGTACTCCACCATCTCCAGCCCGTCGCCTCCGGGTACGACCCCGCCCTCGCCGAACCTGTCGCCGGTGCTATCCGCCTCTGAGTCGCCAGCGCCTTTTAGCTTCACCCTGTCCACCCCCAACGTATCCCCGGCCCTGTTTGACTCGCCCGAGTCGCCGCCGCCAGAGAACACGACGACGTACTTCTCTCAACAACCACAACCGTATTACTCAACGGCAGTGGTCGGGACCCATCACCATCAGATGGAGTCCCAGCTATTAAACCTTCAACGATTAACAGCCAGGATTTTGAACGGTCCCACGGAGATGCGGCTTACCGGAGTCCTCAACCTGCGTGGTGAGTAATACTAATTGTAATTTTTCCTGTGTTTTTATACCATGCAGTTAAGAACAAGCACGTATTTTCATAGATCTCATTACCGAATATGCGTACCATCATCACAGAAGGGCGGCCTACCACCAGAGCATGCCATATACCGTGCAAAGCCACTACGCTGAGAGCGCGTCCGCATCTTTGAATAACTGTTAAGTTTTTTGTTTTTTGTTGTGTTATCTTTAGTACCTTTTAAAAATGCAAACAAATTTCTCAGACATCGGTGTTTTACTATCAGAAATATTCACGTATATGGACCAGATATAATATCAGGAAAAACTTTCCATTACGCATTTTTTTTGATTTTCTACGCGATTATTGAATACGCCGTTTTGGATAAATGTACTTTTTTGGCGTTTATTAGAGTGAATCTAGAGTATCAGTGGCAAAAAAATGGAGACTGCTGCTTTCCGGTCTGTAAACGTGTACTCATATACGTTTCCTAGTTGGTGATACTCGTATATACATATATATGCTGTGTTCAGCTGTAGCAGTAATTGCCTGGCGGAAGGTGGTTAGAAAACCACGGGTGCAGTAAGGGACAAACAATTTATCAGGGTGCATTTTTTTCCTGAATAAAATTACAGAATGAGGTTCTGCGTAGCATTTTGCTGTAAAAATAAAATTAAAGTTTTATTTTGAAGCCGTAAAATTGGACGAACAGAAGCTGAGTTCATTAATTTATTTCAAACTCCTGGTACAGATGCTAGTATGTATAAAACTAACGAGATCTAGCCCGATATGTTGTATGCTACATACATAAACAGGTCCTTCAACAAAAAACCACAACAGGAATAGCTCTCAGTGTTTGTAAGACCATCCTCACGGTTACCATGCAACTAACTGTTGTAACAATAAGGCAACAACCATAAATACGTATTTTTAGGACAATTAATATTATTTCTGAAAAATCTCGCAATCTGTAACTAAAAATGTTCAAATGCTACAGCAATTCGTTATTGTCTAACACAAAATGCTCGAAAACGTTCATGTCTCCCATTGAATGTTTCGACCATCTATATTCCGTAAATGACCTTTGTGAAAATGTCAAATTCTCTATTGAAAAGTGTTTCAAAAGTATTCAAACAAGCGCGAGCGTGCAGCCGATCGAGACATCTGTCACATGCTCATTAACTGCTACCAGCCAGTTTTACCTGATTATTTTTCTGGTCACGTAGACACGATCATACTCAGTGTCATCCGTGGAACCGGTAACGAAAACCGCGTTGTTTGTTTTGGTGTTGATATGATAAAAAGCCTCAAGGCGTGGGTAGCCATGCGAGACAGACTGGGTTTGTTGATTGGTATGCCGACATTATCTGACGAACAGGCATTTCGAAAGATTGTTAAAGCGGACTTAGTTATCATCCCGTTCTGCCAATCAACGGACGAGGTTGCCCACCAAACGTTAGCAGTGGTCCACAAAAATGGTAAACAGTGGTATTTTTTGTTTCTCAAAAAATTTTACACCAATTAACCGAACTATGAAAACGTATACTTGAAGCGACCGAAATATGAGAAAACCTTTTTTTTTAGTTGCTTATCACTATGACAGCGTCGGAAATGACTTCGTGGAGAACTGGAAACAGTTCTTAAATCAGCTGATGAAACTGTATCAGGGTGACAACGAAAAGTATTATGATCAAATTAAGTCATGGGAGAAGCCATTTAAGATCAACAAAACGAATATTCAAACAACAGTAAGACTTTCAAGCTAATTTAGAGCACCGTGTTAGCGTCGATGTTTTTCTCTCTCCCTAGTTTTTCATTGTTTTACAATTTTTGCAGGTGGTGACCCTCGAAAATGCGTGTGGTCTAATTTGTTTGAACATCGTTTCTCGCATTGTTCTGAATTTCTGCATTTTCAAGATCTGCGATAGAAGCTGTATTGACTTGGCGGTCAACGACTTCATGACCTGGTACCACGCCATCAAGCAAGCAGAAGGGTCCCATGCAGTCGATGAACCGAAAAGGTTGTGCACACTTTTTGTAGCCCAAGCGGGGCTTGGCTGTTATAAGACCAGCTGGGAAGTTGGGCGTTACGAAGGTACAGTTTTTTCCTCCGAGTTTTATTTTTTATTTTACGAGTATCCTAGCACATATCGTGACATACTGTAATTTGCCTACAGAATACGCTGCGATGATTGGATGGCCCTCCACGACACCTGCGGTGGTATTGAATAGCGTGAAATCGTTTGAAAATCAGACGTTTTACAAACTAAAATATGATGGCGGTCGAGTTTCGTATGTCCCTGAGTATTACGCCCTTTTGTACAAGCGCCCGTAATTGTTTTCTTAGTTATTCATATGATCATAAGTAATATGGTCTTTCTTAAAATAGTTTGACTATTATGAAAGGAATTTTTCCTGGCTCTATTTCATTTTTTCTGTTACGTTGCGATCGCAAAAACCACAACAAACGGTCCTTGCGTTCACCAATGTACGTTGCCCAGTGACTGTACAGTACATCTTATACAGTATACAGTACATATACAGTACATACAGCACATCCAGTATACAGTACATATTATTATACCCTGGGTCTTCTTTTACCACCCCGGTCCACAGCCAAAAAGTGGCTGCTATTCTCACATCTCCGCTGGTGACCTTTGACGCTTTCTTCAGCGTCATACCTCCTATAGCTAGCCAATGGCTACTGTATCTCATCAGACATACTACTAAAGAAGATGTTCAGTTTCTCAATCAACCAACAAAAAACGAAATAACGGATGCCCCAATTCATGCACTAAGTTTTAACTGACAAGTGAATATTCGTATGCTTTTTGAACTAACGAAGGCATTTAATTGAAAACAAACAAAATAACTTTATTAAAGGTAAAAAACAATTTCAAGCTTTTCCAGACAAAACAACCGTAGCATTGTGCTGCAACTACAATGGAATATGTTGATTACATATATGCGGCATCTCTGCTACATCAACATCTCTAAACTTGAGGATATATTTCGTTTAGTGTTAGCGCATTAATCAATTTAACGTTTCTCCACAATACGTTTACAATTACCTGTGGTGCCATAAATGTTATTAAATCTGGTCTATCTAATACGTTATCACTGGGACAAAATCAACCGCACGCACGTTACGTGATTGGAAAGGTGTTTCTGCAAAAATTTGCAGTGCAAGAAAATTTTGCACTCCAGGTAATAAACTAACAAAATTTTATCCAGACATTAATGACTAAATTAAACACGGTGGACTATGGTGTCACCATTTTCTAAGCTTTAACCGTAAGAAATTACAAAATTCTAATTTTTTTACGTCAGACCATAACGTAAAAAAAACAAAAGTTTGTAGCACTCATTGTTCCTTAGCACTTACCTTTAGGACAAGTATAGGTATATCTGACTATTTCTCGTATTTTCGTATTTCTAAAGCAAAAGTTTATAACAAAAGTTTAAAAACAAAAGTTTATAGCATTCATTGCTCCTTAGCACTTACCTTTAGGACCACATGTGTAGGTGCAAGATGGTAGATTATGCTTTAATGCCACTTCCCGCTGACGTATAGCTAAACACTGGTTTCGATACATAATAAAATTAACAATAAGTAAAAGATAAGGTTTTGGCTGATCAACCATCGCTTTTTTGTTGTTGCCTATTGGTAAGCAAACTAAGCATTGCTTTTGGAAGAATATCAGATGCTGCCATTGTGCTTGATCGAGGTCATTTACGATGCGTATAGTATATATAGGTAGTTGGGCGATTTGAATTTCCATGTAATAATTTTCCGTAAATTAAAATCAATAACAGCAGAGATTCATGCAACTCTCGTGTGTTTGTGCCAGTGTATACACAAGGTAAGTAACACAGCTAGCAGTAGTAATTATGTCGTTAAATAAGGCATAGAGCACCTAGATAGCGTAGCGCTATCTATACATCCAGGATGCACCCAGAAAGCGACAGGCACTTGTTTGTTTAAAGTACAGTTTATTTGTTGCGACACTGTCTATCGCCGGGGATTAACTTTGTGTTATATTAACGGGATTAAAGTTGGCCCCCAAGACCCTCCGCCGACTCGGTTAATCCCGCGGAAACACCATGCGCAGGGTGTGCGGCGGCAGATTGACGACATATACGCCGGCAGTTGTCTCAGTATACAGGCGTACATGTGTACACTGCCAATAATTAGCGAATTCGACACAACAAAGCTGTGTTGCTATTGCTTACTAATTTATGTGATATCAACGACACACATTTATTGTAATACATAACAGCACCGATATATTCCAGGTCTATTTTTTTAATAATTTTCCAACGCTCTCTGATACCATAGTACGAACTCCGAATTCGCATTTTTTAATATTCATTAAGTTAATCAAATCATGAAATAAAGTTTGCAAAGTAAGGCTTGCAAAAAATTTACAAACTATACAATTCAAGGGTCATATGTACATACCGGATTATTGTTATTTAAAGGTCAAACTGTATACAATCGAGAGTGCAGCTATTCCGTCTTCAGTCTGCTAGACAGACTTTTTAAGAACGGAAAAAGTGCATTCAGTTGTTTTTTCATCATGGAGGAAGGCGTACAACATCTCAATGATCCAATACGAATCTTGATCCAAAACTTTTGTCCCATGTCAGTGATCGGCTGAACGAAGTTGTCATTTCAATTATTCCTTAGTTAAACAGGATGTGTACGACACCAACAGAGTATACAAATGCATCGCGTCCACTTTGAATCCACCCTCCACGCTTCATTGTGCGCGTGTGTTTGTATTGTATGCGACAGCGCAAATTGCGTCCACAAAGAGATCTACAGGCATAATCTGTGCTGAGCCACTGTGCTACACTGGCCACTGTATTCCCTTAAGACAATGGCCCCATTAGGTCATCCAGCAGTGTAATCAGATTGGGCAAATGAGGGATATTGGAGGATTAAGTAACGTCTGATGAGCCAGCCCCAATTCCCTAATCATTTTTGGCACGGAAGTTGCGTGCGTGTCAAGCCCCGAACAGTTTTCGGTGGTTGTTGTGTAGTATTTCGCGCGCCGGCACAGTAAAGAACTGACGCATCTCTCGGCCCGGGAAGTATTATTGCTGGGGTAGCGTTGAAAGGAACCGATGTTCCGTTTACAAAATACCGACCGACACAAGAAAATGGCTGCAAGATCATAAAGAAGCTGTTTTATACACTTACTACAAAATATATGTTTAGGTAAGCACGGTCAGTCTTTTTGTTATGAAAAGACTTGCATCGATGCACACCGTTAAAGTAGTAAAAGTTTGTTTTTGATAGCCCAACAAACGTGGTGGTTTCGCGATATACACATATTCCAGCATGTATTCGCGATCGTATACCTACCAAGAGGTAAGATCTGGACCAGTTAGAACATGATCCTCGTGCATCATGCATTTTCGGCGCAAATAAATACATGTCAAAGTAAACAAATAACTAGACAGCATTATTCTGAGTGAAAGTTTACAAAACAAGCCTGCATCCGAACAACATTAACACACCTACGTACGTTATCTAAAGCAGTAAGATGATCTACGATCTCGTAGATCCCGTACTGCGGCCACTAAGTAACATAATGGAAGAGAAGAGATTTTACCAGGTACTGACTTGGCGATTTTCTCACAAGTGTCAGTCCTGAGAAAATAGTTCTTAACACGCATTAGCATATCTGCATTCTGCAACCGGTATACAGTACTCGTACAACAATAATTTATACTATAATATAGATATGAGTACAAAGTATGTACTGTATCTGGACGAGACTGTTCGGATATGAATACGTAGATATTCTGAAAAAAAAAGTTGTTTCCTTTAAAACAAAATAAAAAATGCTCGTACAGATACAGTATTTTCCTGCTTACAGAGCAAGGGCACAACGCAAAAAACAGTTGTATTTTTTATTTATTTTCTATCAAGCTTGTATTGTCTTTATCGCTTTAGGAGGTTAAATGCGTTGGGGGCAATGCGAACAGGTGAAGTTTAATTACGGTCAGTAGTTTCAGATTTGTGCTGGTGGTGAGTATGGGAATAAATTTGTGTGCAGTGCTTGTAATTGTATTGTACAAACTTGGCAGTATTCAAATTTCAAAATATCTATAATTATATACAAACCACTGTTTTAGTTTTATCGGAAACAAATTTCTCAAGGTAATGCTTATTATTGATCACAGACGCTCTTTGTCCTATTTGTGAATAACTGGGGTATAACGTTCCATATTTGCAAGGTCTTTAAGGTTAAATAAGAAAAAGCGGAATACATGCCCTGTAGCTGTTAATAATAAAGGGACACAGCACACAATGCAGAGTAGTATTAAAGCATTGAGAGCATTAACAAAATGCATTTGTAGATGAATGCTACGTACCGCAATACTGTTGCTGACGGTTTGTTGTTGTTTTAAAGCTAACACCGTTCGCGATGCTCATCTCATGCTTTATTACACAGGCAGTTGTTCAATTGTTGTTCTAATGCTCTTAACTGCAAAATTTCAATATTTAAGAAAATTACTTTTATCATAATTATGCCGACTCAAACGACAGCGCTTTTCTACTGAGGATTTAATACAGGTTTATCAATGAGTTTGAATGATTTGTGGTAGGACTGTCTATCCTCACTTATCAGTACAACCATAATATGGTGTACGAGTAGTTCTTTGCCTCATATTTCTGCATATCGCAAGTCTCGGTGTAGTAACTGGTGACCTCTGTCAGCACAACGGAAATGATTGCCAGGTATTACTCAACGTAGGTGGGTCTTTGATTAATTTGAACCGTTCTTCAATCTACAAACCATGCGATATCATAAAAACATGTAATAAAAAAGAATGAAATTCAGTTTTCAACTTCGAATTGCAATTTATAATCGGGCTCTTTGCAGGTATCTGTTTCGGTGCGCATATGGACCCATAAAAAATCGAACACATTTCTTGAGCGCTAGATTTTTTGCAGCGTCAACGTCGCTTCCAAAATGCCAAAATGGTACAGAACCTATTAAAGACTAATTTATAAAATGTAATAATAATATGATAATTTGCTTTACCGAGTCAAGTATGATTTTATTTAAAAATTACGAGTAGGTTTATAATTATAAACCTACTCGTAATTTTTAAATAAAATCATACATACTTGACTCGGTAAAGCGGAACATAATTATTATGTTCCGCGATACAACCATCTGCGGTTTGGAACATTTACATAACTCTCAATTCTGTTTTCTAAATTCTTTCCAAAAATTTTTGTCAGAAAGCGCATTGGTGCTATTGTACTGTTGTGCAGTGTATGTGCCCTTTAATTTCGGCTGAGGATGTGCCCCTCTTTCTTCCAGTTTTTTCCACCCGAATCTTCTCGCATGAGCAATCTGCAATCCCATACTGTACAAATATGAAATACACCACCAGATTTTGGCAACTTTTGAAACAGTAAAAATGTGATGTGTTGGTATAAATTCAACGTGGTAATGGTACTTCGTTTTGAGCACCATTAACTGGCATCGTAAACCGAACTAAACGCTTTTTTAATTTACTTAATTTTGTTTTGCTAATTATTTCGAATTTCCATGAACGATTAAGGGCTTTTTCAGTTTAAATTTCAGCGCACAAATGCGAAGTTGCAGCCACCCGGGCAGCCGCCTGTGAATACAAACACTGATAAAAGAAAGTTATCGATTATGCATTACGCAGTATGTAGTCGGTCTGGCTTGTATACGAGTACGGCGAGTGCAATGCTATGTTATTGTGCAGCAGTGGCGTTTTAAGCAATTTTATTGCTGATTTTACTGGCATTGCACCATTTGTGGACCCTCCGGTTGTCGAGCGACAACGTAACAGAAGCATGCGTGCGGTGGCCCATGCCACAGGCTGTTTTAACGTAAATCTTTGAAAATTCATAACTTTGTTCATTCCTCCATTAAATTTTTATGCATAGTCTTGAAAAATGCAGAATAATACACAGTATCAGGCAAAAGAAATGCTTTTTAATTTTTCTTTCAGGATTGTGCGCTGTTAGCCTGCGCGGCTAGCATAGCCGCCTATGAAGGATTTCCCATAGGCGGCTATGTTAACCGCAGGGGCTCATACTGCATTACCCTAAAGAAGAAACAGAAAACATTTATTTTGCCTAATACTGTGTATTATTCTGCATTTTTTAAGACTATACATAAAAATTTAATGCAGGAGTGAACAAAGTTATGAATTTTCAAAGATTTACGTTAAAACAGCCTGTGGCATGGGCCACCGCACGCATGCTTCTGTTACGTTGTCGCTCGACAACCGGAGGGTCCACAAATGGTGCAATGCCAGTAAAATCAGCAATAAAATTGCTTAAAACGCCACTGCTGCACAATAACATAGCATTGCACTCGCCGTACTCGTATACAAGCCAGACCGACTACATACTGCGTAATGCATAATCGATAACTTTCTTTTATCAGTGTTTGTATTCACAGGCGGCTGCCCGGGTGGCTGCAACTTCGCATTTGTGCGCTGAAATTTAAACTGAAAAAGCCCTTAATCGTTCATGGAAATTCGAAATAATTAGCAAAACAAAATTAAGTAAATTAAAAAAGCGTTTAGTTCGGTTTACGATGCCAGTTAATGGTGCTCAAAACGAAGTACCATTACCACGTTGAATTTATACCAACACATCACATTTTTACTGTTTCAAAAGTTGCCAAAATCTGGTGGTGTATTTCATATTTGTACAGTATGGGATTGCAGATTGCTCATGCGAGAAGATTCGGGTGGAAAAAAACTGGAAGAAAGAGGGGCACATCCTCAGCCGAAATTAAAGGGCACATACACTGCACAACAGTACAATAGCACCAATGCGCTTTCTGACAAAAATTTTTGGAAAGAATTTAGAAAACAGAATTGAGAGTTATGTAAATGTTCCAAACCGCAGATGGTTGTATCGCGGAACATAATAATTATGTTCCGCTTTACCGAGTCAAGTATGTATGATTTTATTTAAAAATTACGAGTAGGTTTATAATTATAAACCTACTCGTAATTTTTAAATAAAATCATACATACTTGACTCGGTAAAGCGGAACATAATTATTATGTTCCGCGATACAACCATCTGCGGTTTGGAACATTTACATAACTCTCAATTCTGTTTTCTAAATTCTTTCCAAAAATTTTTGTCAGAAAGCGCATTGGTGCTATTGTACTGTTGTGCAGTGTATGTGCCCTTTAATTTCGGCTGAGGATGTGCCCCTCTTTCTTCCAGTTTTTTTCCACCCGAATCTTCTCGCATGAGCAATCTGCAATCCCATACTGTACAAATATGAAATACACCACCAGATTTTGGCAACTTTTGAAACAGTAAAAATGTGATGTGTTGGTATAAATTCAACGTGGTAATGGTACTTCGTTTTGAGCACCATTAACTGGCATCGTAAACCGAACTAAACGCTTTTTTAATTTACTTAATTTTGTTTTGCTAATTATTTCGAATTTCCATGAACGATTAAGGGCTTTTTCAGTTTAAATTTCAGCGCACAAATGCGAAGTTGCAGCCACCCGGGCAGCCGCCTGTGAATACAAACACTGATAAAAGAAAGTTATCGATTATGCATTACGCAGTATGTAGTCGGTCTGGCTTGTATACGAGTACGGCGAGTGCAATGCTATGTTATTGTGCAGCAGTGGCGTTTTAAGCAATTTTATTGCTGATTTTACTGGCATTGCACCATTTGTGGACCCTCCGGTTGTCGAGCGACAACGTAACAGAAGCACGCGTGCGGTGGCCCATGCCACAGGCTGTTTTAACGTAAATCTTTGAAAATTCATAACTTTGTTCATTCCTCCATTAAATTTTTATGCATAGTCTTGAAAAATGCAGAATAATACACAGTATCAGGCAAAAGAAATGCTTTTTTAATTTTTCTTTCAGGATTGTGCGCTGTTAGCCTGCGCGGCTAGCATAGCCGCCTATGAAGGATTTCCCATAGGCGGCTATGTTAACCGCAGGGGCTCATACTGCATTACCCTAAAGAAGAAACAGAAAACATTTATTTTGCCTAATACTGTGTATTATTCTGCATTTTTTAAGACTATACATAAAAATTTAATGCAGGAGTGAACAAAGTTATGAATTTTCAAAGATTTACGTTAAAACAGCCTGTGGCATGGGCCACCGCACGCGTGCTTCTGTTACGTTGTCGCTCGACAACCGGAGGGTCCACAAATGGTGCAATGCCAGTAAAATCAGCAATAAAATTGCTTAAAACGCCACTGCTGCACAATAACATAGCATTGCACTCGTACGGCATTCGTTAGGCCCAGCCTCCAGTGCAAACTGCAAACATTTGCCTCGCCTTTGCCAACTGGTTTTTAATTTTGATTTTCTTCCAATCGAGGGGTTGCAGTAAACTTACTCATCTCACTCGAAGCAATCCATTTCCAGACTCCGGCAGTAACTTTATTTTCTACCTTTCACAGTAGAACGAGTCGTTTAGTTTAGTGTACATTCTGTGCCGTGCTTCCACAATTTCCGCTGCAAGCCCATAACCAGTTACAGTACAGAAGATGGCGTCCATTGCAGAAGCTATGTTCGGCAAATCCGCGCCTTCCAACGAGAAGATCAAGAAGTTGGAGCAGTTCCGGGAAAAGACCGATGAAAAGGGACAGAAAACCATCCTTACCACCAACCAGGGTATGCAAATTATGGCTTTTGTCGATAAAATATTATTATTAGGCTGAGTTTACGAAGTATCAGTGCCGAGAGGAATTGTCCCAATTTTGTAACCTCCCAGATTGTTGCTCCATGCAGCCACAGCAGCACAGCTGTTTTGGCTTTATCTTTGTTTTCATGACCTTGAACTTTACTGTGGCATTATTGTAAATATTACCTGTAGTGATTTTTATCTGAATACAAAACTACTGCAAGTTGTAAAATATAATTAAATCGGTATAAATCTGCTTTTTGCCTGGTAAATTGTTATTTTTACTTTTTTAAATTAATATCTGTTTCACATATATATGGTTTTAAATTTTATTATTACACTTTTGTGAAATATTATCTGTCTTTTGTTTCTATCTAAATAGTACAGCTGTAGTGAAAATCGAATTGTCTGTATATATTTGTCTTTTTACCATAAAATTTCTGTTTTTATTTGTTAAATTATTTTTTGCCTTTTATTTTTGGTATTTTTTATTTTATTGTATTTAAAATGCAGGTGTTCCCATTTCTGACAACCAGAACTCCCTCCATGCCGGCCCCCGTGGACCGACCCTCCTGGAGGACTTCATCATGCGCGAGAAGATCACCCACTTCGATCACGAGCGCATTCCCGAGCGCGTGGTGCATGCCCGCGGTGCCGGTGCCCATGGCTACTTCGAAGTCTTCAAGCCGTTAACCCATCTGACCAAGGCGAAATTCCTGCAGGATCCCAGCGTGCAGACGCCGGTGTTTGTGCGCTTCTCCACCGTGGGCGGCAGCAAGGGCTCCATGGATACACCCCGGGATGTCCGCGGCTTTGCCACCAAATTCTACACCGAAGAGGGCAATTTCGATCTGGTGGGCAACAATTTCCCCGTCTTCTTCGTGCAGGACGCCATGAAGTTCCCGGATTTTGTGCACGCGGTCAAGGTGAGTGGTTTGACCTTGAGGATGTGGCTAACTGGGGAGTTCCCCGGACTACGACGTGTATTATGGCAGCGGAGAGAGTATGTGCGGTGTATGTGAATGATGAGCCGCTGATGAGTGTGCCGGTAATGCATACCGGTGCAGCCGGTGTTTATCTTGGTTAAGGATGTAAAATTGCTGGAAGGAATGTAATCATGTCGTCTGTCTACTTTCTGCAAACTTTAATCATAAATCATTAGTGACTACTGACTGCAGAATTCTTGCCGGTTCGGTAATTTAACTTTCTTTCGAAGTTTAGAAATGGATTCATCACCGTTGCATTGCTCGTAAATATGAGATGATGGTTTCAAAAATTGACATTGAAGAAAGCGATTAGTGCAGTATTCTAACTGTCTGTTGTTGATGGGATACTACTATTGCTGCTGTTACAGTACTGTGTAGTGTGTACATAGTTAACTCGCTACTGACACTTGGTAATTTTGCACTCATAAAACTTAAATTTGCTCCTGGAATAACAAAACGAAAAAATGTAGTCTTACCATTTTGCAGTACGCCGGCTGTTGAGTTAAATTACCGTATCGATATCTTTAATTTTATTTTGGCACATTTAATGAAGTATGAAATCGCTACTGTTTTTGGACATTTCGAAGTAGATTGGATCTGTTCGCTTTATTGGCTGATTTATTTTGTTCGTAATTTGACAAATTCAGGTATTAGTAGTGCATTTATTGTTGCTGTATAGTAGCATTTCGTAATATTGCTTTACGTTTGAATGAAATAAACAGCTTTGTGCTGAATGTAATTTGGTCTGCATTTAATAAAGCTTATGTGAGAGAAACAAGATAGATGAGTATGTGAAAGATATTTAAAGTTATTGTGCAGTACAGACTACAGAGAGATGTGGCAGTGAGAGTGATATGTGACTGGTGCCAAAAACTAACATTCTCGTTTCATCGATAGCCGGAGCCTCACTGGGAAATTCCCCAAGCTGCTTCCGCCCATGATAATCTGTGGGATTTTGTCACCCAGCAAACGGAAACTTTGCATACCATCATGTAGGATATGTTGAACCTTGTTATAAACTGGATATTGAATTTATAAGATGGGAAAATCACATACCTATCCGTACTTTGATTTATCTTTTTTGTTTCGTATTGGATTGCAGGTGGCTGATGTCCGATCGCGGTATTCCTCGCTCGTACTCTACCATGGAAGGATTTGGTGTGCACACTTTCCGTTTGGTTAACGAGGAAGGCGTTTCCCGTTTTGTCAAATTCCACTGGAAGCCAGTGTTGGGTGTGCACTCACTGGTATGGGATGAGGCCACCAAAATCACCGGTGCCGATCCGGATTTCAACCGCCGGGAATTGTGGGAAAGCATCGAAGCAGGACACTATCCTGAATGGGAATTGGGCATCCAGGTACGGTTTCAGTAAATTTTTCGCCTTGTTTCTGGCTTTCGGCAATTGTAAATATGTTTTGTCGATTAGTTCATTTCTGAATATCCTTCGCTGTTGTAAAATTTACACTTATTTAACAAGTTTTCAGCAGTTAGTTAGGCAGGGCCGCAAGGTTAATAAATTATTGTTGGAACAAGAAACTTTTGTGTGTTGAACGTAGCATCTAAGGTTACTGATTATTTTTCAGAATTTCTTTGCTGTTTATTGTAGGTTGTTGAAGAAGCTGATGAGCGCAAATTCGACTTTGACTTGTTGGATCCTACAAAGCTTATTCCAGAAGAGTTGGTCCCAGTGCAACGTGTCGGACGCATGGTTTTGAATCGCAATCCGGATAATTTCTTCTGCGAGACTGAGCAGGTTGCTTTCTGCGTCTCTCATATTGTGCCGGGAATTGATTTCACCAATGATTTGCTGATGCAAGGTATGTCGAAGATCAAAATTTAATGTTGTGCCAGTCTGTGACAATAAACCTTTTCCGAAAATTTTTCCGAAAATTATTGTGGATTCCGAATACATACGTATTTCTTCGAAGTAAAGTACTATGACAGTTTCTGATTTTGACTTCTGAGAAGCTAGCATCACGTTACCAACATGCTTTGGTAGCGTCTGAAGCGGTTTGAACTGGTCTCGTGCACGGCATAGATAACCGGTTTGTCGTGTTTGTTGTCTAGGTCGTCTGTTTTCTTATCTGGATACACAAATCAGCCGTCTGGGTGGTGCGAATTTCCACGAAATTCCCATCAATCGCCCCATTTGCCCATTTAAACACAACAACCAGCGCGATGGAATGCACCGTCAGACCATTCATGTTGGAAAAACTAATTACGATAAAAACGGATTGAATAAAGGATTGCCGCGAGAAGTAAGACATTCGGCACTTTTCATGTATTCTGTATTTTTGCTTTCTCAATAAGCGCTAGATTTGAACTTTGAACTTTACATAACGAGGAAATATAAGGCTAAACGAAGGTTTTTCTGCTTGCCGGTGGTTGAAAATTTGGGCGGTAGGTTTAAGTGACTTTGTTTTGTACGTACCTAATAATAAAATATGACACCGGATTGATGCATTTTATTCTGCATTCAGTACTTTGAAATGATATTTTCAGTCCGTAGTTATGCAGCTAGATCTTCGTTTGATACTTAACTTACGAAATATGCAGGTGTGTTGTAGTACTGTAATGAGTACAAAACTTTTTCTTCAGTGTCGTGCTCATTCTAGTTCCAGTAATACAGATATGTCGAATGTCGATAGTAAAAGCCGTGGGTGCCATTTGTCTTGGATATTGGCAATAGAAAGTTGGAATAAATTTATCGTGACACGCTATTGTTTTACTAGGGTGGACCAGGTGTTGGCTTCTCAAGCTACGCCCAGCGTATGGATGGCGCGAAGATTCGTCAGCGTAGCGAATCTTTCGCTGACCACTTCTCACAGGCTACCATGTTCTGGAAGAGCATGTCCCCACCGGAACAGGATCACATTGTCGAAGCTTTCTCCTTCGAACTCGCCAAAGTTCGGGAGGATATTCGGGAAGGTGTGGTGGCCATTTTGCAGTGCGTGGACGCCGTGCTGGCGCAGCGCGTGGCTACCAATTTGGGCATTACGCAGTTGCCGCCCAAATACCGCCCGGATTATCCCAAAGCGGTGGCTGCATCACCCGCTCTCAGCCAGCTGAATCAGCCCACTAGTTTCAAGAGCCGTCAGGTGGCTATCTTGGCTGCTGATGGTGTAGATGGCACGACCGTGCTGGCCATCAAGGCGGCAGTGGCAGGTAAAATTGGACGAGGAATTTCGATTAATTTTTCCACCATAGTTATTTTAGTTGTGAATTTCTGATTTTGAAAGATTATTTCCTGAATGCTTTGCGCGTGTTTAGAAGCCTAAAAAAATACAGCCTGACTGTTTTTCAGCTGCTGGAGGAGTGGCCAAGGTTATTGCGCCACATATGGGTAACCTGAATGGAACCAATGTTAAAGAGGCCATCAAAGTGGACGCCACGATTACCGGCTCGCCGTCGGTGCTGTTTGATGCGGTGTACATTCCAGGCGGTGCCGGCAGCATTCAGACGCTGCTGGCTTGCGGAAAGGCTGTGCACTATGTGACGCAGGCCTTTGTCCACTACAAGCCGATCGGTGCATCGGGAGACGCCATTAACTTCTTGAATCAGATTGGCGTCGTCAAAACCGGCCAGGAAGTCCCGGTTGGTGTCATCATCGAAAACGGGCAGACAGTCACCGAGCCGGTGGTCGGCCAGTTTATCCAGGCTGTTGCACAGCATCGTTTCTACAACCGTAAAGGAACCGAAAAGTTTGCTGTTTAAAATTCGTAAAATATGTTGCCGTTATTATGCTTGAATCAGTTTGATTAGTGGATTTCTTTTTTAAGGGGTTAATTATGCTGGTTTTGGCCTTTTCGATTAATTAATTGTTTGTTCTTTCTTCGGTGTTGTTGGTTACATGATAAATACCGCTTGTTTTAATTGCTTGGATTCTAATTTTGCGACGTATCTAATTGGGAAGATGTAAAATTAAAACATGTTGAACATTTAATCTTGGAAAGGGTCACGGCTGGTCGCACGACAAAAATGATCCTGGACGAATGCACAGCATAGACACTCCGCCAATAATATGGTGAATAAATAATATCTGATTAAACACAAAGAGCTGGAGATCAAAAATACCCGAAGCCCCACAGACCATAAGCTTGTTGTTTCTTCACAAATAACATGAGCCATTCGGGAAGACTGGTTGCATGAAAAGACAGATTTGAAGTGCACGGCGCACTAAACAGCAAACACCGTAAGATGTGTTTTCCTGCTTCTGCCATCTTTTGACGGTGACATTTGCCAATATGAGGCCGGAAGGCGTTCAGTGATGATAACTGTGCAGCTACTTTGTATTTCTTAAACTCTTCATGAGGACCCCCTCGGTGTCTCTTTGCTCCAGAAACTGTCCACTGCCCCAGTATTTCGAGTCTATCGGCGACGCCTTGTGTCGGGCGAGTGCAATGCTATGTTATTGTGCAGCAGTGGCGTTTTAAGCAATTTTATTGCTGATTTTACTGGCATTGCACCATTTGTGGACCCTCCGGTTGTCGAGCGACAACGTAACAAGCAGTGGTATGCCACAGGCTGTTTTAACGTAAATCTTTGAAAATTCATAACTTTGTTCATTCCTCCATTAAATTTTTATGCATAGTCTTGAAAAATGCAGAATAATACACAGTATCAGGCAAAAGAAATGCTTTTTAATTTTTCTTTCAGGATTGTGCGCTGTTAGCCTGCGCGGCTAGCATAGCCGCCTATGGAGGATTTCCCATAGGCGGCTATGTTAACCGCAGAGGCTCATACTGCATTACCCTAAAGAAGAAACAGAAAACATTTATTTTGCCTAATACTGTGTGTTATTCTGCATTTTTTAAGACTATACATAAAAATTTAATGCAGGAGTGAACAAAGTTATGAATTTTCAAAGATTTACGTTGAAACAGCCTGTGGCATGGGCCACCGCACGCGTGCTTCTGTTACGTTGTCGCTCGACAACCGGAGGGTCCACAAATGGTGCAATGCCAGTAAAATCAGCAATAAAATTGCTTAAAACGCCACTGCTGCACAATAACATAGTATTGCACTCGTCGGGCTTGTGGGAATGGGCTTTTAAATCTCGGTAGTAACCGCCTACAGACGGCAGCTCACGGAACGGCTGCTACACTGTTGTCCGGAGTCTGTCAGCGCGCTTCCATTGCTGCACAGCACTTGCAGTCTCGAGGATTTCGAAGTATGGGTTAGGTGAAATTTATTTATTTTATTAGTGAAAAACAGAAAATAAAATAGTTTTTAAAAGTTGTTTAGGTGATGGATTTACATTTAATTTCCAGACTCCAGGGTTAATATCGACATCTTAATCATAAGCGAATTGCAAATGGTGTCGTCTTGTGTCACCATTGAGTATCGAGGACCAGGTAAGCAAATAACACTCTAACTGAACTGTACCTGTTATCAAACTGTGCCTGTTTTCAGTGTTGTGATGAAATAAAATCTGACAATTACATATAAAAACTGAAAATTGACTAGTGAGTCTGCTGTCGAACTGCGGCTACCATTGGAATTTTTCGCTTGAAGTCCATGGCACTTAATACTTTTGTTCAGTGTGGTTTTCTAAATAGGAGAACTGGATGGAGCCGGGATTCCGTTGTTGGCATTTTTAGCGTCTAAGGCGAATTCCGTGCCGTCCGGAAAGCCGTTCTTTCTCAGCGATATACGCAGTTATTTGCAGCAGCAGCATGATACCAGCGTCCCGCAAGATTTCTGCTTCGCTACCAAAACCCTGTAAGACCACAAATTGTCATTGCATGTCTTTGTGAGTAACAAAGTATTGGGTGTACAGAGCGCGAGTTCGTAAAGAGGATGAACCACTTTTGTCCTGGTTGGATATTATCACCGATGACGGACGGATTTTCATATCGTGCAGTGATGGTAAGCCGCAGAATCCGCGTCACTGTACTGATTTCTGCATGTTTCATTCCCTTTCAGTAAATTAAGCTAGTAAAAAGTAGATTCATAATTTTATTGGGCGGGACCAAAAGCTAATTGATTTCGTTATTACTGCTTTGTCAACTGTTGTCAAAACCTATTCGCATTATTTTAATCTGTTTTTTTCGTTACTTCCGCTTTGTTGCAAACTTTTGTTTGGCCTGTTTTTTTTGGCTTTTCTCGAAATTTTGCTTGGATTGTTCCTGATTTTTTTCGCTGGTACTGCTTTGTTTTTCGAAAACTTGAATTATTCATCTCTGAGCTTTTTGGATAATATGCCGCTTGTTATGGAAATTGGTTGGGCTGTTTAATTCTGGTTTTTCTGGTTTGTTTTCGACTTGGAGTATTTACCTCTGAATGTTTTTCGGTAATGCTGCTTTATTGTCAAAATTTTGCTTGCGCTGTTTTTTTTACAAATTTCCCGTTTCTGATAACCTGGTGATGTTGGAAATTTTTTAGACTGGGACATATGCTTCATCCGTAACCAGAAGGCACAGACGTTAGGAGCTGTCAGTTTGATTCTGACGAAAAAGCTGAAATGCTTACGAAGCCTGTTAGAAACGGAGGTAAATGAATGTTTTTGTAATAACACACCCAGGGATTTTCGTACGCACATGGATATTCCAGATTCTGCCTAAGGGATTGCTGCTGATGCACTTCGTCCGGTCCAACGGTGCCCCTGTTCTTGCACAAGAAGAAGAGCATCTGTGTATTCTGAACATCATTAGCCGTTCCCGAATGATATCGGTTCACACTCAAAAAAGCCGCATTTTGTCGCCTGATCTGTCCACGACGTCTGAGGAAAAATCACCGAATTTGCAGTGCCACGATGTTGTTGATTATCAACCGGATTTACCAGGGACTTCGACTCACCGATCTCCTGTAAAATTACCGTGAGTACCAGAAAAAATACAATTTAATATCTGGAAATTAAGCTCTTGAGATGATTGGTGAATTTCGTTAAATAGATTCTGGCTATAGGAACTCCAAAAGTTTTGACATTTTTTACCAGCTATAATCTACAAAACAGCTTTTCGAACATTATTATTATTCTGCTACTGTATGATTAAAAGATGCCTGTAGCTTTTATTTAAATGCTGTTGTATTGTTGTCTTTTGTTCCACGAAGAGATGTACTTTTACCGAACGACTGAGTTTAACGCTGCTATTCTTTTTTTACACACAGGCAGTCCATTTTGCGACAGTGTTCTCAGTTTTCCTCCAATTCCGGCACCGAGCGCCGAAAGCATCGAGCGCCGTCGCTGAGTTTTAAGAGCATTCCGAATGATTCCCCACTTACTCATTCCGCTGCAGCGAAGAAATATCTTATCAGTTATGTATCGAAAGAAGCCAAACAAGTGGCTGTTAAACTGAAGAAGGCTTTGGAAAAGCACGAATGTACCGTATTTTTGGATGTTGATAACATTCCTGCCGGAGTCGACTGGCAGGACGCGCTGAATGAAGCGGTTAAACGCTGCGAAGTGTTTGTTCCGCTTGTGACCGATTCATATGGTAAGTTGATTACTTGTTTGCTGTACATGGACGAAATTAGGAATATGTTGTAGAATTCCCTTTTCAACAGCCAGAAAATTCTCTGTAAGTTTCAGGATAATTTAAAGCCTTGATAATTTTATTCCTAATAGGAGAAACAAAATGGACGAATCGGGAAGTGAAATTAGCGGATGTGATGCGCAAGATCATTGTTCCTGTCAGTATGATCCTTGATTGGCCGCCACCATCTTTGGCCATCCAGTTTGCTACTACACAATTTGTGAAGTGGCGTTCAGAGAGTAATTTCTTAAATACGAATACACGTCACTGCTGAGCATCTCATTAGTGCACTATTATTTTCGCAGACGATGGAGATCTTCCTGGTTCAACGCCACCGGAAGTCGAAGACGACCGAGTGCGCAGTGTGGCGCGGGAGGTAATTGCGGTTTATCGGGAAATGTCTGCACAGGTGGCTGCGGCCAAAGAGGTTGCAATGTGTGGATTCATGTCGCCCGTTTCCTTGCAAACTCCTCCGTCAGCGTTTATGTCGGCTCGAGCGTCTCGTGTATGTTCATGACTTCAAGCCGTGCATATGTCTTCTTGTTTTGTTTTCTTATTGATTAATTTTATTATGACCATTTGTATAAATATTTGGTTTCCTTTGCCTGTTAAAGTATGTGAGAATGATCTATGTTCTTGTGTAATTTTTTAGAGATCGACACTGAGAAGCTATCCGTATGATATTGGCAACGCGGGACGAAATCTGGAAACCGTGCGAGATGCAATGAAACCCAAAGAAGGACGACCATTGGTTGTCGTCATCGCTCATCCGCAAGAAAAATTATTTGTAAGTGCGTTTTACGAATGTTTTCTGTCGGTATGCTTGGAAAATGAAGTGCTTAGTCTACTTACTCTTCACTAATAATACGATTAATTTTAATCATTGGCTATGCAGATATAAGTTTATAAGAAAAAACTTTTATCGGTACAGAATTATCAGCTGAATAGATACAACCTATAAAAAATTTTAAGAACATGGTAAACAATCGAGCTTATTATATCCGAGCGTAAGCAAACAATAACTATGTCTTACCGCTTTTGCAATGCGCTGCCGCTACTGGCTTATTTGATACCGGGTGCTGTATTTGTTACGCGCTTCTGCTCATGAATAACAGCCGTAATTATTTGGAAATGTGAATTGGAAAGGTATCGATGACTTTAGGATTTTATCTTCTTTTACATACTATGCCCATTTTCTGGCTATTTTAGGTTGATGGCTTCCGCAGCAGTGTAGGAAGCGGTGTATACGACGTGTGGTCAACGACAGACGAAGTGCGGGTGTGGCAGGAAACACTGTCTCAGGAAAGCCGAACACCGGTGCAGGAGGAGCCTGCGCCTGTGTTGGCCCGATTATCTCATTTAAGTGCCAGTAGTGGAAGCAGTATTACGACTTGTTCGTCACTTGGAGATGAAACGTTATTTCGTGAGAAAGCCGATGAAGCAGGAACGGTGATTGTGATCCTCTCGAAGGCGTTTGCTGAAAGCAAGCAGTGTAAAAAATTTGTAAGTGAAATCAGTTTCACCACTTCACTATCTTTAGACAATGCAACGACAAATGTACTCGTACTACTGTACGAAAGCAAATGTTATTGTATTAATCATAGCGTGTGTAGCACTGATATCTTAGTAAAATGATAAAAGTGTCGTGTTGTAATTATGCCCGGAAAGCGAAAGATTGATTTTCGTCATTTGTTTGCATTGGTGGTCACGATTTACAGATGTATTACGTGGAGCACCGGAAGTGGTTAATTTTCTATAAGTTCGAAGCTTTTGAGATGCCAGGTTGGATGAACTTGATTGTCGGTTCCAGTCCAGTGGAAGTAAGTGCCGACATCTTGATCATGCAAGGTTGTGTATTTCTTGGAAACTCTTGCCATTTCCCCCTAGTACTGTCACGAAACCGACTTTGACGTCAAATTACAAAGAAAGCTCAATCGTGTATTGGTTGGCCAAGCGGAATGTCCCGAAAACGTGGCAGTGGAAATGGGCATCCAGATAAAAGTAGGATAATCTCTGTAAAATGTGTGTTTATAAAAACTGAACTAACCGTGTGGTATGCTCCGTTTGCAGTTGAATTTTCTGAAGGATCGCAATGTACCACGAGAGCGAACGGTGTATATTGCCGCGAGCGGCGGAGTGGTAACGGAAGCCTCATTGGCTCTCGCTCGGTAAGAATGCATTTGCATAAATGGAATGGATTTCTAATTTTATTGTTATTCCTGAAACGTTATGGAAATCTATTTAATGACGCAAGTCGATTAAGATACCTGACACCCCAGCAGAGCATTTTTGCATCTGGAGATTTCACCCAGGCGAGAAGTACAAACGGTTCCATAGTCAATGATAAACCGCGCAGTAGCAGAAAAAGTGTCCGACAACATCGACCTACAAAATTACAAAAATACACATTTTATGCATTACACCTGAATTTAGAAACCGCTTGGTAAATCAGGTGCAGTACGTACAGTTAACACAAGGATTTGTTTATTTTATTTCTTGATAGTTGATACTAATGTTTCACATCTTTTTAACTCGGCGAATAAAAATCAAAGAATATTTGTGTGGTAAAAAGAATTTAAAGTGTCGATGTGACTGAATGGAGTTAATTGTCATATTGATATATGTTGGATTGAGTAATGCAAACATCTAGCAGTATATTCGGTACTGTAGACTAGTTCTCGAGGTGTACGAATCAATAATTTAGTCGAGATAAATAACAGCGGCTATGCATTGGTATACATATTTAACCGGCTGTTTGTAGCGATATCGCCGCGGAACTGGCAAAAGTCCCTCGATTATGCATCGCCACGGGAGGAAACCGTGGTATCGAAGAAGAGTTGAGTTCGCATTTCCTCAGAATGCGCAAAAGCTGCAAAACCAGACTGAATGTTGATTGCGTATTCCACATTTTTCCTGTTCGTGATGACGTAAGGGATGAGATTGTTGCGCATTTTTACAAGTTTGTGTCATGAATTAAACCCACTCATGTTACGTTTATTCAGAACGATCCTACGCAGAATCTTCAGCGGCATACTCCACCCAGTGCGGCCGTAAACGGAGCGAAATTTCTTTTTGTTGGGAAAACGCAGCGTGATACCGCCACTATTGCCGGGCGATATTTCCGAATATGTATCTTGATTGATGGTACGGGCTCGCGTAAATTTTATTTTTGAAATTGAAAGGTTGGTGAGTCGCAGAGCAATGTTGGAGTTGTTACTGTTTGCAGGAGACAGCCATGCTGCTCATTTAGCTACAGAATCGAAATGGGAAGGAAACACCGTCCTGCCAGTTGTCAAAACCGGTGGGGCAGCTGGCGGCGATTATGATTTTCGTATGGAAAAGGTAAATCGACGCTTTTCCAGAAAATTCCGGTGTCTTTCATTTGTCACGCAAGCTTGCATCGCTGTTGTGATTGTTGTTACATGTAATTTTTACATTTTGCCTTACGAACGGTCAGTAACATTGCCTTATGAACAGGTTTTTAGTCGCATGAATAGTCGGTAATTTTATGTGTAAAAGAACAGAAAACTATTTGTGCAGCACAAAAGGATTTATTTTTGGGGTTTCGTCTTGACATGAACAATCCATAATTAGGCGCCAGCCGATGTTTCTGATGCTCACTGGCAGCTACTGCAATCCTTGGATGCATCGGATCGGGATCTTGCGATGACTATTCGATTAATTGTTAAGAAACTGTTTGGCGAGGGGCTGAAGAAAAAGGAAAGCAAAAGTGCACGAACTCCGCTGACCGGGGAGAAGATTCGCAAAGGTGCGCAGCTAAAAACACCGGTCTCACCGACGCCGTATGGCTTGCGCTCGGTAAAACGGACAGTGGCCGACTCATTGGAAAATGATCCGGCAGCCGAGTGCATCCTGGAAGAGGAGGAAGAAGGACCACTGAAAAAGTCGGCAGCCATGGATGCTTGAGTTAATGTTTTGTTTGCTGTTGTTGCAGCGTTTAGTATGATTTTGTACATATTGTTGATGCACGGAAATAATTTATTTTTGTTCTCATGTTTTTGTTGTTGCATGGTTGGATTTTTGTCTGACAGATCTGGATTTCTGTTCTGTATTAATTATTAGGCATCTTTTTATACTGCACGCTGCTTGTACTTCTGTGTGTATTTTTATATTGTAGAATTTGACGCCATCTTGTAATTTAAAATTAGCAATATGTGATTAGTACTTCTATTCGTACTGCGCACCGAGTGCGCAATTTAATAAAGCATGTACTCGTAGTCTCAGCTGTTTCGTGGGTGTGACCTTCACTTATTCACTTACATTTGCAAGCAGTTCAGCGAAACGAATCACTAGGGCAGTCGGCAGTGCTTGAAGAAGTATTGATATCGATATTGATTACCTTTAATGAAAAATTTCCAGAGTTCGATATGTCCACGGAAGTACTTACTTCCAGCCGACCTACGAAATACGTAGGCAGCATTAACGAACCACTTTCTCTACGTATCACGACGACCCTATGTCACAGGGCGCGTCATTGATTGCCAGCGGGTGCGGAGTTTTCAACTGATCAAAAATGTAACCGTGGATCAACACTAATAAAAATGTAGTTCAGTTGCGCGTACCTCGTAGGTTAACTGGAATGACGTGCAGATAAGTAACCACCCAAGCAAGACTGGAAAATTGTGGGATAAAAAGCCGTAAGGCGTTAAAGGTGACATGTCTGAGTGCCACCTGTTTATCGCCAAAACTGCTATATAACTCTCGGCAGGTGTCAGTCAGTATCGCCGTCTTCTTAAAGTGTAATTTTGATTTACTTTGTCCCGTGATCCTGATACACTAGTCTCACTAGTGGATTTAATTAAAGTGATAGTTAGTACCTTTGCACTTGTTGAATATTACTGAAACTTTATAGTATTCACTGAAATGGTTTCCCGCACAAATTTTGTCAAGCCGGTCCACGCTATCTCATGCTTTATTGTGTTACTATCTGTGCTCACCATAAGCCATGCAGCGCAGCTAAAAGGTCACGCGAACGGACTTGAACAGCTTACAGGTTCGTTCATAAAATTAATTAACTAATGTACACGGCCATAATTACTTCAATTTAAGCACTGAATTGCTAGCTTAAAACAATCATCAACGCTTATACACTCGTAACAACGTAATTCTGCATTCGATTTACAGAATTTAACTTTTGTCGTCTAAAATTGTCATTCAACTTACGCTCGTTACTTATAGTGGGCGTTTTAAAGTTAAACTAATGGTAAGATGATTATCATAGTGCAGAGTTAATAATGCATGTGTGGTATGAGCAAATCTGAATAAATCGTCAGTCAAAAAATGTCTTAAAATATTTTACCAGCCTTGGCTGCGACAGAGTAATACTGTAATAATTCAATTTAAATTATCGCAGTGGTTATTTTGATGCTTTAATATTATATGGATTTAATGAATTACAGCAGGCTTTAATCCGGTGAAGCGGTCTGTGGACATGACACCGGAGCCAAATTCTAATGAACTTTGCGGTACTCTGTGCTATCAGCGGACAATGTGCCTTATCGGCAACTGGAATTGGATTTCCCTGACCGGAGCCGGGCTGAGCCGATGCGGACGCGATGCTGATTTAGCTGGATGCGAATGTCCACCTTTGCCGTCAGTATCCGGCAGTCAGATGAAGTGGTGGTAAACAGTGTTTAATGTACCTTAGCGCCACCGGAAATGACACCCAATAGTCGACCGGAAGTTCCAATAAAATACGATTAACGCGTCTCTGATTGTCTTCGACTGACTCTTTCAAATGTCTGCTATGAAATGCAATTATTTTTACGCTGTGTGTACCGATTAATACCAGCCGAAAGCTCGTTGTCAGTGCACGTTTACACTACTTATACGAATAATGATAAGTGATAAGCATTACCAGTTACACAGTTTCTTTCCATAAGGTAATTACATATTCCATGATACACCAGCTTCCTCAGACAGCAACCAAATAATGATAGCAGCAATATCACAGAATTCATGTAATATGGGAGAAATTTCGTACACGTTTCTCGACGATATTTGCATTGCTTGTACAAATCTTTCAGATTTTTTTTCGTGACTTTTCCACGCCCATTGCACGATCTGCAATTCAAAAATACAACTTGTACACTACAACTGGAATTAACACTAGGTGGACCCCAATTAAATATATGCAAAGCTCCATTATTCGCATGAACTGCACAAAAAATCATTGCTTCAAAAATACTATGTCTTACTGTACACTGTATTTATATGCATGAATTAAAAAACAATGCACATCCTGCCCATTCACAATATGAAAACAACATAAACGTAAATAGTACTAAATACTGATATGTCCTTACACCACCACCTGTCACTCGCCCACTGAGGTCGTACCCGACTCCGCAGACAAATCATTCCATCCATCACTGCGTTCCTGCGTTAAGTGCGACATCACCGAGGGATGCGTCGGCAGCAGCATATTCAAACTGGACACCTGCTGTACCGGCGAACGCAGCTTATCATCCGACACCATCTCCATCAGCGATTGCTGCACGGCAAAGGGAAAATACGTGTGTAACTCATCGCTCCTCTGATACAACCCCTCTCCCGATTCTCGCGCATACAGGTCACGCTGGGATGATGCGTGAGCCGGCAGCCGGTCACGTGACACGGCGGCATGGTCCAACTGGTGTGCGGAATAACCGGTCACATCCGCCCGGGAGCGGCTGCCGGCGACATGCGTTTTCGATCCAGCATAGTCCGACTGAATGCGTGATGGTGACTGACGAACACTGGTCCTGGAGGGGGATGTACTGGGAAGATCTAGTTGAGACCGCGATGGAGCGACAGTCGTCTGAGAACGTGAAGGATTGACCTCAAATTTCGACGGGGATTGTCTCAAACTCGTCGCCGACACCGGCTGCGGCATCTGCAGTTGCGACTGCGCGCTCCGCTCGGTGGTGGAGCGGGTGACCTTTACGCGGGACGGTGTTGGCGCTAAAAGCGGTACCGCTGACGTTTTACCAAAAATGGCTGCCGTCGACGGGTTGGCGGTTGGCGCAAAGGACAGATCGGTGTTGGACCCGGTGTGCTGGGTGTCGGGTTCCGGAAGCTGGATGGACGGGACGTTGATGCGGGAGTGGGTCTTAGAGGGTGCCACATGGGCCAGCTCATGGTTGGCGTCCGACACGATATGCCGGATGATTTTTTGCGATTCCACAATCTCCTGGGGGAGTTCGCACATGGCCGTATGGCACTCGTCCATGTCCTCGAACTGGGTGTGAGCGCTACGCACGGAGCGCACTACCGGCTTTTCGGATGGACGAACGCGGGAGCGGGATTTTTTTGCCGGTTCTTCTACTTCTTCGTTATCCTGTGTGAGTCGGAGTGGTTGGGGAGCCCGGTAGGGCGGTGTCACCCGCCGGGCGGTTGGCCGGCCGTACGGATGAAGGCGGGTGGTGGAGCGAGTCTTCTTGCGCAGGCGGATTGTGAAGCGGCGCCGGCAGAAGGTAGTGGGGCGCCGGTGGTAGTTACTGATGGGAATGAAGGCTTCGCGACGGGTATCCGGTTCATATGCTACCCGTCGGAACCGCTCCGCCGGGCCCAGCACCACGTAGTTGCCGTGGTTTTGGAGGTCCGCAACGCGCCCCACTGGTTTACCGTCCAGGGTGCGAATGCTGAAACCCGTGGAAAAATAATTTATTATGTTGCTACTACGATATAGATGCACAGGGCTGATTAGAAATGAGTACATGAATGCCTAAATTTTAGAACAACTTTTGTTAAACAGATGGTGGTTTTATATTGACTGGTTCTTGCAATAATAACGGTCACGATTTTGACCAAAAAGTATTGTTAAAGTTTGCATAATAAAATTATTTTGTTTGTTTTGCATACTGTGCAGTCGTTGTTGTGCGCAGTTACATGCGTTTAGGGCAGAACCATAGATAGCAATCATAGCATAGATAGTTGTATAAGTACTCGACATTAATTGTAAGTAAACGGGAAAAGGCCACCTAACATAAGGAGTAATCATGCAATACAAAATCTGTTTTTAATTTTTCAATTTGCACCTACCTAAGCATACCTGTGCACGTAACCTCCTACTGGGCGCACCTTTTCTCCGATTGCGTCTTTGGCGCGAGTGATATTCCAAAGGTCATATCGCCGGAGGGTTACCTTGACTGGCAGTGTTACGTCATCGCCGTTTCGGTATATCCTAAACGCAAACGGCAATCTTGAATATAAAAACGGTTTTTGGTTTCATGCGACGCATCAGTGGAAAAAATAGAAAACAGTGTACAAAAAATTTTTCCAAATTTGCAGTGATAACCATTTACTGCACATCTACCACACAACTGCAGTAATGCAGTTCCGATTTTCGTAGTTTGATATTTATGGAAATGCGTACCAGCAGGCTACAAAATAATTAGGTATGCGATATAATATATTCCAGTAAGTAGAAACTTTAAGTACAGTTATTAACCTTGAGAAATGTGTATTTGCAAGTCATGAATAAAATAACTAAAAATAAGCATACCGTCAAGTTAACTGCAAAAGCAAGGTTACAGTCAAAACGAAGATACCACCACAGAAAGAATTTCGTTACGGTACTGTACGTTGTGATTAGCACTCGTGGAATGTGGCGATAGGGTGGCATCGCATGTCCGCTAAGATACACAGGAAGTGTCTGTAAATAATACCATATAATTAATTATTCACCAATACCGATTAATTATAAATTATGCATGCGAGATCTTAACGTACAATGAAATGCTGTAGGTCACGATTTCGTACTCGTAATTTTTTAATAAACAATGTTCGTGGATACAACACCGAAAGTTTTGTATTATACAAGCTCAACCTCGGCCTCCGGCCTCGGTTGAGAATTTTTAGAACTGAAGAAAGAAATGTGGTAGTTTTATAAAGATTTAGGAAACGGAATTTAACTGGTCGCAAAAGCGGTTTGTTTTGAATTATAAACGTACCGTTAATTATAACGGAAAGTGTTTACATATACTTCTATTTATGGAAGTGCCATCGATAAAACCGTCGTCTGCAAAGAAGGTTGAGCCAGATAACATATTAGCAAAAAATTTTAATAATAACATATCAGCCAAACACCTCATCCTCTGTCTGACCAAAAAATTCCTTTTTTTTGTAAGATCGGCGAAAATTCACCTCCGTCTAACCGCCGAAAATCCCATCCTCTCTGTCTAACCGGCGAAAATCCATGCCCCTGTGTTCTAACAGGCGAAAATCCCTGTACATACTTCTATCTGACCGGCGACAATCCCTGTAGTTGCATCAGACCGGCGAAATTCCCTGTAATTTTATGTGACCGCCGAAAATCCCTGTAGTTCTATCTGGCCGGCAAAAATCTCTGTATATCTATCTGACCGGCGAAAATCCCTGTACTTCTATCAGACCGGCGAAAATCCCTGTAATTTTATGTGACCGCCGAAAATCCCTGTAGTTCTATCTAACCGGCGAAAATCTCTGTACTTCTATCTGACCGGCGAAATCCCTGTACTTCCATCAGACCGGCGAAAATCCTTGTACTTCTATCTGGCCGGCAAAAATCTCTGTATATCTATCTGACCGGCGAAAATCCCTGTACTTCTATCAGACCGGCGAAAATCCCTGTACTTCTATCTGACCGGCAAAAATCCCTGTACTTCTATCTGACCGGCGAAAATCTCTGTACTTCTATCCGACCGGCGAAAATCCCTGTACTTCCATCAAACCGGCGAAATTCCCTGTAATTTTATGTGACCGCCGAAAATCCCTGTAGCTCTATCTGACCGGCGAAAATCTCTGTACTTCTATCTGACCGGCAAAAATTTCTGTACTGCTATCTGACCGGCAAAAATCCCTGTACTTCTATCTGGCCGGCGAAAATCCCTTCCCCTCTGTCTCACCGGCATGTATGTACCTTGCCCGTTTCAGTTATCCTTTTCTTTTTTCCGCCAATGAAATCAAAAATTCGTTTCGAACCCGTATCGTAACGTGAGAGGAAAAAACTGAAAAACGAACCCTTTGTGACAAACTACATGATTGTTTTAAGCATTATACAAAATTCTGCTTCGAAGTTGAACCAGAAGTTCCCTGTTAAATTACGCCTTTCCGCAATTTTTAAAAATTCCAAAATATTTTACAATTCAGCCGCGCGGAATTATGCGCATACTGGTACATATGGCCCATAAAGCATTGTACTACTTGTGTGTTTTTAGTCAGCGGTTCTGGTTCGATAACTTCCGCATCTCCGCCAATCCTATGTTAATTTCTAGCTAATGATCCGCCAATCAGCGAAATTCGTTTTGTTCCTCTTTCGTTATTCGGACAACGAAAAGATCGAAAAACGGAAGGCGTTGAGACAAACAAACTACTTGATTTTAGGCGTTTATTAAGCTATCGAGCGAAAATTACCGTCGAACGATGTAGGAGGAGATGTTGGATAAAAAAAAACGGCGAAGTAGCTTTGTATATATAATAATACCTTTCAGTTATACAAATAACCCATCGGAAAATAATCAACATAAATAACAATATCGGGATTTAATTAGTACTGCTACCTGTATAATGCGAATCTCTTTTTATTATTCTATTACTGCTTTTATGCTTTAGTATCATTAGAGTACGTGGTACTAGTATCAGATATATTATAGAATGTTCATGCAGACCGCACTGCTTTTAACCAGAAGTGACAGTACTTATGATATCGTTAAGCCATTTAAAAATTGCAACAACTGAACTCTTGACACAGATGCATACAACGAAACACTTAAATAAGCGCTAAAACAGCAACAGATTCGTGGAATGAAAAATTTAAGCAATCTATTTTGTTTTGCAAATTAGTTTTTCTTGTCGGATTATCGTTGCGCGGCCGCGGAAAAGTTATTTAAAGCTATTTATACGAAATTTAGATTTAAATCACTTAACAAGTAAGCATACGATGTAAAGTATATACAAGTGACGACCTTTTTCGATAAAAAAGAAAATTAACGAACCTATAGCTACCAACCTTTGGCACACCTTTGTTATATGTTTGGTCCACCTTGTTGACATTAACATGGTGATAAAATGGCTGCGCAGCCGGTGCATCGTCCTCATGCGGATAGCCATGTTGATGTTCCCTGACATTTTTATCATATCCGGCTACCACATAAATGCCGTTGTTTTTCAACTGATGCATACTGGCTACTTCCGTGCCACCCCGGGGCGTCAGCACCCGGCGTATGGCCCCAAACCGGGGCCGGATCCAATCGGACCAGTCCGCTAGCAGCCCATCCCAGGTGCGGACTCGTTTCGGATTTAACACATATTGTAGACCGGTGTGGTATTTATCCCCGTTTACGTAGAGGAATACGCGTTTCGAGGGCTCCAGCGGCTGGGCCAGGGCGCGCGAGACCACGCCCCGGAAATCCTGCGCACCGGGGTCATTTACGGCGGATTCCTCTTGTGGGTGGCCCGGATGGTGCTGATGGGTATGCGACAAATTATTATTAATGGATTCATCATACGACTGCGGCATTTATTATTCCACATACAAGGTAAAATTATCACAAAAATATAATTAAAAAATTTATATTAAAAAGTTGTCGGTACTTCAGCTCATTAGTACGTACTGCCTACACGGCCATTCTACCGTGCGCACTTCCACATGTGCAGCTTCTTAATGCCGCGCATCTCGAATTTTATGCGTTCGTGTTCCCTTATTACTCTCACTGTTTTGTGTCTTTGTTGTTAAGGAACAAAACTATTACCGATATGCACATTCGTACAACTGACAACATCGAACACCAGAAATTTTAATTTTTGCAAGTACTGTGCTTACTATGCTATATCTACACTGAATTTTTTCTGCTAGCGAGAAGTTAGATAATACTCGTATCTATACAATGAATAACAACTTTTCTCACATACGCACTGATCAGATGTATGAATTCTGTAGAGTTGAGAATCGTTTTTGAGTGAATTCTGACCAAACTTGGCTTAATTCAACATCGACAGCACAGATGGGCAACAAGACGTTTTTATCCGAAATATTCATTTTAATATTATCAAACATCTCTCGTAAGCTGTTTAGAGTAAGAAAAAATACTTCTTATTCGTTGTTAGTACTGCAATATCGCATACACAAAAGAAAACCCCAAAGTGACAAGAAGGGACAGCAAGAATATAAAAAGTTGTACGGGTACAAAGAATAAAATCAAAAATGTCCCGAAAGCAATAAAAAAAGAAAAACCACAACCCTTTCTGCTTGGAAGAAACACTACGAAGGAGGAACCAAAAAAAGAGATTCGCGCCACTGACAGAGAGCAGACTACTGAGACGAAGCGCCGAGAAGAGTATCAATTCCAAAATATAAAATCACACAAAAACCACCATCCACAGACAGCTCGCCAATAAAATCTCGAAAAGAAAATCTCTTCTAATTCTTGTTTTCACTTTTTTCATCTCACGCTACAACGGTCTCGGGCGCGGAATACCGCGTAGTAAGTAGATCTCATCAGTCCCGGAAAGAATTGGCTCGCGTGTGGACAAATGGCTGTCGATCAACGCCGGTACAGAGGGAAATTCTTCATCGCGCGCCCGGATGACCCCGTCATGATCCACTAATAAAATGTGATGTTTTCGACCCTGCTGCATGCCGCTCAAGGCGAACTGCTGATGGCTGTGTGGCAGCGGGGTCACTTGGCTTTTTGTGGCACGGACCAAGAAGTCACCGTCCTTCTGCAGGTAAATTTCCGCTTCGATTCGCGAGATTTGCCCATGGTACCATGAGTAATTTTCCAAAGAAGGCGGCAATAGCGCATCGAACGCTTGGCCCTCGAATGGATCTGCAATCAAAGAAAAACAGATACAACATATTTTTCTACGTCATTTTCATTTGTCCGTCCATATCGTTTTCCAATTTTAATCAGATAAAAATTGTAACGCTGTGTGTTTGTACCATACTTCTACCGAGTCATATTACTATAATATACTAGTACTAAAACAACTTTTGTAATCCTGTAACATGTTCATTCAACAAACAGTTTAAAAATCGATAATTAATACAAACTGTCTTGCAATTTATTCACTAATTATTTTTGGGGACATTTGCTGACCGACATTACTCATATCATCAGGCTTTATCATATCTACGCAAATGATCTGCGCATTCGCGTGCCACATTCCATCAACAGTTTACGTTCTTCTGAATCAGATATGCGCGTTCGACAACGGGTGTAACAAGCGTCAAAAGTGTGCCTGTTTAGATAGACATAACAGCGATAACCCCAACCAACGTAATCAGTTCTCTAACACTCCGCACGTCAGAAAAGGGTAGGCTAAGTTACTTCCTGTGTTCTGATTATGCAGCAGGCTTCAACAGCCCAAAAGAAAATTTGCAAAATTGCTCCACATTTTACGAATAAGAATATTACCCGATTACCCATATTCTCGAATTAACGAATTTCAGAATCGGTACGCTTAGGTCATCTTCAAAATTACTGAAAATTTTCTCAGGTAGGAACAGAATCACTCGGAGTATGTAGGTTCTTTGTTTAAGTAAGCTCGAGATTGATGACAAACCTCTATTTTCCATCGCCTGCTGTGCTGAATCAACGGGATCGAAGTCATGGATTAATTCAGCCTGCTTATTCTTATCATACCCCGGAGAATTCAAATCAATCAAGTTGGATTCTGGTCGGTTACTGGAAAGTAGCAACGGTTTAGGCTCGGTTCGGTGGCGCTGAACAGGCGGCGGAAGTCGCGGTGCCACAAAGCTCGGGACACTCATGCTCTTCAGTTCTGAAAGTAACAGAATGAGATCTGAATCAAAACAAAACATAAAAAATTAAAATTATTTACCTAAAACAATCACCAAATGAATCGATAAAACGTTGGCTGCCGCTGATCAATACGTTCAGGTTCAGTACAAGTTTTCACTAGTCTACAATTAGTTAATAAATACCCAGAACGAATGGCTTATGCATCCAGAATCGTGTTTAACGGCAAAATTTAAACAGTTTTTCTGTGCCTTCCAGATTAATTTTTATTCCCGATTTTATTATCTACTTGTACTATGCATCAATTTTCCCATTTAATTCACTTTTTCCTTTTTCAAACTAGACTAACTGTAAGAACTCGCATGTTTCCACGACGCACATTGCATAGTGCATAAATAAAACTAAATTTCAAAAAATCCTGATAAAAATTATTCTGAAAAAAATTCAGCACTGATAGCGACCATAACTATGCACGATTTCCCCTGTGCTAAAATACACAAGCGATGATCAGTCCGGTATTGACCGGAAGATGAATCACTTCAGCTGCTACCAATTTCCAGAGTAAATAGAACCCCACCCGGTCATTTTGAGCATTCCGGCATGTGCTTCGCAACAAAAGCCCAACAAGTTCTAGTGGATTACTGAACGATCATACAACGGTCTCCCTGGGTGTAGCAATTCTCTTGACACAATGCCAAAACGATTAACTACTAACCTGAAAACTACCGTCCGCTCAATCAATACAACTAGCAAGCACTTTTTAATACTACTACTTTGTAGTTGCATAATTTGCATTCAGTGTGTCAACGAAACAAAACTGATGGCGTTACTGTATAGTATTCCATTTGCTCGAACAATGCTAATGCAGTCAACAGATTTCAGGTATGCGGCCATTTGCTACATCAGCCTACATGGCAGAAAACCATGAAATCACAGTTTTAATTAATTTTCAGCATAATGGGTATTCAGATCCGTTTCTAATGCAGTAGCTAAATAATAAACTTTTACGGTTTGAACAATTTTAACCGATATTCTTAGCGACGTTTTTAATTTTTTTGGCCAAATTTTTCTGTTCTCTAATTTAACACTTAATTCTGGGGCCAAATTTGGAATTACCAGAGTCCGGTGCTTTCTTCCCCGGCATATCGTTGTAGTAGTCCGTATCCGCGCTTTCTTTCACGGGAACCGTTCTCAAAGATGCTGCAGACGCAATCGCAATGGGAGGCGACGCCAGCGGTTGCGGTGCAACGTTCCGCAGTGTTTTTTCCGAATTCCGCTGCTGTGTTGTCCGCGGTTCGGGAGCTGAATCAAGTGGGCTGGTCGTGCTCTTCTTCATGTACTGTTTGAATCGCAAGTCGAAGGCCTGTCCAATGGTAGCCACACACTCCTGCGATACACCGGTGCCGCATTCGATGACGTAACACCACCGACCCGGTAGTGAAGTGGCCCGCTCCGAGCTCTTACCCACATAGGCAATGAAGTCAATCGTGTCGGCATCGCCACCCGACGCGAAACTGATATCGGGCAGTTCATGGCTGCTAATGATTTTGTTGTCGTTTAAGCTAACGATCTGCAAAGGATTATTTGAACGTTATTATGTGTCAGTCAGATGGCAAACAAAGGCCGTTCATATAACTGCGATAACATGTTAACAACTCGACGTATTCGTCGATATCAATACGTCATATGTAAATCAACAGATAAGCGCCGTTGTTCCAACAGTAGAGTAGTCAGTGAATCAATCTTATAACTGGTAACAGTAGTCCTGCCTCAATAGCGTGAAATTCAATCGTCAATAAAAGTTCTCTTACTGGATTTCATTACGGTAGAGCTTTACGAAAAAAACGAAAGACTTCAAAGATCTTAAATTTCGATGTATCAAATGCTAAAGATAATTTTAGTTAAAACTGTAATGTTAAAATCTCTTGACACTCCTTGTACGACACAAAAAGCTCCGAAACCACTGAATAACTCTACCAGCCGGCGAAAAGAGGGTGTAGCTCAATGACTCATTAAGAGTGGGATTAACACCTGCTGTGAAGAAGCCCGTGAAACGCACAATCAGATCGACAACATCAATTATCGACAATAGACAAGATCTCAATTGTACGAAAGATCATCACTTCATTAATTTTTGAATTTAGCGAAATAATAATACAAAAAGCAACTCAAGCAAGCATATGCAAAATAACACCTTCCAACAGCTTATGTGTTCAATTTAAAAATAGCGGAGAATTGGCCTTCGTCAGAATATTAAGAAATAAGGTTTACAGATCAACTTTAATTTTAAAAAACCGGATTACAGAATCAAATTTAGTAAATCCAAAAACCATTTTTTAAGACGAAAAACGATAAAATAATTCACAGTTTTAAAACAGCGAAAGATTAACAGGAATAAAAATAGCTCACACTGCTTTAGTTCTGAAGTTTATACTGGGAAAAACCGTGAAAAAACTACCTGCATAGCTCCTGCTTTGTAATTTTATAGAGACTCTTCACTTTTCTAAACCAGAGTAATAATGCGGTAAATTTCCCAAAGACAAAACCATGGATGATGCAGCTGCGAAGTAGGAAAACGGACTCATTACCTCGACTCTGTCGACGCTCACACGCAGCGCCACATCCTCGCCCGCATGATCCAAATTCGGCAGTCCCAGCTCGCGGGATATTCGTTTCTCCACTTTCTGCTTCTTGGACGGTGTCTTCATGCCGGACGCATCACACACCCGGCTGATGCACTCCTTTGCCACCTGCGCGCGGTCGGCATAGGCCATGGAGCGCATGGATGTCAGAACCTCCATGCTGCCCACATAGCGCACATTGAACGCCACACCGCGCTGCACTTCCTCGGCGCTACGCGTCCACTGCTTCCCCGAGGACGCCTCCGCACCCAGCTCCAGCGAGGCCATGGAAGATACCGTATTCATGATGGAAATACGAAGGAAAATCGTAAAAAAAGAATAAAATTCAAAAATTCAAGTGGCAATGATAATAATATTTAGACTGCTGCCATCAGCATTTCACAACGGGTTTCGAAAGGTAAACGGACGACTGCACGCATTCGCTACAGTCGAATAACCAGGCTAATATTTTGAAACAGCAAGATGCAAGAAACATGAAGACAACAGACGAGATTCCAAAACATCCAATAATAACTTAAGATGACGAAACTTCCTGTCAGGCACACTACTTTGGAGGATGATTTCGGATAATAACGATTTTTATGCAGAACGCTGATTAAATTATCATTCAACAACAATTCCCGTTCAATAAGAATTATGTCAAGGAGAAAGGTAAATACAAAGCAAATAAAATAAAAAGGAAAAAAATCAAGTAAACACCCAAAAAAACCGAGGAAACCCGTCAAAACGGAAGGATGCAAAAGCAGCAGCTGGTGTGCCACAACAAATAAAACCTCATGAAGTCATGATATCCAAATTTCTGAAAATTTTCCATGATCGCGGAAAGAGGTTGGTGCATTGGTGATTAATCATGCTTCAGCCAATTGCACTAGCGCACATGCACCGGTGCGCAGATTGCGAAGTAGTGACCTTATGCGCGCAGAGTTTGTCCTTCAGGAGATGTAATATTGCAAAAGCACATACATTTGTTAATAATGATATTATTTATCGTAAGATTAAAACTATTTGCAGGGGTTAAGTACGAGTAATTAAAACGACATATCGGATTACGTATCCGAATTAGTTAAATTTGTGTCTATGACGATGGCAGTTAAGACTAAGAAATATCTAGCGTAAGACGCAACTTTTGTCTGCGAGAATTATCCGAGAATTATTAATTAGTTGTATGATGTATCCGTATTATAAGTATCGATTGCGACAAATCGCTTTGCAAAATTTTACGTCGCGATATGAGCAGAAAAAAAGAGAATATGCAAATATCTCAGACTGATTGCAAACACTTAATACTTCTGTCTATGCAAACAACTGCAAAAGTTGATTTACTTATGCTCACAAGGGAAGCACGAGAAAGGTTACCGCCGTGCATCGGACCGGTGTACTGCGGCATCTCTCGAAAATCTAGTGGATATCCATAGTTTAAAAGTTTTGGTAACTATTTCTTACATACTTACTTAAAATATTTTAAAGTAGACGGAGATATTTGGAACTTTGGAGTAAAGGTCATAACAAAGGGGGCACGTTAATTAACGTTGGACCAGTGCCGTTACGACTAATAAAAGATGTATCATATGAGGTGTTTAGCTTCATCAAACTAGACATTGTAATCAACCCGTATAATAAAAACGACGATCGCTTGAAAACCATGTTAACAAGCCTTACAACAAGAGTCGTTTAAAAAAATTGGCTAGAAATTTCTGTGCACTCCGAATAAAACTTACAACTTAACATTTAACAGAAAACCGGCCTAAAATTTACATTAAACATATCATAATACTATCAATATTGAAAAGAAGGTAACTGTGCCGATCTAGAAACAAACGTTTTTATAAGAGATCATGGCTAAAACGTTGGCCGGTAATGTGAAATTTTACCTTATTTCGCATTACAGTTTATTATCAAAGTAGGGATTTTTCATAACGCAAGACTGCGTGCAGAATCAGATGCGTCAAATAATTTTCCAAGGAGGGGCTCTCGAATTCGATGCTGAATGTGGCCTTTGCAGCTTGTCTGCATTGACGGTCCATATCAGCTGTGCAATAAAATGCGCATCTTTGATACAGTATTATTATTGACTCGAGATCCGCATCGCATGCAACTCTGACAAGTAAAATTCGCTATTTTTATCATGCGTATCATGTCCACACAATAGCAGTGGACGCACCTGTTTGTTTATCATATATGGGCGCACCTGCACCCCGTAGATAAAATAATCACTCACGCCATTTCAAGAAACTAGTTTAAAATACCGCATACGTAACGCTAATCACGGCATTATTTGATGATCTTATTGTTGGCATATGACGGTATAATAAATCCGTATGGTTTGTGGTATAATATTGTGATCGTGAAAAATAATACCGTATCGGTAAAGCAAAGGTCACCGACTTCTGAGATTTTGGTTATGATGTTCTTTCTTCCCATATATTTTGCGGGCGTATTGCTTGTTTCCGCGCTAAATGTTATAGCCATTATACCGTACAAGCTCGAGCCCATTTTCATCTCCAACATTTCTACACGATTTGCAAATGTTTATTAAAATCACTGGCAGATGTTGATTTCTGCAACACCGAATATAAATATTGTATAAATCTTTTTAAGCTTAATAAAAAATCGTGCAAACATTTCCTACGCTTTAGCCTACAAGAAAGTTTAAAAATGGGCATTTCAACTCAGTTCTTTCGAAAACCACGATTACGTATGCAGTGCTCAACGCTGGACTTTACAACATCCTGCATGTGCCCGTGACCGCTTCCATAAATTCAAAGGTCAGGTCAGTTTAGCTCGATACGCCGCTGTCTACTGTTGTTATTATACAACTGTGTACATTTCCTTGACTTAGACAGCAATGAACAAGTCTACCAATTCCATAGTTTTTTACACTCATTTACCGTAAAATACAGGAAGACGATTAAGTTTAATAAACTTTCGCAAGATTAGCGCTAATCGAGAGTTCAGTCTTATCTAGGCCGCTTCAATCACGCACTGTAATTCCGCTTGAAATTCCTTCTTTGCCGGAAACGGAAACGCAACCGCAATACCACACCAACCGATCCAAACAGAAGTAAATGTAAATTGCAATTACTAAACATCGAAGTCGAAGCTATGCTTTTGAATTTTCAGCCCAACGTTAGTTATGTAATTGTGCCTTGCAGAAATATCTTAACTTTATAACATTAAATAAACAATAAAAATTATGCGAAAGTATGCAAACCGCAAACCAATTTTATTATACCATATCTAAACAGTAAACACTAAAAATATTTTGTAAACGGTTATACCGCAACAAATTGCAATTTTATTACATTACAACATTTAAATACAAGCTTAAGGGAGAACTATCAATATCTTATGCTGAGAAAGTACGGTACACCTACACGCACCGTGACTCACCGCACATAAAACTTCAAATTTACCAGTATATTTGAAAATTTATCTTAATAAATTGAAAAATGTATATTTATAGTATATTTGAAAATTTATCTTAATTTATCTTAATTAATTTATCATTTGTCTTCAGGTGTAAGTTACGAGGTTCTAGCCTATAAAACATACATACTTTTTATTGGTATATCTGCAGATATTTCTGCATATTACATAGTTTCCACAATAGTGAAGCCGGAAGTATCTGTAGCTATAGGTAAGCACTTTCATCGCTATTTTGGGTCTTCACTGTAAAATGGTCCTGGCCTGGTAAACTGCAGTCTCGTATGTAACGGATTTGCCGCACTTTCATGCGTCTGTACAGATACTTGATTTAAAAATGCCTGGACATTTAGAACTGTGGCTGCAACATTCGCGCTCCTATCCGAATCTGTTACAATCGACCAGAATTCACTACGTTACAGAATTGATCGGTAAAAATTTGTACGATAAATTGATTCAGAAAACGTCAGTTTCAAGTGATATGGCTTCGGAGTGATCAGTAACAAATACGCGAACAATATGTATATGCAAAATTCCTGCTATTGCATATGTGCCTGTTTGCCGGGCGCAAGCGTGGGAATCTAGGGACTGAACATGTCCTGGTCTGTTTACTTTTGCAATCCTGGACGACTAAGTCATATGTACTATGGTATGAGTACTAGTATAGATTTGTCACATTACACCACCTAGTTTTGATTATCGATAACCATGAAATGCGGTCGTGCTAACGCACTTCAATTTTGTGTTTTTTTTATCGAAATTTTTGCAGTTCTTGTGGTCAGGTATGGTTTAGCGAAATAAACATACCATGCCTGGAAGTTTTGTGCATACTGAAAGATAACGCTTTAACTATCTAAACAATACTAATTAATAATTTATGTTTTTTCCTTAATTGTACAGAAAGACGTTTTATGATTGCTGAACGCATTACTTGTTTTTATGGTGGTCCATTATATATGCACAGCGCACTGAATCCTCTGCATTTGCAACGAGGATAAAATTGCTTTTGGGGTGTTTAAGCTTACATCCATTTCCATACTGTTAATACGTGAACGGATGTCTAATCTGGATTTACTGGGATCCTTAAGAAAACCGGCAAGCTCCGCCTTAATCGGGAGTAAAGCGGAGAATCAGAAATCGAAACCTTTAGCGAATGCGCCATAGCCAAACTGTTCACGGGTGTTGTTTACGCTTCCACTGCTATGCAGTGCGCACGTTATACAACACGATATATGTACGGTATATATGAATGCATATTCCGCGGTGCAGCAGTTGTGACTGAAATATCATTAAATTTTCATGGATTTATTTATCTATGGCGGGACTGATTTATTTCCTGTCTTGTCATGACGCGTCCATCAATGGGAATTGTTTAATAAAACATTTGAAGTTATCTAGTGCGCACTTCACCGATACGAAACCCACATTTATATTAGTGACCTTTATTACGGATTCACTCGCGTGAAAGTGATGCGCTTCCCGATGGGAACACGTTTTATTTGTGCTAATGGTGTTCGTAAATAAAATATTATTTAAAGGAGGAAACCGGTGTCGCCATAAGTGGATACTAATGTCGCTCAAGCAGTGCTCTGCAATCTTATGTTTTTGCTATGATGCAAAACAGCTGGATTAGATTTGGTGCAACCCTAACTGTACTGTGCATGCTAATTAAAGGTAAGAGTATTGTCGGTAATTGCAAGGATCGCGTAATTTACTATGTGAATGTATTATACGTTAGGAAACGCGGACAAAATCGGTCTTCTCGTGATTTTGTCAGTTATTTCGGTAGCAATCTCCGTTATTACTTTGACCTACAGATCCTTAATAGTAGTTTCTGTGGCTCGGAAAAACAAGTGTAACGCATGCTTGTAGGTAAGTAATCATTTTTACTTTTGCGCAAATTTTGTGAAAATGTATTAACGTTGAACATAATCTTGTTCCTTTTTTCAAAAAAATCAGTGTGGTAGAGGAAATACAATTATGCCATTACTTCAGCACATCTGATAATTATGCGCGTACAGAATAATAATAAAAATATAAGAAGATACCAAAGCACTTTATTTGCTTGCGTAAATTACGAGCAAGCAAATAAACTCGTACAGGCTTGAATTTGGTATTATTACTAACAATTAACAATAAGGCGAGTTTGTAATTATTTGTTCTTTGTTATACGGAATGTACTCATTCTTATTCAAGAATCTGAAAATCAATACAAAAAGATATGTGTATTAGCTGTTGCGGGTATTTCTCTGCGTTAATTCACGCTGATTGAAACCGTACACATCCTTACGAAATGCTAATTTCCTAATACTCGTAGCATCCTTGCACAGATGAATGGATTCTGGAGTGATACGGTCCATGCGTATTTACACTGTAATTAAGTTTCAGATCTGGGCGTACGGTGCTGAATTAGCTTCACAGAAAAAGCAGTTACGAGTCAGTTAGCATTCATAGAAAAGTTTATAAAGTACGAGATAGCATGCTAGAGCAAGTGCAACAATATATATAATTAATAAAGCTCTCGGTGTCGCATTGCCAGTCGATAATGCATTGCAAGATACTGTCTTTCGAATTAATTCATAATATTAATTTTAAAAAACAATGATAATTATTAAAGATAATCTTAATTTTGAGTTTAATTTAAATTTTTTGTAACTAAAAAGGTGAAAAAATATCGTAGTAATATTACAAAGCATCGCTTTGTTGAACGAATACATACCGAAGAGACCGAAAAATAAAATGATATTAACCTAATTTTATAACAAAAATTAAGGTGCTTTTCCTGGAATTGTTTTGAGTTTCTGGTTCGGAAGAGCACTATTGACTAATCTGTGGAGAACTAGCGCTATTACAAAATGTACACAAAATTGCATGTCGAAGGAAGGACGCTCGGGAGCGCGATGTACAGAGGAGAGCTTTAATAACATATTTTGAGTGGATATAAATGTTTAGCCAGGGCCACAGAGTATTTATCATAAAAGCCACTTGGGGCGCCGAACAACTCGGCCAAATTAAAAGTCGATTAGGAAGTTCTCACGCGGCGGGTGTGCGCCGACCGACCGGCAGCAGTCAGGCTAAAATAGATCTCTTCAAATAAATATTGCAACACAATTTACCATGTCACTCCCGGAAAACATACCTCGACATTTATTGTCAAAGAACATTTTCCCCTACACTATACAAAATATTTGTCAACCACTGTCTCTTCCCCGCTGTGCACAGCACTGGACAGGGAGAGAAAAGGAAATTGAAAGTAAAGAGCAAGATTGTTGCGATGCACAGGAATGACAATCTGCCGATTTATGACCGCAGCAGAAGAAATGATGAAGAAGCGTGAGGTCCATGATTATTTTTTGTCATATTGATTTCCTCTGTGGTATTGTTGCAGAATCTTTTGGTATTCCGCCAATGATTTCCGGTTTTGTCCGTGCCAAAGAGAACCAAACTGATGAGCAGCGATTGCTCTATACCCTACTGCGAGGATATGAGAAAAGTGTCCGGCCAGTTAGAAATGCCTCTACACCGATTAATGTCCGACTGGGAATAACATTAACTCATCTTTTCGATTTGGTACGTTATTCCTGATGTGACACTAATATTTCCTTAGCTATTCAGCAAAATGCATCAACATTCCTTACATATATAATTGTAATTATAAATGTGCAATTAAAGCTAGCTACCGGCATGCAAAATTAATATTATTTTGCATAAGGCCTTTTATAACAGATCCATAGTTTGCTCCAGATCTTTTTTATACAGTAAATGTGAAGAACTATTGCTTGTCAAAACCCTTTACAGGCACAAATTGACTTAACAGTAAATTTACCCAGACAATAAATACACTCCATTTTTTATGCATCAGGGAATACGTCAATTACTTTTGAGTTACGTGTTTTGGTTTAAGCACGAGGCACGAAGAAAGGCGTGGGTAAACTCTATCTTACGAATACTGTACTGTACTAACTTCAAATCGCAAGCCATGTCGTACAATGCATACTCTACAAACTACAATAAGTACTAAAACAGCCGAACATGACGTAGTTAAAATGCACAAAACAATAATCGATACTAGTAGTACTGTATTATCATATTGTAGGTTGTATTCTAAAGTAGGGACTTCTTTAACAGTATTAACTATATTTTATTTTGTGAACACATATTTAGATAGATCCGGCCGGTCCATTTGTGCCCGTTAAAGACTTAAAATGTTTTAGTAATGGGTTATTTATTCCGTTTATTAATGTGATATTAAGTACCTTATTTGATTTTTAACTTGGTGCGATTTCATGAAAATTTCTATTTAGTTATCTCGTTGCAAGCTCGTAAGGGCAACAAATCCAAGTTCAGGCTGTGATTATTGCGTACCTTCAACTGTAGCTTTCAAATTCTGATAGAAGTTAATAGATAATTTAATAATTAATGAATTTAATTATTCTGGCACTACGAGTAGTACTATAACACTAATTTCTATAAATGAAATGTGCCGGTATATGCCGATGATTCGCTGCTGGACCGTTTCAAATAAAAAAATACATTTTTTTAGGATGAGAAAAATCAGGTTTTAACAACAATGGTTTGGCTTGATCAAGAATGGATTGACGAATTGCTGATCTGGAATCCTGCCGAATACAACGGGTTAGCCGTTTTGAGGATACCGTGTGAACTTTTGTGGCTTCCAGACATCGTGCTGTATAACAAGTAAATTGCAATACAATACTAATGTGCAATGCGTAAATGTTTATATCGATCTGCATAAACGGCGCTTCATAAAAATACCGCCTGATCCCGGCTGCAAATTCTGTATAGTGTATTGTGCAATAGTACTGTAATACAATAAAATACGAGTGATGTTATTCCTTAGATCACGATGGTAAGTACAATACTATGCTAATCTGTACTGCCTTGTCCAGAATTGTTGTACATCAGTAAAGCCATATTCGTAAACAACTAATTAAATGAAATAAATTTCTCTTCATATTATCAGTTAATAAAGTTAAATCATAACGCATCTTTGTAAATATCTTAGTGAGAATTTAGGTTAGCAGGAAAAATCGAAATAATTTTACGTCAGTTAGACCTACTGGTAGATACTTTGTGTAGCTGCTGATTTCTTATCGCCCATGTTTTACTTGTGCAGCGCTGACGATTATACGAGCGGATACATGAAAAGCAAAGCGATGGTGCAAAGCGACGGGAATGTGTTTTGGCCGCCGCCCACCAAGCTGAGAAGCACTTGTCGTGTGAACATAACCTTCTTCCCTTTTGATACTCAACAATGCATTATGAAATTTGGCTCCTGGACATATAATGGATTTCAAGTAACCGTGACTAACCGCACTGCCGAAGTGGATTTGAAGAATTACGTCAAGAATGGCGAATGGGAACTATTACGTATTGAAGTGCAGCGCAATGAAGTCTTTTACAGCTGCTGTGTGGAGCCGTTTTTCGGTGAGTATACAAAGGTCAAAAGACAGTTTTTTCCATGACTGTTGTTGATCGATTTGTTCTCGTACTTTCTAAATAAGGGATCAAAACATACTTAAAGGTTTTCACAGGCCGTGCCATGCTTGTCTGTCAAATTACACACACAAACTTGCTAAGATGTTATTACATCAATGATTGTCACAGACGAAAGATGTGTGGTTTCGAAAACGCAAGAGTTAATCCGTGTACGCTTGAATATATCCTCAAAACTAATTTTGATAGCGCAGGTTATTTTTTTGGCGTTAACTGGATTGATAGCCATTATTAATCTATTTGTGTAAAATAATTTATGCCTGCGACGAAACATGCAATCTTATAAGTATTTCTTTTGCCGTAGCTAGTTACTTCCCTTAAGAAACTACTATACGATTAGTTTATGTCCAAATAAAAAGGTCACTCAAACCAAATCTTCGAGAGCACGCATCACCGACTTTCCAAAATAATTGCACAAAAATAACGCACGGCGGCCTTCACATTCATATTTGTTGCAGATGTTACCTTTTACATCACCATCAGGCGGAAAGTGCTTTATTACACGTACAATGTGATTTTTCCATGCATGATGATGTCGGCATTAACGCTTTTGGTATTCCTTCTCCCACCTGATAGCGGAGAAAAAATTGCCCTTGGTGTGACCGTACTCTTGGCGTTCTCTGTATTCATGCTTGCCATTGCGGAAAAATTGCCGGAAACGTCGGACTTTATTCCTTTGATAGGTTGGTGCCTTGGTACAATTCTTGGACTGCACTGTAGCTGCAAGCGAGAAATTAATTGACAATTTAACGCATTTCTGCACAACATTATAAAGACGTTCAGAAAGCAAAAATAATGCAAAGCTTGATTTTCTAATGGTAAGCTATTCGCCGTATTCGATTTGTTTCAAATACGGATATATAACATAGGCAGCCATAAGTCGGCTGTCCGTGATGATCTCAGCGAGGGAGGGCGGTCAGATGAAGATCCTGTCTGTTGAGGAAATTCCGAAAAATGGCGATGGAGCGGAATCGAACCGCTGGCTACCGAGTGAGATCCAAGTAGCACAGCCACTGTGCCATCGCCGCTGTTGGCGAAGATCAAGATATTTGTGCTTGAGCTTGAGCCAACCAGGTAGGCGGCGGATGGGCGGCTGCTGTGTGTAAAGAGGATTCTCCTCTTACAGATACAAAGATATTAGTCTCGAAATAGCGTGATACAATTTTCCATACACGCGTATGGTCGCAAAATTGGTAACTATATTTCTTTATTCGGTTTGTTCGATTTAGAGTCAGGATCTAGAGTACAAATCTAAATTATTAAATCGCAGCACACAATACTTTTTTATCAGTACATTCAATTTTATAAACAGTTTTAACTATTCAACATTGATTTTATAAACCGCTTCACTGTCAAGAACGTCATGATCAACGATAGCAGCAAATCATTACTTTCACTACGAAAACTTGGACCATTGCGCTTACGTATCGAAGCGTAGCTGCTCGATCGCAGTCACAAGCAGTGCAATACAAATACAAAGCAAATCGCTTGTCCCGATGCGTTGAATGCAATTTTGTGACAAATTATTTGGTGCATGTGCGAAAAAAACACTTTACTCGTTCGAGATGGTAATTTTATACAATTGTTCCAGGAATTTATCTAACGGTCGTGATGACAATGACATCCATATCCGTGATTATGACCGTGATTATCCTCAATTTTCATTTCCGCTCGCCGGAAAAATACACCGTGCCGCCGTGGGTGTGCGATGTGGTGCTGAATAAACTCGCCTACATCCTGTGCATTGAAACGGATTACAACAAGCGCTTGAGAAGCAAAGCCGCATCCCGCTGCATTACCCGTAGCCCATCACAGCGGTCTAGACAAACACAAATCCCGGATGCCGATGCCGACTACGCTGTAATCCCCAACAGCAACTCCATTCCGCTCAAGCCGCGCACTTCCCATGGTCAAGTGTCCGCGGCCGCGTATAAAGCCACCACCAGCGACCATACCAGCAGTCACTCACCGATTATCTCACCATACCTGCGCCAGTCCAGTAAACTCCGCCGGCAACTGTACGCGGCGACCAGTATAAATGCGGGTTCCCATTCCCCCTATGCCGCGGATGTTGAGAATCATGTTGCCGCCGGCAATCGCCGGCTCCACCGCATGACCTTGGATCCCCATCCGGCACCGCGGCGCTCAGCGCGCAGTGTCAGTAAGGACCGTCTGCAGGAGGAGGTTATACGGGCGTTGACGCTGCTGGTGGCGCGGCAGGAAGAAGACGAGACGCTACTGAGTATACGCAAACAATGGCGACAAGTTGCTCAAGTCTTGGACCGCCTACTTTTCTGGATATTTACCACGGGCACCGTGGTATCGACGTTTGTTCTGCTTGTTATAGTGCCGAAAACCGGTGATCTGGGAATCTATGATCCGGTTGAAGATCGGATTTAAATTGTAGTTGAAATGTTTATTATCTATGTATTTATGTAAAAGCAATGCTTTCGCATGATATTTAATTAGACACTTTTTTGTGGTTGTTATCTAACGTAAGTAAAGAACAAACAAACACTTTTTTGAAAATGTGTATGTACAATTTTGTAGATCAATCAAATGCAGACAGTCATGCGCGCGATTCAGCAAACGGAGTAACGTACTGGCCAATTTTGTAATAAAGTTTGCAAATCAGTAACGATAAAATGTTAATCATATCATTACCGGGTTGCTGATGATGCAGCAATCATGCATGCTGTACACTGTGTACAATACAGCTTACAGCTAAATAAGCGTACAACCAATAATTTTAAGCCATAATTTTAAGCACGGCTGATGCAAGTGGCTCTCAAGTAAAGCATAATAACAACGTGCCGTCACTTTATAAATAAAGTATCCACAAATCATTTCACAAAACACGATTTCATTGAATCGCAGTTATGGAACAAAGAGACAAAACACCATGCCACCAGGCTATTATAAAACACTGCTGGTTCTTCTTGCAGTTTATCACAATCAAATGTAAAGGTCACGGGCCGGACCTCGGAGTCATTATCCGGAAGGCAAACTTCGGCGCCTGTGGAAAAGCAGCAGTTCAGACATGCAACACACACGTACCAAGTATTGCTGACACCAAGGTGCATAAATTTACCCAATCTATCTTAAGCTTGCACTTTAATTAATTTAATGATAATCAGCTAGCTCTGTATTTCATGTTATAATATGCTACGGTTATCGCAGAACAACAAGATGATAAAAATTCATACTTACGATGCACATAGAAGAATCGCTAATAATAAAGCCAGTAATTCAGCTGAGTGGATGGCAATTAAAATTGCTCCCAGAACATAATCCGCGAAGGTCACGTATGTCTGCCAGAACATTACATGTAGCCCGATTAGAAGAGCCGCTGGAGTTAGTAAAAACGCTAAACTAAGCGAAGCGGTTTTTTGCGTAAGATAGCCTCTGGTTCCTGAAAAGCAGAGACAGTGCACATAACGTATGTGCACATAACGCACACTATTCTTACGTACGATTTATGAGCATGGCATACCGCATATGTAGTTATAGTTCGCCATAGTATAAGAATTTTTACGGTTTCCTTACTGCTGTTACGTCTATTCTTCATGTGACCTTTACGATAACGGAATTGTTCAAGTGTGTAGATGTTATGCGCATACTGTATCCGTATTCAGTTTGCGTGCACTGGAATTCGTGTTTGATATTTTAGCCAGTTTGCAAAAATACCAAAAAAGTTAATAATAAATAAATGAACTACAAAACGGACCCACCAAAAGCAAATCGCAGTGCATCGAGGATTAGCAATACTGCCAGCAACGCTGCTTCCAGACCGATATCACTTGGTTCATATGGCAAACGTAAACCTGGAAGTCAATAATTACTTTGTATGCGTATTATGGTTAGCCAGTTTATTATCGTGCTAACGAAAGAAACAAGCTAGCGGAGTAATTATTTTGATCTGTACGTACCTTTGTATATGTAGAGAACAATTTGGAATATTATGAAAACACAGTCATACAGTTTGTTCAGTCCGAATAAAACCGCTATCATAACGGCTGTATTCTGCAAAATACGAATCGTGAATCTGAAGTTCGCAACAAGACATGTACATTTAATAAACCTCCGATCTCGGCGTAAGTTCTTAAGTTTTTGATTTTTTCGCACAACAAACCTGCTGTGCTCTTGAAGTAAAGATCTTTCCCGAAAATTCTGAAAAGCCCAGCGAAGTTAGCCTAGTACGGAAACCGTGATGAAAGTGTTTACAGGTAGTTACTTTTCTTAATCGTGGGTTGACTTACGGTAACTATTGGCAGACGATGACATCTTGTGTATAACGGTTAACTTCAAGAAAAACGCTGGCAGTTTCAAGTTTTCCAGATTATCCAAATGCTGCATATAAAAGTTTATGAAAAAGATCCAACAAGCTTAAACTATACTTCATGCCTTTCGGTATAATTCGGTGCATGCTCGTTGCCAGAAGAATACACGCAGGTAAGACGAACAGGAAAATCAATAAACCTGGCAAGTCTTTCCATAAATATACACATGCATCATACCTGCGTCCATGCTGCATCGACGGACAGCTTCTAGGCATGCCGAAATCGTCGGCAGCGTTAACATATAAGTACAGAAAGGCATTTGCATATGCCATTTATAGTAAGTAATAATTTAATAATAATGATGAAAGATGTATCTGTGGCTGTCGTTCTGCGCCATTTCATATTCAAAATGCTACGCATACTCCAGGTATAAGATAACAGCAGAAAATGCTAATAGCACTGGCTTTTCGAAATCCATTTTAGTTTCAGTTAACGTCCTTTACTTGAGGTTGCAATATAAAATCATCGCCTGTGATCCGAAGACGCACACTGTAGAAAAGCTGGTTTGAACAATCAACACCGGAACAGGAAAACATGGCATGTTTACGTGCATCCTCGAAAATTATTGCAAACACTACCCACCGCAAGAATGCTAATAGGTTATTACCGTAATGACAGCCCTGTCAACAATAATGTTACAATATTATACATCTAACAACATAGCAGTATATAACAGCTAGATCCCAGTATTACCGCAGCAAAATGTCGACGTTATCAATTCAATTAAAACGATCTCCACAGAAATAGCAGACTTGCCAGTCCAATCCCTACCGCGATGACCGCCAGCGACGTAGCTACATATGTATTCTCCTCGGTTGTCGGTCTGCATTCCGCTTCGTGAACTTGTAGTTGTTTTCGGTTTCCGACTGCTAAACCATTAGCACTTGCACCAACCGTTTCCATAGTTTTCACAACTTCCAGAAGCTGCAGAGCATCTTCATAAACCATGTTGATTTGCTCCATCATCCGGTCGATTTCATTCTGAACCACCTCCCCATCCCCATCCTTCGTCGTAATGGCTGGGAGGATGCCGCGGCGTGAAACATGCGCCAGGGCACTGAGGTAGCGGCCAGTTGTTTTCAGATGAATGCCGGTTACGCCGGTGAACTGACGTAACGTGTCCAGTGGGTTGTCAGGAGTATCGTTCGCGTAGAAATTCATCTCAGCTTGGATCTTTGGTGGAATTTGGAGAATGTCGCAGTCCGATGCGGTTAGGTAGAAGACGTCTTCGGGAGATATCCGATATCTTGTGGAAAGTAGATGCCGGACTTTGCTTACATTCTACGAATAAAGACACGCTGTTATCACCTGCCTGTATACGGTACGGCAGAAGTCAATTAAGGAATCAACTATGGATATAATCAAAGCCGTTAGACAAGCGGTACAGTTGTAATTAACACAGGAATAATTTTATTCAAGTGCAGAAGTATTCGTATATCTGTACGAGCAGCCATTTACGCACCCCTTCCTTTTGCTTGCGCGCTTCGCGTATCCGAAAACTACGAAAGGCTTGCTGGTAAGCGTAAAATCTCTGGAAGGCAGTCCGCACGTCGGCCACGCACATTCGTCTCCTCCGTGTTCGATTGGCGATTTGGCCGGTGACCCTGGGATTTACTCGAGGCAATCCCTGCTTGCCACGCCCCCGTCCGCGCCGGTTCCCTCGCGTTCGTCCTGGGCCTCGGCCGACTGGCCGGCCTCCTGTTGAACGGGTGAATCCACCGTTTTGAAGCCCGATTACTGGAACATCATAAACCACCGGTATGTGGCGAGCGGTGTATGCCGCCAGCTGTGGTTTTGAGAGATTATCCATCAGAGCTATAATTCACGTCAAATCTTGTTTCAAGCGCGCGCAAGAGATAACGTACACCTGTAAAACTTTTGATGAAACTTGACTAAAAATCACTGCACTCGAATACTTAAGCAGTAATCCTTTTGGAATTATTTGATAGCTGATGTTTGACGTCTATAATGCGCTAAGTAATCTCGTCCGGTTTCATGCCGGATCTTCTTGCATAGTTTCACTGAAGTGCGGCTCTCCTCGTCTGCTTAAAGGTGCGAGGAGAGCGCACATGCAATGATTTGATAGTGTTTGATTTCTGAATTAATTAAATCGTGTTGCGTGGATGTAGACTCGGCCGGATTTAACTCTTTGTAATATCGTGTTCTTGTGGGCTTTTGCTTTTTAAAGCTTCGGCGTAAAGTGCGAATGGTTGTTTTTATAAAAGTACACTTAATCGTATCTGTAGATTCCCGACAATAGGTATAAATAAGCGTTTACCACTTTTCAAGCGTGAGCACCGAATGACCATCGTGACCAAAACGAAAAACTATTACCGGCCAATGTCGTCAGTACGGTACACCCATGCTGTATCGGGGAAATTTAATGGATGATTTATTATTATTTTATCTAGTACGAGTAGTGTTGAATTAAAGAAAAGAACACTGAAAATCGGTCACCAGAGGTGTAGAGTTATCACTCAGGAGCAAAATAATTACTCAACAAATGCTTTAGAATCGTAATGGTCTTTTGAAATCAGAATATTGCTAACGGTAGCTCTGACTGTCCAATACTAGTGAGATGACTTCCGGTGCAGCCGCTCTTCCCTGCTGTGAGTCATTTAGGATGACTCATCGATCAGACACGGCAGATCCCGTTTAATAGCGTTGGAACTTTTCTCCGTTTGCCAAGTTACTTGACTAACGATAAAGTCAAAATTTGTTTTCCATTTTCGTATGAAAGTTCAGAGTTAACCGATTTGCGGTAGAACAGAAGTTACTAATATTTACAGTTTTTTTTCCCTAATGATCGTAATTGATGAGTCGATTTGGTGAGCTGGTAGACTGAAGCTAGGTTAGCCTATCACACTGTCATATGCATCACACTTTTGCGGCTACTTTATTGTAGTGACTTTGACATCAGCTGGTAAAGTTAAAAGACTTCCAGATTCCAGAAATGGAAGCACAGCGCACTCGATCTCCGATGAGTTCACGCAGATCCCTGGAGGATTTATCTCGAAATCCTAATACGATGAAGACCAAAGCAAGTCCGAGCGACGTGCCTACCCCTCCCGATCATTATGCACCACCTGTTCTCCAAGGAATCCACCCTATTCTCCAGTGGGTCCTCTATCTCTCCAAACGCTTCCTTCAAGTTCCTCCTATCGTGAAGGCTTCGTTCTACTTCGGTTTAGTTATCATCTGCTCCTCTTTGTCTTACTACCTGGATCCGTATCGCGGATTTTACTTCTTCCGTAAAGAAAGCTTCCTAAACCAGTGGTTCGTCAAACTGAGCTGGGGTTGGACATTCTACTTGCTGCTGGCGTTTTTCGCCTTGGCTGGTTATCTGGAGAGCGATGGGCGGATAAAAAAGATCAAGCGGAATGTGGCCCGTCTCCTGGTGGGCACGGCCACGTGGTACTTCGTTACGACGGTCTTCGTGCGAATCGAGCATCACACGGCGCGCTGCAGTGTGATGGATTACCATTCACGAAAAGAATGCGAAGCTGCTGGACAGACGTGGTCGTATTTCGATATCTCCGGACATGCGTTTCTTTTAATCTACTGCAGTTTATTGATTCTGGAGGAGTCGAGGGCGTTTTTCAAGTGGGAGAAGGCGGATCGGCTGGATACTGACGAAGATGCGGGGAAATTTGATCAGGAGATCAAACCGCGCGTTCTGTTGGTGATGCGCGTGTTAGCGGTGGCATTGGCGATGCTGGCCATGCTATGGGACGGGATGTTGGTGATTACGCTGATCTATTATCACAGTTTTATTCAGCGCTTTATGGGAGTGTTTTTCGGTGTCGCCGGATGGTTCCTGACGTATAAAGTGTGGTATCCGAATTACTGGCCCGGATTGCCGGAGGATGTCTCGCCTTTGTTGACCGCGCAGAGCTCATGATTAATTGTTTATTGTTTAACGGTTCTAATTCGGCATTGCTTTACTCTGCTGTCGATTTGTTTTGTGCAAAAAGTCGACTAATTGTTCACATGACTCACAGCATAGCATTTTTAAACTGAATGAACCTGCTCGTTAGATTTTTGAATTTTGACGTTATAACACCACAGAGGGCAACGTTGGCGATCAGATAAGCTTTGCATCTGATAAAGGTTACTTTTGAAACTCCGCCAGTATGATTATTCATTATGCATACATCGGTTAAACAAAAAAAAACGCCAGAAATCTGTATACAAAATCAGTAAGTATCATTCGACAGTAAAAGTTATAATCGTCATGTTTGCGTCGTTTGTACCGTAACATTACATCCGTAACATTGCAATTGCCCGTAACATTACAGTACAACTTACATGTCTGTATATCCGTATTTTGATAAATCAAAATGATTAAAATTAAATCGGCAAAAACACTCAAACTCTACCAAGTTCAGTTAGGCAACAATACCAAACTTCAGAAACTGTCCACGCTTTAGACGCTCAGTTAACCCTGGAACGTCTGCTAGGTGGAAAAACCACCAGTAAAGTTCTCCAATTTTAACAGCGGCTGTGCTATCTTTAGTACGGGGCTGATATACGCGTTAGATAGAGCAAAGATGATTCCTTGATACCTCGGGCATTGCCGGGTTAATCGGTAACTTCACAGGTTTTACAAATGACGGCTACATTCATCTTCAAATTTAATGATTAATTAATTTTTAGAGCATAGCAGTCTTCAGTAATTAAGTTCATCAGTAGGCCTAACTAAAAACAATTTAACCATAAAAAGTGAAAGACCGAAAAACTTAATTATTCAACAGTACTGAGGCAATCTGCCGCAATCATACAATTTAAAAGAATTCTAAAACATTACGACACAGTCAGTCCACCAGCAGATCCACTACTTAATCGTTCCATGCGTCGTCGAATGTGCCCAGGAGTCTCTGGAGCGAGCTGCGTCCCGACGCCTTGCGCTGGCTGATTTCCGCTTGCAGATTTTTTCGCTTCATGCTCCCGACCGTTCTCCATGCCCAGTATTTCTCGAAAGAAACGGAATTGCGACAGTATTAGCTTCCACACAACAAACCAACCTGCAAGACATCAAGTCAACAGTAACATATCTGTACTCGACAATCATACATTACGATTACAGTAAGTACTCGTCGAATAAGACGTCGATTAATTTCTTCTGGAAACAAGCAAGCAAGTTTTTCAAGCACTCTGAAGCTATAAATAATAAAAATGGAAGCCAAGACAAACTAAAAACATTCGCAAGATTTTGAATCTCCTCGCGTACGTACCGATAAAAACGAAGAGTAACACAACCAGAATAACAAAAATGATCAGCAGCACGGTCGTAAAAATCTCATACCAGCCGATTTGGACCATCATTATCCAACATAACTAAAATGATAATAAATTTTGCGCTGCGAATCTGCTATCATCGCAATACGCTAGAGTAGGTACGCGGAAGCTGCTTAACAAAATTCTGAATGCTGGATCATTGAACCGGCATAAGAACGTTTCCAAATCGTCACGGGATTTAATTAAGTACTTAGTGGATTGTTCCAAAAGTTTTGAAAGTTTTGCAGTTTGCTTTTTCCAGTTATAGTTCGATCGTGGCTAGTGACTAGTGAGTCACTGATGCAAACTTAACTTTCAATGTAGATGTCGTCCCACTGCGGTAGCGTCCTTAAATTAGAGGGAAATTCTCAGTGCCATATGCATTGGCTCCTAATATCCCAAGCTCAGCAAAACCACTTTTAACTCAGCACGCAACTACTCATTTAATATTTATTTTAGTTTACCAGGATTAATTTTGTAAAAATACCGTATTCGTAACCTGATTACTCACCCTAACGTTAATGGTGAAGTGGGAAAGACCGGGCAAAGTTCCCTAAAGTCTTCGCTTATGGCTGCACAGTGCAGACGCTGACCAGGTGAGTACTATCGATATCTGTACAAAAGCTGCAAAGTATTACGTAAGTACTGTATTGTACTAGTACTTCTTCAATTGCAAATATCCACCTTTGCAAGGATTATGTGTACGGTTGTGTAAATTTAAATACTTTCGCCGCTGCATGATCTGGCACACAGCTAGCCGAGGCTGTCGCATCCCCTATATCAATTAACTGTCGGAAACATAAATGGCAAATTTCCGAGCAGGATCACGATCACCTTGTTTTTTTTTGAAAATACGTAACATGTAGTGAGTAGCATAAATTATTATATTTTTTCAAAATGCAAATATCCTTTTATCTAATTGCGAGATTGAATTTTGACATGATATGTGCGTGTGACCGAGTGATCCAGCTGCACAAGGAGCAAAAGCCGGCAAATGGTCGCATTTGCAGTGATCCGTGTGACCTTTCAGTTCAGAATGTGGACGCGTGCTTGTATCGATATTTTAAGATATCTGATGGCCATCTTAATCACATACCCGCAGCTTAAAAGCGTGTCATAATAATATCTGTGTCAAAATGACATATCAGTTCGGCAATGAAAACATACTCAAGTGTTCATTGGCTTCCAATAACACTCCTTGCAATCAATCCGGGACATTTGTCAACTGGGCACTCAATTTAAAATTTTTGCTTGCTACACCAAAGGAACGGATAAGCGGATAAATGTGGAAAAAACACGAACAACGGAAGGGAAAGTGTTATCACTATTACGAGTACAACTTCAGTAATGGACCATGCAAAATGGCTATTTGTACCAAAACATGGTATGGGAAGCATTACTGGACCATTGATTGGCTAGATAGCTGTCCATAGGGGAAGAATGAGCGAGGACGGTAGGCCGGTGAGGAGTATTAACGGGTGCTGCGGAATAGGTGGGCATGTTAAAGAGAGGTGGCGGGGACACGGCATCAAAGTCGTATTCCGCACAGTGTCGCGGTTGGCGCATGGGTAAGGCACTCCGTGACATTGAGTCATGCGTCCGTGATTCGAAATCCGGTAACTCCATTTTGACATCCGGTGAGTAGGCTTTAGCACAACTGGAAGCCCCCGATTTTTCGTTGCGCCGGAATTTGGCTCGCCGATTTTGAAACCAAACCTGAACAAAATTAAATAGTTTTGAATCGGTCATGGCTGGATCATGTGCAGTGCACTTGAGTCGTTCGGTTTCGACATTAATCCGCCATCAGCCGATCTAGACCTCGGATCACTTGTCTCCAAATTGAAAAAATTTAGGCTTTTCAGAAGTTAGTTAATTTCATCCCGCATATAAGTACACTAACATTATGTGAACATTGTATGAAGTCACAAGTTTCCTGAATAATGCCGTATGATCCGTATCAACCTTTTTAAAATAAGGCGCTAGTAGCGTTCATTGCTTTAATTTACGGAGCAGAAGTATGAGAATACTACTAATGCCACCGAATTTGACCGAACTCATTATACCGCAAATTTAAATTCATGCATACAATAAATAATAATTAATCTGTTCGTTACAGTACGCTGCGATATCCGAAACAGGAACCACTGAAACTAGGTACAGATAATAAATAAATACTACTCGGAAGTTCGGGACTCATGAATCAAAGATCAGCTTGCTTTGTAACCTGAAGAATCAGTATATCTACATTCTAGATATCTAGAAGTTTTTTGCAGTTTGCTATAAAATAAAATACATGTATCGATACATGTAATTTTATAGCAAACTGCAAAACTTCAACAATAATGCTTTCCTCGTGCAGGATAAATTATGGAAACTGTTCTAATGAAAAGATAAGAAAGTTCGCGGTTTCGGGTGTAATTGTTACAAGTACACTTACGTGTTAATTCTAATTCTGCATCAGCTTATTAATTAGTCACAAACAGCCAGCTAAAATTGTAACCGTACTGCATGCAAAGTTTAGATGTGCAGGAGCAAGTCGAAATAGAAAATACGAGCTTGAGTACAGTACACCCATATCCTTTGTGCAATTTGAAACTTCTGTAAAATTTTACTAAACGAAAGTTACGTAACTAATGTGTGTAGTACGGCCGTATCGATCCTGTTAGGAAAACAATCTCTCAATAAGAATTCTTTTTGTTCCCCCTCTAAATCGTTTATTATATCAATCGCAGTAAATATAAGTGGGTATTTAAATGCACGTAACCCATAAAAAGCATTGTGTAATGAATAACACGTCTATGCGACTTACTTGGAATTATGTGCACGTACTTTCCAATAACATGCAATTGTGTTAAGCAGAATCTGTTTTTTAGTTACCTGAACTCGAGCTTCCGAAAGATTAACTTTCCTGGCGATTTCCTCCCGGGCAAATGCATCGGGATAGTGCGTCTTTTCAAACACCTTCTCCAACGCATTCAGCTGCGCCGTCGTAAAGGTCGTCCGATTGCGACGGCTCTGTTTTTTCGACACCGTTGCATGATCCGCCGGTGCAGCGCGTAAATCCATTCCATTATCCGCACCCCCCGACCGCTGATGCGATAGCAAATTTGAATATGATCCAACAGCACTGGGATGGGACAAGGCGTCATTACCGCATGCCGACAGAAGGGAGACTGTAAACAACATTATCCACAGTTAAGCGTTAATTTAATAATCCAGCGTTTACATTTCCAGGCAATTAAACTACGATGCAAAGTGACAGCGCGTTGTCTCTTTGCATTTCATCCTCCATTGCTTCAGACAGTGCAAATTGCACACACGGAGCCAAACCCCGAGCCAGCTGAAACAATTAAGGATCGCTTCGTTAATTAGCAATTACCGGATGTGCTTTCTCGCGTTTCCTCGCTGCCGGTTTTCACGGCCAGCTTGGGTTTAGTTGGCATATCGGCTATCACGTTTTAACGATTATATTCCTTCCCCGTCGGCGAGAGTAATTTTCCTCATTTTCGAATCACCCTATCAAGTATTAAGAAATTGTACAGATTATATTTGACTCTAAGTGCATTTTACTAGATGATTTACACTGTTATAAAATACAGTGGGAATTGATTCGAGCGGACGTTTGCCGTGTGTATAGACTGCAGAAAATTGCCAGCGCCGTGCACTGATGCGCACTGCTTCTAATTTTAGTTAGCAATACATTTAGCGACCGTCACATTCGCGTGTGCTGCTATATATCTGATTGGCGCAAACGATGTTTTAACCAATTAAGTGTAAGATGACAGCATCTGGTATACGTATGCTGCGGCTGCAATGGGGACGCTCCCGCAACATGAAGGCAGATCGCTTTGAGTTTTCACAGACTGCAATAACAAGTTGGACATGCGGAAAGTGAAATAAGAGATGCGTGCTATTCGAATCCAGCAATCCTGCATGGATTGGGTATACTCGTCTATTATGTGTCTGGTTTGTGTTAAGACAAGTGTCATTTTAGATTCTTTCTGGCCTTTTGCCACAGCAGGATGCCGATATGATCGCTGCCGTAGAAAAATGAGATCTCACACACGGCAGCAGCTTCTCGTCCATGTCCAATGGATCTGAAAATTTTGCCTTTATTTATGCAGTTTGCCTGACTGTTTTGTTTAGCTGTCAGAATGCGGAACACCGGGATGGAGCACTACCCCGGTGTAAAGGTTGCACCCTGCCAAGTTTCATTCAAGAAGTTTGGTAAAAACTTTTCTTATAACAGGCATCGTATGTACGTACATCTACGTACGAATATTATGTTTGCAGCTTATACAAAAAATAAAACAGTGCTTTGAATTACAACTTAATATTTGTTTTTGCAGGAGCTTTCACTTTAAAGAAAGGACAAAATTTGTACGCTAACGCGGTCCTGTACGTATAACTGTCTTTTAAAGCAAAACTGCGACATTACGGTACTTACATCAATGATCAAGGCAAATATTCGGATACGGGAGGGCCGCCCTATCTACCAGCACAATAAAAAAGTGGTGTTTTGATTACGAGTAAATTATGCAGATTTCGAAAAGTAAAGTTTTAATCACAACGCTTCACCAGGAAATGATACACATTTCGTAAAGTAAATCGTTAATCACAAGTGAAAGAAGACGCGTCAACTCCAAGACTAAGACAAATGAATGATCGAAATTCCATTCATACATCCATTTCTAGTTCACAATATTCGGGCACTGCCGATTCGATCGTGGTGGCAATAATTTCAAATGCATCGGTTTATCAAAATGCACTGATCTTTTTCCGTTGTTTTAAATTTTGTATCTTACTGATCCTAGTTAAAGTTTTCACAAGATTATACGTACTGTAGGGTCCTGGGTAGGCATTTTTTTAAGTCCACCTGGTATTGCCCAAAGTTTAAGTCTTTTTTTTACAAAAGCAATAAAAGGAAGACTTATTTTGGAAGCGGTTCTAACTATTTCTAACGAATTTAATCTTGTCTGTCATGCAGGTGGATTATGTCAGTCCAAAGTAATCCCCAGTGTATCGGTTTGAACATAATTTCGTACAAAATCTGGTAATTTAGAATTATTAGACAATATATTATCCCTACAAAAAATAAGTAAATACACAGATGTGATCCTGAGTCAAGCATAAAAATTTATTATGAACTATCAGTTTGTCTTTCGTGTAATATCTCCAAAAGATTTCGTCTGATCAACTGAATCCTCCAGCTGGAACAGGGTTCTGCATAACGGAAAGCAGAAGAGGCAACATCTGGTTAAAATCGGAACTTCCATTTCCGGTAGAGTTGCAGTTCTTGGCATTGTTTTGACTGGTCAACATTTGCATCAATAGAGCGGTTTGGGCTCCGTTGTTGTTGTACATGTAACCTGAAGAGTACAATTTCCATGTGTTATTACATGCGCTCATATTTGATGCAATTCAAAACAAGTGATCAATGTTTCCGTAGCGCACGTTGGAACTTTCTTTTTAACATACCTGTACTGCGGGCTTGTCGGTGTGAAGGTCCTGCATTCAATCAGATGTTAAGGACACTTGTATTAAAATTGACTTTCTTCGAACCACGTGGACTACTGCAATCCCGGCAGAATTTCAGTTAATAATGACTTTGTACTTACGAAGGTCTTTTGGATCTGTAAAGGAGAATTTGAAGAGGTTACAACTCAGCTCGCAGAAATATGTGGCTCACAAATAAAATTAAAGAGCCTATATCATGTCGTTACATCAAAACAACACGTAGCGGATAGACAACCAGCGATTACAAGTAATTAACATACCAAAATCAGCTGGAAAACCGCTAGAAACTTGATTTTTCTGCACTTCGTTTATAACTCCTACAACGCAAAACCCATTTAGATTAGTAATCATATCGACACATGTGAGGATGACACTTTCCATTTTTTGTCTGAAGGATATTACAACAGTGAAGTATGGTACCGCGGACTGATACGCTGGTGTACAAATGACAGTTATGTAATTCTTACCTAAATTGCCGGTATCACTGGGAACAGCGTCGGCCTCCTGTTGTAATGTTGACGGCTTCTGCTGACGCACAGGCATGGGCTAGAATGCAATTCAAACAATTCGAAATTTCGAATTTGCGAACGAAAAAATGGGCGCACGTAAACTATAGCTCCAAGTTCCAACAAATGCAGCGGTGTTTGTCTTTTATACGAAGCATCATTTGCCTTTAAAGGTTAGCGCCAGGTTTTCAGTCACATCAGGGTTCTCTAAAAAACACCACTTACCAATCCGTTAATGCATGCCAGTAGGCCAGCACACACAGATAACAGAATTACGCACAAATTAGAATGCATTGTGGAGTAGTAAAGTTAAAAAAGTGTACCCGATGACCTTTCACCTTTTCAACGATAAACAAATTATCACAAATCGATTAGCTTTGGATCTAAGTACTGATTCACGCAACTTGTTAAAAGAGTTGAATAATATAACTGTTGAAGAGATACAATTTTTCTTTGTGAGTTAGCAGCGTTATATAGGCTGCTAGGTGCACGAGGTGGAAGCACTTCAACCATCATGCATCCGCTTCCTTATTTTTGCCGCTACGCCAGCTACGTACGACAGATCAGGAAATTGCCGGTTACACCAGGAATTGCGGAAGCTATATCTATGATGATCTGAATTTAATTCTGTAAACCAAAAAATAAATTACTCACCAGTTTTCTCAAGTGGTAAATGACTAAATGTAACCTTGTAGTTACCGATTTTTCAATGGACTCGCAAACGGCTGTAGCCACCCCGCGAGAAATCCATCGTTTAAACACTACCCTAGTACTTCCGCTTCGTGAGTCAGCGATTGATCAATACCATCGTTAACTGTTATCCCAGCCCAGGACAACAAATTGAAATACGCGAATGTTTACGCATTTGTATTTGCGCAGTGCCATAATAACTTATCGATGCACAATAATTATCATTCGACATACGTCATGTTACTACGCAAAACTGAATTTTATGTGGCGCCTGGTCGGAACCCGACATAATTTATCAGACAATGGTACTCTGTATTGCAAAACTAATAATATTAAGATAATTACACTGCCATAATCTGCTAGCGTATATTGCGTATATTTTGCATTACGACATCCATGATAACCATAAGGTCAGAAATTGGGTCAGATTAGTTAGCTGGCGATACGGGGACCAGATTGGGATGTACAGTAATCTAAAGTTTTAACTGACCGTCACTTAGGTTACTCATTCGTCAAACAGATACGTACGTATTCCTCGATTCGCTTATCGGAATTTTGACGGAAGTCGCATACTCGTCATCAGTGCGTCGCACCTCAGCATTATTCCTGAGTCCTGTAAATTATTTGTGGAGTTAGCGCCCTAAAATTAGCATCCTAAAATTTAATACTTGCAGTAACTTGCTAAAAATAAAAACCTAATCTGCCGTCGAACAGTCCTGAATCTCATAAGTCATCTGATATGGATCATATGGTGTTATACTCTGCTACCGTTAATCTATCTGTACTATGCACTGTACACATAGATGGGCATTGATGTTATTTTAACAACATTTTTTGCTCTCGCAAATCAGTATAAAACAGCACGTTTCGATTAAACGTTAACGGTGTAAGCAGAATATAACGATCATTAATAAAAATCAGTTTAATATTAATTAATCTGTTTTATTGTTATGATACTAATACATCTAAGTATAATGTATTTGTGTAATACAACTACAAGTATCAATCAAATTTTATTAGCCGATTCTGAAGCAGAATTGCTCTTCTGTACCATACCCGCCGTTTGCAACAAGCAATGATGACTACTTCGCTTTGCCCATTATTTCAGTCACTTCCCTTGTACGGACCAATATATTAATCACCCGAAACTTAACTTTTACAGTCAGCTGTAAATGTTCATGTAGCCGCCCGCCCCAAAAGGCTGTCAGTTCGGTAAAGTGATTAATATATTGATCCCTAAAGCGGTACTGATTAAAATAATGGGCAAAGCGAAGTACCGTTTATTGCAGTTATATAGCGTCACTGGCTTACAAATTATAAACAGGTACAAAACGACAATTATAATATTTTGAGTCGGCAAGATAATATTTCGGAGACTGGAGAGTCGGCAAGATAATATTTCAGTGAAACTGAATTTGGGGTTTGTGGTTTACCATCTGATTCATCTGTTTACAACTGGCCCGTATGTTTCTGTGAGATTGCTTAAGCGGAAAATTAAATAATGACTGAACCGCGATATTAAATTATAATTAATTAATCACTCAATGAGACCATGAGTCGGCTCCACTCCACGGCTATTGTTTTGCTTTCACTTAGCCGGTTTCAGTATAAATGCATAGCCTATTATATTGGTTAATACTGTGCCTATAAGTCGATACAACTCCCGCCGACGTACCTGCTGACGTGAATTACTGTAAAAAATGCCAAGATTCACACGATTACTGTATTGTCATGAGAAGAGTAGGCTCTGCACTCTGATTTTTTGTGCTAATATTGACCGTTATTTTTCCACAGCGGCACTACGTTTTCTGTTACAGTATTCGACTCGCATAATGCGAGGAATTTGCCTAATTTTTGGCTAATTCTAAGCGAAGTGCCCACCGGTAAAGAAAATTCTTACCGGCAACTTACAGTAATTCTTAATTTTCGAATTTCTCATGGGATATTTAATTACAATCTTTAAGCTTGCTATTTTGATATAATCTTTAGATGTCATATTGCAGCCGTACAAATGAGATCCGTAGTGAAGATGTACATCTCATTGGTGCTAGTTCAACCGGAAACATCTGAATGTGTACTTGTACGAGATGACCAGTTCTAACGTGGATTTTCTAGACTTCTGAGATTGTCTGAATGTCCTAAAATCATTTCTTGCTCTTCCCCAATGACTTTTTAGCTGATTAAAAATGTTTGTGCATTTTGACATTCGCGCCGGTATCGGTTAACATGTTCGCAATTGCATAACTGACTTTTGGGTAATTCGCTAACTCGTAACATCGCCGACGGTCACCGACGAACCATCAAACCTCGTTTTATCGTGGTACGGGTGTGTAACCCAGTCCACTAGTGGCAGCTTAGAAGTTGCCGTTGCAATATAGTAGTCTGCGTGGTAATAGGAGCCAAAGGTGGTAAAAGGTGGTGCTCGGAGCCAACGGTGATATAAATGTGGTATGCGGAGCCTCCACCTTAATTTTTTGTATTTGGAAAAAAATTAGAATTGCTCTAGGATTACCAAATTTTAATATCGTTTTACGCAAGGCGCTTGGCGCTTTATTTTACTTACAAGCGCATGGGTTATAGAAATTTCTGACTACCGCAGTTATAAAAATAAATTTGTGTATAAAATCCGCAGACCCATTGCATTTATTACGTCTTAGTGCCCCACGAAGTATATACTTTCGCAGCATCTACAATGCATTTCTAATTAACTAATAGCACGATGAGATATTAATTTTGCTCCTCCTATCGGACGCAGACCGTGTAGTACAGGTATATACGTATAAGTTTGAGATAATAAAGATACTCCGCCCGCCGTAATAATAGGCAGCACATTATGACGGCATGTATAAAAATTAAATCATTTGTGGTCAACCTGTGAGCTACACAATCATTTGTTAAACAAATGTTCTAATAAATTTATTACTTATAATCGGAAATTGAACCCGGAGTACGGCAAGTGTTCCTCTGAATGAGTTAACCATTTTCCATCTTGAAAACTATTTTAGAGCTTCACAATATTACTTCGTTACAAAAATGGATTATGGGATGCGTTATTACGGGCTGGTGAAGAAATTTGTGGAGGTTATTCTTATTTTTATGGGATGTAATTTGGTATCGGTATCAGCTGCGAGTTTGACTCCCGGGTATGTCAATTTCTGTCTGAAGCCGTTTTGTTTTTTATTTGTAAAATTTTCTACACATCTTTTATACGAGTGCGGGAAAACTGATTAAACAAGATTTATTTAAAATATTATTAAGTGCACTCTCGATTTACTGCTGCAAAACTTTTCCGTTTCCTGTTTTGGCGTTCAGTTTACGGCGCATGCAGCCATAATCAATTTTTTTACTGCAGTGTTCTTCGACAATGTACTATGAAACAAAATGGTAAAAATTATCTCATATAGATATATCAGAAAGCCCATTTCAGACTTTTATCGAATTTTCCCAAAATCTGCAACAATCAAAATACCTGCTAATGTCATAGAATTATTTTCTGTTATACTTCTGTTCAAAAGTACGAGTACTGTTCTGTTCCGAGTACGAGTACTGTCTAGACGAGTACTGTTCAAAAGAAGTCTAAAATTTTGTTTTTACAAGCTTTTTTTTCATTTTACACAAACTAAAAGAAACTGCATTAGCATTATTTTAAAATATTTTGCAATTTCACATATCATCTTGATTAAACCGCATTATCTACTCACATATACATACGCACATACGTTATTATTAATTTATTATGCACATTAGTGATCAGCCGTAAATTTGCGTTAACATTATGGTTATCCCATCGCCATGATTTGGAGTCAGCGAGAATTCTGTGCAACTCCTTGTTTCATTCGTTCTTCTTTCAACTCGTAGAGTCCGCTCTGTGTTCAATTTCCGGTTAATCAGAACAGGTTGATGAAAGTATTAACATACCGACGGTAGCATTCCAGTATCTTGCTTGTGTACTTGAAAAAACATAATTTTTGTAAGCACCACCAAATGATTTCATTCCATAGTAATTTTGTGTAATACTGACGGCAAACAGAATATCGCACTATACTGTATATAGGGGGCAAAACTAAGCGTGTTCCACGGTTCCCCTGTATTGCTGCCGTCACCCGCCTGGAGTGTGACGTTACGGCAATACATATGGTTAAATCTGGCGCGGTACATGAGCGCCATGTTTAGCCACAACGTAAAACTCCAGCCGGGTGTTTACACGTTTAGTTTTGCCCCCTATATACGTATACAGAACAGTATGCTGTGGTCTGCTAGTTTGTCGGCTGTTTTCTTTATATTGATAATTGTATTCCATTTTTATTATACCATGATAACTGTCCAAGTTTAAATTTCAGAACAAAGTTCCCTAACCCTTCAATCACCACGGTGCGACTGGAAACCTTTACCAGGTATCAAACAAGAGGCGTACTTGCACGGGATCATCAGTGTGTTATCCTGCCATCAACAGATGAGAAGAGCCTTTATTCCTGGCACGGCAAGCCGGCGGCCGACGTCCCTGTACACTCCAGACGAGGTACTGAATGATAGTAAATATTGAAAAATGGGTTTGCACAATTAGCCGCTCTTTAACGCAATCGTGCAATTAGACATGATAGCCACCGTACCACATATGCATCGTATTCCATAATTACATGTACTGTACTTGTACATATAGTAGGAAGTGTCAATGGCAGGTTTTCTGTCTAAAGGCTTAAATAATACTTGACGATTGCAACACTTATTTATGTCTTTAGGTTATTTTAATTATGAGCCGCAAGAAAACGGGGATTACGCTATGAATTTGATGATTGTAACATCGCAACGGAGTGCTCACTTCTCAGACATCACCTATGATACCTATGAATACATGTCGATATGCGACAGACAACATCCGTTACCGCACGTCATACTCGTAAACATGAGCATTATTACCACGGTTGGCGTTCATGTACGTAAGCCCTGACTAAGTGACCAATAGGCAGAAGTAGCCATCGCCCATCGGCAATGAATTCAGGCAGATATATAATTAAAAAAGTTCTTTGAATTGTAGAAAAATCTCGATTGCCCAAGGTTATGGATACGTCGGCCTGAACCGGTGCCCAGATGTATAGTTAACAACAATGTCCATTGTACCGACGCCCAATTTGGAATAAAATACCCTGACGAGACGGTGCACCAACTTCAAGAGGTCGGTACTGATCGATGCCTGCATGTCGAAATCAGACCTGACCATCCGCAAAGCTGCACTGGGCTGACCTTAAAAAAATGTACGGACATCTCCAAGGAACAGTACCAGATAGTGAGGTCCACTTCCGATACAAGATATTATCATAGTGTTCCTGATTTATTTGTGATCCATTACCGCACGTCACCACTGTAAGACGATCGGATCACAACATGGTACGTCGTATGAATTGCACCGCCATCAGCCGATACATACCGTATAGTCTGCATATGGTTATACCAAGGTAGTAAAATTAATAAATTACCGAGTTTAGATTTGGAATTATTACCGGCTATTTGGTGCATTCAAATTTTTTCAATAAGCCACATAGCACATACAATCGGTATTACGATGCAATGTGCTATGAAATAAAAATTTTGCTACATTAAGAGAACTTAATTATTGATTTTTATGCCTGGATTTGATGTTTTCAGAATCTCCGATCTTTGCGTTTCTCCCAAAAGCGGCCATTCATGGCTTCCCGATAAACATTCCCGGTTACAATTCTACCCTTTCAAAATGGCCGCCGTCCGCACATTTCACTACTTTTCTCAGTCTTGTATGCTGCTGATTATTCTGTTTTACCAAATTAAATTGTTTTCAAATATCTGGTGATCCATAACCAAATTGCTAAGAGTTGCCTTAATTTAATATAGCGAATTTTGTTTTTGTGCGCTTTGCTTTACTTTGTGCAGCTTTCTAAGTAAATTATATATTCATTTTATTCCATGCAGTGCATTGTACGGATATGTCGTGCAGAATAGCTTCTTCGACTTTAACATGTTGTTACAGCATATTTTGTCTTTTAAATAGTTTTAAAAAATTGTAAGGCGAGTTATGGTTGGGGTATGCTTTAAATACTACCAATTTACAGCCATTTCATGTACATGTTATACTGTAAATCAAGCAGCAGTTAAGTTAAATTTTGTATTATCCTTCTTTCTCAAAATTTTGTCATTGCTGCTCATGCACTGAGCCGAAGAAAATGCGGCAAAGATACACATGTACATCGTTTGCAAAAACGGTATTAACGACAAAATACATATCTTTTGTACAAACATTGCACTGATTCCAGTAGGTAAGAACGACTTGCGCCAGATATGCGTCGTCATGACTTGTGTGCTTCCCACATTTCCCGTTTGCAAACGTGCTGTAGATATATTAGTTAGGCTCAAAATTCAGTTATGAAGATATCAGCGAAGGAAATCTGTGACACACGCTTAAAAAATCGAACTTTGAACCTTAACAAACGTCAAATAACTGCGCGGCAATGATGCATCACATATCTGCATCGAGCGGGCAATTTTGGGAGCGCAAAACCGTGCGACATTTTGCTTTATGGTGTGCTTTCATTCCAGTCTGTAACTTTACTTTGCAGTTTGCACTTTACCTATTGATGTATTGCCTACCGAATTCAGTGCTTCAAATTAATAAAAAAATTAAAAAAGTTCCTGTAATTAACGATTAATTTAAAACAGTTAATTAACGCTACAGTTGCAAGTTAATAAACGTCAGGCGGTCAGCGAATTAATCAATACTCGATACAGTGTACACCCTTTATCCGCAAAATTTTAAATTCTAATGAACCCGTTATTAATCAATTGATTTTAATTAGACATTTTAGCACGTCGTGGTAACTTATAAGTTATGTTAGAGACTTATGCGCCCTACGCGCACTTTCTGGTTTACGCTACCAGAATGTGTTTGGATGAGCAATTAACACTAATTATACAGTAATGTTATTAATTAGTTATTACGATTGTGCACGTAGCAATGTCGACGATACCCGATAGGCGTTAGAGTACTTATTAATGGATAATTACTGAGGTGTACGATTACGGAATATCGCAGTGAAATGTAAGCATTAAAATGTGTGCACATGAGTCTGCATGAAAAATATCCGAATTGGCGACTTTGACGCTCGAATATTCTACTCTCGAGTAGCTTTTTCTAGAGCAACATTTACGAATATTTGGGGCGTGGATACAAACGTGCAAAAGACACCTCATCGCAATATGGACCAGTTATGAGCGCTTATCTTATCTCGTGCGTTACTCAGCTTTTGCAGAATTCTCACAATGCCAGGATTTACTAAATTTCCGGTCTATTTTGAACCGGACTATTGTACCGCTTGTGACTTGTTCTCAGTTTTGATTGTTTGAAAATCTGTCCCATCCTTTTGTAATTTTCAAGTGATAATTATTATCAGTTAGTAGTTAACACTTCCATATCGAAGTTTAAGCATCATGGTTTTCGAGAGAAAGACGAATGAGGCGTCTTATACTCTTATACTTTGCGTTTGTTGCTTTAATTGTCGTAGCGGCAGTCTCGCACATTGTTGATAAAACACATTGGTTTTTTTGGCTTTTTGATTTTATCATTCATGGATCGAAAATTTTGAATTATATTCTTTCGGATGCCAAATATGATCTTTGTTTTTTATTTCAACTACTGAGGACTGCATTTCCATGACATAAATCTCCCTGTATATCTTTATGTGCGCGGTAACATTCGACTTTGTTGGCTGCCATGCGGAAATCAACGAAGCGCTAGAATGGCTGAACCCGCTGAGAACAGCGAATCAAACCCATTCTGGGAACCTGATGCTGCGCAGCAACCCGCCAGTAATCCGTTCGACGAGGAGACCTCGGCGCTGGAAGAGAGCATAGACAGTCTACTGGTGTCATCGGGCAATCGCACCCCGGTTCCCCTTGATTCGCGTCATTCCAATCTTCCTGAGGGTGAGGAAAAGGCAATAAGCTGGGAACAAGTGGCTAACCATTTGCTTAAGAAGAACTTCCACTTAACGGCGCTGGAACTGCATACGGAGCTCCACGAAAGGGGAATACAGCTGCCTAGGTAAATGTGCGTAGGGAGAATGCACCCACATTTTGCTGATCTAGATCCTACGATTGAGCGGCTGCTTAATTCCTAATTTTTTAAAGTTTTGTGAAGTAAGACGTGTTGTAGTTTATAAGTTTTCATGTGGGTATTGCATGTGCATATTGCGTTTTCCGCTGATGTTTTTAAAATTTTTGGAGATTTTCTTTGTTTTCTAATATTTTTTTGTAATTATAATAAATACAGAAAAATATTAGAAAAGTTAAACAAATTAATTTATTCGGTGTTTCTGTTTTATGTTTGGTTCTTCGCAAGCGTAAAAGTGAACGATATACCATATGCCCAATTAATTTATTAAATCAGTGCATATTTTAATTAAAATCCCATTAAAAATAATATTTTTTGTGGAATGGAATTTGTTGAGTTTATATCGTCGGGGTGATTTTTTTTGGTTGCTTGGTTTTTTAGGTTACGGGATTTCTTCAGTAATCCTGGTAATTTCGAATATGTCCGAGAATCCACCGGGGATGCGGACACTGCTGGCGCTCCTCTCAATCGCGCCTCCAGTTCCCAGACGCTGGATTCTTTGGATTTCCATCGCGATTCATCGGAAGACGATATCTACGGCCGTGTCGATGAACGAGTTGCGGTTCTCGAATTCGAGCTGCGCAAAGCCAAAGATATTATACAAAGCCTTCGTGAACATCTGACTAATTTGACCGGCTCGCCGGAACCCTCTGCCAATCCCTCACCGTCCACCCCGAAAGCTGGCGGGACGCTGGCAGTTAACGGGGAAAGCGCAGCGCCCATTCAGCCGCTAGAGAAACGGGCATTAAATTTCCTGGTGAATGAATACCTTTTGGCCAATGAATACAAACTGACGAGTATAACATTTACGGATGAATGCCAGAATTTGGATTTTGATGACTGGGATGATGTGGGACTAAATATTCCCAAGCCCCCTGGGATTGTCTCCTTATACCGGAAATTCCGATGCGGTGGGTTATCACCCATAGTAACGGAAGGTGTGCGCGGTGAGTCACTAATTTTGTGTAGAATTGAATGAAGTCTGGTGTTGTCGCCACTTGTCGGCAAGCCACACTTCCCTACGATTGTCTTTGCAAATTGCAGTTGTGCGAAACAATGGCCCGACACTTTTACAAGCACGTGAGGGTGTTAGTCAGTAGTTACTTGTTATGAAGCAAATTTTAAATTTTGTATTTCCTCATACTCTGTGTGGCTCAACTGCATGGTTTTATTGATTCATCGGGGTTTGAAGAAGGGTGGAATCTCAGACAGTTCCCAAGTTTTAAATGTTCCATTGTTTACTTTTTGATAATGCTTTTGTTTTTGCTGTTATAACTGCGGTTTGTCCTATCTGCTTATCATGTAAATTTACAAGAAAATTTGAGAATATAATAGTGGTTGTGGTATGCAAGTGTTTGTGGTGCCTTAGACAGTACCTTTGCACCTCTGTCACGACATTGTTTGTGCTTCTTGTAATCGTTAATGCAAATAGAGGTGGCGGCGATTGACTGAATGGGACAAAAATATGCGAATTGTTTATTGTTATAGAATTCCCGTACTTGTTATCTTTTAGTTCAGGCACGTGCGGCATTTGCTGTTTTGTAATTTGTGGTCACATGTTTTGAAAGCAATTATCGCTTTGAGTGTAAGTAGCGATTGTCTCAGGCCTTTCACAGCGGTTAAATCATAAATAAAAAGTAAAAGGGGTAAAATGGCTTTTACAAAATATGATATCATTTTGGTTAACACTGTGTCAGTGTGATTAATTTCTTTGATAGTTTGTGATATTATGTATGATAATATTATGTAGGGGGAATATTAGGTGAGTTGCTTGTAATGAAAAGATCATAGTGAAGAACGGGTGTTGAGGGCTAAAAATACCTTACTCTTCTGATTGCTGATAAGTTTACTATTCTGATATTTCTCTTTACGAGTACCGGTATCAAAGGGCCAATACAAAAAATTAAAGCGATATAAAAATATAGCCTAATCAGGATTGGCCGTCGATGTATTTTGCTCAGTAAAAAAACAATGTTCAAACAAATTGAAAGTATACGTTTTATTTCTTATTGGTAAAGTCTTGTTAATGAAATATATCTTTGTTTTAGTGCCACAAGCCACGACTGAATCATGTTGTCAGACAGATATTGGGACTGCCGAACCTGTTATCACTGATAATGCTCTTCCTGTGGAACAACTAAAAGTGCTACAGGATGAAAACGAAAGGTTGACCGAAGAGCTCCGCACGATAACAATCAAATGTGATGTTTTTGAAAATGAACTTCATGCCGCGCGTACTCATCGTGTCGTCGTGGAAAACCATGTTCAACCTTCCCCACCGGCAATTAACTATGGCGGAGGCGATGGAGGAGTGCAATTTAGCGCGACCACACCCCATCCCGTTGCGTTGTCCCCTCGATTAACTCGATTCACCGCAGAATTGCGACGCATTCTCTTCCCACCTTTGACCACATGTGATCCGGAAAATCAGCAGATTTTATCGGCAATTTCGCGCATTTCAACGGATCAGACCCAGGCCGTTTCCGTGTTGGCGGAGACATTGCCGCAGATCATTCCCAATGTGTTGCTGGCTAAACGACAGGAAGTGATTCCGCTGCTCCTGGTGACGATCTTGTTGCACGAAGACCATGGAATGCGGGATAAATTGTTGCATCAGCTGTTCAATTTACTGAAGAAACCGGAAGACCAACAGCGGAGGATGATTTTGAATGGGTGTGAGAGGTTTGCTGCGTTGGCGCCCGCGGAAAGACTGGAAGGGGAATTGTTGCCACAGTGCTGGACTCAGGTGGCTGACTATTGTTTAAATTGTCCCAAAAAATACTCGGCTTAATATACAAAGTAATACCTAGATTCTGCTACATTAAAAACTTTATTCGTGTAAGTTTTATTCTGAAGGATATTATTCTGCAGTAATTGAGCATTTTTTAAATTGATATACTGTACTGATTGGTTAAGTAATGTTTTGATCCCGGTAGCGACTAAAAGTAAGAATATTTGTGAACACTTAGCTTGGAAAATCGATTTAATTGGGTCTACATGTATTGTGAGTGGAAAACTGTATGTAAATTAAATTGTTGTAGGAAGTCGTGTTTTAACATTCTGTGTGCTTTGGAGATACTTCAAAGAAATTTTTCCTCTCACGCTTCTGAATCGTGGAATTTCTTCGTTTATGAATTTTGTAATGTTAATGATTTGCTCATTATGTGAGATCTAAATACGCAGGTGAGTAGTACGTACGGTCGCCTTAATGTTTGAATTTTCTTTGTTCGGAAATGACCATACTTGTGTGTATTGTTTCAGATTTCCCACAAGTATGCTGAACGACGCATGTTGGTCGCGGAATCATGCGCAATACTGGCCAGCTACGTGTCTCCGGAAATATGCGGTTCATTGATCATATCAATGTTGAAACAGATGGTGAGCCCGACACTTATTCAACTATTGTACATTATTATGTAATTAGAACAGCAGTACGTATTATTATGACCGAAACATTCCTTACTTATCTTTAACGCGGCCAGTTCGTTTTGCAAATTTTCGGCTCCTCCAGGTATCCGAAGATAAGAATCCGGACGTACGAGAGAAAGTGGTCCAAAGTCTGGCGGTTGTTTCTTTGCATATCACCGACAGTGATAAATTTCATCAGGTACGATGACGTACCGATAGCAGCGGAAGTGACCTTATTTACCGTTTTCGTAATCTTTGTTAGTCTGCATTTTTTTAAGTTTGTTGTATTTGTTGTAAATTTTGTTTAAGGGCTTGCTTTCCTTGCAATCCCCCTCAAAAGATACTTTTATTTGCTTTACTTATATGATTAATTTTTTCATAACAAAGTACTTATTTTTTGTTTCAGCTGTTGGAATTGTTGCACATCTGTATGAAAGATTCATCGGAATTAGTTGTAAAGACCACGTTATCGCTGTATCTACCATCGTTGGCCATTTGGACGCAGACCAATCTGAATCTCGGTGCTAGGCTCATCGAGCCGTACTTCGTTAAATCCTTGAGCTCAGATGATGCGACTGTTTTCACAACGGCTGTTACCGTGCTGAGGAAGCTGATACCGAACATTTACGCTGACGTCGTCAATACGGGTCCATGGCGGTCTGCTGAGTCAGATTTTATGGTTGATGATGCGTTTACCTCAGCGATTCAAGCTCGGTATGGATATTTTGCTTATTCATGCTCAGTATTATTACTATAATTATTTATTACGCATTTTACAATTAATTTTATAACGTACATTAGATAAATTGTATATTAATATTCATCGAAAGACGAAGCGCATGCCGTGTGGTTATTTGTTAATGAAGTAGCTCTACTTGTCTTTAAATTTTCGTGTTTTTTATTCTAGCTTGCCCCGTAGTCGCCCTGACGATATGCTGGAGTCCTTACAGGTCCTGATTGGCGAGGATTACGTTTTACAGTGCGCAAAATTCCATTCCTATATCGATCGAGAATGGTTCCACGAATGGCCGCAATATAAATGGATCATTGAAATATTTGTGCCTAGGTAACTTTCCGCTTTACGGCTTCCGTTTTTTTCGGAACGAAGTTTACCGGTACACTTAACCTTTTTGCTTGCAGTCTTTGTAAATGTGCCGCATCACTGCATATATCAAACCAGGACTCTGTTACCGCTCTGTTGGGCCTTTTTAAGCATCTTATCCTGTATTTTGGTGATAATTTTGCAACAAGTTGCCTTTCAAAATGCATGAAGGGAACGATACAAGAACTTGGATCTAGTAAGTCTTTAAAGCTGACCAGTCAAATTCAAGGCTTTCTTAATATCGTGCACGATTACAAATAACTGTATTAAGCAATACACACAAACTTTTCTGCTACTGGAATCAGTACCATGAACAGTGCTACCGTTACGAATCCTTTCGCTTGAGAACGCATTTGATATTTTATTGATATCCAGTTTATTCCCGTGTGTCCGTAAATAATACCTATGGTTGTCGTTAGGTTTCCTGTATCACGCCGTTTTCGTATGTTTTTCCTGTGCCGTGGTGGCCCTCTGTGATCCCAAGCAGCTTCAAGAATTCCTTTCATCCGCCCTCGTTTCGATAAGTGACCAAGCTCTGCCCCTGGACGGGATGCAGCTCATATTCCGCGATCTCGCCGACCGTTTTCCTGATGATCTGACCCAGGTGTGCTGGACGGGCATCGTCCACCATTCAGTCCCGGTTCGTCTCAACGCGGCCCGCCTCATGCGCACGTTGACCGAATTATTCCGGAAATCCCATTCCCTCTTGGAGCCTCTTATTCCCCCGTTGATTACCTTGGCGTCGGACCATGAATCCCGGATCAGACTGGAAATCATACCGTCCTTGGCCAATGTACTGAAGGAGCACGTCCAGGAAGAGAAGCTGTTAACGGTGTTCCAAGGTTTTCTGGATGATCGGGAACATTTGGATATTGTTGACAATACCGTGCGCGAGCTGGCCAAATCGGCGATTTATTTGGATAAGAGGTTTCATCAAGAATTTTTGCTGCCGAGATTGGCGGTATTGGTGGCTCAAAATCCACGGCTTCAGGTAGGAAAATGCATAGTTGGGGTGTAAATATCACTAAATATGCACAAATACAGATAGGTGCGTAACCGTGCGTTCATCCAAGGAAATATAAATTCTTCCATTTATATTTCATGTGCCTGATATTAAGGGCTAACGAAATCTTAACTCACACTTCCCAGTCAATATAGTTGAATTAGATTAACAAATTAGATTAATTTTTTTATTTGATTTGATCGAATCGAATAAAACAACATTTTGAACATTGTCGATGAGCATTACCTCGCTCTACTGTTGAAGAGATATTTCGCTTCAGAAACTGTCGAGTACGAATCTCGCTAGTTTGTAACAGAACTCTCTTTCAAATTTGATACCACGCATTGTCTTGTAATGAACGGGTCTCAGTTGACCGATTTTGACAGTGTCTATTTTTGGCAGGTGTATCGAAAAGATATGGCGATTTGTTTACTGGACGCGTATGTTTCCCTTTCCTGTGCCAGTTTCGGGGAAGAATCGTGGTTAGTGGCACCAGTCCTGCAGTCAGTGCGGTCTCTTCTTCAAGAACTTAAAGAACTGAATATGGTGGAATATGTAGATATTGCTCAGGAACTGAGCGATAAACTGGCCCGAACCAGTTATCATCAAACTTCTCCGCCTTCTCTGCCAAATCCCGATGAAATCAAAGCCAAAGTCATGAACAAAATTAAGGATTCTGGGTTAACTACAATGTTTAAGAAAAAATGAAGGTGTTTTCCTAATTTATCTCAGCTTTTCATTTTTTGTTGGGCAGCCGTTTTTGTTTGTCCTGCTTGCAGCCGTTTTGATTTTGGTCCAATTTTTATTTAAGAAGTCGTTTCCCGCTGTGATCTGTAGAATCCAGTTTTATCGTAGCGTTTTATGGTACCGTTATGACCATGTACAGACGAGTGTCTCCGCTGTCTACAAGAATTTAAAGCACTTTTTTGTTGTTTATGAAAGCGCCGCTGAGTTTTTGAGTCAAATACGAGTAAAACGATATGTTGAGAGCATTCCGTTCAGCGTGACAGGCAGAAACTCTAAACTATTAACCTCTGTTCGTTCATTCATCATTTCTTGCTAATAAATTATCAAACGATTTAGAAAAATACAAATTACAAAAAATCACATTATTAGTGCCGCACTGTCGGGTACAAATCATGAAAATGGCGGTAACAAACGCCCAACAAAGGAATCATAAAAATCGGAACAAATAAAAAACTTGTCGCATCGCAAACGGACATTTAGGAGCACGTTTTGCCTTCCATCAAATAACTAACATCACTTCCGGTTGGAATGTCCTTAACCTGGTCCTTCCCAATAAACAATCGTCCACCATTCGGCCCTTGTACCAATGCCTTGCTTCCTTCCACCAACAGCCATGATCCTTCCTTCAGACCCTGCAAAAAACATAAGTACTTCCATAATGATTACACAGATCGAACAGCAACAAGACTGACAATAGTACTTAACATAATACAGTACCGACAACCAATGCGGTAAAACTTCGTGGCAAATATCTTGCGCTTAGGCTTGAATTTATGTTTTGTGATCAGTTCGCACTGCACAATCTATCGCATTTCTGCTATTTTCTTACTATACCAATTTTTTTCAATCCAAGCCAGAACTGGAAGTCATTAAATAATTTCCATCGCTTACCAAAACCGGGTGGGAAGTGTCCAAATCGACATACTCAAAAATGCGTTCATCCCTAGTTTCCTGCAATACAATTCAATCTAGCTAATAAAACACACAACCCCACTGCTTTATGAAGCGTTTGTGTGCAGCTCATTCGTACACCCATGTGTGTTGTGTTGGGATCAGGTTCGATGTAATGCGGATTGATGTTAAAAGGAACAAGCGTCAAAGCCTCCAGCGATGGTGGATGGACGATCGGCATATCGTTGGTGGTGTTGATGGAGACCGTGGCCACGTTCGTGCCAGCCGAAGAACCCATGTATGGAATTCCTTCCTGAAATCAAATAAAAAATCATAAAATTCCGCAAAGCGTAATTCCGCAAAAGAAAATTACGTAATTTAAGGTAAAATAACCTGTCCAAAAACACATAAAAAGAAGGCCAAAAAATCTGAAGTCTAACCAAAAATTAAATTACTTACAACTTACTACAAGCAGCTGTAAGCACAACTGAACTATCATCTCATCCATGACTCGAGAATTCGGCTTACCTCGAGAATTCGTTTTCTGATGGGCTGAATCAAATTCAAGTCGTACAAGCTCTTCAGCAAGCGAAATGTGTTGCCACCACCTGCATCACAATTACACTGTGATTTTGTTGAGTACTTGCAGAATTTTCCGTGTACCGATAAATATCGCGGAGGCCTTCTTGACGGCTTCGACGGGCGAGGCCGCTTCGTGGATCCCGAAGACATTGTACGGCAGTCCGATATCGGCGAAGCGTTTGCGCGTCTTCTCCAGATAGTCGTTATGGTCTTTCAGGGCGTAAGGGATAAACAAGATCTCCTTCACTCCACTATAACGGCAAACGAGTGTTGATGTGGCATTGGCAAAATAACGTAGATACGAAAACAAATCGGTACCTCCCACCACCACATTCACCATCAGACAGACGCACAAACCTGCCGAAGAAGCGCGTGATATCCTCTTTGGCATACTCAAACGGAGCACACCCGTGCAAGCACGAGCTGGATAACAGAAGCAAACGACGAACACATTTTTCTTGCGACATTTTTTGGCCACTCGGATGTCAACTGTCTTCGGGATCTCCTGATATTCTTCGATTTGCACACTCGAAAAAAAAAATTGTTCGATGTTTTATCGGTTTTTACTTTTAGCCAATTCTGCCTGTTATAGGTGGGCAAACTGTCAGCTGTCTAATGCTCATTTCGCTATCGTAACCGCTTCCACAGGCGGATGGGCCTTCGACAATATGGGACACCGGAAGTCGGGAGACTCCGAGTCGGGAGTCGGGACTTCCTGTCCGTATGTACGATGGTCAGCAGCCACTATCCTTGAATCCTTGCATTTTATTCCAAAATACCAATCCAAAATTTGAAAACGCCATTTTATGTAATACTCGCAAATCCACATTAATGACAACAACAATAGAACAAACCTTTTTTTAGAAGAAATCTGCCACATCGTGGCCGATCTGCCAGTTTTTTTGTTTTTGCATCTTCTATCGTTAAGATCGAATTCAGTCTTTCTCACTTATGGTTAGTACTGCTTATGTTTATATAAGTACTCTTTTAGGCCCTACTTAATTTAAAATTTCGGATCAATTGCGCGCACTTTGTAGCATTTCATGTACTGTGAATGCAATGAAAAAAAATTAACAACTGGTTGCCGCTTTTATCATTATCCGTACGACACAATCATAGCTTTAGTGCATTTTGACAGGCATCTTATTAGGCGGGAATGATTTCGTGCTGCGCGCGACGCTTAATTGTCCGTCGTCAACAGGAAAATCTTTGCCGCGTTCCTTGACATGTCCTTGTGAGGCTGAATGCTTTCTCCGCACTGTCGCCTGGTGTAATCTTTGGGGAAATAGCAGGCGTATGGTCTTGAACGCCCGATACCGTGCATCCCGTGTCAAGCCCGGAAGTGTCAATTTTTTCTCATTGTTCATCGCCGGCAGTAGCGTCCAGTAATCGAAATAGCGTAATGGTTTTCCCATAATGCCCAGCCTATGTCCCAGATTATTATTAACGACGGCAGCCGTTCACGACGAATTGACAAAGACTAGTTCGTGTTATTTAGAGCATTTTATATGTTACAGGTGAAGTAAATTAATATTCGTCATCGCACATATACTTCTACGTATGGATACCTAATATTATACGAAATCATTTAAAAGTCTTATAAAATAAGTCATACGTCTTGTGATACGGTGTTAGCCAGCGCAGTGGCAGCCGCGGGGTATCGTGGCGTAATGGGCGCATTTTGGCTAATAAGGACTGATCAGCTAGTTCCGGCACGGTGTGCAGGAGACTGTCCCGCACATCCTGATTGTCTTGTCCCAGTATCAATTCAATTAACGGTGTGTTCTGACTGAAATAGCGTTCCTTTTATTAGTCAGTTTATTGATATCCGCCGTAACATAATGTGCTTATGCAATCCGAACACTTACTATACAGTCGTATACAAACTACTACAAGTCTATACAAAGTAATACGTGTTCCCGATTTTCATAGCACTCTTAAAATTCAGGATTTGGAAATAACTCTTGTGGAATTCTTGTGGAAAAATTGTACAATCATTATGCAATGAATTGTTTTGAATTATGATAACATTATTTTGACGATATTTCCACATCTCATTTCCATTTTTTAATTTGTTTAATTCAAGACCCTGCAATTTTCTTATTTTGCAGTTGGACCCTACCACTTGCCGGATTTGCCGCGCTATGGGTTTTTTGGCAGCATTATAATTTTGTGCGGTATATGGTGAACTGCCGCATCAATTAATCGCTGGTGTACCCGTCATAAAAAATTACCGCTGTTCAACAGCAACGCGATGCTTTCCGCAGACGTAATCTGTCTTGTCCGGCACGGACGCCATTCTGACATAAAACGGCATCTTCTTCTTGAGTGTCCAAATTTTTGGCTTATCCACAATCTTGACGTTCCAGTTAATGATTTCCGGCTTAGCCAGCGGATCAGTGAACCGGGCTCGTTCTGACATGGGCGACAAACGGGGTTTCAGCTTGTCGGCCAGCTGTTTCTGTGCTTTCTCATGCCGCGAATGCTCAAACACACGTAGTGCCCGCTCCGCATAGGTCTCGTACTCGACACACTCAATACGCCGTTCAAGAGAGTCAGTGTTGAAGGCTTCGCGCCGGAAAAGTCTACATCAAAATTTATTTATCGTAATTGCACTTGACAAATGCGTTTCGGGTTCCCAGATTTCCTGGCTGTGGATTATATAATATAATAAACTCTGGGCTGAAACTGCGGTTGTTTTGCATAGTGCATATTTAGTATTTGTATGTACCTTCCAAATTCGGTTCGGATAAGCCGGTTGGAACGCTGAAGGAAGGCCACACATACCGCCACACAGCTTACATTGAGCAAGCTCTACAAAATCGCAAAATAACAACAATTATCCTGGTGGATTAATCATTTAAAGTCTAAGTAGAAGCATAAATGAATTAATTTAAATATATTGCTGATATTTTTCTTCCTCGCATCAGTGCATTTCCAGACGTACGGACCTCAAAAAAGAATCTCTCGGGAACAACCGAAAAGTATTTGCACCTGCAACATTCAGTTTCGTTGTCATCAGTTCCAAGCTTAAAATTAGTAAAATAAAAGATGTTGCAACCATATCTCTCTCAAATCTACCGAATGCTTCCTGCTGCCTTGTCCGTATCCATTAATTTATACAGCAAGGTCACGTATTTTTTAGCCAGCTCCATAAGCGCATTTTGCACTTCAAAACGAAATGTTTTTCTGCGGCGTTCTCGCTTTTTAGAAAGAGGTATTTCTAACTGCCCTGGCATTCTGTAAAAAAAACACTGGATCAGAAATTCTGGTTACAGTACTATACGCTGATTATATACGATATGCCATTGAATTCTAGTGCGATTTCGCAAAACAAAGTGTTCTGGTGACCTTTGGAGGCGTCCATTTTTTATTCCCAACCGAAAATATTTTTCGGTTATTCCCAGCAGGTAGAAGTGCATGTAGTGAATTAGCGATATCAGGAATTCATCATATATTTCGTGCCTAAAGCGAAAAGTGAACAGCTTTATGACGGAAACGTTATACAGATTTAACTACTGATTAATACGGTATTTAATCATAAAAGCGGCGCTAAAGCACTGATTAAATATCTGCAATATTTTGTCGTGCGGTGCGCGTTTTTCCGGTAGAAGTATTGTAATTTAAAGCCTTACTGCATAAGCGATCGTACACCTCGGGCACAGAAAAATGTATCGTAATATCGGGTGACATTATCCGGAATTCTATCCTGAAGAGAGTATTTATTCAAATGAATCGCTCCACCTGTTCATGCATATGTAAAACATTCACATACAATATTCAATAAGGTGTATGAGTAATTAGGTATGGTAGCTATTATTCTAGTTAAACTGGATAAGGCTTTGAATTCATGAGGTATTGTATCGTGTACGCCCTACATCGTATTCGTAAACATTATTTACGCGTATTACTATTTATTACGAGTATTACTACGTTTATTTACGAGTATTACTTACTGGTAATTATCTGCATTTTGTATTCTGAAGCACCGATATTCACGGAATAATTATGTTTCAGCAAACGTACGTTTGATATCCCGTAGCTGCACTTGTCGATCTTCGCCGAGGATGACCTCTTCGTTGTCGTCTTTAGGATCGACTAACCTGGCGAATCCTTCAACAACTTTGTCGTTAGCCTCACGACTAAAAATAAAAAACAAGTAGGAGCATTCCCAGAAACACGAACGTATATAATGATATCTGATTACTGCGGCATTTTAATTCTCCTTCCGTTTTTGTAACAAAAATTATGCAAATGCTTACTTTCGCTTGTAGTGCAGTTTGCCGGTAATCTTCAACGTGCTGTCGTGCCGTGTTAATTTGAAAGTTTCATTGCGAGCATCTGCATATTCCTTGTGTGTTCTGGAGAAAAGGGATCAATGAAAACAGTTAAAGTATTTTTTGACCGTGCTGACAAAACGTTTATCAAGGATTTAGCAACGTTAATTTAGCGACTATCTGCAGAATAACTTAAGTGATTCAAGCGTTCTGAATATATAGCATATATATTTTCCAAACAAAGTCCGCACGTAATTAAATTTGCATTTCTGCGTACGGTACAAAAAGCAGGCCCAGTTTTTTGTCCCATTTCCAAATACCGTTTTCCGGTTTGACGACACCAATGTTCTGCTTTAGCATCGATCTTAGTCGGCCATAACTGGATTTTTCTTGAAAATTTCTCTGCAATAACGAAGGAATAAATAATTATGCAGAGAAAATTAAGAAGCACAGTACGGCAATGCAAAATTTAAAATTATTTTACGAGTCTTTTGCATTACTGGACATTGTACCTGGGTTTCCGCTTCTTCGTCGTCTTCTTTACGGAGTATCCTGTCGCTGTTATCAAAAACGTCTTTGAATACATCGCTGGGATTAGAGTATAAAAATGGATTGCGGCCGGTTAATAATGCTGCCACTTCCGGTGAGCCGGTTTTTGAGGCTTTAGTCATGTGTTCTGTGATTAATTAGGCAAAAGCGAGCTGATCGGGTGATGAATTAGGCATATCAAACAGCTCATAGCTTTCTGCACCAAGACCTCTTGAAGAAACGACCAACACATTTTCTAAAAGTTTGTACGAGTGTCTAATACGGCACACATAAAAAGCGGTCATCAAAAATGATTTTTCTTAGTAATGTTCGTGTTGGCTTAGGCTACTTTGCAAATTTCACAATGCCAGTAGTTACGATTATGGGTATTTTGGTTTCATTTTAGTAGCTGTATTATGATGAAGTTGCATTAAAACTTGCTGTCTGTTAAGTTTTGTTTGTCCTCGGTACTTTGGAGGTCGTTGCTAAGTTGTAATACAACTTTATACTTATCTTGCTCACTAATAGTAAGTATACTTCCACTACTTCGATGTTTATATTTTTGATTTATTTTTAGTTTTTAATAGCAGCATTTACAGTTTAGCAACTGTTTACAGTTGGTAATAAATGCATGAATCGCAACACAGCCAAGACGCAAGCGATTCCTGAAAGCGTTATTATAATGTACGGAAGTTTAGTTGTGCGTTTTAATAACTTACAGAGTCTGTATGTTCACGGAAATCGTTCGAACAAGCAGAATGTGTCAGCGCATATAGGCGCTAATTTAACAAAGCCTTCTTTTTACCGTGACGTAACTTTGCTTTTGCTTGTGACTTCTTAAGCTTATCAGCGGAAATAAATGATGCATGTTGCGATCAGGCACATTTAAACGAAGCATTCTGTCAGCCTCGATCTACTTGGTGGATGATCACTCTGATTGCCCGAGCAATTCCGACTCATCATTCACACACAAGAGAGGCCTAAACTGAAATGAAACTTTAGAGCGCAAGGAGAAAAAATATCAAGATTTACCAGCCGGTATAAACTCCCTGTCCTTGATCCCACAGTTCATATATACGAACCGGGTTAGATCGGTCGGCAGTTTGACAGGGCGGAAATTGATAGCGTGAAAATGGTCTGATCCGAAATCCCATCAAGAAACGACTAAAAAATTAATGATGTTTTTAGGCGTGTGTATGCACACTTTCTTGTTTACAACAGTATGTGCCCATGCACTGTGTGGTATACGGATCTACTACGCATACAGCGAAGCTATATTTAAGGTCAATTTCATTAATTTGTTTGCGGTGGCATCAACCGACTGCGGCCATCCGTGCACGACATTTCCAAAAATGTTCGTGGGCATCAGTCAACGCCAGAAAACACACACAGTCTTTGGGACTGTAAGAAAGCTTTGACTAAATCCTCTAATAACAGCTCAGTAGGTGCAAATGATTCCACGGACCTGCATAAAATATACGAACGAAATTGCATAATTTACATCACGCGACTGTGATTCGATAGGGACGACGAACTGCGGACATCTCCAGGCAGTCGTCTAAACACTCGATCATTTCATTTACGGTTCTCATCAAGTATACGCTTGAGTGTAACAACAGTTTACTTCATTGAACACGTTTTCCGGGCCATTTTTCGCCCAGAAGGAAATCGTTATCCAGGCTAAACAATCGTTTCTCCAGCCACCACACTTTACATCAGCCGACCAAACTAGCGGGCGGTCGTTAACGTGGCCGGCAAATACTGCATATAAGGCAGTCACACGCAAACTAGTAATCGAGCGGATTTCTGGTAACTGTCGGCAGAAACCCACCGATTTTCGTAATCGCCAGGAAATGTAGGAAATGGTTCACTTTCTTCGTTAATAAATTTTGTCCCATTGAACACCGCACATTCGCATTTTACGTGCTTTTTATTTAGTATTTACACAATTTTACCCTTTTTTCATGGACTGCGGTTAATCCTCTAGGACATGATCGTGACCTTAAATTAACATCCACACTCGGCTAAGCAATCCAATTTTTGCTATTACTTTCGATCTTGCAAATGAATCAAGCGATAGAATCATATGTAAATTATATCGGAACTTCAGATTCCGCATAACATTTTTTGCGTGACCTTTACATAAAGCCATACTAATTACACGGTTTTTTGGAAAGAATTTGTACAAAACTTTCTCGCCAGGCGCCAGTTGCGTATCCGCACCGGATACCACATAGAGGAGCAAAACGCTTCCCCGTAAATCAGCCGATCAACACCGGAACATGAATGCCGGTGAAATTAAGGCCACGGCCATGACCGGCATGCCGCCAGCCGATAATTGTGACCGCTGACTGTGCGCACGCCGGTTTCCATTCCTGTCCAGTTGTGTATGCGGGGTCCCCTTTTCACCCGAAACACCGGGGAAGCATCACAGTTTGAAGTGTCGCTGGGATTCCGTCAATCTGAGGCTAGTAAAAAAATGCCCAAATTGCCCCGTCCAACAGTTCAGCGTCGCTTGGCGCCGCTATAATGCCACTCTTTGTGCTGGCGTGTAAGTTCGTTTGCCTTCTTGCACATGAATAATTTCTTTCACACCGTTAATGCTGTCCCAATTGAAGGATCTCTGGCTGAATTCAATGCTGCCATTCATGGGATAATCAGGTTTCCGGCTGAACCTGACGATGAGGCCTTCTATGCGCACTTTGGCTTGTGAAGTGCCGCCATCCACGCCACGGCCACGCCAGCAGCACACACAGCACTGACATAAATGTCTCGCCAAACGCTTCGCCTGCATCCAAACATACAAAACAGACCGTCATGTTTTTTAATCAAGAACTTTTCACGGATATTGTAGTATGTGAGAAAAAATAACCGCCTGCGTGATTTGAATGACATCAGCAGGGCCCTGAACACGCATTTCTGCCTAATTATAGATCAGTGCACTTCATGCTAAATTAATTTTAATATGGAGCGGTTCACAAATACGTTTATTAATATTCAGCAGATTATGCGCTTTGCCGTCAAAGTAGTTTCAATGAACAAGCTTTCTGATACGGAAAAAAACATGCGCATGGATTTTAGCATGCAAATAAATATTAATAAAATCAAAGTATAAAGCATAGGAAGCATTCACGCTTCTTCTACTTTAAAGTTTAAACTGTGATACGAGGCGCTGTACGTGTTAACCGAAGCTAAATGTTAATTAAGTATAGTTTGCGGCATGCGGGGGCGCACCATCCCACATCAAGCTCTTTTGTGAATGTGAGGACAATCTTTGAGATTAAAGGCACGTGAATCACTACGTCCCCATGTTACATTCATTTAATTTGTGTTATGCTAGCTAGTTTAAATTCTTTCAGCGCGCAAATCAGACAAAAATCACAGTAATTTTAAATGTTAATACATGTTATGGGTAAGAAGGGACTTCTGCATAATCAATAAAATACGGGTAAACAACTTATCGATACGAGGCGTTTGCCGGTAGGTCATTGACATTGTTAACAATCTTTAAAAGAAAGTAACCACCATGCGCGCAGTTGCTGAACTTTATCTAAAAATTTAGGGTAAAAACATACTCATAGTTACTTATTGTATTTTTCGATATAGATCAGCGTTTAAAATGCGAGGTGATAATCTTTTATAGCTGTGAGCCCTAAGTTTTATAACATGCAAAGGTTTTATTGTAAATATTGTATAAGTGTGTAAAGTTTGATCGTAAAATAATGATGTTAATGTATCAATGAACGGCACCTGTGATCGATAGCACTGGTTCCAGCAACAATAGATAGCGGGATTGTACGCCACACTGCTCATAGCTAGCCAGTGAAGAATGAAGAAGACAAATACGTTATGATTGGAGGAATCATTCTGGGGGTTAAAATCGCGGGTCAGATGGTAAAGCGATATTGGCAACCAGCATCCGGAGAACACCATTACCACCGCTACCAGCATTTTAATCGTCTTCTGCCGGTTCCGCAGAATACTCGACAGATGATTGGTTTGATGGTTTCCGCTGGAGAGAAAAACATGTTTTAATAATTTCTCAAGATGACAATGAGCAAAAAATGCGGTTACACACATTTCGTACCATTAGGGCACTTTACGCATTTCTTTCATTTCCGGCAGTCACATTACATGCATTGAGGGTTAATATTTATTCAGATATACATATTTTTTGCTAGCATGCATTAAGGAAAAAATCAATATCCGCTGTCTCTACCAATAATACACTATTACATTGATCGTTCTTAAATACCCATCGCTTTTTATTAAAACATTCGTTGCCTTTTTTGTGATTTGACGGTTAACGTCTTAGTGCATAAACAGTTAGTTACTGTACTTGACCAATACAACTCCGTGCATTCAGGAGGCGGCGATAAATACTTTTCAGCCAAAATCCACTTTTTTATTGAAGCGCTGTGACAAAATTTTCATAATTCGAGTTCGACATACCTATATTTGTGGCATTCGTAAAAAGAAACAGAACAAATTCAAGTTTGCGTGCAGAAAGACTGATTACAGGCGCGTCAGGTTAATTATGCAAATCGATAAAGGTGTGGCGAAAGCTTACATTACAAATAATTATATTTACCGATTTACTAGGTCTAATTATATGATCTTCGTCTTCTCGGGCACTACGCGGTCAGTCACTGATAGAAACACTGCATGCTGAAGGGCATGTTTTCAAGACCGACAAAAAAGGTCGCGCGCCATTGTATCTATTACGCACTTAGGTCAGTAACACGCAGTAGCGTCGTCGTATACGCGCACTAGTCTGGACTTTCCTTAACGATTTAGTGATTTGTAAAGCAAGACATTCAGCATAAAACCACCTTTCATGAGAGGTAGGGCTCACAATACGTTCAGCAATGCAGTACTACGAACAAATATTTCATCTCACTCATAATTTTCAAAGTAGTTGCTGCACTTCAGTTAAATAAATAAAGCCTAACCTGCTGCAAAACGATATCTGGAAATTTACATAGTTCAAAAAAAGCGTTCTTGCAAATTCACTGATGGCAACAAATGTACCGGTACGAGAAAGACAACGATCTCAAATTAGAGGACAGTTCACTGATAGTTTTAAAAAAATATAAAGTATTCTTGAGCGAGTCTTTCGGTCTGTGACGTTAGCCCACTCATAAGCGTCAGAAGACCAAGCAAGCATAAAAGGATCACGCGAGCCAGGATTACTGCGCGCAAATTTCCAGACCCAGATCAGCGGTAAAAATGCGGATACGATGCGATTAAAATTCACTGCACCAACCTTCAAAATCTATCTATTGTAACATTTTCCTAGTTTTGCTGGAAAAACAACTGTTCCAATGATCCGCTCACAAAATTAAAATTTTTATTGCGTAGTATGTATATTATATATTTAAATTGGTTGGCCCACAAGCTGAACATAAAAAAATGGAGACGCTTAAGCTTACTTTGCTTTAAGTATGGCTTTAGTTGACCAGAGATTTAGTCCGATTATTCCATAAGAAAATCCAGTGATGTTCAGTGGAATAAAAAACTGCAGGATAAATGTTCCCAAGGATAAATATTGCCGGAAATCCAATCCACTCGGATACATCGCTGCGCACCTGCATAGCAAAATACCTGTATATTCTGTACATTGTACGTGTGACATTTTTTAATTATTAATAATCAGGAGCACAGAATAAACAATAATACATAATGCATAAACAGAAATATGACACCCACACCCATGCATTTCCACAGCTCCAACTGCACAGAAGATACGCCTGTACAGTAGCAAATCTAGCTACATGTAGTATATGCCTACATTTGTCAAATTTTGCCGTAATCACTACTAACTAATGTATTTCTTTATACTCATAATTATAGATCTTGTGATTCAAAATTTTTTCAAGCTCTCCAGTTGTTTTCACACACCACTTAAACCTTACAAAACATCCTATATTTTATCTTTATTTATTTTTTGAAGGGCTTAGCTATAAAATGTTATGGTAGACGTGTTAAGGGAATGGGATACCTATCTTCCAGCCCAAAAATGACTGCGTTTCAAGGTGCGCAGTTTTTACGCGCAAAATATTGTTTGTGAAGCTGTGTTGTGCTTCGTGACAGTTTGTAATTATTGTCTTTTCCTAATATATTAATTCGGAAGATACTGTATTGCCAGCGTACAAACAGTACAAGAAATCATCGAAAAGCATGGCAAAAAGCGCTTAACGGGCACGCATCTGCATGGCGGCATCCAGCTGTTCTTTGCAATCCGGATCGCGCACGCTCCATGCGGATGATGAGGGAGAATCCATCCTTTTGACGTCTTTTGAATCCTTCTCAAGCAGAACATTTACACGGTATTACGCCCGTCCACAGTCGCCTTCATATACATACACGCTCCGTATGGAATTGCAGACAAAAACAAAATAGAGCGGTTTGACTGTGCAATCATGCGGGGATGTGTCTGTCAGTTAGAAAATTAATGGTGTAGGACTGCCATCGGGACAGTTGCAGATAGCTTCCAGTAATTAAAATCAATCGATTACCTAATTGGCAGGGTGTGAGAATATCAAGGCTACTGTGCCCAAAAAAATTAGCCGGTTTGGGTTTCTATATTTAATCTGGAGCGCGTGGATTTTAAGAATGCGCGGTATTCGCACTGGTAGATACTATCAAAGGAAACTAATTAGTAGTTTCTGCCAAACGCAACAGAAATGTAGTTAATACTATAGTTTCTACGCTGCGTAAATTCAACCCTGGAAACTGGCATTCCGATGTCTCAACTAATTACGGATACAAAAATCTCCCAAGGTTAAAAGGTCTTATAATATTAAACGCCTAATTTTCTGGATTCAAAGTTTCTATGGTCTTACTTAACCGCATTACTTCAAAACTTTTGACCTTATTGCCAAAAGTGCAGAACTGCTTCTAATTATTCTAATTTAAAACAAGTACGCTTCTTACAATTTGGTTGGTTTCGTGAACTGGAACTGGGTGACTTGATGGAAAGCGGCATACGGTGTGGACATCAATGAGGCTAGGATCCACATAACAATCACCATAATCACACCGGCACGGAAGGTCAAACGCGGACGTAATGGAAACACAATCACCCGCAGTCGATCGTACGCAATACACACCTGCAATATGTACTTATTAGTTATTACGTGCTTTGCAATGTTGGCGCGGGACTTGACTCTCTTAAATGATCATGAATCATACATGTAATTCTAGCGCTAATTATCTTGGTAAATTTTAAATTTTTCCCATCACGACGTTATACACTCGTACTTTTGTTCTTCTAATTATTTTGATAGCCTTTCTGACTTCTTACGAGTATATCTAAACGTACGCGTACATAAGATACACAGAAATAACTCTGGCTTGTGACTGTTTCCCGATCAAGTGTTCAGAATCATTTGGTAAACAATAATAAACCGCAATGTAAATATTGACCGAGCCTGACGATTGATCCAAATTGTCAAACAGAAGGGCTGGTGGAGTGCCGATCATTATTTGCAGCTTACCGTAATAACGCGCACGCTTCATAGCGCTTATGTCGTTATTAGAAACAACTTACGCCACAGCATGTGGTAATGGCATTGGTGGGATAAAGCTTCTCAATGATTTCGGCTGCTACTATAATGCTAACTATATGAGTATAGACGTACGTTTCTTTGAAAACGTATTAGTTTTGAGATATACAGTTTTGTGCAATATTCGGTTTTATCTAGCATTTAAAAACCTGAGCAGAGTGATTTTGCCATAACCATACAAAATCGGGCGGTTTTATGCAATCCATAAAAATGTCAGGATGCATAAACTTCTTACCATTGTCCAACTGGAAACATAAACTGCCGTTATCTGCACAAATGGCAATAGTTGACATAATACCGATCCCAGAGGCCAATCATCCATTAGAAGCCGTACCAGGCTAAATGGAATGTTTAGGCAAGTAATCAATAAATCCGATACAGCCAAATTCAGGATAAATAGATTCGTCACTGCAAAACCAACAAATCAACTTGTAATCAGCTACGCAACTAATTCAGTTTATGGTCAGTTTAGTAAGTTTACTGTAGGTTTGATGCGGTCGCAAAGATCGTAAAAATTTGTCTATGTTTTATGTTATTAAAAATGTAAAATCACCGATAAGCAAATACACCAACTATTACACTTAATAGCATTATCAGCAAGCAAGTCGGTTCACAAAACTTTTCAAGTAATAAACGTATTAGTTTATGAGGCAAAGTGATCTACTGAAAATATCTGCACAATAGTCAAAAATGGCGCCATTTAATCTGCAGTGACCATTTAAAAAGGTCAGTAATAATTTTCCGAATGCTTCTCATGTTGTTCGGAATCGCAAAACTCAAAATGTAAAATCTCTACTTTAATAGCAATAAATTAAGATATTACGCTTCCTTAAGGAAGTGAAAATACTCGAACGATATCATTGCCGTTTTACTGAAACACACTGAAAAGTGTTAATGAATAACAATGCGATACATACAGTAGCTTGTGTCTTTAGTAAATTTACCTGTGTGCATTCTCCGCATTTTGATGATGACGTAGCACACGAGAACATTCCCAACGATAGAGGTTATAATAATGATGGCATAAGCGAGGCAGATGCACACAATGTATGCATTGTCAAAGCTAACCGGAAACGGCATATCCGATAAGGCACGATAATCATACAAGAGGTCAGTCTGATTGGCCAGACGCAGACTGACACTCTCCTGTAATTCATCCAGAGACTGACCAAGGTCAGCTCCCAGTTCCGATGCCGAACAGCCGGCGGCATTATTAATGCACGCTTTGATTTTGTTCAGTACGTCTAGACCATCGAAATCGGATGCATTATCATCCAGTCCCCGTAAGAAGTCCATGCTGATGACCATTAAGACGTCCTAATTAAATAATTACGAGATGCACTCTGCTTGAAGTTTTCCCCGCTTTTTTTATTAATCCTAAGCACCACATATTCTGATGAATCCAGTTTTGGTAAAGCAGTGATAAAATCCTTCGCGTTGTTCTATATTATACCGTATTTGCATCACGGGAACCTGACCATGCTTGATAAATCATGCGGACAACTCAATTTGCACGAAGTAGAAAAGCAGCATGATATATGCAATCGTAAAACGAGCGAGGGTTTTTGTAAATTACAGTAACTGTCAAGAACAAATTGATTTGAACGACTGAAGGAAAAAAACAGGAATGAGTTTGTGTTGCTGCACTTCCTCCCTTTACGTGTGCCACAATCTGCAGGCGCATATGTACAACCCCGCCCACAGCATTCATGCCGGCGCTTTAAAACAGGCGAAGCAGCACTACAGTATTGCGTAGTAATATTATATGTATGCAAGTAAGTACAGTACTTGCGCACTTTCACGGGAACACGTCCCGGTCGGAAAAGAAGTAAGAAGTTCGTATGTACACTGCCTACAGATATGTACGCACAAAAACCGTTATTTTAGCATTCGAGAGCCATAGCTTGCAAAACAGCACACACAAAAACTAAATTATTAGATGTTTTGGTAAAATTTGATACTGCATTTACGCATTAAGCCAATCGGTAAACAAATATTGTTTTGCACTAGTCGTTTTGCAATTTTGATCGAAGCCGGCGAAAAAGAAACTGCGCGTTAACGCCGTTGCGGGAAAAACATCATTAGGAAAGCAACTTCAAGTAGCTTGTAAAAGATAAACGAAACCGACCGATGTCTTTCCGGGATGTTTACCGGGAAAATAGCAACTAGAAATCAACACTTTTTTGACGGGTGCAGCTGACACATATGGCGAGTGTGTTCATGGCATCTGCAAATTGGAGCGGACAATCTCCCAATTAATGAGCCGGTGGAGACGGTCGAGAACAAGTAATTATTGAGGCATTAATAAATCTGAAACGCATGCTAATTGTAAGCCGAAACATGGGCGATGTACTGGTACAATTAATATATATAGCGTCTTCGAGCAAGCGTTACTGAAAGACTGATACTTTTGCTGCAATTATTACCACGACTGATTCCGAAGAAATATTATTATTAACTGCAAATTCACTCAAGCCGTAACACGCCGGAAAACAAATGTACAAGATGGCAGAGTACGTGCAGGAAGGTAAAATTTCTGCTTCGTCACTTACGACAACCATAAATGATAAATCCTCGAGTACTCACTGTGCGAAATGAGCATCCAAAATTCTTTAAATCATTAAACCATGCACGCTTTGTGCATTACCAGTGCATATAATAATTATACAACATAATCTTACTTGCAAAAGACCACCTTTCCCGAAATCTTAACCTGGATAATTTACGGATTAAAACTCATGCAACCATGAACTAATCTGGACAAATGTCAAAATATAATTCGAGCAAATGTTGATACATATGCATTGTTTCACATTGCTTAAGTCTGAAATGATGAAGCCGCTGCGCTGCATTCGATTTTAATCGTAGGTACAAGCGATTGTAACAAAACCTATCACAAATGCCTAATAAAATCCAGAAAAACGGATTTTTGCTAAAAATGCCTTCCAGGTCTCATCAAGACAAAAGAGGCGTAAAAACAGAAGACTTTCTAATCACAACGTAGACAGACTGTAGCACCGGCAAGGTCTAGGTATCTCCAGAGAATAAAAGAAACGAAATAATCCAAATAAGTACCTAGTCGGATCCTGGTCACAAATCTTCCCCGCTAATCTCCATAAAAACATCATATTCTTCGCGATTACAGTGGCCTGAGTCGGAGAAGGAGTGCTTGTAGTATTTGCCATCCACGCATATCGCTACAGAAGAAAAAAGCACAGTTAAACCCAGCCGACAAATCGCCCGAGCTGCACAGAAACCTCGTTAATCTAACTGCACGTGCGACTATCAAGCTCTTGTTAATAAAGTATTAACAACATACTATTCAGCATGTGGGAATGAGCGAAACTGCACAGGGGCATGAATATAAGTTCGTTATTACGCTGATAACAACCTCATTTAATTTTCCCGACTGTTTTCGCGCAGTGGAAAACTAACTCACATTCATCTTTTAATCCGCTACATGGGTACTGAACATTTAAAATTAGTATACCACTTTTGAAAAAGCGTCTGATATGGTTTCTCATCTAAATCTCGGTAATCCAAAAACCGTGGCGTTGAAAATTGAGAATCGAACCTATTGAAAACCTATTTCATATCTCCCGCTTACCCACAATCGACTGCGAATTTTGCTGAGTGTTGAAAGCGCAGATGCATGGAACTTCGGCTGGTACGGTGAAACTGCAGATTCCCCACTGTGAGTCACTGTACTGATTAAACAATCCAATTTTTGGTAACCTGTAATAATAATTATTCAAAATTTCAAACGTGATCACAATGTTAGAAAATAACTCCCCCATGCCAGAGACAATTTAACTGTGCTTTTTTGTTGTAATTACCTTAGAAAAACGTAGCGTACAACAAAGCAACAATAATGTACTTTATGGAAAGTTGGAAACCATTAAACGACGGTTCCCAAACGGCACCAACGAGCAGTAGCGAATAACTTGAGCATCCCGTTTAAAAAAATGCATGTGAGAACAGCTAGTATACCATCTGGATTACACCACTGCTTACTTGCTCCTTTTGTTGAGTTTCTGATCTTCAAGAGCAAAAACGTGAACCGTTCCCTTATCACTTGACACGCACAGATACTCGGAATCCAAGCTGAAATTGATCGAATAGAGGCGAGCAGTATCCATTCCGCGGCGTAGTTCCACCAGCAGTGTCCTCTTCAGAGTGTCAAAAACGCGTATCAAGGTGCCCTACAAAATGCGAAGAAATGCGTAAATGATTCAAAATCCGAGACGTCAGTGCTTATTCTGTTGATACTATAAGAACTACTCTAACAATTGTGAGTATACTCACAAGTCAGTATTCTTCTGCTGATATATTCAAGAAAGCCGTTTCGACGATTTACAGGCACCAAAATTACAACAAGAATCCCATTCTTTCGCTAGGCATACGTAGCATTAGGCTGTCCACATTTGCCATATTGTGGGATTTTTTTCGCATGCTATTGTACGTTATGTCATGCAAGTAGTAGTCCATATTATATACTACAATTACAAACTGTAAACGTCCCTTAACCCGTACCGGTAATCAGAATCACAACCTTTAAAAGTATATACCTTTGTGGAAGCCGTAGCGCATTTGTTACCATTCTGGCTAATTGCGAGGCAGGCAAGATCATTTTCGTGCGCCTTAATTGGAGCCTGGGCTTTGAATGAGCTGGCGTCGTCTCCTGATAGATCCTAAGAAAATCAGACACAGTTATGCGAGTTTTCTCACCCGTTCAAGGTCGACCGACGTCATCAGGAAGACGCTCCTGATGCAGCCAACCAGAAAACACGGTAAATTACAACTCAAGCAAGAATAAGACACCAGACATTTCTATTTCGCTGCATATAAAGTTCGCGGAATTTTCCAGGCCAAAGACCTAACGTGGTACTGGTTGCGCCAGCTTCTGCCCGCAAGCTATAAGCTATATCGGATACCACCGGTGATCGATCACATACCTTAATTTGAAGAGTTCCTTTATTTACGCCAGGGTAAACCATAATTTGTCGGTCACTGGCGGTGTTTACTTCGCACAGCCCTAAAATAAATTATATAGCAAATCCACAGCGCTCATTTGAGTAATTAAAATTTAATGTATGTACAGTAGGTAGCTGAGAAGGAAATTACCAATGAAAGTAAAAATTATGTATCAACAATACGATACAAACCTATGCAATTATCATAATAAGCAAGGCATTGGTACTCGTACTTACTGTATATGTACTTATTTCACTACTGTAGCGCTGACTCACCTCGAGGATTGTCACGCGTAGAAAGTGTGACAATCTTTTCCGGATTATTAGGAAATCGAAAGATGTGGATTTCACTCCGAAGGATGCAAATTATTCTATAGATAAGTACACGTGCATAAAAATGTTGCATAATAAGCACAAATTTTAAGCATTTAAAAAGGCAAATTTTTATTCTTAAAAATTCTCAATAATAACATTGCTCAACATTGGCTTAAAACTCTGCTGCTTCTTGCCCGACTCAAACAAGGCGATACATGCAAAAGGAAAATCAAATTCTACATCGTAGGAAATAAGGACCGACACTTAATTACTTATTTTAAGAAGGGAACTTACTTATCACGTCGGAGACGAACCGAAATTACTGGCAGGGCAAACGTCAGCTCCAACACGAATTTCTTGGCAGTATCATCCCAGATCAAGACTACATTCATGATAAGAGAAAAATGTAACTGTTTTATAACACAGTACACTTACAGGGTTCCAAACTGTTTCTTTGAAGAATAAAAGCCATATTTTCACCATTCGCAATTTTTTTATAGTTTTTTCTGTCGTACCAGTATTCTCGGCAAATTTCGGCATATTCCCTCCGCTGACAATGGCAATGAGATTGCTACGGTACAGCATTTCACAGTTTCCAACACTACCAACAAGATCCTGGTCTGCAATCACAATTCGGACCGTTTATTGATTTGAAACACAGGAGCAGAAAAGAAATATTAGGAGAACGATTAAGCATTACATCCTGAACAACGAAGTGCTGCCGATCTCAAGTTTTTGCTAAAATAACATTTTCGAGAATTTCATCATCAGATCACTACTTCAGTTTAGCAGCGAAGGAGAATCAATAAAGTAATAAAGGAAGAAGTCCGAAGAACCCTATAAAACTGAGAGATTGTAATTTACTACGGCTACGCTGAAATTTAGTCAAGAATTTCAATTTTTTAAAAAAATTACCAAATTTGAAAATCTGAGCCAATGTTTCAGAAACCCGATTAGAAAATGATAAGCGCGTTTAAGTTTACCTAGACGTAGCTTTTCCACCAAAGGATTAACGTTATAGATGCGCATTCCGGATTGAAGTCCCACGGAAAAACAGCCTAGTACAGAATACAGATCACGATTCAAGCCTTCTTCATTCTGCATCACAGCAGTCAGCTTCGATAACAGGGTTAGATCAACAACAAACCACACTTTACCGAAATCTTGGTTGTATCGAAGACCCAAAATCCCATAGTTGGCGCTCGCCATTCTTTGAAGAGCAAGGCTTATTGTACTTGTACACAATCTTCTCCGCGCGCTTGGGGATCAATCAAACAGTTCCATTGATTCAGAATTATAATTATCATAACTCATAAGCCTTAAGCAATCAGCTGCTACTACTTAGCAAGTGCACGTGCTGCGATAATGAACGATAAATCATAAACAACTGAAAAATCAAAAATGGATATGATTTGTAAAAACGCAGTAGAAATACTTGAATGAAGTCACGCGGACAATGAAATCTAAATTGTAGCACAAATAAATTATTAATTCAATAACGGCGACGAAATTATTAGGGCAAATTACGTAACTTTATGACAATCGTTGGTTGGTCTTTGCGGAAACTGATGTTTTTGTTTTCTCGTCACCGTAACAAGGCGGTAGCGCAGTTATCACGCTGTGTGTTTGCCGGTGTATCTAAACGGTAAAATAACTTAAATCGGTAAATGGTATCACTTACCTTACTTTAGTGTACTAGTACTTGTCAAATTTAAAAAGTTGTAATTACATAAACTGCATAAAATTAAGCTGTAAATTACAATAATTATTTGTAATCATTCCGTTGTTTGCATTACTGTCGCCGGTTCTCGAAGGCTTCCACTCGAGATACTCCTACAGTTCATATTTATTGAGAATACGTTCGCTGTTTGGGGAAGGCAGATTCATCTCATGCGGTTAGAAACTAGCGAAAGTCAAAGCAAGTTTTTTTTGCAGTGGTAAGGACAGAAAAATCGTACAGGACGAAAAGTGCAAAAAAACAACGCCCACTCAATATGGTTATTGTATAGATATATGGTACACAGTTAGGTTCCGGTGTTGTGTCCTTTAACAACTCACGATAGTTCTTATTAACAAAATATTTATATACGAAAGTCACGGTAGTTGCACTTGCGCACAGTAGTGATTTGCGGTATTATTTCTCGGAACCCTGCCATCCGCACATGGAGCACTGTGGAAGAGGAGCAGAAGGCTGGATATCGATGAGCGAGCCCGAGTTTCTCCGTACGTCGCGGTTGATTCCTTCAGTTAGGTGGTCCTCATCCGGCAGAATGTCCTCTGGATCACGTTGGCGAACCTGTCGGTTGTATCGGATCCATTGCCGCAGTAGCCATGCCGTTCCGGCAATTAAGAGACACATGAGTACGATTAACTCCAAGGCTTTCAGCATTAGGCCCAAGATAGACCCGGCAACGACCATTTCGTAAGACATCCGTATGCGATGTGTAAGAAAGCGATGTGTAAGAAAGCGATCGAAGATGTATGAATTTCACGATATCAATGGCGTTAACAACATAGAAATAGAAATGTCTTATAATTATAATGTACGAATAGTCATCCTCTCATTACCTTACAGAATGAAGATACTGCCGGGTTTCCTGGCGCTGTTATTACCGTAAATTTCGTAACACCGTATGAGGGCAGAGTTGTCAATGACACAGTACTATAGTAGGGCTGTCAGACGTGCTCGTATCAATAACAAAAACATTTGCGTCCATGTACTTAATCCTTTTTGGACCAGTGGTCGCCTTAATCACCGCACTTTTAGTTTGATAGCGTTTTAATTAGAAGTCCATAGTTAGCAATACTGAATATTGACCCGCACAGAAGGAAACCATATGTTATATAGGCCACAATAATTTTACAACTTCCACACCTGTAGAAGTACCGTGCTTCATACATATTACCGTGCTTCCGCACTTCACCGCTCCAGTAAAACTAATACGTACATACGTTTTCCTGTTATTCACCTGCCAGGTATAACAAGTGCTGCCTAGTCTTCCCGACCCCTATTCGGCACTCGAGTTTGTACCGTATATTTGTCTGCATAATAAGCAAAATAACTATATAGATTACTGGAAGCGGCGACGACTCCAGCACCTATTGTAGGTATTTGACATGTGCAAAGCACAACTTCAGCTGACACTGCGACCCGGCTACCCAGTAAGAGCTGTACAAGGTACTGCCGCTTCTGAAGCTTGTGCAGCACATTGTAAGTAACTCGTACATGTTAAATACTGCTGACTTAATGATTTTGATTTATTGATCAACCAAATTTGTCTCTTCAGAATGGATTTCGGGAATTTTTCGTTTGCGGCGAGAAGCGCGTATGAGCGCCGCAAGACCTTAATTAATGCCGCAAGCGGTGGACTTATTTATGGCTCGAAGTCTACATTATTAATACAAAGTTGCTGTCCACATTTGCATCGATTTTAAATTTATTCCGAACTGTATGCTACTTTGGGAGCGGTAGACGATAGAACCAAATCAGAACAAAAACTTACAACAGTTTTACCGTCAGACATCTTCATACAGAACCATGCTTTCAGTTCCACAACCCGTTTCATCTTCTACTAGTGTACAACATGACCTTTTCATTAGCATTGCTTCCTAGCAGACCAGGGTGTCCAGCACCCTCCAGCTGACTAGCAATCTGTGCACTTAATCCCGACGCACTAATATCATATTTACTCCCGGTATTATCGGCAGTTTTGGCACTGCGTCCATAGGGTGTCGGTCCACTGTATGTACTGCCGCCGGTGTAGGGATCATAATATGAGCTGGAGCTGGTTCCGGTTGGATAATGACTGCTGTAGGATCCCGACAGATTTGAGGAATAAGAATCATAGTTATTATTGTTATTATAATTATTGTTGTTGTTGTTGCCGTAGCTCGAACGTCCGTATCCACCGGAATTTCCATACTTTCCACCCGATCCATAATTATTGCCACCGTAGCTGGATCCTGCAGAGGAGGCTTTAAAAGAATTTGTCGCATATTGATTGATGTAGCCCGCGTTATTATTGCCGGATGACGACAACTGATTGCCGTAATTAATATTGTTCTGTCGACCAGAGGCAACAGCTTGGTTCCCGTTATTATTACAGTTGTAGCAAGCATTTGTGTTATCAGAATTAAATAAATAATCCGGCATATATGGGCCCGCACCTAAACATTAACCAAAAACGTGATAGATGGGACCCTTTACGGTTTTCAATAAAAAAACAAGGGGGGCAATAATAGGTTTCGGAAAATTAATTTAAACAATTTTCCACAGATTGTATTTAACAAAAAGATGTAAAATTAATAAGATAATTAAGGTTTTATTGGGTTCCCACCTACCGGTTTTGGTCAATGTTTTGCTGTGCATGCAGAAACTTACCATAGCCTCCGCTGGAATAGCCATAGCTAGAACTGCCCTTCCCTCCATAGCCACCGCTGCCGTAGTTACTGCCGCCATAACCTTTGTTTCCATAATCATTATAGCCGCCACCTCCGTAACTGTTGCTGCCGTAATTGTTGTTATTGCTACCATAACCGCTGCTACCATAGTTATTATTGTTGCTGTAACCGCCGCCATAGCTGTTTCCGCCGTAGCTGTTTCCGCCATAACTGTTGTCTCGGTAGTTGTTGCCGCCGTATGATCCGCCGCCGCCATAGTTGTTGTTGCCGTAACCACCCCCATAATTGTTACCACCTCCGCCATACCCTCCATAACCGCCACCGTAACCGTAATCATAGGCCGGCACCGGGATAGGTGCGGGAATCGGGATCGGTGGTCCCGGCACGGGAATGGGCGGACCGGGCACCGGTACCGGAATGGGAATTGGTGGTGGTGGTGGATAGAGAATAGGAGGCACTGTTTATAATGACACAGAGACAACAGTTTTGTTAAAGACCCGGCACACCACTTGATGCTAATCAATACTGGGCGTTTTGACAGTTTATGCAGTGGTCAAGCAAACTTGAACCTTAAGGAGCCTGGTTAAATTGCTAAAGGCTAAGCAGGTCACATAATCGAGCAATGCGCATCTAAAGCTGATGTCACAGAGATTCTGCCGCGCGGCTCCCCGGCTTTCTGCCAGGGAGCACAAGTGCTTATTACGGACAAGTGGCTCCTAAGTGCCGACAGTTATAACTGATTTTACATTGGTGATACGGCGGTAACCTTCATTTTTGATTTCCTTGCACTGTGAGTCTGTGACCTGTGCTCATGCCATGATTTATATTTGGACTGCGACAGAATCTAACGGAGGCATGCATCCCCGTAAAGGCAATTGTGGGTATAATTATCATTATAAAATCCTTTGTACATAAATGATAGCCGCATATAATATTGGAAATTAGCAAAATAAGGTTATTACAAATTAACATTCGTGGCTTGTGAACATTCCACATTTGGTTATAAATCTGTGATATCTTAAGCAAAGCCTGGTATTCTCATAGCAACACATTCCTATTGCCACAAATGAATTATAATTCCTTGAAATTTTTACTGACAGAGATATGAGTACATAATTCTCAGTTTTCAAAAAGGGATTAACAACTGCTGAAAAAGATTGCGCCCTTCGGTTTCAGAAGAATATTTTACATGCCACTTGAAACCTTTCCAAAAAAAACCAACAACTCTGCTTTCTCGGAAAGCCCTATTTCAAGGAGCCAAACAAAAAGGATGGCTTAAAGGTGCATGTGTATTGAAGTTGTTGGCTCGTAAGTATACTAAGCATAGACTTTTTCGAGAAATAGAAGTAGAGCAAATAAGGTTGAGGATAATGTGTTCGTCAATAATTTTCCGAAAAACTAAATAGAAGTACCAGTTGTTTAAAAGTGATGAGAACTGAATCTTGCGGAGATCGCACGATCACTGTATGGACAACGGTCAGTGGCGTCAAATGTCGATTTCGAACGCTTTCAAGAAGGTTACCGCGTTTGGGTATTGATTCCACAAATCCACATTTTTGTTCATGCACAATATAAGTACTACCTATACATACATTATACATTTTTGCGGATGTAAAGTGGAAAGCACGGCTAAACGGGCAAAAAAACTAATGAAGACGAAATTAAAATAAGATAAATCTGGATTTTTTGATCAATATCACAATTTTTATGCATTCATTTTTATGGCTTGTTTAACTTACTTGGATATCCATATCCTCCTCCGTAACCGCCGCCACCATATCCGCCACCGCCATACCCGCCACCGCCGTATCCACCTCCACCGTAACCGCCACCTCCATAACCACCGCCGCCATAACCGCCTCCTCCGTATCCGCCGCCTCCATATCCGCCTCCGCCATATCCTCCATATCCGCCACCATACGGCATGGCATAGCTGGGCGCCAAATAGCTAGAGGACTGTCCGTAACTTGAGCCGGTAATGGGAACACCCTGGATGACGTTTGTCCCGGTGACGGTGGTGCCGGCCACCGGTGTCCCTACCACCACATTCTGTCGAGCGGGATCCGCTGTTCCCTGGGCGGCGGTTGTAACGGTGATACTGAGCGGTACACTACCGCTCGCGGGTGACGCTTGCCGACTGGTCAGTGCGCTGCCCGTCGCGGCGGTCAGCCGGGCCGACACTTCTTTCCGTTTTGATGCATCGGCAATTGTGGGCTGGAATTCGCGTTTGGCGACGCTGGAGGAGGATGCGGCCGCCGCCGGCTCTTGAGCAGTCTCCGCGCAGACGCACGAAAGGAAGATGAGGGCAAAAATATGGCCGAGAAGCCGCATTGTTTCTCGGGGGAAGAGAGACAGTGACCGCAGATGGTGGCAACTTAATCCTTAACCATTTATTGAAAATTAATTGATAAAAAAGCAGACAAGTCGATGCAACTGACTGACGACTCAGCGCAGGGAGTTTGCACTAAAAAGGTCTTAGGAGCCAACTGACCATCCGAGCATCGCGGCGAGTTTATTTGAGGGTGTTAGCTAAAGAAAAACTGATGATGCTCTCCCCTCACTGGGCAGCTGCACTGGCTGCTAATAGCTCTTGACTTTGAAATAACCGAGCAAATGCTCGTGAATGTCTGGCTCTTGTCTTTATATGTTTTTTTTCTTTCTTTCTCGATATTACTTGAGCTCCGTTATAGCCCGGCCTGCCCCGTATAGCGCTCGGTATCATAAGTTATGACGCTTGTTCATTCAAGGCAACAGGTTAACTAGAAAGACAAATATGCTGAGCCGGAGTGATTGAACTAATTTGTCTCTCCACTGTAAACGATCAAGCTGACCGGTAGCGTAAACCGTTCAACATCCATGTTAAACAACTACAAATCCCTGCGGTGCTGGCCGTACAGCACCGGACTATACGCTTCAAGATACTGTCCAGTTTTTAATCCGCCAAAAATCATGTTTTCCATCAACGACATGCGTAACGTCGTGTGATGATGTGCGTTCTCAGCCATCCTAATAACGTGCGGTCTGTGTGTGTGTATTCGCGCACAGACTGGCTTGATGGAATCCTTCCGGATCGATAGGTTGAATCAAAACAGCTAAGTAACTTTGATAATCCAATAACGCGTACGACAAGACAACGGTTGAAAGCTTAGCGGTTTCGGTTCGGCATTTGTGAAACTGTCATAGGGAAATAAAGAGAAACTGTAGTATCAAAAATATCTGCTACCTGTTAGCTAGGGCTCATGTTGTTATGGTGCAACTGCCAATGCTACAGCGGTGCTGTTAGTACTTACAAAAAATGAATAGGTAAAATAAAATTTGTGATTTTATAAATATTTTATCAATATAGCAAGAATTAATTAATTAATCAATTAATGACGTTACTGCTGTGTTAAACTTATTTTTATAAAACCAAATCGAAATTCCTGAAAAATGCATGTGACATTCATCGGTACTGTAGGAGCAAAAATTCAAAAAGTTTACGAAAATATAATTAATGAGTAATAATTACAGGTTTTTAATGCGAAATGTTTGCACAAATATATGTGGCCCATCGGGTCATTTTATAAAAGTATGTTGTATAATTATAAGGCATACGTGTATACAGTTTTATGCAAAGAATAAGATGTTAAAATTAAAGCATTTCTATGCGCTCTCTTTTTTATTCTTATACAGTATTTGCAGTGGTTGTTAATATCAAATGAATGGAAAGTAAATAATGGCTTGTCGACCTCTGTTGCTTTGAATAATCTCTTTAGGTGACGGTGACGATACGGTCCAAAAAAGTAAGCACCCTGCATGCACAAGTTATGTGCATTGAATCATGCCTGCATGCTGCAATGAATGCAAACCTTCCACAAAATTATCGTAAATTCTAAACTTTCCGATAAAGGTAAACTATAGCTTTAGCGCATACGTAAATGCTTAATTTATAATCCCAACGAACGGGTGTGATCGTTATATCACAAGATCCCCCCAGCATACAAACATCTCCACGATTTAAGTGGACGAAATGTCCTCTTGATACGTAGCACTAATTTCGCGCTGTAAACAGTACTACACCTGTCAAGCACCATCTGACCATAACTTCTTCAAACATTTAGCCATACCGGCAGTTTCTTTGACCTTAGGAAAGCTGTTAGATCATGGCGCAATGCAAATGTCGTTAAAGGTCAGGTGCTGTGGGAGTGGGTGTCGTCGTTTTTACCGTGCTGGTATGATGTGATATGCTTTAAATTTGGAACCCAGCACGTAGACAACGCGCGCGAGAATACACAACGGTGCCTACCAAGTTCACGGTCACTGGCGCGCAACGTACATCCAATATGGGCAGCTGTGTAGAGTAGCGCCTTGTGATGCTGTCACATTGATAAATGTTTGCCTGTTTATTTTAATATGTTTGTTTGCACGCGTGCGTTTTATGGGGAAAAGTTACCGTATAAGCTTCTTTAAATGAATACGTACTTGTTGCAATGCAGCAATTAGCGAAAACTTAAACAGCACGGAAATAAACCAAATTATCAGATGACTTATTGCTAAATCAACAGTTTTTCAATAAAAGTTAATAAACTGTACAGAAAATGTAAACCGCACACAAATGAAAACCGCGGCTTCGTTTCATCATTCATGCATCTAACTTTTACTGCATAAAATCTGCAAAGTTATGAGCAACCGCAGATTGGTATTTTACTCCTGCTGTATATAATATTTTATGGCATAGTTTATACAAAAATAAATGTTAGCTTAAAGTTTAATGTATTTAGGAAAACTTTCACTTCCAAAGATAATTCGGGCATGGCAATACAAACTTATGTTCTATTATGTTGGGCTAGATATAGGCAGAAGTAGTTGAGTTAAAATTGCTGTAACCCAAACGGTATACGCCGCATTACTTCGTATGCCATGCTACTGTAGGTTTGAGAAAAGTTTCACTGACGATGCACCGTTTACATTTTGTGTTTTGGACAATACCTTCACTGTTTCGCAAATCTCTTCGGCAGTAAATCTTTGCCAACTTTTATTAATTGTACGACAAATTAAACTTTGTCTCGTAGTTTTCTCAGTGTCAGTTACCGGTAAAACGCATATACAATATGAGCTACTCAATCTGAATACGTGTGATGAGACATGCGCAACCCCGCTGTGCAGAAATGTGCAATGTATCAAAATAGCACCTTTGAAGATTTCATGGACCAGTAGTTTATTAGAAAGTTTCTTTGATTATGACAGTAATGTATTAGTCCTAATGATGATCATTCATTCCAAATGTCGAACCTAATGTAGCACACAGCTGCGTTCTCGTACGACAAATTGAATAGACATTGTACCGTCCTGTAAAATATCTAATGAATGATCAAAACACGTTTTTAAAACTGCAAACGTGAGCACTTTTGCTTCTAATGATCTGCTTTTTGGTTGTAGGTACCAGTAACGGTTTTGTTCAGGCATGACAATACGGGTATAGGTATACAGAATAAACGTACAGTACGGTACAAAAATATGTACAACTTGGTTGCGAATTGTACAGTACGAACCATAAATTCTAAAACGTTAATATGGTGTAGTCCGCGTCGTTCCAATCCAGGCGCTAGAAGTTTGCGCCCCGAAGGCAAACGAAGAATTTCCATAATATTACCTTCTTTATGTCAACGTATATATGGCCGTATATATACTGTAAACGCGAATGCAGGCACTTATTCTTATCTTTGCATGACCTGCATCAAGAATTTATCGACGTTTTGCGAAAATTCTAGCGAAATCCGTATCACAAGGTAAACCTACAAAGTGCCTATACTGATAGCGAATGCATTAATGTTTATACGCGCCCAATTTCCTTGCAGATGGCATCGCCTGACGACAATCCGAAGCAGAATGCCACAGTTGTCCCGAAGAAGGTCGAAGGACCGGAAGCGTATAAGTACAAATTCCACGACAAGGATTTTTTGTAAGTCGCTCCTGTTGTTTAATTTAATACCGGCTCTCTGTATGGCTTTCGGAGCAGTGCAGCTTAGCTAATTATTTATATCGTCAGCAGATAATATTCCATTGTGGATTTTGTTATCGCTTTCTTGGTGCTTGTTTAGACAAAATTATCATGGAACAAGGGTCTTTTACCCATTTTATCTCACCATACCCAGCATCGAGAAATTTGAAGCGGATCCATCGGATGTGGCAATCGTAACTTTCCCAAAATGCGGTAAATCTGCAAACTTATTTTGTATTCGACTGGAAGTCTACACATTACGTTACATGCACCATGATGCCTGCTATGGGCGTGTTTAATTACTAGTATTTATTTTCGATGTCTCATGTACGTGTACCTATCTGACTAAATAAGTACAAGCAAAAACATATGCATAATCAATTTTCACATGCATAAAACTAGAAATTATCAGAAAATGTAATGGTAGATGACGCAAACGTAGTTTTACTTAAACATCAGAGGAATGTTATCTCTGTCTTCGTTGAAAACGCAGAACGGTTTATCCGATGGACATGCATAGGTCGGCATAACCAGCACCAACATAGTTGAATAGTTATGGATTTATGCGGAACATATCGGAATGTAAGGAAAGATTATAATCTAATACTTCCATATGCATCCAACCTTCAGGCACAACATTCATGACAGCCATCCTGCATATGATCAACAATGACGCCAGTCCCAAATGCATGACCGAAGGCCCCAATTTGGAAACTTATTTTCCGTACATGGAAATGTGCACACCTAATATGCCGGTCGGGGCGCGCCCCATTGACCGGATGCTGGCCATGAAGCCGCCACGGCACTTTTACACGCATTTCGGCTGGGATGCGCTGCCGAAAAGCGTCATCGAAAAAGCCAAGGTGTCTGAAATTTAGGATGGTACAATAATTACCAAACAAAGAAAAACATATATAATTCAAAAAGGTTAACGCAAATGGGAAGAAAGTGTGATTGTTAACATTCTATTAACAAATGTTATTTTTGCACTGATTCTTAGATTATTTATGTTGCTCGAAATCCGAAAGATACCATTGTGTCTATGCACCATTTTATGCGGGCAACGCCGTCAGCCGCATTCAAGGGGACAATCGAGGAGACCTTCGAGTCGTTTGTTAATAACCGCTGCATTTATGCACCATTTTGGGATCACGTGGCTGACTTTTGGTCAAAACATAAAAATCACAGCAATATCTTTTTCACCACATTCGAACGACTGTTAAAGGTAAATATTCAGTGGCTGTTCAGTTAACTTTCTTAGGCTAATTTTGGAAATTTTGCTTGTAAAGGAAATAATGTATTATGGTAGTTATTAGTTCTTACGCATTTGTATTTTTGATCAAATGTTTTAGGATTTTAAAGGTGAGACGCAAAGACTAGCGCGCTTTCTCGGCAAGGAATTCACTGATGAGCAACTAGACACCATCCTTTTCCACTGTAACTTTGATGCTATGAAAAAGAACAAATTAACCAATCGGGAAGCCATTGCCGCCGCTGGCTACTGGGATTTTAATATCTCCCATTTTATGAGAGCCGGTAAATATGAACCTTACAATTGATCCTACAGAGTACTATTAATATATAGTTGTGTAGCTTGTAGTAAAAAAACGTACTTACATAGTGAAAACTTATATCTGCTGTACGTGTAGGAAAAGTAGGAAACTGGAAAACGGAACTGCCACCGGAATTAAATAAGCGCGTTGATGAGTGGATCGAAAGCGAGCAGAATAGGCTCAAGGACAAATTACAAGGCTTGGAGTTCGAATACGAATGAAACCTTAACACTGCCTATGATCCAAAAGCTGATTATAATTATTTGATTAGAGCATTCTGAAATATTGCAGTGACCACTACACCAGACAACTTGTACAACAGTTTTATTACTCTATTACAAATCAAAGTCCACCTGTAAAAGAAAATGGTGAGCTTTTATCAATAATGTGCTATAGTAGTATAGCTACGTCGTGATACTAGGACGGACATTGAAAATACGAGTAATTTGTTATGCTTGAAAGTTACATTACGCTGCCCAAAGCGAATTTACTGATCAATCGAGATAAATAAAGTTCATCATCAAGTGAATAAATAACAGTTAAACACTAAAACTGAATAAACTAAGAATAAATATAATACTGCAGCTGACAGCCGGTAAAATACTTGTCGGTAAATATTTTAGAGTATGAAGGCTTCCTGCCTTGTCGGATTTGACAAAAATCACCTCAAAACGGCAAATATTCAGTCAGCACTTCTTGCCAACAAACAAAATCATAAACAAAGATTCTAACGATTTGATAATATCAACCTTTAGTCTAAAGCTTATACCTGTGCAAAATGTATTTCATATTTATTCCCATTTGGTTTGTAAAATGTTCGGTAAAAACTGCAGGAAGAATCAAACTATAAATGGAAAGTGAAGCGGTATATAAGCCGGATACAATACATGAATTACGGAGTGGCTGTGGTCTGTCTGCTGTTTCAGATACGTTAGCCTGAGTGAATTAGCCAGAGCTTTCATAACGTGGTAGCAGGTCAGATAAGTGTTTCGCTCTTCGAGTGAATACGTTCGGGTGTATTTTGTAGGATAAATTTACCCACTTTCATTTGGGTTTAAAAATGTTTTGGAGCCTTAAAGTTTCTTTGGAGCTTCAGGTGGGCTAGAATTTCCCTACAATCGTTTAATTACCACAGTTCACTCCAGGAAACGCATGGCCTGTTGCCATCTGCGCTTCTTTTTTGACTAAAACAACTAATTAAGACGAAATGTATTACGTACTGAAGTGATTTACTGTGTGATTTTTTGTTTCAACTTTCACCAATGTGTATTTGTGTAAAGAACCGATTAAAGTTACTACTTAATTCCAGTTTTGTTTTTAGAATTTCGCTTTCGTGAGAAACGTTGGTCAAGGCTACAATTAAGCATATGCATGTCCGAGTTTCGGCAATGTCTCTATTATTTATTTGTTTATTTGTTTATGTTATTCAGAAGAACAGCACTGTACGTATGTATTATGGCATAATATATACACCCTGCGCTTCTAAGATTTTGCATGCCCATACATATTTCGTTACGTACTTTTGTTCAGAGTAATACAGTACTGACGTAGTACTAGTTACAAGAATTACATCATGGGAAATGATGAGATCCGCGTAGCGAAAAATATTTATACAGCTGCATGTAAAAAGACCCTATAGATACAAAATTTCTGCGAATCCAACACAGAGCCAATATGAAAAAAGATGGGATCACAGTACGCTTTCCTAAAAGTTTACCTAAAGTATGAAAATAATCCGTGATTAAGTGCAACTAGGGTGGAACAAAAACTCATTGGGTTATGTACATGATGGTAATACAGTACTAGTAATACGCAGTTCTACTTGTAATAATTGACTTTTGGGACTTGTATAGAATTCATACCTATTGATTTTCCATCCATTATTAATGGTATTTCGGATGCAGGTGATGTCATAATTCAGATTATTGATACCGCGATTCACGCTGATCTTCCGGTCATGAAATGCCGGTTGCGAAACAACTTCCCATTTATTAACCTAGCTGGTTCTAAAATTAAGTATACAATCAGGCTGCTGTAGCCCGCCGCTATAGGTATCCTTCTTGCATACAGGCTTAGGATTTCTATGCTGTTATATAGATACTGTATCTATTTTATAATAATATGCGCTGTTTTGCTTTGTGCTAACCACAAGCTACTCTAGATGCTTACAGTACATGCACTGCGGATTGATCGGCAAGTTAAAATACTAGTGGGCAATCCGGCTAGACAAAATGATTATTATAGTTACAGTATTCTGACTGTTTTGAGTTCAAAACTACACAATTATTGTATTAATACAGATTATGAATACGGTACTTCTATGCGCATGCAAGTTTTGACTAAATTTGCATTGATAACATTAATTGTTAATTTACGCTTCTGGCTAGTATATCCGTTCATACTGCAATGCGCTTCTCTTCGCCTGCCTACTGATCATGCATAGTTTACGGTTAGCAACATCTGTTTTGTGTACATGCCCACTAGTATTTTTTCAAGTCGCCGACAACATACGATTCGTCGGAAGCAATCCATGCATGGCCATTGGCCATGCATACATATTCCGCAGGCCCAACAAAGAGATCTTCCTGGGATCAGTTTAATCACATTCTTAATCTCTTGAGCTAATTAAATTTTGCTCCAGCGTAGAAATTTCCGCGTGGCGCAGCAGTAACGAGCGAGTACGATATTACAAATTGCAACAGCGCATGGCCAGAAGATAGCAATATTTTTAAAAAAGTGCTACAGATATGTAGTAAGTTCTAATTATAAGTCCAAAGTTTACAAAGTTGTAAATGAATTATTCCATAGATCAATACGTTGAGTACGTACTTGTACAAAGAGAATTAGCCCAACAACACTATCTGTACGTACAAGCTGCAGCAAGGACAACAAATGCAGACTGGCAAATATGGAATGTTATTTTAAAATAAATCAACAGTTCATCAATAAGGAACGCTACGCACACTAATATTTTTTTATTACTTTGTACTGCCACTGTGCTACGACTTTTAACATATGTTTTATCGCTTTCATTTAATTCCACGCAAAATCAGCAGCACTAGCAACATGCACAGACAAAGTTCAATGTCAGGCAGCTCGTAAACAATTTAATAAATGAGCAAACAAATTTGATTAATGCGCTGGAGCTTGCGTCTGTACAGATAAAGCCAAACATGGCCGCACTTGTTCGGCACACCTATGTGACCTTTGCCTAAGGGGACTTTGCCGGTAACCTGTTTATACTTAATAAACTCGTTTGAGCATGCTTACTACATAGAACTAGCTGTACATTTTATGAAACTATGAAAATGTTGTATTTCAATAAATTATGTTCTTTTCAATCACAAATATTTTGAAATTTGAAATTACTGTAGTAATAGTAAGTCGTAACTCTAGGTCCTGCATGAAAAAAAGTAAGAATCGACAGAGTATGCGGTTGCCGGTTTACAATGACGTATACAACGCATGTCCCGAAGGTCTGGGTTCCAATCCGATTTTTCGCAAATTAAAAGCTTCGTGAAAGACTGGGCCACACGGTTCATAGAAGTAAATGCCTTTCCTTAATCATCAGTAAATTCATTTTGACGTCTGCGCCGCCCGTAAGCAAAATTCAGGAAAAGTCAGAGACAGAAAACACTGTCAGCTAATTCAGCCGGGAACAACGCCGTGCCGTGTAGTGAACGTAGAGTCAGTACAGGGCTCACGCACAGGCACTATATAACTTCCTCCCTAAAATAAGCTCTTGTTTCCCGACTGATGTCACGTCTGGGGAGGTCGGTAAACATAGGAATTTAATGACTATGAATTGCTGACTGGTGTGGAGCATGTAGTGGGCGTGTCGAAGGCTTGCATGCCGCGGCGTTTGTTGTTGGTTTTTCCCGGCTTTAATGTGCATTATCCGGGCATATATACACATACATGCATGCGATAGAGCTTGAACTCGTGTTGGACAATGCAGTGAAAAGTCACTTTAACTACCGATATATCGTGGCAATTTTACACAAACAGAGAGTATCCTTTCTGCACTATCTCTCTCGTCTCCTTGCGTGAAACGATTTAATGCCCGGGTCCAGTATAAAAACGACCGTGTAGCGTTGGCATGTAAATTCATTTGTCTAAGCGTGCATGCTTGAGTAATTGGCGTGCCAGTGCAGCATACAAGCAACGCTTCCGGTTGTAGAGTTTAATTTGTTGTTCACTAAATGTTGTTGTACTCTTCACGCCACACCAACCGTAGTGCCTCATCCAGCCGCATCGCGGATTATCCCCAAATGGGTCCGGAATTATTTCCCATTAGCGAGCCAACGGCCAATGGTCCCAAGATGGCCCTTCAGCAATTAGTACGCCGCAGCAGTATTATGCAGCCGTGTAACCACAGTAGTTTCCGTTCGGCAAAAGGCCGGGTTCAACGGAAGGCCTCCACGACGTGTGTCCCCGAAATTCAAATCCCTAAGGAGCAACATCGCCGGGTAACGGTGTTGGGTGCAGGTAAGGTTTTACCGCGTTGTTATCGCTACAGGATTCTTTTGCGCTAAAAGTTGTTGAGCGGAAGTTTGCCGGTGCAGTTCTCTCGTAGGGAAGTGTGTCGGGATAAGGGTATTTTTAGTTACTGTGTTAAACCACTGCTGCACCTGGCATCTTGTATTGTAATTGTGAGGATGACTGGTTCATCGGCATATATTGGTAACTTCGATCTCGATGCTCTCTCTCACTGTAATACGCCCACGATGTTTGATTATCTGTACAGTCATATCGCAAGCGTATACTATATACGCTGGGTTTGGCGGACCGCGTGACAAAGCGATCATACCTCCTTCTTTAAATCAATAATCTCCGTTAGGTTTTTTACGCTTAATTTGCAATTATATATTTGAGCAGTATATATGCTGCAGAGTTTGTTTGATGCTTGATTAATATTACAAACTTGTGCCTTTTTGATAATGCTACTACATGACAAAAATGATACTGCATATGATATGTGCAAACACTTGATACAAGTACGGTACGAGTACTCATTCAAATTTTTGCTCACCTCAGTCACCTGTAAGACTATCATATCGAAATAAAACGGTGCGCATAGGTCATCGCAGACTATAGATCACAAGGCGGATATCAAAATATTTTGCGTATTTACGAGTCGGCATACTTATTAATATGTTAACAGTTAACCATCTATCGGCTTGAAAAGCCAGCTGCCAGTATGAGTAAACTATCGCAATCGATAATAATTGATATCCACTTCACCGCCAATAAACGTGTTAAATTTTTTATGTAACGCTTGCATGTGCGTTTGCCCTGTATTTTGGCTAGATTATATCAGCTACACTTTCACTTTATCGGCACTGTATCCGTAAAATATAAAACTGGATTTCTAATGCATATAAAGCTAGAGGTAACACAAACAAATAATTACGAATTTTATGCTGACCGTCAAGTTTGCCGTACACTGTGACATCGTCATTTCTTGTATGATTTTAATTTTAAATACATGCACGCATGTTTGAATCACGTTGCAAGTGTAAAATCGTGCAAAATTTGCATAGTTTAGTTGGCTGTAGTAATTCGTTCTGCACAAATATCTATGAAGAACACCAACCGTTAACCACAAACTTTTCTTTTCCTATCAGATTCTGGAGCTCGCGTTAATCTGTTGTAGCAACACAATCGTGCAAATTTCAAGTACAATTGAGCAAACGTTTTTTCGTTTATATAAGTATCCAGCCGCTTCAGATCATAAGTCAGGATGTGATCGGCATGATCATGGTTATTCATTCAGCAGCCATACAGAATCAGCTGTATAGATATTTCCTCATCAGTTGCGCAATATGTGAAGCGGACACTCTGTGGCCAGGAAGATGGCAAAGATCACTTAGCCGGCAAGAACAGAGGCCATAATACACCATTATCTTAATATGATGTATGTGACAACAGTGAAATCGAATTATTGCCGTCTGTGGACGCGGAAGCCGTAAGATTAATTCGTTACTTGTGCTCTTTATACGCGTAATGTTAAGCAATATGTTACACGGTATTTTTCAATTACATGGCAAATGATGGTCCAGCATAACAGCTTCCCACAAAGAGACACGCAAGGCAGTTAAATTTCAATAAACTTCCGCTGGTCATAGTGTCGCGTTCAGTTGTATTCATGATATGTAACTTCTTTCATTTGCTACTGAATTAAATAAGTTTACGTAATATGATATGGTAAATTCATATATAGTAACTGCTTGTACATATAAATTAGTGTTCCGAAAATAAAAACTTTTGTACGCGTTCAGATTTTCTATGTAGCGTTATTATTTTACCTTCCGGCAGAAAACTTTTCTCAAAATTTTGTGCTAGCTTTAACGGAGTACATCTTACTATAATTGTACTCTGTAGTAGTAGGTACGTATATTATATATCCATATGCAAACGCCATAATTTTACTAATGTACCTTTACTGAAATACATACTACGATTTTAAACGGCACTTTAAATTACACAATCGAAGGTTATATGGGAAAAGATGTTTTGTTCGCTTAATTTAAGCATCACTGATTACCGCCGCTTACATCATCTGCATTTTCCAGGAAGCACCGGAAAAAGTGCCATCATCACGCAGTTTTTATATGAAAGGTATGCATGACAGACTGTATGACAAAGGCGCGGTCTTGCGCATCCGTGGCTGCCCTATACCCATCAGCAACGTTACTCATGCTTCATTAGGGAATTTTAATTTGTCGCTTATTCTCCCGTACAGATTCCCCAATCGATACAAAAAGACAGTGGATGAACTGCACCGTGCCGAATACGAGATCTCCGGCCAGAACCTGACTTTGGAGATTCTGGATACTTCCGGATATTCGGAATTTCCGGCAATGCGCGAGCTGGCCATCAAGAAGAGTGACGCATTTATTCTCGTGTTCAGCGTCGATAATGAGGGCTCATTAGAAGAGTTAAAAGAAATACGGGAGGAAATTATTCGTGTCAAGAACGAGCAACGTCGTGCTGCACAACAGTCTGAACCTTTGAAAATTCCCATGGTCGTCGTGGCCAACAAAGCCGAACTGGAAGACAATAAGTGGAAAGTGGATCGGACCTACGTGGAATGCTTGGTAATTACAGGGCATGTCCGTGCCATTTAACCTGCACGCAGAAACTACTAAATTATGTGGGAGGATACACAATTCAATACGATAAGAACTATTCCAGCAAATCAATAATTTTGTAAAATTAAATAAACGGGTGTTCATGATCAAGTACTATAAATTACTGAAGCAAGATTGAACAAAAACACATATCACGTGAAAATAATTTGGTTGTAATAGGCCGCTGCCTTTTTGAGCACCCATAAAAGCACATTGGTGGCAGAAATACAAAAACATTAATAGAATGAAATTACGTCCCTTAAATTCTTGTACAGCATGATTTCCTGTATTTGGCGGGTTGAAGACAGCAAATAAGCAGTGCGGAAACGGTTATACTCTGATAAAATCTGGACTAATAGTCCATTTCCGGTAGCAGTTCCTATTTGCAATGCGAATTCGGCTGCACAGACACTGAGTAGTAAAAGAAATATTTGTGTTTTTTAGGTTTTGGAAAGCTAATCTTGCCGGTAATAATATGCTAGTAATAAAATTTCGCAAATCTCTGCTACTTTGATATTATGATTATTCTGGCGCAAGAGGTCATCTAGAAAACGAATTATTTTCGGCACAAGATACTGTATGCAAGCAGTGCCTAGCAAATCGTTGCATATACAGAATACACTACATGAATATTTAAAGAAGAAGCGCAAATCTTAAGCTGTAACTGATTAAATTGTTATTCAACCCGGCAACTTTTTTAAGCACTTGTGCATCTCATCCGAGAAAACGAAGTTGCGCTTTACCTAGTTGCAGCTCTTTAGTATCCTCTTATCCATCGAAATCTGGGTTTATAATTCCTCAAAGAACTCTCTTGATGATCTTAAATTCTTTCTGGGCAACCTCGAAATCCCCTTTACATGTCATAGTCGCATATGCGTAACAGCGCTGTCAATGCCGCATATCAGCCACTGGTGAATATCCGGTGATCGGTAATGAACGGCATCCTTATGGATTTTTCATCATTAGACATGTCTAAAGACGTTTTCCTCTTTCCTATCAATAATTGATCCCAAGAAGCTAATTTCTTGCCAAAGTCGTGAGCTTTTCAAGAAGGCAGGGTTAAGCTTCCGGAACGGTGGGGTCACTGAATGACTGCTTAATGATCAGTGCAATTTTATGCAATACAAAGTTAAAAAGCAATCTATGTGGTAGCATTAGCGTACGGAATAAACAATCAATTACATGTAGAAGATGAGCATAAGTTGCACATGTGCCACAATAACATCAGCCTCTAGGAAATTATAATATTGAAATTCTGTTGTATGTATCATACCCTTGGAAGGCATTATCTGTACACTGATCTGTGCATAAGTGTTATTAATCGCTAAATATGAAAAATACGTTATTATCTGCGTCGGCAGATAATAACACGCGCATAGCACGATCTCCTGCCCTTTGCTGGGAACTTTAGGCTTACATTAAGCGCCATTCCAAAATCTAAGACGTATTTCTGCGAAGATTGCAATTAGGGACAAGTATTGTATACGGGAGCCTCGGGTTTAAATACTTCCGGTTGGAGCATTAACCGGTAAATTTGGTTGTTGAACTTGGGCAGCGCCATTGTTGACAGGATATCTGACATCGGCGCTGCGTATACTGAGCACTGAGATCGCCTGACAATGAAACCTGAATAAGCTTCATACAACCTCGTTGACCAAGTATTGAACGATGGGATGCCACATTTTCCAAATGTCATTACAGGTTAAGTGTGACTGGGATTCATGTGGATATGTGGAAGCGTCAGCAAAGACCAGTGTGGGAATAGTGGAGATATTTAAAGGTTGGGCATTTAATAATATGTCAGAATTGATTATATGCACGCAGTACATGTTATTTATGCATGTGACATAATGACATTCGTGGCATGTTGAGGTAAATTAACGGGATACAAAGGTCATAAAATTTCTTCAAGAATATATTTACTTCGAAGTAAAATTATTGACAAAGCCTAAGATTACGATGCGCTGCGTAGCGTAGAATTAAATCAACACTCCATACGCATCACAATATGATGTTAAATTTTGGTTTTGTGTTTATGGAAAAATATCTATATGTCCTCCTGTCGAATAGTAGGACCAAATACAAAAATCTGATTCTAATCGGCGAATCATTAGTATCGTATGATTTGTATACTGCATTATTAGAGTGAGCCCTTCTTGTTCAAGTCTAAAAATGTTTCGCTTAGTTTTATTTTACAGTACAGGTCTGTAAGTGCCAGTGTGATCTTAATTAACTTTTTTCCAATACAGTACTTTTTTCTTGATTTAAATGCTCTATATTGTACTGCTTATTGATACTTAAAGTGGAACTGTATGGCCTACATTAGCCGCGACGATTCCGCGAGAGTATTCATAAAGCTTTATGCCATTTCTATGAAAAGCTGCACTTATTTTAATTTACTTTTTAAATTATAGCATTTTTTTGTTAGGTATGCACTATGTACATTGTATATATCAATTTCTCTGCATAAAACAATTTGAATTTGATAGAACTTTTGGTGCAAGCCAATGTTCGATACGCCCTGAGCCCGGCAATAAAGAAACGGCGGGAATCCATGCCCAACGTTTTCGCGGGTATTCCCGCCCGGAATAGCAGTCCGGAGAACGATCAAGAGTACAGCAGTCAGGTTTCGGCAACACCATCGCGAATGGGCAGTGCGTCCAGTTCCCGTCGGGGAAGCGTCATCGGTTTGGGCAAGCGTGATTCTTGTGCCATTTCGTAGAAGCTGGCTGTTCTACAAGATACCTACTCAGTAGATGGAGCCAATATGATGAATGTACCGAAAAGTAAACCCGGAAGTACGGATTGGATTTCACAGGCGCGCGCACGCGCACACAAGACCTTGAAGATTTTTCTCTCTGCGCCCAGGCTGGGGGGAAATTTAATCACTTTTCAATGTCAAGTTTACCGTTTGGGAGTTTTCAAGTGCATATACGCGCATGGTGAATCGATCGTTTTCTGGCCAATCGATTATTATGCAAAAATGTTCTGCTTTATATACTGTAGTACACTGCACAGTAGAAAACTGTCCCCGGTGTCGAATAACTGCTACGTCGACGACAAAATAATAACGCCCTTAATAACGGTGCGTCTGCACTCCGGAATGCTCTCCAAGTTTTGAGGGATTTTGCTGTTCCGTACATTCATCCGCCCCCTGTTTGACCGCCCGCTGCGTCTACACTGCTGTACAGGGCTTTACTGCGCAGGCCGCACGCGCTGCTTGTGTGTACATGGCAATGATAAGTTTGTATTGATCTTCCCACTGGAGAGTTTGTGTCAATATGTACATATATATGGTTGTGGCTCATCAAAGTTTAATTTACTCGGTATTTGCTGTGCTCGATCCAGAGAAGCATGCTATATATTTTCATAATAAACTTGTGCCGGAAATAACTGTTACTCGATCATCCAAAAAACTTGTCATAACATCCACATAAAAACATCGTGATTCAAGCTGAAAATGCCAATATCACGCGCATTCTCATTAAACAATACTTTTTATGCATCCGTGAGCCCTAAAGGCTATGCACAGCCGGCACAGCCATTCGATAGGAATTTGCAAAAATACTGGGAATGTGTTCAGTATCGTTGGTGAATTGAAATGGGCTTTTGGTAAAGCTAAGCGTCCACAGAATTCTATACATTCTTATAATAATTTTAAATTACTGCATTGCAATGCAGTATTTTACCTGCCGTTTTAACCTAAAGAATAAATAAACTTTGTGTGCATGGGTTGATCAGTAACTGACGTCATGAAAAATTCACGGTTTCGTCGCCGATAGGATTTTGGCATATAAAGGGCTCGTTTCTCAAGGCACTGTTGGATTAACGAATTTACATCCCGTTATGCAACAAAATCAAAATATTCATCCTTAGTGCATGTATGGTGATTGATTGATTTCAACAGTGCTGGGCGCACATATTATCAGTTCTCAAGCGAAAAAAAGTTTATACAGCCCGCACAAAGTAATCACCGCCCAATAAATTAGCTGCAAATTCTCGCGCAAGCTGCAATTCCAACGCCCATTGTTTATTCAGCCGTCGTAGCTTGCTGTTTTGAGTTAAACCTAATTGTAAGTACAGATTATTACATCAGCAACAAAAGTCGGATGTCGGATTTGCGATCTGACGGAAAAGCGGCCATCCGAACTAACCGGTCAGATGGTACTGCATGTACTTGAACACAAGAATTCTTCTTCAAGTTATAACTAAGAACGTATCTGATACTTTACTTTTTTCTGCTGCGAAGTCTCCTGATACAACTGGCTGTTCGATGTACAGCTGTCAGTCAAAATAATAAAAACAAAAGGTTATCGTGCGTTAAGTGTTAACTTTAATTTAGTATTTTGTATCAGAAATGGAAGCACCGTCTGCTCAGCGGAAGCAACGGATTTAAGCTCAACATCTCTTAATTAACTGCCAGTCTACAAGTATTTAACTATTCATATATTTATATATATATTTCATGCACAACTATCATATACCAGCCAGCGGTCGGCTCTCTAGAGCGTCGTAGAGACGGAGAGATTTCAAAAACTATTTCTTTGACAGAGGAGTGCAGCAACTTAAAGAGTGTTTATACGAAGTACAAACTCTCAATATTTCTATCACTGCTTCTACATATACCATTTCAAACTACAAAATAAAACATGAATGCCTTTTAATACGCGCTACAAAAAATGGAATAAAACGTGAAAACCAACTACAACGTATATCAGATACCAGACCAGTTTGGAACGGCGGCCGCCTTTTTCACATTTCTGCTTCCGCCCGCAGAATGCTGTGCCATGAAGAGACAGTCAAAATATTGCGTTTTGTTTTGTCCCTTGCTGGCCTTTGCAGCGCTGCCGAGTTCTTTCTTCCGAGTCTCCTAAAATCAGAATCCAAATTCTACAAATCCGATGATTTCTCTATCTGGTGCGGTTTCTGTGTTAGCCTGTTTTCATTTATTTTAAGATAAAGCCCCAAATCATTCAAGTTTCAGGCTATTACTGGCAAGTTTGAGGATTACCAGGGGTTGATTGTATCTCGATGCACACACTTCGTGTTAATCGTGAATCGACTGTTATAGGTGTTATTTACGCTGGAGTAACGGAGTTCTGGTGCTCAAAGAACGCATAACTGCTACTTGGACGTTGTAGCCACAACTTGCATGGATTCCAACGATTATCAAAGTATGGATGGTCAACTGAGCGAAGAATGGATGGATCAGCTTCTATCGAGTCCCTTTAAAAACTACATCCTGTACGTATGCATATTGCTGATTATTGCATGACTCCAAGCTCCAGCTATAGAGCTCAGGACTCAAGGGATTCCGCTTACGATTTGCGGGTTTCACATATAAGTTGATATAACTGATATAAGCTTCACCATCGCAGGTCTTAATATCGTGCCGTTATTTTTTTATTGAGCTCTTAAGGTATGTTGTAAAAATTTTTAAGAAATGTTAAGTGGAACATTTTTAAGCCAGCAATGGCAAACTCGCACTGCTGCAGTGCATTATTTATATTATTAATTATCGTTGTTCCTCTGCAGAAATCCACAGAATCACAACGTGGTGAGCGAACTAGAAGCGCCCACGTTGGTGCCCACCCCCATCGCAACCAATCCCTATCAGACCCGCACACGAACAGCAGCCCAGCAAGTGGGCCTGTTCTCTCCACCGCGCACTTCGGTCACTCGTTCCGGCCATGTGTATCATGTGGACCAGCTGAACGCGGACAACGAGGCGCTGGGCACCGTTGTGCACATTCCCGAACCGAGCACCGCGGGAATCTCCGATGTGGATGCTACGGGGACGCAGAGTAACGATGCGATTTACCATCATTTCGTGCAGGGTCTGAATCAGGCCAGCGATCCGAGCCTGGTGGTGGATGATAAACGGACTGATCCGACATATCGCTTCCATAAGGCCGACGAGGACGATGAAGTTCCATATATCAAGAAAATTCCCGGTAACTTAAGTTACTTAACAAATAGTAGTACTTTAAAATTTTTGAATTAATTTTAAGTGAGTGTGTAATCTTTCTTCTCCTTACCGTATTATTGTTACTAAAATAACACAAGCCAGTTAAAGCATGAGAAATAGTGTGGGAAAAGTGTACGCATTATTTTGTTAAAGTGTTACTGTTATTTGCTGCAAAGATGAAGTCTGCAAATAGTTTGTTCTGCTTGGCAGTGTTGCGTTAATAATATTCAGTGGTTTTCCCATAAGTCGATTATTTCTGAAACGTGCGTATAAAAGCAGTGGTAGATTTTGGAGATTGTCGAGTTTAGAGCGAGGTGATAAAAATTATCTAATCGCAGCACGGGAAATTCGGGAACTGCAAGCGGACTTGGAAGTCAATCCAATCGATGGTCTCCAGATGACGTCTCAACTAGCTGAGGAGCCTCTCAGAATTACAAGGTAAATTTGAATTGTAGTTCTGTTTTCTGTAAATTTCGCGCGAGACCTATGGACTTTATAAACCAAATACTGCAGTAGGCACTGTTTAATGAATATTTGTCTTGGTTTTGTATGTCCAGATCAGCAGCGCGGACACGACAGTTTAGCGCCACAAGATCTATCAGCTCCTCTCCCAGCAAGGTATCATATTATGCTGAACAACCTGCCGCAGGAAGTCTGCCCAGTGGTTTCGGTGCTGGTAGTTATGACGGTTTTAATTATGGGGACCGTTTTAAGCCACCGTTACCGGTAATCAAAAGGTACGTGATTGATTGTATTTCTGTTTATGGCTGCTAGTTGAAGCGCGTCGAGCCTTTAATATCGAATAATGAGCAATTTTTTCTGACTTTGAAGACAGCAGAACGTTCAGTTTGCCGCTAATGAATCCAAGGCTTCCTTCGTGGAAAATCGTTCCATCGCGGATATTTACAAGCCAGTTGGCAATCAGCTGAGGAAATACCTGAGCGTAAGTAGCTTTGCCGTATTGGCGTGCTTGCAAGTTGCAAATGCTGAATGCAAATTACTGTACGAGTACTTACTTTGCAGTTTGCATATTGTAATGTTAGTTTATATCGGTAATTTGGGTATACGTTGTAGCGCGAAGATTTTCCTGATGAAATGAAGCGAAATCTGGAAAAGATTTTCGATGCTGTACTTAATCGCAGACAGCTTCCTGTTGGTCATCAAGAAAGTGTGCAGGATGCTGTGGATAACGTTGTCCTCATGGATTTCGCCCTGCGTATTGTCCAGTTTATATATGGAAGCATTGACGTAAATAAGGTACGAGTGTCTGTACTACCTAGACATTGCTGTAGTTTACATAAGATTCTCTTTACACTCCCACACGAAGCGCAGTGTATTGAAAGTGTATGACGGAAGTGCACTAATTTTCGGCTTTAGATCGAAATTCTATGGTTTTAATCGTGGTCTAGACTTCGTAAATATTTTTCATTAACTTGTTTATAGTTTTTCACTTTTTGGGTAGGTTAACATGACTACCGGTTTTTTAGATGTGTTTGTGCTTCGAAAAGGCTGCAGAAGTCGATAAAAATTTGACCCATTTGATATTTGCTTTGATGATCCACGATGGCAGCCCATTAATACTGGACGTGGCACCGGTTCTATATGGAAAGACTGCTGTTTTAAAGAACCTCATCCTGGAGTTACGCAAAACCGAAGATGTCGATATTCGGACGTATTTAATTAAGGCTGTCCACAAAATTGTTAGACGCGGTGTATCGATGGATGGGGAAGGCGAAGATCAGGACCCAGATTCGCCCATTGCTCAGATGCTGAAAATAAATGGCCACGAAGCCCTTATTCCCGCAGAGTAAGGATAAACACTAACAATGCAATGCTCATAGTTTAAGCTTGACGTAATTGAATAACAGCTTTTTATTATGGTCAGGGGCGATGTGAGAGTTTGTTCATGCTCATTTGTGAGAATTTGCTCATGCTGAGCAATGTTTCGATTTACCGGTGCGGTTGCAAAAGGCTTATCTACGAAACCCATTCTGTTTAATCAGTGTAATCATATTTTGTATTTTCAACGCTGATCGGTGATCATGAAATGTGAAATATTGACTCCCGGAATTTCTGCTTGGTTTACAGCATGCTGTATTGTGAAATACTAATTAATAAACCAATTGTTTTTCAGAATTTACGATATTTTTGAGGAGGAAGTGGTGAACGAGTCAATGATTCGGGAAACAATTGCGCACTACCGTAGCGGCAACCCACAAGCACCTAAACACCTGTCGCCGGTGGCGCCCACTAATCCGCCATGCCACAGCAATGCGATGTTTGAAGCTATTTCGGAAGGCTCCAATACTTCCATGTGTTTCCCCAAAACGCCGGGCACACCCGGCGGCTTCGAGATTCCACCGGGAGAAGTCACTATGTTCCTGGCGGATGCGCTGAACACCCCCACGACCGCGGCTGTACAATGCAGCGAACAACGTTATTCCACGTGGGAAGGCACGCAGGAACGAGTGCTACCAAGGCGCGTGCCATTGCTGACCAGCCCCATTACGATGTCGCCGCTGAAGAACAACAAGTTTGCCGAGGGCCTGGAAAAATGTCCCGCTCGTCATAATTATCTTTTGCGTTCCAGCAACTTGTCAGCTCCGCAGTATCTTATGTAAGGTGAACTGCCATGCCGCAGTTCGACTTTCTTATATGGGATATTAGCATTTAACAATATTGATTTCATTTTATTTATACATACTAGTGTTCTCTGATTAATTTTGCATTCGTGTGTTTTTTATTCATAGTTGTTACTGCTTGATTTCTGTTAAGTATTTTCGAAGCCATTCGCTGCCGGCTGGTGTGAATGGGCCGAAGGCCCGAAGCTGCGGAAGGTGGTGTTGTTATTTTAATGCGATTTAATCGGATTGGTAAATTTTCAGGAAAAATACTGAAGGATTTGAGAAACTGTACGGGAAAAATGTGTAGAAACACTACAAAAGTAGATTACTGCAAATGGTTGATCGCAAAAATTTACGGATTAATCATGCCAATTTACCTTGCACTTACCGTTAGTCAAGCGAATATGCTTACATGGGCAACTGCCGCACTGCGCAACCGCCCTGTAACGGTGACGTGCTTACAGCTTTCACACAGCGGAAACCGAAAATCAAAATGTTTATAAACGCAGCAGTGCTTTTCCATTCCCATTTAAAACTGCATCGAAATTCTAATATTTTCTTATTATTCTCATTATTCTGCCGAATTTCTTGGCCTTGTGTGTTGTGAACTGCGGACTAATTTTTTAAAATTTCAATTTTTTTTATACAATTGTAGCAGTTATACCGTAGCTAGTAACTAGCTACGAGATCCATATTGGCATTGTGCGCGTGTTGTCGCTGCTGCGGGATCGGATCCGTTCTTCGCTCCTCTTGGAAATCCATCACAGAACCGCAGTGATGTTTTCGCCACTTCTGAATAAATTTTCACGCGCAGTATTCCCTGTTATCACGTGAGTAAAAATTTGATCCGTCTGATTCAGGATTTGGTAGCAGCAATTTTATATGCGGATTGTCCCTAGGCCTGTGCGATGTTTGAGTCGGATGCGAACCAAGACTCCCAAACAGGTTTATTGGTTTCGTCGATTGGTTCCGCCGGTGTTCGATCAGGATCTGGCACGCGAAAGGATAGAAGCGGAACCTGAAGTGCAGTTTAAAGAGATCGCTCCTGCTCTGATAAATCAGAATTCATCCATCTTTTATAATCCTATTGAAGAGTGAGTGCCCATTACGTTGCGCAGGCATTCTGCGTTTCGTTAACTTTGCCAAGTTGATCAGTTTATTGTTTATACAAAAATAATTTCTTTATTACACATCAGATTCAGATGCCATTAAAATTTTGGTGATGAAACCTTATTTGAAATTCGGAAGTTTTGGCATATGTGTTTGATATCTGAAATGTCTAATTTAAGCAGAACGCCCTGCAGTGAACTTACTGAAATATGAAGAAAGTTGATTTCTGTTTGCATGTGCAGTACTTCCGTAATAACCCGTTGTAGTTTATGATTAATTACTTTAAGAGTACGAATACCTGAGTAAGTGATGAGTGTTTTTATTTGATGTCCCAATAATATCTTTTCAACGCATTTTGTCTGTTTTGATTTTCAGCAAATTTTTTAAAATGGTGATGGTGAGAGGGAAGCGTGAATTAGCTGACGAAATAATGCGGAGAACGTACGAGATTATGAAGCGCGAGCAGCTGGAAAAGTACCGTAACGCTGATGAAGCACAGAAGGAAAAAATCGAGCTGAATCCGACCAGAATGTTGCTAACTGCCATCAACAACTGCAAACCCGTTTTATGCCTCACCGGTATTAGACGCGGTGGAATTGTGTATCAGGTGAATTTAACAGTTATGCACGCTTAATTTGTTTTTCCGAATTAATATTTTTCGGCATATAATAATATATTAATCGGAGCGAATTAACATATTGCACCTGTTTAGTGTTTTGGTACAGTCCTAGTACTTTTTACCCAATTGATACTTCATAGTGTTGGCATTTCTTCTCCTGATGGCTGATATTGTGAAAATTTTAGTGTGCTCTGAAATAAATCTGAATAATAAATCTTCGTAAAATAAATGTCTTCTTGTGAAATAAATCTTCGTATCGAACAACTTTTCCGATGCAGTTTTCCATAAGCATTTATTGGCGATTTTATTAAACGCTGTCAACATTGCCGTATCAGTTAATATTTGAATCTTTCTCTTGGATTATGTAAGCTCCGGTAATGAGTCGCTGATGTGATTGATCTCACTGACAATTTTATGAAGGTTCCGGCAGCGGTAAGAGATGAAAAATCAGAATGGACTGCAATGAAGTGGCTAATTTTGGCATCAAGGGATAATCCGAAATTCGAAAGATCAGAGATTGCTCTTGCGAGGGAAATTTCCAGTGCCTTTCACAATCAGGTAAGGTTCTGCACGAAGCTTTATATTGCGCTATTTAATTTACCAAAACCGTAGAGCGGAAATTTAGTTCAAGGTTTTGTTTCAGGGAAAAGTTGTGAAGAGGAAGCACGATCTCCATAAGCAGTGCGAGGCAAATAAAGCATACGCGCATTATCGCTGGGCGAGGTGACAGGCTGTTTGTTTTTTATTATTTTATCACGCAGTGGGTGGATCAGTAATGAAGTACAGATAAAGTGTTATCAGACTTCTGTACAGAACTGGGATATTTCTCACGGAATCTTGTGGTGTTACAAATTTTGTGCTAAGGATAAAATATCCGAAAGACAAGTCAAATAAATCTATCAAGAAATTCGCTGTAACAGTAAGAGATTCGCCATCATATCAAAACGGTTTCCATCAGATTGTACGCTCCATAATTCACCAGATTCAAGTCGCACCAAGAGAAAACCAAACTTATCCAATCCTATGATTTTTCCCGCGAAATCTTGTGATTTGACTTCCGGATTTTCATTTACCTGCCGTATATTCACCTGCTGGTTCCTGCGAAGAAAATGAACCGTTAACAAAAGCAAGATGCACGCATTATTTCTTGAACCGTTGTCTGCGAATACAACTTAATTTAATTACTGTAAGCGCTGTGCGTATAAGTTGCACTGTACTGTACACATGAAACATATTTGGACAAACGTTTTCGGATCTGGAATCATACTCACATGTGCAGCCAGTACTTCAAATAAAGCGGAAGAAATGTCGTCTCGCCAGATACGGCGAATTCCCTCAGAAGCTTCTCCAGTTCAGATAAGGTTCTGCCAATAAATCTCTCAATACTGAATGCATTCGAAGTACTGGAAACTTTCCCGATCAGCTCGTTCAGGCAAATTGTCGGTTTGGTGTTGCTAATGTTAAACCCGACACCTATAAAATATATCATTCAATATCAAGCCGGAAACTCTTGGCCGAAGCGTGAAAGCAAATGCAAAAAAGGTGGAGCAGACTCACCCACATTGCAATAAGCCGTTTGATTCATTATGGACGACGTAACCAGAATCCCACCAACTTTGACTTTATCACTCGTGAGAATATCATTTGGCCACTTGATACGCAAATCGACATCCTGCAAAATTAGGTGAAAACTGCATCACGATAATTATTAGACTAAATTACAGTGCAGCGAAGTCATATTTTTTGAAAACATTTTGGTTAGACGCTATTCTGGGCAGAATAAAGGTGAAAAAATTCATCAGTACAGATGTCCAGATGTCAACAAAAAAACAATGCACCCTTAATTTTTTCTTAAAACTAGGCTCGTATGGAATTTTACCTGATATCCTGGAGTGTTGCGAACGGCCAACACACACGCTGTCGCCACAAGATGCTGCACAAAAGTCAGCGCCTGGCCAAGACGTGTAGCCAAAGGAATAACCAGGGGGAAGGAAAACATAGCACAGCCCAAAGGGCTCTCCCAAACATTGCCACTGCGCCCTGTCAAAACAGCAACAACTGTTAAAAACACGAACGTATATAAACTTCACACTTCGCTACTAAGTAATATCAAAACGAAATTATATCTTTTTGGTTTACCTTTTCCGGATGACTGTTGAGCCGCAACGCAGACGACATTGATATCTTTTAGCAGAACCGACGCTAATCTAACGGTAGAGCAAAAACCAATTAAAAATTAGTTGAACATAAGTCAAAACTGTCAAATTACAGAACTAGTTTAAGCAGCAACAGCTTAGCATCGCAACGTAAAAAAAAGATAAATTTGGAAAAATACAGTCGCATTAATTCTAAGAAATTCTAAAGCAGCACAGCAGTTACTTTAACAAACCTGTCAATGATATGAACTGTACTTGGAATCCGATCAGCAAACAGCACGCAGTTCCCCAGCAGCTCAGCTGTGGTATGTCGGAAATAATCAGCTGATTGAAAATTCCATCCGCTATCCAGTTCCACCTGTGGATCATCTTCGTCGCAGATTTTTGCAAAGCTTTCATCCCGAGCACCTTTGGTGTGGATAGGAAAAATCAGCTGATTACTTTGATCTCTCACGCCACCGGCTTTGAGTAGGCAAATCTGTAGACTGTCTGCTAGGCTCTGAAAATACCCCTTTTAAATTTCCCGAAGCTCGGTAATAATTTGTTATATTTTTTACCTGAAGTGTATCATAAACCTAGTCCGAAATGAGCCGTTTAATTACATGCAATAAATGTAACCCAGAATCCGAACAAGTCAGACGCAAATGGCAAACTGCACTGTAAAGTGTAAATTGTAAGTCATCGACGTTCTTACCTTGGATCGGCTTGATTAACTTCAAATGTAAACATTTCTCCATTTAAGTGCGCAGCTTTAATTATCGTACGGCTTATCCTGCTACCGAACTGTCAGATCTACAAATTTTTCAAACCCCTTCAATACGTAATTAAAAACAACAAAGCCTTATTACGAAGGATTAGTAAAGTACAGGATTAAATGAAGGCTTAAAAGATTACTGTACTTATTTGCTTTCTTGTGGAGTTGTGGTATTGAAATATTATTGGTAATGAGGAGAATCACAAGTCACAATGAAAGAGTGCCTGCAGTCGTACGTCGTAGTGTCGTACAGTCTCGTCCAGTGCTAGCACGTACTGTACGTACTGTAATGTTCGTGCAAATTTCTACAAAAATTTTTTTACTTTGAAGTTTGAACTGCATTCACCAGTCAGCTGAGTGACTAATAGACGGAAGGCTTGTCAAACTTGCCTCCTATTTCTGATTGGCTACTGTTGCACCTCTGCTTGGTGCAGGGCCAAAACCGCCAAAACCGCTAGCGCGTTCACGCGATGTCTGGCGAAAATTTTCACTTTTCTTTCATTCTTGGATCAGACGGTTTTGGTGTCATTGCGCCTCAGCGAATCGACCTTTAGCTGCTAAAGTGTTCCGTTTTTGATCGTGGTTTTTTTATCCGTCTTATCGTCGTCCATCGTTTTTTTCCGGAATGGCTCTGCAGCGAGCAGAAAGCACCACGTCCATTGGACGGTCCGCTTCAGACGGATCGGATGGCCTCGATCAGTGGATGCCGTCGTTTTGCCCCAGAGGAGATCCAGGAACGAACGGCATCCCAGAAGCCGTCATCACGAACTCCTTTTAAAGTCCGCGGACGTAAGTACTGCTGATTTCGTTAAATTTCATGCAAAATTATAAATGAAACGTTGTGAAAATTGTAAAACACTTGTTGCTTTGATTTCTACTGTTTCCGATAAGGTCAAAAACTGAGCTAACTTATTTCCGTGTTCGAATTAACGTGACGGATTTGGTGAAGTCGCTGTTTACGTATAAATTTGAGATAGGGCGTACAGTGAAATGATGATATCATCAGTTCCGGGTTTGTTAGTATCAGTGATTAGTGAGACCTGTTTGTGCAGGTATTGTGTTTTTATTATGATTCGGTTTCTTCTTGTCTTTACAGCTAGTAAAGCTGCCCTCCGATTTTTCGACGTCAAGATTACTTCGCCGAATCAACAAGGCGAAGAAGGCCGTATCCGGAAGGATCAGAATCGGCGCATCATCCGCCTTGTTCTTCCCATGCTGAGTGAGCGCCTTGGCTTTTCGCAACTTCCCGTCTTCGCGTACGACGATGAGAAAACCTTTGTTCTGGTCAACGTGGATCTCTCCTGGCCTTTTCGTCACAAGGAGACCATCGACGTTACGCTGGAGGGCCCAGTGCAGAACAATGGACAGGCCAATGGAATGCCGTTTCAAGTCGTCCTGACGTACACGAAGTACCTGACGGTCACCGAAGCCGATTTCCTTCAGCCAGTCAACCCAGAGGACAAGAAAGCGGTGCGAAGCGTTATCGAGCGTCTGCAGGCACTGAATCTGTTGCTGCGCGAGGCCATCTCCGACACGCATCAAGCCGCCATTGAAAATCCAAACCACACGGTTGTAGCCATGGGTGACAAAGTGTACGCCAACGTTAACGTCGACGTTTTTCCTGGCGATCAAGAGAAGTGGCGTGCTATTTGGTAAGTGAAAGTCGTATCTGTATTTTCGTATGGAAAAAAATTCGTACGCTTTGTATCATTTTGTAACAGAAAACTACTCTAGAAGCACGGCCTCAGTTTGGATTTGGGTTATTTGAATTAGTAAATTTATATGAAAAGGATGTTAGTATTTGTTCGTTCAGTATTTTCCTGATCATTGTGAAAATTGGTGTTATTCTGGCTTCTAGGCCTGGGTTTACTGCGGCCATGCGTCTTTCGCGTACCGGATTGATCCTAACTGCGGACCAGACCCACTCAGTGTTCTTTAAGGAAGACTTCTTGTCCAACAGTCTTACCAACTCTTTGCGTGCCCCTCTACACGTGGAAAGAATTCACGACCGCGATTTAAAGGGACTGTCGCAGGTGTTTGGTGGCCGTCAGGTGGAGTTTCAGGCGTCGGATGGCCGAGATTATGAGGGAGGCGTCATCACGAAGTTCGCCATGTCCCCATGTTCCCACTTCGTTCCAAGAGATCAGAATCCACAGCAGCATTCTTTGCAGCAGATGTACGCCAACCGTAACAAGAAACTGAATCACCCCAATCTGCCGGCTGTTGAAGTTCGCCTGGGACAGACCTTGTACTGGGTTGCGCCGGAGCTGTGTTATCTGGTGGCTGGACAGCGCTACCAGAAGGCGCTGACAAAGCAGGAACAGGTGAGATAGCAGTTCGTAAATTTTCATGTAATATTAATTGTAGCCGCCGTTAACGAGTTTTGATCTGAAATATCAGCGCTCTTGAAAGTATTGTTGTCTCCAATTTGTTGTACGTCTTTAACTTACCTGTCATCTGTTGCGCTTTTCCTGTAGGCCGGATTCATTCGAATTGTTGGAAAGACACCGGACAAGCGCATCAGCACTATCAAGGATTTCTTGCATCTTTGCCGGGTTCGCGATCACGCGGTGATGCGAACGACGGGAATTGAAATAGCTGAAGATTTTATCGAGATCGGGGCGCGGATTCTCCCACAGCCCATAATCCAGTACGATACCCATGGGTCCACCGACGGAGGCTGTGTACAGCCTGGCAATGGGACTTGGAATATGCCACGTGCGATCCGATACAACCAGACATCTGACAGTAAGTTTCAGCTTTTAATTTAAGCATTTTCGTTCGCAAATGCCTGGTGACAAATTATTTTTTTGCACATCGGCGTTGTAGATCTGAATTATTTTTGTACAGCTTTTGACAGTTACGCATAGAACTACCAGGTTTTCTGTTCATAAAAATATTTGCAGTGTTGCAGTATTTTAGACATATTTTGTTAATGTGGTATCTGAAAGATTGAAACTCGTTCTATTGCATCTCTTCGTGAAATCGTGGGTAGTAAAATGCTTATCTTTGCAGTGCCCAATTTTGTGATTATGGTCTTTCCGAATCGTAATGGACAAGAATGCATCCAAAAGTCGCAGATCGAGCGCTTTGTTAATGAATTGCGATTGGAAGGTCAGCGCCGAGGCATGCGATGGAACGAAGGCATGCATGTGGTGTCACTGCAAGATTCCGGCAGCTTTATTCCGGAGATTACGCGAGTTGTGCAGAGCAAAAGACCTCAGTTTGTTTTCGGGGTGTTTGAAAAAGGCATGGACCGACAGTATTCTGACTTCAAGAAAGTGATGGACAATGAGATGGGAATTCCGAGCCAGGTACTGAACGTTGTCAGAATTGTTTAGCACCATCGCAAATGGTTTCACCATTTATTACGATTGTTTTTGCAGGGACTGCTCTCTCAGACGGTCATAAAAAATCCGCGTGGTTGTGTGGAGAACATCATGTACAAGGTTAACGTAAAATGTGGAGGTAGTGTAGTTTGGTTGTGCTTAGTGAACAGCATGCCGTTTACGGAATTTCTGCATTTTTATTTCCTTCTTTCGGCGTCTGAATCTTGACTTCCGTAATTTTCAGGCACTAATAATGTTCTTGCGGAAAGCTCGCTGGGCACACTGCGTCTATTGGATCGAGTTTTCATGATTGTCGGGATCTCGCTATCGCATGGAAAAACAAAGGAAGCCGATGCAAAGCCATCTTACGCGGGATTTGTGGCGAGCGTCGATGACTCGTTCCGCTCTTGGGCTACCGATGTCAGCGTCATTGGTACGTTTTCAGTAGTTGTTGAAACCTCTAAAATTTCACATCACTCAGTAGTTATTAAACTGTTCACATTAGTGATAATGATTTTCCCTGCTGATTAGTACTGGATATTGTGTAATACAAGTACTGTACTTCACTGTAGTATAACATTTGGCAATGCGTTTTGGTTTTATGCAGAATCGAATACGGCGGTTCTGCCGGACATCACGTCGCAGATGGAAAACCTGCTCAGCCAGTACAGAAAGAACACTGGCACTAATCCGGAAGTTATGGTGGTGTATCGCGATGGGGTGACTCGAACGCATGAGAATGAGGTAATACAACGAGTGCATTTTGATGGTTAACTAGTATTGTTGCGTGCCCCTGAAAACAGCTTTGTCGGTGTGGATTCTTGAACCCTGTTTTCTTGGTTTCAGTTGCATAAAAACGACCTGAAGTGCATCCGCCAGGCACTGGATAATATGGGCGCCGCTACGAAACTCGTTTTTGTCGTTGTCAACAAGATGCACCGTATCCGATTTTTCCGTAAACCGAAACCGCTTGCCGGAGGAGAACTGCGTTACATGCCTGATAATATTCCGGCCGGTCTGGTTGTGGATAGCGAAGTTGTGGATCCTTATGATGATGATTTCTATCTGGCGTCGCATCGCGGAGCTTTGGTATGCCCTGATTACAGTTATTGAGTTAGGCTGCATGTTTTGTTAAAATGGTATTTCCGTTTAATTTAAATTATTTCAAGCGGACTTCATGTCAACTTTACGTTAACCTTTTTCTTTCGTAGGGCACCAGCCGTCCAATTCGGTATCACATTTTGGTGCGGGACGACGAGGCATTCACAACGGATGATATTCAGCAGCTCACCATGAGTCTGTGTTATGTGTACCAACGGTGCACCATGGGCGTTTCTATTCCGGCTCCATTGTATTATGCCAATTTGGCCGCAGCGCGTTGCAGCGTTTTGGCGGAAGGAGTTGTTCGTGGGTAAGTTGTCTCGTGTCATGTTAATTAACTATGAAACTCAATTTTGATAAATTGTTTGTTTTTACTACAAAACAAATACAAAACAGTGTAAATACAGTGTAGTGTTCAGTGTAAATACAAAACTAACTCGACTCGGCTTTGACTGCATGATTGTTTATTACGTTCTGACTTTTGTTGGTTGGTTAATTAGGTTGCCGTATGAAATGATGAGCGATCGTGGTGGACGCGGAGGACGTGGAGGGCGCGGTGGTCGTGGAGGAGGGCGCGGAGGTCGTAGACAGGTCAATTGGGGCGCGGCTGCCAACGAGATTTCGCGAGGCATTCAGATACATGACCGTCTGAAGCAGTTAAAACGTCTGACGTACATCTGAATTCTCGGTGGTTGTTCTCTTGAGTCATCGTAGAAGAAGTTTTTCCAGCAATGTTTTTTTTATAATTGTCGAGTTTCTGTGGAAGTTTTGCTCGGTATTTCTCGACAGCTTTTGACAGTACGAGCGCTGTCACACTAATCTTGATTATGCTTACGTTTGCACCAAGGTATACGGTCTGGTCTGATTAACCTTGGAATGGTCTGAGAATATTTGGTGTCTTTTTGCTGTTTTTGGCGCAAGGCATTTATGTGGATTTGTGCCGGGATAACTCTGGAATGGGTACTGTATTTGAATTGTTTTTGTTGTTGGTAGCCTACATTATTTTTGAGGATTGATTTCGAATTTGAAATAACGAAATTCAGTAAACTGTGTATCTTGTGAATCTGATGCTATACTAGGATTGCGAAATCCAGTTAAATAACATAACGGTGGTTATATTAAAATACCACATCAGTGGAAGTAATGCCATACTAATAACGAAACATATTTACCCGTGTGATAGCCGCCGAACTGAATAGTGCTACAGCTATGAGCGTTTTGTATGTTACAAGACAGCAGTTATTTAATTAACGACGACGCTCTTTTGGATGAAGCTGATAGTTTTCTAACCGAGATTTTTCTCTTCAGTATGTGTAATTCAATGTTAAAGTAAGAAAAATGTTGGCCTTATAACAATAGCATAAAAGGCGCAAATATGATACGAGCAATAAGCAGGAAACACTCGGCCGGAAGTATGACCTGAGCGCAGCAGGCAGTCCGTTGCACCCCGTGCATTTTCTTTTTCTTGCCCTTTCAACCCGCAATCTTTGAGTGATTATAATTAATATTGTGTGCCACATGCACTTACCGTCACGACTCATGGGTATCCACAACAATGTGCGCATGTTTACGTTTTTCTTCCATGCTGTGTGTTTTGTTTTGGCTTTAAAGATCCGTTGTGTGAAGCGTTATTAGAGCCCATCGGTTTCGGTTTCGGCAGGACGTGTAAGGATCACGCGGATGTTGAATACCGCGCGCTGACGTCAACGCCGGCTTTCGCTCTGCGGTTTTATTTTGAATTTGCATTTATTCTAAAAATATCGCTCTCTCACTTCTCTGTGAAATATCGATTGCTAAAAATCTCTTAATACAATATTCTCACAGAATTTGTATACACACCGAGTGTGTTTATAAATAAATCTGTACATCCCAGCAATACACTGTACATGTATGCCAGTAACAACCTCTCTAATGAAAGATCCATTATAAAAAAAGAGAAAGGTGATTCATGCTTAATAACTGCACGGAATAACAATCACCATTTTGCCAATATTTCTTTGAGCCTTTTATGTAGGGGAAACGCTGAGATAGAGGCATATATATGCGACAATCGTCGGCATCGTCCCTCACTCTCTCCCACCCAGGGGGTGTGCCGCGCACGCCGGGAATGATCTTGAGGTACACAAGACAAAGTCAGAAGGGGAATCAATGCCATGACTTCCGCTTGTGTATGGTGTGATGGAAAAGAAAGACCGGGCCTAAAAAACTAAATAATACTCTGGTAGTACACGCTCGCGGTCTCAGCACTCCGATTTCGCGCTTCCGCTGCTGCTGGGCGGATGTACAATGAGGCGGGGTGTGGTTACCGACCGGCCCATTGTCGGGGCGCCATTCATAAGGAAATCACTAACTTGTTCCGGATCGATATGGTTCTCCTTTATATGAAAACACACCAAAAAAGAAACCATAAGAAGAATGTCAATCACGAAAACAACACGTCACGTGGAATAACATGGAGCATATCTTGCGACATTAAAATAGAATTGTGTAGTGGCTTCCGAGATCGAGTAGACTGGATCATCATTGGCATGACTTATTTAATTGCAATCTGATTTAATGACATTGGTCGCACAGGGCCGGAGTAAAATTTTCGAGAGGGCATTAGTTTGTTAAGTTTTAGAAGAGTCAGAGACGTAGTTGCAAATATGTGCATTTACGGTATAAGGGTTTACAATTAAGCAGACGAAATTTCGTAGCCATTTTAATATTTCATTTAAATGGTGGCGGTGGGGATGTCAATGGTTACAGATATATACTTGTTATATATATAATTTTAATTACTTGCGCAGTTAACTTCACGCAAATGTATTCCACGCAAAAGCATGCGGCCCAACTAAATTTTCAAGCGCGCATTAGTATAATGCGCCCATGACCTTCCGGAGCGTTAGCTTCCGGAATGGCGTCAGTGGTTCATTTATTACTGCGTTGGACAAATTTAAAAAGCAACCCGAGGAAATGGTGTAGACTTTTAATATTTACATAAAATGGTACCGATAATTCTTTTGATTCTTAAACACCATACAAATATGTAATATTACTGTAGTAACTGCGCACCTGCATAAAATTTACTGTAGCCGTCTCAAGTAAAGTCAGTGTTAAATTCTTTACACCGGTAATTTCAAGTAAATGATTGTACTTAAGACGGCTTAAGGCAGTACATTTTATGCAAGCCAACAATCAACAATATTTCAATAATTAATAATATTACATAGTTATATGGTTTATACAAGCATAATGAACGATATTAACCTTTAAGCGCACTAATGTCACCGGCGACATTGAAGGCCCAACCCGCAATATCTTCCATTAGACTTTATGACATTTGTTTATTCATATTTACGTAATATACCTGTAAACTGCTCCCACTAATGCTAGACGCATCATCCTGTGCCGGTGCAGCTTTAACCGGCTTTGCTCGGGGCTTTTTACTTTTCTTCCCTTTGGAGCGCTTCGTCTTCTTCTTTTTCGGATAATAAATCACCAGTTTTTCCCCAACGGCGGTGGGTACCGGTACCAGGTATTTGGGCGCCGTCCACAGGAGATTCATGGGAACCGGCATAGGCATAATCGTCCCATTGGAGGCATTTCGGCTGCATACCCGGCCCAGACCATTCTTGTCGAGACTGTTCTGCCGTGTGCCCAGATAAGTTAGCTCATCGTTGGACGTTGATGGACGGTAGCGCAGACTGCAGGCCTGCGAGTTGAAGGAATGGGCGGAGAAGTTCTCCCGTTGGAAATGTTCGTGGCGCCGGAAGAAGCAATAGCACAGTGTAGAGCGGTAAGCTTTGCGAAAGCGAGCGGACAGGATAGAGTATAAAAATGGATTAACCTGCAACAGTTCCGATTTACATTACTAAACATTCCGTTGTATGAATATACATTAATATACATTACAAACAAAGAAAACACGCTTGCACGGTGTACAGAGGTACAATATGTCAGCTATATCTATATGTACAATATGTCTCATGGATTAGAATTGAAAAAACCTATGGACGTATACTTCTACTCGTACAAGTTCCCAATACTGGCAATACAATATAAATTACAGAGTATGTTATACATTCGTTTACAGTGTTGACGACAAAAAATTATTATTTTAGCACATGACGAAACAGAAATTTCAAATTTTATTAGCTTTTAATAACATATTCCTTACCGTGGATGCTCCATAATAAAAAACACCTACATCAAAAAGTTGTTGGTTGAAAAACATGGATAAAAAACCCTGTTGGCTCAGCGTAACAGGAGACGGGACTTACCGGATATATAAGTTAACGCGCGATGGACGTGCATGTTATCGCTGTTCCAGTTTTTCTCGTACACAGCATGCATGCGCTGAAAAACATTATTGCACTGCAAGGTCTGGGTGTAACAACACGAGATAATAATACGAGTAATAATATAAACAACGGCAACTTACTTGGGCATGGTGTGGCGCATAACAAACAAAAAAGGCTAATGCCACCGCCACTGCAAAGAGATGCAATTATTCACTGATGACACGTCGCTTAATTAACCGAGCAGCACGTCCAGATTTCCTGAATTACGTTTCCGGATATCTCCAAAGTTAAATACAAAATATTTACATAAAACTAAAACCATAGTGCAAAAACCTTATATAACGAGTTTTTCAGCTATGAATCCGAAATGGGCATGCAAGGTGTGTTGTTGTACAATATTTCTCAGCCATTTCAATTCGCTTTCACTGTATGGCACCGGGCAGCGACGGATACGTATTGTAGTGCTGCAAGATATGCTCTTAATTACTTTTAATTAGTTAAAGAATTTTGGACCATCCCGCTTTTTTCATCAGTAAACCTTTATTCAAAATCTGTAGGAACAACAGTTGTGCAAATTACAGCTATCCCAGTTTTGTAAATATTCTTTCGCTTGTCATCGAAGCACTAACAACGTAAAAAAATTAAATTTTTAACTGTGCAAAAACTAGAACGAGATGTGTTTAAATGTGAGACTACAAGGTGTTAACCACGAGGATGTGTATAAAGTTCATTAGCATAAATACGCATTTAAGTGCAATACAAGTGAAAGTTATACTGTACCATTTTGTACGTAATACCACTTTTTTTTAGTCGTTATGCTATTTTTTATTGGAAACAAACCAATTTTTGGACGCTCACGCAGTCAGGACCGATTTCCAGAAGGCTAAACGGCCAGTTATAATAATTACCATCTTTTACTGAGCTAGATTTTCTATTGGTTATTCCCTGTGGAAAACTCGTGCACTGCGAAAGGAAAATTGATCGATCGCCGATAACTGGTTTCGCCTTTTAACCATCCAGCGTAAATTGGATATCTTGGATATCTTAGACATATACCCGATACTGTTCAAACAGTTTTTGTAACAGCTAATTTTTTCGTAAAATAAAGCAATTCACACATTTTGTGTATCTTTCTGTATAATATGTAAATCTGTGTACATTGATCCTTTGTGTCTATTTGAGAGACAATGAATTTGAATAAAACACACAGCACGCGAACGCCTAAAAAACTCAAAAATACCGTATGCTTATATTTTAAAAAATGCTTTGACACTGTTTTTATGCAACGGATGTACTTGAAGCCCTTTCATTACTACATTATGCAGCATACCCCATACGTCATCAGAAAAATTTTCTGCAGCTGTCTAATTTTCAAATGGACAAAATTAAGCACTGCAGCTTTCTAAAATCGATCACGTCGTACAAAGCTTAATTAAAAATGGTATTTTTAGATATAGTGACAAAGTTTATGACTTTTGAAACAAAACCTACCCAACCAAAAAGCGTAGCTAACGAAGTAGACGTCAGAACATGATGTCGGTATACTCTTTCGTAAACCGTGAACTTTGCATTTTTGGAATAACATTATCATTATCCTACTGCTTGATCATCAAACGGGAAAAAGCATGCGCACAAGCATATCTACTCTGTATATTGTACAGATGATCTACAAAGCTTTTTACAAAGTCAAAGACAAAGGCTTTACTGTATACTTGTATGCCAGCTTCGAGAATAGGTTTATGCCGATCTTAACTTCCTATAAAACTGTTTGGAAACGACCACAATACCCATAAGGGTAACGAAACATAATAAATTATACGTTTTGCCACCTTGATAGCCGCTTTGTTTACAAGAAAGTTTATACAGCGGCAGACAAACTTACAGTATCCGAAGTAGTGGGTTTCACACATGTCAAGTATCAATAACGTGAAAAATGTCACTCCACTTAACTCAATCTATAAATATTTCTCAAACTATTTCTGAATATCTCGTACGTAATATGGCACTCCTTGCATACAGTAGTGTATACGTAGCATCGGTAGCAATATCTTAAGCATGCGTTTGTTCTAATAATACACTTGGACCAACTAAAACAATATGCCTTTTGAAAACTATCACTGTTGAAATGCTATGCTAACGTTACTAAGATAAACAACTAATTTGATTGCTCAATTAGTTTGCTCTTTATGTACTTGTACCTGACGTTGATCACAGCTATTTGTAATTGTTCTGATCATTTTGGAATAGCATTTGAAAATGTTTTTAATCATTATACCGGCAGATATTGTACGCTAGCGTCTCAGTTATAAGGTCATCCGGTCGGTATGTGTGCCCATTTTCTGATGTGTTTAAAGTTTCGTTCGCTTTAGCGCGCTGCAATTAATCGCCGGGAATCACGTAAGCGAAAACCTTTCGGTGGGTTACATATATACGATCATGATCAGGGAAGACTTAAGACGGTTAACTAAGCTGGCCATGAATGTGCTGGCAACATTCAACATTGGCACCGGCCACGCAATATCGATACGGATCGGAACTGAAATTCACACACAAACCGAGTCCACTGTCAAGAAAATCCGGAAGTTGTGGTAGGGTATCTTTAGCCCGGGCTGGTGTGCTACAGGAAAAGGGAATCACGGAGAACCGAGCACACACAGTCTGCGCGCGCACACTGTTGTATACAGTGAGGTTAATATAAAATAGCGTTAACTCCCCCTAGAGTAGCCCGGGCATAATGAAAGGGGAATGCGCCTGTGCTGCTGGTGGGATGCAGCCTATTAAGCCAGCTCACATGTGGACCGGACCGGCATTTCTTTCTATAAGACACCCTGACGCGAAAACGCCATTCTTCCGCTGCGTAATTCAATTATCCTTGACAAAATAGTAATTGCATAGAGCGTGGCTAAGATTGAAAAATAATTGTGCAACGGGTATATACAGTCACATAAAAACCTCTCAGAAATCACGACATGGCCGCCAGACCAACACTGGCATATTATATACGGTATATACAGTCATAAGTACACAAAGTATGTGTCGGCGTTAAAGCAATTATTACAACGATGTGCACGTTTGCCGAGAAGAACCATATGGGTAAATCAATTTATTATAACAGTATATAATGTTATTTTGAAAAGAGACATAATAAATGGATGTTTTCAAGTGGAGCCTTGTTTTGTATTAAATCTGTCTCTGCTCTCTTTACAGTTTGAACTGGCAGCGGAATTCGTCGCTTGCGTAAGCACGTCGGGCCATTGTGAAAAAAACCATAGAAATCGATATTTAGATGCGACGATCAAAGATGTTTTTGCTCGGTAATGTTATCGTTTCTATATACATGGAAAGTTCTGATAATTGAGACAGATTAGACCATTACAGTGTGTAACCATTACGGGCTGTCTTCCTGACTCGGACAATCCCGCCGGTGGTGCGAAAGCTTGTTATGAAGCTACGATTGCCGCTCGAGGAAGAAATCATACACTTTACGTCTTCCGCTAAGCCGCCACTAGATAACGATGAAGAATACTAATTTTGTAATGTAAACAATTCACATCCTAGGAAAAAAACCAATAAAGAACACAGGAGTGCAAAAATAACCACCGCAATTAGCGAATTATAAGCTCGCCTGAAGTACAAGTCATTACGGTATTGCTTTTTATACGAAAAGATAGAAATGTACTTAAATCAAAGTACAGTAAAATTAAATTTTTGACACGGAGGATAAATTTAAACTTGCTAAGACTTGTTTGGTATCTTTGGATATTGTAAGGAAATGCTTTCCTGAGTTTTGGTTAAGCGATGTATAAGGACACTGAAAAATTGGGGGTATCTAGTGATCCACATTCCGGTGCTATTTTTCAAACATAACACAAGCATATAAGCCTCAGACAAGATAGAGCTTATCCCGGTCCTTCCGAGTCTACAGCAATAAATTAAATTGCGGAAGCTGCTTGAGAAATGTGTTGATCGGTGGCCCGCTAAACTTGTTGACACAGTTATGATGCCTCTGTTTTTTTGTGCAACACGCGACAGCCGAGTTCAGCCGGAATGACGTGGAGTTTGACTTTTTGACTGACTGCCCATGAATAAATAATGAGTACAACTGTCTCTATCTGTAGCATTCCTGCTGTATATAATGGGAGCATTTCCTGTACACCAGAAATCAGCCTCAAAGGATTACATAAAATGTACAAACATGAACAGCCTACATACCTAAAAGAGAGAGATGGAACACTTCTATAATAAAATGGCAAAACATTCACAAACATTCACAAAACATTTACAAAATGAAATACAGTGTGATACTGCCACACACAGACACATAGTAAGTAACACACAACTAAATGCCATATACCCCTACACTGCCATCAGTGCCATACATTAATACAACAAAAAAGGCTAGAAAATTTTAAGGTTTTTTGAAAAGTAATACTCCATCTTTTGTAGTCGTTCGTACGTGCAGTAAGCACTACTTTATGCTGCTTAAAAATAAGGATCAAAATTTAGCCGGTTAACAACGATAATAACGATAATGTCCTTTACTCAAAAAAATTCCTAAGAGCAGCCATTGGCAGCCTCCATTGACTAGTCTGCCTTACCGAGCATGCGCAGCACCGACTGGCGTCCCTGTGACATTTGACTGGACGGCTGCAGTCCCCCACCTCCACCGCCGCCACTATTGACATGCGCCATCCCATTGCCCGCTGTGTACTGGCTGTACACCTCCGGGCCGGCGCTCTCGCGTGCCGTCAAATAGGCCGACCGGCGCAGATGGACGGCAATAATCACATGCAGCGCGATGATGACGAACATGGGCAGGAAGAAGAACGCGAACGTACTGAACTGTATGAGGATGGCCATGGGGCCCTCCGCACGCGCCGTACACACCGCCGACTCCGGGATGAGCAACTGACCACCGGGCACGCCGGTGGGATCCAGATGACTGGCCCAGTCCGCGGAGAGCGGATAAGGGAACAACATGATACCGAATTCTAAGCCCATTGGTCCTGCTGCGGTAAATGCCAAGATCCATGAAACAATTATCGTCAATATGACACGCGATGATTTCGTCCGGAAATGAATATTTTTAAACGGATGGCATATGGCAATGTATCTAGTGGGCAGCGAAATTCATATCAATACACCAATGCAATTCCAATAATTCGCATTTGGGCGTAAACAAAACAGCATTTTCTTGTTGCGAAAAGTGCTGCGCTTTGTATTGTTACTGTTTAGCTCAATGTACTTACTAAAACCAAGATGCGTAATATTATTGTACATTTGTTTATAAAAACTTACTCGTAAGCAAAAAGAAACTTTTCGAACGTTGTTGTAATGATGCTCTCAGTGTGGCACAGTATTCTCAGTAAAAGAGACAGTTCAAAAATCCTAATGAGCGAATCATCAACACGGTAATTTGCAAGGCAAATTTGAAATCGAGGATGTACGCATTGGTTGCCTAAATCCTCAATTTTGCATGCAAGGTTCGTAATATTCAAAGTCTACTGACAAATGTGCCTTATAATAATTATATATAATGTTAGTACGGTACCGCATGTGCACTTTAATAGCTCATTGTCAGATTATACTTAAATCCTATCATCAAACCGTAAAAGGAAAACGTTATGAAAGCGCTTTCGTAATGCGTGATTTACAGAATGTTTTTAGAAAAACAAAACTCCCGTTTTGAACTGTTGCTGAAGGATTGAGCATTATGCTGAAATGGAAACGTCACATACGTGTGAAGTAATTTTAACCAGTCAAATAATTAGCTTTGTAGTTCTAAAATTTCTAGGAATTTCACACATTTGTATTTTGATTGAATGCTTTGTGTTACGGTGCCAAAAGGGTTGTGTAAATCATCTGTCAGATTTAATACGTATGTTAGGTTCAGAAGTTCAAATGTTGTGAAATGTGATAACGTTAACGAACCGCATGCAGCTTGTCAGGCTATACATGTTGAAATTTGACATTGCTCTTACATTTTTATGATTCAACAAGAAAGTAACTAGAAACTATGCTGAATCCATTTCAGTAAAATTTGGATGTTACAAACAAATGGTCATAGTATTTTAAATATAACCTTGTCTATTCTTCGAGTTTTAAATCAAACTTGCATAACAGATTAATCATAAATTATGTTAAGCTGGGTGACCTGTAATCTTATTTGGTGTGAACGGTCACGACTCCTCCACACCAAGTTCATTCCTCTCCTACGAGAACTACAATATTTTTAGGTTGAAATTATGGGTTCTCCTAAGTACATCGTCCCATAATTGTACAGTGCATTTGATCCAGGTACGTCCATATGTGTGCGGATATTACGAAACTGCCGGGTTACCTTTCGACGGTAAATGCCAGAATGGTAAAAACACTTGATAAGGTTGATGCTTCCGACACCCAGGCACGTGCCTGGCAAAATTGCTCAGCAAACGGATAAGGATACTCTTCAAAGAGTTGCTACACGGGAAAACAAGAAGTTGACAATATATACTGCACATACACACCGGCATATACCAGTAAAGTCATACAAATATTTAAACGATCTACTTCCTGATCATGATACAGCAGAGCACATCACTGCACCAACACTTACGTAGACTTCAAACGGAAGTCCCAGGATAAGCGATATTAAATCCGATATGGCCAAGTTGATCAGATAATAATTGGTCCCACCCGTGTGCATCCGCGGATTCCGGCTGATCACCCAGATGGTCACACTATTCCCCACGATACCCGTAATAAAGATCAGAACGTAGAAAAAACACATTGGGATCAGGACGGGTGTGGCGCTGCGCTGTGGACCGAGAAGTTCATCCTCTAGATAGACCATTACCCGTTTCTGAAAATCCTCCGGACTGAGATTGACCGGCAGCATAGAATAATTATACGGTAATGTGGAGGAAAAGTTATTCAGTAAATCCGTGAAATTCAGAAAGCCGGTACTAGTCGCATAGTCATAATTAAAAAAATCCCAAGTTGTTTTCATTTTCTCCGCGATAATGGTCTCCATCTGCCGATATGGAGGTTTACCCCGTTCTTGTATAATCCGACAATTGCAACTGGTGATAATTCAATCGGCAGATAGATATTACACCGGGGTCATCGATTACATATACACCCGTGTGATTTATTCAATCCGCCTAAACGGCCACCAAAAGGGGAAAATTCTATTACCAGTCCATTCTTGGATGTCCCGGCACGATGGAAAAACAACACCAAGTTCACACTAGTCCGCTGTAATATACCGATCACATAATGGACGACGACGACAACCGTTGTATCCTAAAGAACATCGGAATTAGGGTTATAAAAATCCCGTCGCTATCTCACCACGGCCACACACTGTTTCTTTGCCACTGACTACACTGGACGTTGTTCAACAGAGAGAAAAGACGCTAAGGAAACTGTACATCTACGCCAGAAGAGGAGGAGTTGACAGGAAATGTGGATTGAAGCGTTAGCGGACTCGTTTTTCCGCTCCTCAGACAATCCCATATAGACACACATGTATACAACTATACATACAGTGCACTGTTCTATGCCAATGATGGCGCTTGGTGTTAACCAGATAAGACTGTCATTTACGTAGACGCCGCCGTGTACATAGCTCGTAGCACATCAGTGGATATATTGTACACAATTTTCGCAGCTAACTGTCTGCAGGCATCCATAAGCTTTTTATCGGAACGGAAGTGAAGCGCGCTTCCCTAAAAATCATGTATGTCGAGGATGTGTGCCAAGAGCTGGTTGTGTAGGAAAAGTGAATGTGAGTGATGTCTCCAAAAGGTACAAGGCAGATAGGGGGGCTTTATGGCGATGACCACGAACGTAATAAATGTATCTTCGATCGTATGCGGGCACATAAATATTTGGCACGTCGGATAATTGACAGCAATGACCTTACTGCCATTTCCGTACATCTTAATTAGCGTTTCCGCCCCGTTGACTCACATCAAGGAACATTGTGTAATTACACTTGGATATTTGCTGGTGTCACAGTGAATTTTGCCAATAAAAAAGTAATGAAACAATTAAGTAGTTTAATATTTAATTAATTGTCTACAGCGTTAACGTATCGATTTCACCGGGTTGGTGTATTGCATGGATCAAGTGTATATCCAACCGCACAGTAAATCTGCAACAATCTTTATACGCTTCCTGATTTACCAAGGAAAATTATACGTAAAGCTAATTTATTTTTATTATTATGTTTTAACAACATCTGAATCGAACAATTTTTTACATTTCACTTTATTCATAAACAACAGTTTTTTGTTATGTAATTTCTCCCAAAGCAATCGCTGGTTTTGAAAGCGACACGCCCGTCTGAAGTCTTTCACATGCACGATTCTCGGGCGCCGATTACGAGGTGTAAACGGGGCCTTACGTCAACTTTTAACCTCGGCCCAAGCAACATTAAAAGATAATTTATCACCCACGCTACTGGCGCAATGATTTACGATGAACTTGAATGTTCTGTGTTACTATCCCATCCCTTCCTGTATCCGCCTCTGTTGAAATGCGGCGGAATAATCAGAAATGATTATTCGTAAACAAGAACCCCATAACGCATGAATCGGATCACATTGGATAAGCGACAGCATATATCCGGCAAATTGCCTGCCGCTGTACCGGCTTTTTAATTGGATAGTGCAATTAGATTTAACCGTCTATGACATCCAGTGCTCCCGGGAATGTATCGAAAGAAGCGGCGCGGTTAAACGTGATAAAATCCTCAACGCTGACTGTTATACTATGCTTTCCGGCTGCTCGACCGATATAATGACGAAGGCATATCAGACACCGACTGCAAGCTTATAGTAGCAATTTATAATGCAAATGTCAACTGTCGCGCTATGATTAATATTTGTCGTACATCAAAGCACTATTGCGTGCGTTTACACAATATTGTTTTCGGTCACCGACAATTACCGCTGGATAGTTTTACATGTAATAAAATTTTTCGAAAAACAAAAATTTTGCTTTTGTATTGGAAATGTATTTTATAAGGCGCAGCGAGTGGTAACATTTCTCGGTATTTCTGAGATGGCGCGTGGCGGCAATTTTCCAACCTATCCTAAATTTCTAATTAAATTACTAATGAGAACACGGAGACTTTTCCCATTATGACCCCTTTTGACGGGCTCCACCATCTCATCCGTCGTAAATGAGTGAAATCTAAGATGCAGCAGCATTTTCTCTCCTTTTTCCCCCAACCCTGAAAACCGGTGGCGGCATAATAATTCCCCGAAAAATCTCCGCCAACTTGAATGCCGCACGGTCGAGGCTTGTACTGTGGCGTATTGGCGGTTCATATGTACAATACGTATATAACGGCGACGCGCTGCACCCAATAAGATTATTTGTGAGATCATTAGCCTGAGCCAAAATGCACTTGATCACTGGTAGATTCGGCTAAAACGCATCCTGAATAACGATTTACGACAACACAAAATGCAGGCCTCTTAACGAAGCTAATGGAAGATCATTACGCATGCACTGCTTTAAGAGAACAAACATCGCGCCATCGACGCCATTGCTGCACACACACTCACTCTCTTTCGGCAGCCATCGTGATCAGGCGGAAGCCATCCAGGTTGCGCTGCAGGGCAGTTTGATTGCAAAGGTCACTAGCAATGAATAAGTACTTAATCCTCTCGTCTCGAGCTAGCAGTGGCGAGCCTATATGACAATGCGCTCACCACGTGAAGCAGGGTAAAAAATTGAAATCCCGTTGCGGGATGACAAGCTTTGATTTTCAAGCATAAATGTCAGGAGAGAAACATTTCTATGCAAAACAAGACGCTCTAACAAAACCGCAAGTAAAGATAGATTTTATCTACAGTGTATCATAATTATATCATACACTAGGTGCATATTCGACTAAGCACTACTGACCAGTATCCCACAGTTTTCGAGTCTACCTACGTACAATATTCAAACTATAGTTAATTTATTCTTTTTCTGGAACCACCAAAACGGACATACCTTTACTTAATCGATTTCCAAAACCGTAGCACCGCACGTGCAAGACTGCGCTTCCGCAATATAACGGGTCGAAGCTACTTAGCACTCTCCCGAGTTTTCATTTGCGTTGATTTCCAACTCCAGTTAATGTCCACGATTTTGTAGAGCAAATAAAAAAAAACCTGCCATTCGGGCCTTTGATTAAGGTCGTGAAGGTACGCTGATCGGCAAACTAGAAGTGTTATATCTATCGATTAATTTATACAGTGTAAATCTGACAACATGCTGTTGAACCCATTCAGGTAAGTAACCGTTTTTGTCTCTAATAAAATTTGTTTATTAGAAACTGATCGACAAATTTAATTTTGTAATCGCAGCGATCATGGATGGCAGGCATACAGTGTATAGTGTAAGTGCAATTACTGCAATACTTGGTACTTACAATTAAATATTGAGCTCTAAACCGGGTATACCACGCGTCTCGCGTCTCGCCCATATTCCCACATTACATTTCAGCCAAAAACAGGAACAACATGAATACTACTATGCATGTAAATCAATTGAGCTCGCAAACAAACACATTAGCCGGTGGAATGTTCCCGCTGCACACCACCGATGAGATTTTGCTATCAGACATTTCCGCGCCATTCTGATGGCACAGGTTGACGGATGAGCGTCTGGAAGCAATTGCGCAGACGAATTGCACTAATGTTGCTGTTTGCTTAACCATGGTAAGTCTGAACTCCCACGTACAATCTCCTTAATTATTTAACGACATTTCTCAGTTTTCACGCGGAAATAAAAGCGGCACATTTAGGAAGGAGGAAAAACGTACAAGTTGCGGCTATAAAACTCCAACGGTATTATACAGTACATACCGAATTACGTGCAATTACGGCATATTTCTACATATGAAGTCCATTTAGACAACAAAACATGCATCCATGTTTTTGCCTAGCAAAGCCGATTAAATTTTTTATTCAAATTCGAATCAGCTACAGAATTTCCATTTAATATCTGTTTAACTAAACACGATTTTTGCTCACACCAGTATCCTAAACCAACAACCAGAGTATATAGTACGGGACTAAAACGGTTATTAATAAATATAAATTAAAAATTCTGCTGCGTTCGATCAATGCCGACATTACGTCACGAAGTGGAGCATGTATAAGTTCATAATCAGGATTAAAACAATAAAGCTGAACAAAACAGGGTTGTACAATCATATGCGCATGGCCCCTGGGGGCATTTCACCACTGCTAATCGCACCTAACGGCCACATAAAATGCTTTTACGATTTTACGGTATTGCGTCAAACCCTTATCGTTCTTTAAATGCGATAAATTTCTTGGCAGAATTTTCTTTCTAATGGGAATCTGTTGCGTTTTCCCTTCTCATAAATCTCCATAAAAACACGGAAAAACATTTCAGATCATTTTATTTCGAACGGCTCTATGTTGACAAACACAAACTTCTTTTTAAAGTAAAAAAAACATTCTCAGCGCCAAATCACATAAAATCATCATCATCTCCTCGATCTCGGTTGGTTTTCATATTTTCCGACCGCATCATAGTGTCGTAAGATCTAAAAAGCAAATGATTCAGATAGATGCAAAGCCTGACGTTTCTTGCTTGTTTTGAGTGACATCAGTTATTACGAATTCAAACAAAGTAAAAATGAAAAACGAAAATATTCAAAAAAATCAACAAATTTCTTAATCAGAGCTAGGTAGAATCAGGAGAGTAAAACTATCCTCTTGTTGGCAAAACCGAAATAGAAAGTAGAAGATTCGATCAAAACATTGAAGCTACACAGAATAAAAAAACGAAAGCGATATTACTTATTAAGCAATTATTCGAAATAGATTAAAAAAGGCGCGATCTGAATATTGTAACTGTGCGCTAGAAAAACATACCGCAAACTGGCTTCTTCTTGCTTCCGTCTGGCCTCTTCAGCATCCTTGGCCTTCTGTTCACGTGCATCCTTCTTACGCTCGTCCCGCTCCTTGCGATCACGCTCCTCTTTAGCTTCAATGAAGGTCTGCGTGGGCATGTCTTTGCGCGTCTTCTCCAGCCGATTGACAATCTCATTAATCCGCTTTTCCACCCGTGCACGCCGCACAGCCTTCTGATCCTTAAATCCCACTTGGCCCGTATCCATATCGCCAGTTTTCTTCAGATTAGACGCCAGCGTATATACAATGCCCACATTGTTCTCCTTATTGCCTGGTTAACACAGTGCAACAGCGCAATGAAATTTTAAGTATTTTTCAACAGGCTCTGGCTGATAATTTCCTTAACCTTGTTACAATTGAGCTTAAATGTTTTCAAACTAGGCACGCGTCAGGCTTAAAAGCAGATTGACAATTTAACTGGATTAGTGATTAGAAACAGGATGTACTTCACTTGCCAAACATGGCTCTTGCTGCAGAACCATCCAAAAGGGAAAATGTTGAAAAAGTGAAATATTCACTAGCCACGAGTACAAGACGTGTTTAAGATGAAATGAAAAACGTTTTCCAGCAACTGTATACAAGAAGATACAAAAACAAGCATCAAGAAAAACAAACAGATTCTTAAGACGAAATGACAAATAAAATAATGCACAGTTATAATACCGCAAAATGAAAACAGCAATACAACGAAACACCAATCCATTTTGCTTCATAAATTTATTCATGGGGGATCATCATTGAGCAAATAAAACTATGAAATTCAGATTCAGATATGTATGTAATATTTCCCATACTCGTACACTAAATAATACTAATGAATGAATGAATAATGAAATAATACGTAAAAATTGTAAAAATAAATAAACTTATCAATGGTTTAAATACCTTGAATACTGTTGGCTTTTACCAGCTGGCAGCAATCTGTTACAACGGTTTCGGGAATGTCGTCAATGGTCTGGCCCTACAAACGATGAAATAAGTATTCACATGAGGTTCGGTGCATATCTGTAACACATACTTTCAAGTTTCATAATATTCATGTCCCATTTACTGGTTTTCGTAACATCTATCCAATTTCGAAAATGCATAACCTTAACGAAACATTGTCTACACTTTCTTAAATAACGGGCTAATTTTCGTCTAAGGAAAAATGCAACAAACGTTTCTGTGTTCACTTTCGAGATGCATAATACATAATAACTTACAGGTTCCAGACGTAAATAAACATGAGCAGACGAAAGTTTATCCACATGGAACCACACATCTTCCGGCCAGGAGTGCTTAATCAGTTCTTCATCTGCAAAACGAACACGCATAGGAGGAGTCGTCCAGAATAAAGGAATGCAAAAGAGATTCAGCCATTCAGGCCTATTACAATGAAAGCACAAAAACGACAACAAAATATTATATTATGCAACGTGTTCGCGGAATCAGAGGTCCTAACTGTCCTATGCATTATAACATATGGTCCGCACGTACTCTCGTACTTGTCCACTCCCATGTACATCGAAACGGCTGGAGTTACAACTGAAATTTTTCCAAAAAGTTCAAGCAATGTGGTAAACAAAATGTTTGACAGCTGAAGATTCAGCATGCAAGTTACAAATCCGTGGAACTTACTGTTTGACGTAAAGAAGAACACCATGATGCTTTACTCAGATCTACTGGCAGGAAACGCTTGAGGTAATAAATCCGAATCACATAAGAATCTAATCAGGAAACTGGGCTTAAAATTAAGGATATTATTAATAATGAGAAATGGGCGAAAAACAAATGCCAGTTTGCAAACTCCAAGATCACCGATTCACCAATAATAAATAAAATCTAAAAGTACTGACAAGTGAAGCCTGGAAGCATTACGATTAGTAGTGAATAATCCTGATAAGCATGGTACATACTTCCCGTGGGGTACGCACTATACACCGACACGTTCTGCCTTGTGTTTACAGCCTTACAGGATATTTGTTTGATCTGACCAAGTGCTGCATAGTGGCAGTGGACACTGCTCGACATTGTTGTTCCCTAAAATATTCACTCATTTCTCAATCATACTTTGGTAGGTGACGATCACGATAGTCTAAATTGCTTGAATTTATTATTGCGATAAACATTGTGATCGCGCAATATTTGCAAAAATTGTTTGCGACCATAGTGCAGACTTTTTGCTCTGAATTATCGTCGACCATACACGTACACTACCTGTGTGCCTGTGTGCCCTTTGCCGACTAGGATAATTAATGTAGTTGGCAAAATCATAATCACCCTGTCACAAGTACGTAAATGCATAATTCTATCACTTGCTGTACTCTCAAATGTAATTTGCCATAAATTTCTACTGTAGGTTTGTAAGGTCACACACGTTCTAGCTGCTCTGATGGCAGTTGTGAGTATTGGTGTTATACAATTGTACTTCTTGCACTCTCTACCAGTAGCGCCGAGAACGAATAGAAGAATCCAAGTCGCTGTTCAATAAAATTTTATTTTGTATATCCAATCATGAGCACATTTCACAACAATATTACTGTATACGTCTAATGTAGCCGATTCAAAACTATCATATCCATTCCAGCTCGTCAATCTCATCCGTAACAACACTGCGATTTTGACCATCCGGTTTACTGCTAGCTTTGGACATCACACTGCGCGGCACAATGGGATCACTTTTCGACCGACCCGGCCGACCAGCGGTTGGACTTATGTCCATATAAGCTAAACTATCGGTGCTGCCGCTGCTGGCGTTACTTTCGATGCGCACCGTGCGCGGTGACGGATGGACAGCGGTAACGCGGGCCAACGCCGGCGTACTGCGTGTGGAATTCACATTGATCAGATGGCGGGTGCTGCTGTACGGTGTGGCACTGTTGGATCGCACTTGCATCTGGAATGTGTCCGGTGGAAGCAGGCCGGCGGCAGTTGACCTTCGTCGGGCCTGCTACAGAAATACCAAAAATGAATATTCTGCTTACGAACTTTGTATATGAAAGACACTTGCGTATATAAAAGTTAAAATTAGTTCTATATGTATAAACTATAACGTACTCTGTACATGAAGATACATACAAAATGTATTTGCGACCATCGGCATGAAAATTACGGTTCGTTTTGTGTACATAATGACCAACCACCATGCTCTTATTTTGAATAACGTTTATTACATTTTTGAAGTTATTTTTACATAAAAACACTGGCTAATGAATGTACAATGAAGGTCTGATTAATGATTTAATCTTGCCGTTGATTTGTAATTGACGCTATGCTTACCTTAATAGTTTCCAAATCAATATATTTCTGCTCTCTGAGGAAATCAGATCGGAAACACCATGAGATTACCAACTCGCATACAAGTGATACCTAAAATTTGAACAGGCATCAAATTTAATCAAGTATGCAAATCCAAAGGGAAACTACTAATAAAAACACACACTACTAATAATAACCCATTAAAATGCAAATTTAGTATATAATATTGTCATACATACAATGCCAAACAATCCCAAACTGGAACCTAAATGCATAACGAATGGAACAATGGAGAATTTTCCGGCTTGCCCAGTCACAATAAAAATAAACCGTATTCCCCAAAATTTGACAAGATCTCTTCGATTCCCTCCTTTAGCATCATAAAAGTAATATGCATGGCTGCAAAATAATTAAGTAGTCGTTCACACAACACGCATCATGCATGTACAGTCGTTGAAAAAATGTGGAATAGTTGTTTAAAAATAAACAGCATCCAGCACACATTACCGGAAGTTCCATCCTTTGGCCACTTTGTCGGTTTGGTCATCGAGGCGTTTGAAAGAATACTCCGGCAGACATTCTTCTTCACCACGATCTAGGTCGCACATCCATCGTATATGGAAACCAATTATGCCACCCTACGAAAGCGTCTTGAATTACAGTTTCTTTCGAAATAATATGCAAAGTTATATATAGCGCAATTTCCAAAAGAGATGACATAATTATCTTGTGCGTATAATGTTCCATAATAAACAAAACGATTTCTCAGTACGCTTAAAAATATTGCTGGTTAATCGTCGTCACTAGAGTATTAAGCGCGCGCCACATTCCTACGTAGATCTTACCCATTTTACTTTTCAACGTAGTTTTCACTACTATAATCTGCGTCCAACAACAAAAAGGTAGATTTTAAGCAAAATTGTTTCTTCCTAAACTCGGAAGCATTTCATACATATATGGCGTAATTTTGTGTATATCAAATTATGTATCTCAATGCTATCCATCGTGGAATATTAAAACAGCAAAATTTTGTCTATGCAATTGCTCAAGTCCATGTGTAGTAATATTTTTCGGCTGATTCTGTGCAGTGAACAGCGAGCGCCAAGTGCACTGTACGTTTCTCGCTGTGCAGCAAATTGCATGCCAAAACCGATCGGCTACAAAACGCATCCTGTCACTCCTGTGGAGTCGGAACGTCAAAAAAACATTCCGCTGCATGTTGCAACTACTGATAATTGACATGGATATCTTTATCAATGATGCTTTACTATTCCCGGCGTTCTACGTCGACGTCACGACGATGTTAAAGAAAACCAATTGCTAGTGCGCCCGGATTCTCTCTGCGAAAGATGCCTTCCATCTCTTTAAACACAACCATATTGTGATCCGTAAATCATTTGCCTCTCACGGCCGATGACCGGGGATTTATTGCGAAACTTTACGCAGTGATTGAGCCGTCATGAGGAAAAATTGTAAAATGGCGACATTTATCATGGGGCTTTTAAGAAAGGATAATTAGGTAACTAGTTATATAAAGAAAAGAAAGAAAATACTGTACTATCGAAACGAAAATTGTTTACTTCTTTATAATTACATATGCCGAAAATTAAAAGCTTACCTTAACAGCCATATCTTCGAATTTCTCTTGAGCATATTTGACAATTTCTTTGACGGAAAATATTGGACATTTTGGATCATCATCTGGATCGTAGCGGCAGGTCTGGAGATACTTTTGCGTGAAGTGGGACAAAATATTCCGCCTGCAAACAGACGACACATGTGGTGAAATATGAGTGTGTATACGCCAGCGCCGCCGATCAATGGGCGTATTATGTATGTACCGCTTAATCTTAAACTTCTGGAAGGCGATGTGATTTTTGACTAATATGGTTATCGTCTCAAATCCACTCAATACCGGCTTCCTGTTGAAATAAATTCCAATTAATCGGATCTTCATTCCAGGGCGTCCAAGCCGTGTTATTTATAAAGACACATATGGTACACAGCACATACGATGGCGGATCGTCAATTTCGGTCGGGCACCAACCGGAAATTTCACAAGTGCCGGTTCGTTGGACGCATTTGCCGGTCTTGATACCGTTTCCGTAGGGGGTTGGTTTGCCCTTCTCGCAGTCGAAATCTTCCGAACATTCGATGCCTTCTACTCCAACATTGGCATCCTGTAATTGCACATTTCCAAGACATTTACAAAATGCAAACCTTGTATTCATGAGAATCACAAACCACAAAACTGAAGAAATTTGACAGCGCAATCAGTTAAGCTAGGCAACGGGCAATCACGACAATGCAATTATCCTTCTTAATTTTATTTACTCCATTTGATTGCACTACTTGTATTTTAACTGCTTTATATATGCTTTCCTCATTATTAATGTTTTTATTCCCAAGCAGTTTAAACTGTACAGATATAACAGAAACTATTAAAGCTTTGTAGGTTTATACAACCTAGTTTTCGGTATTTGTACGTGAGTAATTATTGCTGTACATCACGGAGTTACCTCTGGACAAATTCCTTGACTTTGATTCCTAGTGTAAACCATGTTGGTCGCGATAAAAAACGCATTGCTTTCCTAGCTTCGCGGAAGACAAAATACAATCGTTAGGGCATAGCTATGATTAATTATCAGTCAAAAAGAATTTGGTAAATGATACCTAAACGATTCCGTACCTGTGCTGGTACGACAAAGTCGTTATTGTCCCAAACCTCCTTGGACCCATTAACGTTGCGGTATAGCATGCCTTTGACTTTCGTTACCACGCTAAAATCTGCAGTGTCCGTAGCCTGATAGCTTTTTTTATAGAGGAAAACATACCTACGGATATTATTAATTTCAACATTACTCATATCGACATATAAACGCAAATACCGGGCGAGTTCATCTTTTTAGAAATACATACGAGCAATTGTGCGATTTGTGTCCCATTTTGTTGGCAGTGTGCTCACAATTAATATTAATCGGTTCTATATACGATTATATCGGTTTACGATTGCGGTATCAGTTAAAATTTTGTAAGTGACTTGCTGATCGACAAAAAGGTAATCATGCAATATTCACATTTAACACTGTACTGATGCTGAAAACATTGCAATAAGATTTAGTGAAAAGGTGAAATGTAAACATTAGTGTTATAATCCGAATGTGAAATTCTGCAAAGTACCATCTATGCTTCTTGCATACTGTTCTTGTACAGTGCGGTTCTGCAGGATATTATTTTTTTGCTTTGCTTTGCACTTTTGCGCAGCGCTGTATATGCTTACATAAATTCGCATACATTTGCTACAACAATTTTTGGAAGTAAAAAATATTTAGCTATGGCCCGGTTCTACGGCATGTGCTTTAGACATCGTCGGAGCACAACACGCCGTCTTTAGAGCGGCATGTTTCAGTATACTTATGGAGCCCCTTTTCATGTACATTTACACGTCTAATATACATGGTCTAGGAAACTATATTATGGCTTTTTGAAACTCAAAAAACAACCATCCAAAGGACATCTTTTGGATGAAGAAGACATGGGCGCTTTTTTCTCGAATAGAACCGGGTGGGTAGTAACAGCGGGATAACACTCATGAATCCGTACCCAACGAGGTATGCTAGCAGAGCCAGCTGCAGCGTCCTGTAGATAATCCCAATCCGTTTGCTTTTTTAGTGATACAACACGCGGTGTTTGGTAGCTACAACAAAAGGTCACAAATAACAAACATATGTATATGGCTCATTACTCCCATAATTATTCACCTATTTCGTATGTACGTATATACCACCACTCCAAATTCATATGCCGTGGTTCAATTAATTACAGTATACTAACTTGCATTTACAAGTCAACTTACATAAAACAAAACTGCGTCAGACATAATCTTAAATATTTTGATATCCTTTTTTGGTGAGGCATTGTACCAAGTTGCGCGCAATATACGCTCTCATTAGGTCAGATGCACGGACTGTCGAAGAATCAGCAATACCACAGTCCGCTGTAGTTTGACCATTGTTGGTCTGGTCGAATCAACTTGGAATATTCAATCGGGAAAATCAATCCATCTAATCAGCATGTATATCAAACAGATTAGACAAATCCCTGGTTCCTCCACTAGTAATTAAAAATCACCCGATCCGCCTCGGTAATCCCATAGGAAAAATGGCGCAAGTGAAACACACTGGACATTAAATACAATATCAGACTCGATTTATTACAAAACCGTATTCATTGTTTTAGGAACTTCCGGCGCCCGCTACTCCGTATATAGCATACAAAACTTCGTGCGCCTAGTAAAGAAGAAAATACACAAAGTCGGTTAATTCGGAAATCGCAGCCAATTATTCACCATCGTTTATTTTCGGATCGTTCCCGTGGCGAGGAATGTGCCTGGCAGCAGATGCCGATCAAAAACGGCTTCTCTGGTCTACTTTCATATTCTTCCTATTGGTCGCGTACATCCTAGACGCACGCTTAATTCGTACCGTACGAATTCCGGGCAGCGTACACATGGATCGATATGCGTGAATGGTTTTTAAAACGACTCCCAAGAACTCCGCCTGAACTCTGTTGTGGAAAGCCGTTTCCGCCCAGGCAATAAAAACAGACAGAAGTTCTTGTGGACACATGTTAAAGTTCTCTAACCAGCAAATGTTTGTACATGCTATCTGTTTTGGGGCAGTCAACCTAGCGTTAGTCGGGTCAAAACAAGGGATGAAAGGCTTATGTGTAAGTGTAACAACTAACAATCACGGGTAGGAAAACACCGGCAAGGAGCTCGTGCACGACTTCGCCACATTGATAAACAAAAATTATAAGAAATAGAAGTGAAATTATTTAACACATCTAATTACCCGAAAAGGAGTCCAGGTTAACATACAACATTCTACGGTGCTTATATTTGGATATATGAGGAATGCGCGGTTCAGACGTCTTATTCATATTCCCAATCGGTTTCATCGAAATTATAATATTTGGAAGTTTATTAATAGTAATTTTTAATATCTGCTACTCACGCGCACAACTGGTATTTAATAAACAGTACGACTACTGTACTTTACCAATATGCAGTTGCGCAGTACGGAAATAACTCTGTTACAATGTATTGCTAGTATGTCTTTAACAAGAAAAAAGCTTAGCGCAGCCGACCGGTACACAATACTAGTAATAACTGGACTCCTTACACTGAATAACAAAGCTAAAACGAAAGAACTATAAATGATCTTCAAAGAAATGCGGTACAAAACTCCAGATTTTATCTCCTAGTTTGCCGACAATAAACGCTGCTATGATCGGTCCCAGGAAATAGACAAGGAAGAACTGCAGATGATTATGTCCACTGCAGTTAAACTCCATGCTGAAGGCCAAGGAAGGATTAAAATAACCACCAGTCAAGTTCCATCCTGTCGGTAACAGTAAAGCGGTTAATTGTAGAAATGCTGCTCCTTGCGTTGTTAATAACTTATTAAACTTGAAAAACGGCGGGAACGTGAAAAAATGTGTACCGGCAAATGTCATCGCCACCGCCATCAGGCTGACCAACACCAATCCGGATCGGAATCGATTTTCTCTATGGATCATTAGTCGGAACAGAAATGTCAAAGCCATTTCCACCGCGACGGCAGCTGCCGTGTTGATCTGACGAAGAAAACACATGAAGCGTCAAAGAGTGACGAAAAGCTGCTGGTCGGTAGTTTTCGGTAGGTTACAAATTATTAAGAATTTCAAAATTGACAGTTGTATGGAACACAAATTCAGCGGTTATTTCTTAATTGGTAGTTTGTTACAAATATACGGTTGCTTCAAAGATGCACACAGTCCCACGGATTAGTAGATTACGTTATGTCCATATTTGCTATAATACACTAGGCTTTGTTGCTTCTGTTAGTGCTGGCATGAATAACAGTTATTAGTTCATTTTATTTTATAGTACTGGTTACGAAATAGTACTCATATAAGAACACCATTATGAAATTAGTGGTACCAAACCTAATAGGTTTTTCTGTTTGACCTTTCCCAAGTAATAGCTAATGAGGAATTAAAGTATGGTAAAGAGAACGTAGAAATTAAATTACACTTCCTTAATTAACTTCAATGCGTTTATAAAATCGTAAAAAATAAAAAAATACGGATTTAAACCGCTTTAAAACTTTTCAAAAAATAATTCAGGTTCTATCCAGGATATCCAGTTATGACTGACCTGGATGTGCGATGAACATGACTGTATATCCGATAATTTGCCCTTGTGAGCTGCATCAGTGGCGGCGACTGCCCATACAAATCGCACATACCAATAGCCGCAATACGATGCTAGCAACTGTGTCACAATGTGCCCCACAAATTCGCCCCACGGCCAATAATTCCCGAACGCATACACGTGCACATTGCCCGCTACATTTGTGAAAACACCAGTCCGGAAGGTGCGTCCGTACAGATAGCAGGACAGCAGTAAAACCACCGCGAACGCCAAATCCCCATACGCTTTCTGTATCACCAAGTTTTCATGGCTACAACACTCAACGTAGTTCCCACACGTGCCGGTGCGCTGAGAACATTTCCTTACCTGAGAATAATTAACTGGAGTATACAGAAAAACTCTTCGATAAAAACGGAGACCCTGCTTTGTTCGATAAATTCCTGAAGGAAGCGCACGATTCCGCTGGTGATAAGGACCTCTACAAGATAAAATAGCCACGGTGTTTCCGATAAATAAGGAATATGGGCCACAGCGTGGCTTATCACATCGGACACCGGTTGGTCCATTTTAGAGATGTTTGGTTAATACAGCTGCAGCTGTTCGCTCTCCGCTCGATATTTTAATCATGAAAATTAATTAAAAATTGTTATAAAAGAACTAGCTGCAACAACATTAATATGTTTTGTAGCAGCTAGCATGGCAACAAAAACATGTGAACTTTCGAAGCGAATACTTTTTCACTATATGTATTGTACGAGTATCAAAGCGTCCTGCGTTCATTATAGACTTTGCAAAACGACATTCAGGCATTAGAACTTGGGAAAAGCGTCGTGATTATTATTAAGCGATCAGAATTGTCACTCCAGATATGGAAAATGCAGCAGTCAACTATTTTACTTGTTCTAATAAATTCTGGGGTTTTTTAAAGTTTAAATGTGAATGGCACTGGCTTGTTCAAGTTGATAATAAACATCACATTACAATTTTATGATATTTATCCAAGTATCGTTGCAGGCTGACCCCTAATCAAGAGACTGCATTTCCGCGATTGCTGTACTTCTGTGTGGTGCCATTTTGAAGAACCAAATCATCGAGTTTTAATCAAACTTTTCGATAACAACAATGTAAGCACAGCAGGCCAGCCAAGAACCTGATCAATCATGTCAATCATAGCATCACACTGAACAGGCAACGAAAAAAGCAACGAAGGTAATCGGCGATTTCGTACTTTTACCATAACCATTTTTACTGTGTTGGAATAGATTGGTTCCAGTTCTATCAAAAGACCATGGAAAAACTAATCATCACGGTACTTCTTAGCTGCATTACGAGCACTAGTGCGACTCGGTTTGACCACTGGCGTCACTGGTGTTCCGGTAACTTTCGTCTCCTTGCGTTTCTTCACAATCAGACTATCCGCCGACTTGGCCGACCGGTCGCGTTTGACGGCAGTCAGAACTAGCTTCGTCGGTGTCTGCAGACTAGGCAGGAGCCGTGGTCCTCGGCGTTTCCGGTCCTTCTCGTCATCACCCAGTATCTCCCTTTCAATCAGACCAACCAATGTATTACAACGTCGCTGCAGATCACCAGCTGTCCGGGAACGCATCCACCAGTCGAAGCGAAACTGAGGAGATTTCCGGGCCAATTCAGCGATTTCCTCATAAGCTTTTTCGTTATCAATACCAATACGATGCAAATGGCAAATCATGAATCTATAACAAACACAGAAAATAAATGGAAAATAAAATAACAAATAATAAAATACAAACGTTACACTCGAAAATTACTGCCACCGCACTTTGCTACTATGTATCAAACTTTCTCATACTAACATTACCGTGTTTACCTGTCTTCATCTTCGTTAAAGGATTTTCCTTTACTGTTCCCATACTGAAACTTCAGCTGGACCATCGGCAAACGGTACTTCTGCATTTTGGCGTCCATGGCCGTTTGAATATCCACGCGACGCTGAATGCGTTGTTCGCCTTTCTCAATCATGGCAGTGATCTTGTCATAATTCGGCAGCTCTTTGCATCTTTTCCAAAACACTTTGTGGTACTTTTTAACTTCTTCGGGCGTTTTTCCCGGCACAGCATTCTCAATACTGGCCAGGTCATTTCGCCCATATGTTTCCATCGCCGTTAGGAATGCTGCGAAGTCTTTCTTATTCCAAGCAAAACCCTGCTCCAGCAGCGCCGCTTTTTCTTCGCTTTCTTCTTCGTCCAACGGCTCTGCATCGTCTATCGCTTGCTGTTCCTCGTCACGGATCTTCAAAAAACAAAACAAATGAACAAACTGGAAGCACACTGTAACTGAGGCACCAACATACTGACTTGATAGTTCGCACATTTCGAGGGAAAGGAGCGAAACAAACCGTAAGTTCTAACGATCACAAAAACAAGCAGAACACGAAGCCTTTAGAATTCAAGCATTTTAAAATTAGAAGTACCGGTATTTATTTGTCTTCCCGTAAAAACCGAAAATCGAAACGTCTGGCAAATTACCAAGACACTTGTTTACCTCTTCGGCTTCGTCACCATAACGCGAATCCAGTGGCACGCGATAGCCAATGGTTTTGTGAAACCAGCGCCGCTCCTGTTGGATTAATTCATGCAATCTCCGCGGATGAAACTGGAATTCATGAATATTCGGCTGCTTTGGCGGTTTGGGAGCCTTTGGAACTTTAGAGGTGCTTCCATGCTGCTTCATGGCATCACGATAATACTGATCCACAGCATAATTAACACGGCGCTCGCGTTTAGGTGGCTCAATCCAATGAGACGGGGCATTCAGCTGCGCCTTCTTACTGCGCCAGTCCTCGCCTTCAAACTGATACACTGAGTTGTGTTTCATCGCCGGATCTTCCACATCCAGTGTGAAATTACGCAGATTCCCATCACCACCCAGCTTCTCAATTTGCTTTTGCAACTCTTCCGTCTGTAACCACCAAGACATATTGAGCGCAGTACAGTTAAATCTTAGCACGAGAAATTATACAATCAATAACTACATAGATAAACACAAAAGTCAAGGACTGCAGAATCCAAACAACCGATTTTTACTGTACCTCAGTTATTAAGAAAATTTTTCAACCCAAAAATGTTTTTCTGTTAACACCACCAGAATTATAAATAAATTTCAACGAGGAAAGTGGGAATAAAATTACTATTCTTGAATAGGGTACACCCATACCTTAGCCTCTCCTTTCGCTAAAACAGCATCGATGTTTTCCTCCAAGATATCGCTATCCTTGCTGCTGAACACATACTGTGCTCCGTGACGAATCATGGCCAACATATCATCACGACCAAGTTTATTAGCTCCCTGATCAACCAGCCGACCTTGTTGAATAACGATGCGATCCTAATAATTGTAAAGAAACGCATATTAAGTATAATATCAACTACTTAAAACAAAATAAAATTTTATTACAGTGGCAACTAACCAAATGCAACTTTTTGTCTGCTCTTTCTACAATTCGTTCTTCCACTGTGTTTTCCGTGATGAAGCGAAATACACGCACTACTTTTTTCTGTCCAATACGATGTGCACGATCCATGGCTTGGAGATCAACCTTTAACGTATTTGACAGCATAAGCATGTTAAACCTTCAATATTACAGTGGGTAAAAGGTACCTGAGGATTCCAGTCACTATCGTACATCAAAACCACATCGGCAGTGGCCAAATTGATACCCAATCCACCGGCTCGGGTACTCAGCAGAAAAATGAACTTAACACTGTCCGGTGCGTTATACTCTTCAATTTGAGACTAAAACATTGTTAAGGTATTTCAACACAGGACAAGCAACAGTATTTGCAAAAACAAACACATTAAGTGCATACTTAACAAAATATTAGGATACTATTGTCGCTTCACCAGTTCTAGTATACTACATGACCCACAAAGGCTCCACGTACCGAGTAGTACTAAAATCATACGTCTCGTACTAACGTACCTCCCGCAAATCATGTGCAGTATTTCCGTCCAGCCGACAGTAATGATACCCTTCCCAACGACAGTAATCTTCCAGAATATCCAACATCCGCGTCATCTGCGAGAATATCAAAACCCGAGACCCTAAAAAATTTAAAATGCGCTCTTTAAATATTAAACAACATCCAGTAAACAACTGAATACGCATTGACTGAAATGTCTGAACCAACCCTGTTCTTTCAGCTTTGGCAGGAGTTTTTGCAAGATAACCATTTTGCCACAATTATCAACGATATGCTGATCGGTAGTGTAGGGCGGTCCAGGTTCCACGCCATCAAATAAGTACGGATGATTGCAGCACTTTCTTAGCTGCATCAGAATATTCAACAACTGCATTTTATCCCCTTTTCCACTGTTCAGCACGTTAAGATCCTTCATTAACAATTTAGTGTATAATTCCCTCTGCATGCCACTCAGTCCCACGTAAATCTTGGTTTCTTTCTTCGGTGGGAGCCGCTTCTCCACATCGGCTTTGATACGGCGCAAGAGAAAAGGTCGCAAAACAGCATGCAATCTCTGAACCAAATTCTGATCACCCAAGCAATTGTTGGTATTAAACCACGCATCGAAATCCTCAGCAGATGCAAAGAGATCAGGCAGGAGGAAATTGAGCAGAGCCCACAATTCATGAAGGTTGTTTTGTAGCGGTGTTCCAGTTAATAAGAGCCGGTTTGTACATTTAATTTCTCGGACAATTTCAGATAACTGCGAACAAAATCGAAGGTTGAAATAAAGGATTTCTTGTCTGACTTACAAGCACTTAAGGGGACGATTCCTGGGAAAACCTCAGCAATCAACCTTAAGCATAGTATCTTAAGAATTCCCTCAAACCTTCTGGTCCCATACATAATTATATAAATGCGTGAAGGTACTGTATAGAGCACATTCAGATAAGGAGACGATCATAAAAACCTTGTAATCCAACTCTTTACACGCGGAATAAAAAAAAGAGCGCTAACCTTGGAATTTTCATTCTTAATGCGATGTGCCTCATCGATGACCAAATAGCGAAAGTGAACACGTTTCAATGCAGTGCGTTCGCGCAAAACCATCTCATAGGAAGTCACACAGACATCGAAATTGCTCCCGGGTGCCAGCAATGTGTTCTTGATAACTTCGTCCTAACAAAAGCACATCGATTATTGTCTGCTTCATATGACATAAATGACGATTTATGCTTACTCGTTCTTCTTGAGTTCCAATGAGTTCGACTGGGCGTATGCTCGGACACCAGCGCCTCAATTCCGACATCCAATTCCTCAGTGTAGATTTTGGCGCAACGACAAGGTGAGGCCGTTCCTGCCGCATCACCACCATGTATCCCAGCAAGGAAATCGTTTGTAGAGTTTTCCCTAAACCCTGATAAGATATAAGTTCACATGTTAGCATTCACTTCAGTAGCTCACTTCCTGGTCAAGACAGGGAATAACGTTTTTCAATAGTGAGCAGAAAACACCATACCATTTCATCAGCAAGAATCCCGTTAATACCGTGCTCACACAGTCCTAACATCCAGTTTAATCCGCGAATCTGATAATCGCGCATTTCTCCGCCTTTTATATCTGTAAAACCATTTCTTAAATTCCGACGTTCAGGTTATGGTACTTAGGGATACCAATTTTACGAATGCATTGTTATTTCTTACATCCCGGAGTAATGGTAAAATATGTTCCTGCTCGTTGAGATTCCTCAGTTTCTTTACGCAGTTCCAGATCCTCTTCTTGTTCAGTCATACGATGACGGTGACTTGAAAGAAAGACAATGCAAATCAGCAATGGAACGCGACTCGCACTAGGCAATATACGAATGCAGCTTCCGTAAACCAAACTTTCTGTACTTTCTCGTACTATTTAAACAACAAAATCGAAAAAGTATCGCTAAAGCTCAGCATCCAATCCAGTATAAGTTCACAACAATTACAACAGTTCACAGTTCACAACCGATGTCGCAAATTAGCTACTTATAAATCAGCAAACTGAAAACTCCTTAAAAAATATTTTTCCGACAGTACTTTGTAGAGATATCAATTATATCGATTACAAAGCCGTAACATTCAAATTTCGATTTTGCAAATCAAATAATTCTACTAAAATTTGTAAAAATAATTCTACTAAAGCCTGTAAATTTATTACAACAGTTCATTTCGCTTACACTGAAAAAACTCGCTTCGACAACAGTTGAAAAAGTCACCGAAGTGGATAGTGAATAACTACTTACTCTCCCGCGTCCGTCGAGCCTGTGGGGCGCGGAGCAAGAACGCTGGCTGGTTCAGCATTCTTCCGAGGCCGACCGCGCTTCTTAGGCTGCACCGAGCCTTCCGCACTGCTAGAGCCGCCGACGGAGGACGCTGACTGCTTTCGATCCGCCATGAAATGCGCGAAGATATCAGCCTGACTGATGAGATAATCGAAACGCTTAGCTCGATCGGCCACTGTTCGAGTATCGTGCGCAGCCTGGGCTGCAGCTTTCTGTTTCTGCGCCTAGAAACCCACAAAAAAGCGTAAAAAAACATAAAATTTTCGCTGGTCAGTTTTCAGAATTTTTGATTGCTCCTGCTTCTGTTTGCCAACTACTCCAGTCTTCGAAGTTTTGCTGTACAATTTTAAAACGCAAAAAAAAAACTTGACACAGTACCTCGGCTTTCTTTGCAGCAGCTTCCTCTGCGGCGGGATCGTCGGATTTCGAAGCTCCGTCATGGTCTGGAGCGCTCTTTGAGTCTCCTTCAGAGCTTGTTGCGTGCTCCGTAGAGTCTTTCGAATTCACGCTGACTGGACGGGGAGCACTGGTGCTAGGTTCTCCAGGAGTGGATGTGCTTGCACTGGAAGAAGAATCCGAACTTTCCATCGGGGACACCACAGTTTCTCGCTGGACTGTCTCATGCGCTGATGATAATGTATCAGCATTGGGCTCCGGCGATTTGTCATCCATGACGATGGTTCAGAACGTCAGATTTATGTTTACAGTCAACTACGGAATCGAACCAACAGCACAGTGGCTGCCCAAATCAGTATTAGACTAATCTGTAGCAATGAAACGCAAATTTGTCCGCCTCCGGGGTGTCAAAATGCGAAAACTAAAAGTAAACAAACGTTTTACCGTGAGTTTGCTGCTGTTCACTGTCCGACGTGACGTCAAACTGCTTTCTAAATCGGATTTTGTTAGTTCAAAGCGGTACGCGCGCGGTTTTTCGTCTCATAAGTCACAAATCGAAATGCCATAAGTGGCCACTTCCTGTGATCTTTTTTGCATCCGTTGTGCGCGATGACTCATGGTGCTGATTAACCATAAAGCACTGTGCGCTTGTAGCGGAGCTTGTGCTCGCACATTCCGACGGACCGGCGACGGTGCAAACAAATGTGACCCAGTTTTAGACCAGATTATTGTGCACAATAAACCAGTTGGTTGATCTAAATCCGATAAAATTACTGTGGTGTTGTGGGTTTTATGGTTTTTTGTTTCTGCGGACTAAGACGGTTCTAATTGTCAGCCCAGATCTAATCGTTCGCCTCCTTAAGTGTGCTTCAGTTGTACTTGTAACGTTAACTGCGTTGGCTGCTTTCCAAAGAAGCCAGAAAACATCCAACCATATGTGATATACGTAAGTTTGAGCTGGAGCATTTTCTCCTCTTTTCGATGGATTTTGAACACCCATTCGCATAAGGATGGAGTATGCCTCCACCGGGGTCTGGAGTAGCGATCAGACTGATGAGATGATGCGAATGGGGACGGCCACAACCAGTCATGGCTTGCCATCGTCATCCTCCCGTGCGGACCCATCCGAGCGTGTCAAGCTGGATTTTCAGGAGGCTATGCGCTCCTTCCAGCACATGTTCCCGGAAGCGGATGAGGATGTCATTGAACAAGTGCTGCGCGCTAATAATGGCGCCGTGGAGAAGACCATTGATGATCTCTTAGCGATTTGCTCGGATAAAGACAACGCCGCCGTGGAGACCGACCGCAGTGGTGGTGCAAGTGACAGTCAGAAACCTCCCCCTGTGCCCAGCCGACGACCGTATCAGAGGAAGGTGTCTCGGTGGAATCCGCCGCTGGTGGGGCCCTTACCAGATGATTTTCTTCGGTAAGTCGTGAGCAGGCTACTTAAATTCGTCCGTATCGATATCGGATTGTTCTGCGAAAGTCGTTTTTGTTGTTTATATCTTTATTATGAATTTTTTTATCAGTGTTAAGGGATTATTTTTCGGTCTTATCGAATTTTCGAAGGATGGTGCTAAAAATTTTGGTCTTTGAGCACATGCTCCATGGCTGTGTACCCTATTTTTTTACGAAGGAAAAATTTTGTTACGTATTTTTCATTTTGTAAATTATGATACTGTGTTATCCTTTCGTCGACAGTTGAAGGAAAAATTATCGAACTAATTTTAGTGAGTTTCGTGTCAAATAAATTTCCTGTTTTTTTTGCAAAATATTTGGGTAGTACTTAGCACCGGTTATATGATAATGCGATACGTTTGTACATTTTTAGTACATACAGAAGGGTAATGTCACCACAAATCATTGAAATAATAAAGTGCTTGTTTAAGTGCGTATCGAAACATGCTCGTAAATTCCTACTTCGTAAAATATGTATTACAAGGGCGATAGAGCTTTGGAGACTGTTTCCTTCTATTCTGTTTGCACACTAGTAATCGAATGTGAACGATCTGGTGCGTTCTCAGCTGAAGAGCAAAGAACTTGGTTGAAGGGTTTTAGAATCGGTTGAAGTTTGTTTTAGATTTGTGCGAGCACACTGGTTGAGTACGGCACATCTGCAAAACTGCATTATAACGCTCATGAGCTAATCGTAGGCAGTAAGCAGCTGATGTCGATATGAAAGCAAAACACACGCGCATGACATGCTGCATGGTTTGACGATGAGATATGTGCATCAGCTTTATTTTTAGCTTATCGCATTGCTTACATTTAAACGACGTCATTCAAAAAGAATTTAATCTCTAATTAGTGCTGTTATGCATCATTTCGTTCATGACTCGGGACATACTTTTTTAAAAGGACTTTGATGATACTGTTGTGCTGCGATTTGAATTTTTATTTTTCACTGTTTTCGTTACTGTACAATTACTCATATGCAGACCGCGTCATGTGAATGTGCATTTGTTATTGTTCAATTCCGGTCATCCGAGGTTTATGGGATTGCCGAAACATAAGCGAGTACATGGAGAGGTTGGATTTAAAAATGTTTTTGTTGATGTATTGTCCTCCGATATGATTACGATTAGATTACATTACTCGTTGCACAATGGCGAACGCTTGTCAAAGCAGCGTTTGTATTACTTGTGCAGAATTTTTTAGCAAGTTTCGATGCAAACTCATTAACGTGCACCTGATTAAAGGCTGCTTTTCTTTTGTGGTTTAAGAATTTGTGGTTTAGATTTTACGTTTTAAAATGATGTAGTCAGTTTGATCGTAAGAACTGTATTGATTTAAAGGATTGTGCCATCGGAACCGGTTCGGATGCCAATTCATAGCGACCCGGAACCGCGGAAGAGTTTATTGAACGTTAAACATGTCAAAGACCCGAAGAAGTCGTCATCAACGACAAAAAATCAAAATGCAAAACCAAGCGCTACCGGCTATTTTGTTACGGAATTGGGGATGAGCGAAAAAAGCGATTCTTACCTTGAACAGCTGAAGCGTGATCTGGACCATGATGACGAGCTGTTGTCATCGTTGCAGAAAGGTAAATGGAAAGCATTACTGTAAAATTTCTTCGGATTGGTTAGCGGATTAATGATCACAATTTTGGTAGAAAACTTTTATTGTTTTTCCGAATGAACAAAATTGTATCCAACTTCGTTAACATTGTGCGGTAATGTATAGGTTTTGATATGGTCAAGAAAAGATTGTTCCGTTGATTTTTGCAAAAATCTGCAACAGTAAAAAACTGAAGTCCAAGCGAACGTTGAGATTTTCATTGTATACTACCACTTCGATTTTCCCGCTCGCGTTGACATTTTGGGTTTTATACCTACAGTACGAAGTCATTGCACTGTTTCGGTTTTTGTTTTTCTTCGTGTCCGCAGTGCACTCAGCATTTCTTTGTATAATTCAGTCCAGACTGTAAAACGTTTACGTGAAATTTTCTAAGAGTAGCCGTATGAATTGCCATATTATGCAGGTGAAAAACCAGAAATTGGATGGGATAACAGTGCGTTTTCGACAGCTGACGCACTCGGCTCATCATCCGCCACCAGTGCAGCAGCTCCTGCCAGCGTTCGATCTCCCGACGATCCAAACGATCCTCAAAATAAGAATAAATGGAATATGGGTGCAGGTGCGCATTTTGTCACTGTTTTTCTTGAATAAACACCGATCAAATGTCATCCTGAGGGTTGTTACAGTGTCAAAGCAACGGTTTAACCTCTTTGGCAAACAGTTCTCACTGGGAAAAAAGAAACCCAAGGCGCTGGCGAACAAATCCAATGCCTACAATCACCTGGTGGAAGACAACAACAGTCTGGTGTCGGATGACGAGGAGGAGGACGATCATCTAACGGATAGTGTAACGCATGTGCGGATGGATCGGAAATTCTCGCAGGGAAGTTAGAAATTCCACCGCATGCACGGTGTGGCTGTTAAACTGAATCGCTTTCTCATTGCGTAGCGGTTAAAGAGTTTTCTTGTAAATATATTTTAATACTCTCTCTTCCATGATGGTCTACTGCGGCTGCTGCTTTCTGATTTTCTTATTCTCGGTGCTCGTCTGTTTTAATTGTCAAGGATTTAAAACGTTAATCTTTTATTGTGTACAGCTCTGAAATCTGTTTTCATGTTCTGCGAGTTTTAATTTCTTGCGCGGTATTTCACTTTCTTGCATGTCTGAGTTTGCATAAAAATAAAATGCTGTGAAATACTAGAACAGCGGAAAACGTTACAAAAACCCGTTATTGAACTGCTTGCGTCGGTCTAGGATAGAAAATTCGGCATGCTCGAGTAAATCGATGAAATGTCACTGAGATGTGAAATGCAAGAGCTCTGGAATGAATCAGATAGGTAATCAACTAAGAATTTTGCTGGAACGCTGATGCATTTTAAATCTAGGTTTGAAGTCGGACTTTTCGGAGAACCAATAAAAACAGCATTCATGCTAACGAGTAAGGTCACAGAAAATTCGTACAGGCTCTGTGTAATAAAGACCAAGATTGACAATGTAAATGCAGCAATTACAATGGCATGTTCGGCATTTGTACCGCTTATGCGATACACAAACCGGACAAGGTTGTTGTATTACAGCGGTAGAGCTAGATACTTGATGTACAGCACTTACGAGTTAATACTTACTTATCATACCAGTGTTAAGCAAATGCTTTATTTTTCTGTTTTCTTCGTTTTGGAAAATCCAATTTTCGACGAATAAACGCAGTACACTCTGCGTAAAGGAACAAAGATGTCCATCATTACGCTTCGTACGGTATAAAGTTTTTCGCTTACTAGCGATGCCGGTGTGTCAATGTTTCTTTGAAGACGTGCTTGTTTTGATTACCGTGATTGACAAATCTCCAGATGAAAAATAATCTTTCCGCGGTCACGAAAGCGCTGCGTGTTAGCAGGTAGCTATGTCGACGCCGGATACATACTCGTATTACTGTAATGCTTGTGTGTGGTTTGTTACCGCGTGTGTACGAATGAAGTTGTATGCTTTGTTTACCGACGTATTGCAAAAATTAATAATGTTGCATATTTAAGTCCTCTTTTGAAATCTGTGAGTGCTAAGTAAGTCAATACTACAAAATTAATTATTTCAAGGCAAACACGAGTAATGAATAACCGGCAAATTGCTTTAGTGCATTTAAGGATGGAATATGTCAATAAAAAAGTGATAAAATTTGATCTGTGTTGTGTTAATTAAAGCATTATAAATCACACAAGAAATACTTGTACATCAACAAATCAAAGATTGACACCTTAACAAAACAAAAATTGATTAACGGCATTACAGATACGACATGTTTGCCTAGTCCACCCAATAGGAAGTTTGCGCTTAAAAACCATTTTTAAAAACTATTTTAATTAAAAGAATGAATTATTCCTTGAATATATATTTCCTTACACTTTTCTAACCGTCGTGGAACTAAGGTTTAGTCGCAATGTCTGGACAAAAACGAGAATGACATTGTCAGTGTACACTTACACGTAATAAAAAATTACTAATTACTTACCGTCTTCTACAGACTGTACTACCGGCATAAACCGTAGTGAAGATACCTTCGAAATATTTAGAAATCAGGAAGAAGCAAGTGTAATTGCGCGAATACGATACAGTAGTTAGATAAGTGCGGTTAATGTTGCATATTCCGTCGTATGCCATTGCATAATCAGTAATGGCCGACAACACATCACTTCCTGTGCTCTAAACAGCTGCTATTAGGGTGTATTGTTTGGGTGCCATAAACTGTTATGTTTGCGCATGCGTACCTTCCTGCATACATTGTTTGTTTATAATCCTTACTAAACAATAATTAACAAATATCAGGAATGCTCAGCAGCAGTTGTGTTTTTGGCACGTGTGCATGTCGTGCTCAATTAATAGGAAAATTAGAGTTCCGTTTTAAGTAACTGTAAGTACAAGTATGCAGAAAATGATACCGAGCGTCGGTCGCCATTATAATTCGTACAGACGGTTTTCTATAGAAAATCTGTAACAAACACTAATGATTCACATATTTACGCTGTTTATCATGGTTAGGGCATTACCGCATAATACAAGAAATAGTACAATTACAATGATGTGGCGGTATTGACCAACTGCACTACTTGTACACTAATGTACAAACGTTTTGGCTGCGGTCACGATATGTATGCGGCGTTTACACTTTATTGTATAAGAAAAACCGGTCGCGGAGGAAAATACCCGAAAACTGCATTTCTATCAAAAAGACTTGCCAGAGAAATGGCGCCGAAAATATTGATATATAAACTGGTCAGTCTCAGTCAGTAACCACTCAGTTGATTAATAACTGAGTGCAAAAGTTGCGCTTTCAGTAAATTTTTAAACTTTATTTTGTTATTGCAGTTCACTAGTATTCTTATCAGGAATGATTCGTATCGCGGCGTTGTTATCCCTTGCGGTAAGTATACTAGACCTTATCACAGCATTGCAGTTAATATTTACATTTTTGCAAGTAGTAGTAAAATAATTCTCATTACGGCGTACCTTTCCTTTCGAAAATTGTTTATTGAGAAATTTATTCAGTGTATATAATGAACCAATTTAAATTACTTGCCTGTGTGTTTTGCAACGTTCTAAGTTGTACATGTTGACAGGGAGTTTTAGTTGCTCAACCCATTGTTCCGTCCGAAAACGGGTCGGTATGGATACAACCGAATATTATGGACGAAGCCAGAGGTCGTGTGAATAATCTCAGCGTAGCACCGGGCGCCCAAGGTGGTGCCTGGGTGGACGCCGATAAAACTGCCGGTATTAATGGCAACCCGCCGTCTAATCCTTTTGCCGGTAACAACGGCGCCCTTCTCGTGGCCAACCCGGCACAGCCCGGACCGTTGGTCGGCGCCGGTACCGTGCAAGCCGTGAAGCTCGATGAAACCGCAGCCGGTAACAGCGCCTCCAACGCCACCTCGGTGATGGCCGCCTCCTCCGCAGCGGGCACCAATGAGACTGTCCCGCGCAACGAGTCTCTTCCGCTGACGGTGGCCTCCCCGTCTAATGAATCCATTGCCGAGAGTGCACCGGCCCATGCCAATGTGTCGTCGGTAGGTGAGAATGCGAACGCATCCGCCGTCGCCGTGCCGGTGGCGGTTTCCAATTCCTCGGCACGCGCTGATGATAGCGTTCCCGCTGCCGCCGTTGCTGCATCCAACGAAAGCATGCCCGCTGCCGCCGTTGTTGCATCCAACGATACCGCCGCCGCCGTCGCTGCGCCGTCCAGTGCCAGTGCGAGTAACTCCAGTGCGGTTGTCGTGCCGGTGATTGGTCCCTCGCAGCCGGTTGAGAACCAATCAGCACCCGCGGCCAATGCCAATGTACCGCAAGCGGAACCCCTCGGAGCCGCCCTCGCGGCGGCGGCCGCCCACCCCTCTCAACCGGAACCAGTGGCTGCTCAGGCAGCTAACGCCCAACCGGCGGTGGCACTGGTGACATCAGATGTGAACAATCAGCAATCCAATCAGAGCTTCGCCATTGACCCGACCAAACCGATCATCGCCATCCTGCCGCCGGGATCCAACTTCACCGCCACCTGGAATGCCTCCAATGGAATGCCCGCTTCCCAACCCTTAGCCATTTCCAAGCGCGAGGTGCCGACCGTGGTTGTAACCGGTGACCAGCCGGTGGCGGTGAGTTCCAATGGCGGCAATCAGTCGGTGCTGGTGGAATCCTCCAAACCGGTCATCGCCATTCTGCCGCCCAACTCCAATCTGACCGCTACCATTCCTGAAGGCGCTCCAGCGGTGGCGCCGGCTGTAGCGCCCGTTGCTCCGGTTGCCGCACCAGTGGCAGTGGAGCAGCAAAATGTCTCGGCTGTTGCCGTGCCGGTAGCGGCTGTGCCGGTGGTCGCTGCGCCGAACGTCTCCGTTGCCAACGCAAGCTCGGTACGTCGATTAAAACTTCTAACGCTAAGGAATTTACGTAGATTTCCAAAATTTTCACAATAGTCACATAATTTGAAAACATTAATCATTCAGCATCTATTTCATAGAAAATTTTAGTTTATTTTACAGAATTTTTTAAAAATATTTTATTTTTATTTGTACGAGTATAATATTTCGTAGAATAATGTTCTTTATAATTAATCAGAAGCATTAGAACTACTTTAAAAAACTTTTAGAATCAATTGTTAAAACATAGGATTAAGTATCATAATAATTTTGCATGCGCGTTTACAGGAAATTGTTAGAATTTCAAAACAGTGCGACGCGGTTTTGATGTTAAAAGCTTGTTAATTTTTTATCTCATAAACATTAAGTTTACCAATTTAATTTTTTATCTCATAAACATTAAGTTTTAAGTTTACCATTTTCAGAATTTAGAGTATTATTAATGTGCTGTTAAAGCCTAACATTTCTTCCGCTTGCAAAGCTGGCAGCAGTTAATCTTGCGCAATTTTTTAGGCGGAACCGGAAGTAAAAGCAGTTGCTGTACCAATGGCAGCTATCGGTTCCAATAACGCCTTAGACGCCAATGCTGTCGCGTCGAATGCCAGTGCTTCCGCGCCGTCCAACATTGCTGTCACCAACGCCACCGCCACCGATGTCAGCGGTAACAATGCCAGCAATGCCGCCGTGGTAGCGCAGTCTCCACCGGTGTCCCAGGCCGATCACGGTGTCGATATTCCGGTCATTCTGCCAGTGGGAGCCGGCAACATCACCAACAAGGAACAATTAGCCGCCATCCCGGGCGCTATCCCCATTCCTATTGCATCTTTGCCAGTGGGCAGTGGCGAGACGAAGATGGTTCAGCAGGTGCCGGTGTCCAACCAGACGCAGCCGTCTGGTGATCTCATCCAGCAGAATCACAGTATGTCCAATACTTCTACCACACAATAAACGCGCTGTGATATCCGTGTATACAAATATATTATGTCCAATGTTTGTTTGTGTGTATCAGCCATTTAACCGGGTGAATCTGTGTTGTTAGGATTTGAATTACAAGTTGTTGATTTTGAGCTGAGCAATGCTGAAGGGCAGAGCGGTGAAGTGCTTGTCAATCTGACTGCGTGAGTACAAAAAAGTCTGTAACTTAATACAGGATATATTATAAGCAATGGCGCACAACCATCGCAGTCAAGAAAATAAAGAAATGTGATACAAAGTATATGCAAATGTTCGCTGATTTTGTGTGCACATTTATGCCAAATTTTTATCGGATGCAAAACATACTGATAAATGCTGCCTTAATTACGAAAGGTCAAAAATATGTTATACAACATTTACGTTAACCTGCATAACGTGTATATACAAATAAATATAAATTCATCTCGCATAATTATTATATGCATATCTGTATATTAATATTACATACTTACGCTCGATCTTTAGCTATACAGAAGTGTTTCTACCGCATAAATTGTTTTCGCTTCCTGCCGTAGCTATTGGTTTTGCGTAAAGCGTAATGCTATTCACGAAGCGATGAGTAATGCAAAACAGGAACTTCCTCAATAATTATAATCATTTGGAAATTTTTGCAGCGGTGCTTTGCCTCCAGTAATGGCGGAAACGGCAGCCCTTCTCGGCAAAGACGTTACACCAATGCGTAAGTGAAATGTTGATAGCCTGATACAGTATTTAGCGGTATCGGTAAATCAGGGCAGTGCATTGTCCGCACAATTCTTGTGTAAGAGTACTTACACCAGCAGTGCTTATTCGGCGCCATATTCACACTTTCCGAAGTTCAAACTTTGTAACAAATATCCGTGTTTTTTACTATGCCGCTCAAATTTAATATTATCGTAAACATAACATTCAGCTTTTGCGAAGTTAGCAAATTCTCGTCCAAACATGTTTTTTATCATTTTGCATATGAGTGCGAGTTTGCAAAACCCCATGGCTGCATGCATAAACCTATACATGCAAAATTTATGAACACCTGCAATTATCTGCTGCAAAATTATTGTTGATAACTGTCTATACACGGACACACTATGTTGCAGCCTGTGGTTCTTTTGCAGAATTACGAGAAAATGTATATGTATGTTGTGTCTTACTTTAGAAGCAAATAATCCTCATCTTCTTGCTCCGGAGTCAACAACAAATTATGAGCAAGTGTATAGCGGATCGTTTTCTCAAAAAGCCAGCTTGCAGCACAGCATTAGCCTTGACCTTTGTGGCCAAATCCCCGATGTAAGTAGACCACTCGTTACCTTTTACATTACCCTACACACAGATATATATCTGTAGATACATTTATGACGTAATAGAATTAAAAAGTCTGCTCTGTTTCTGTATCTGTCCGTTCTCTATATGGCAACAAACAAACAGATGCATATTTTTTATAGTATTATAATTACATAATTTTAATATTGCAGAAAGGTCTTCTCCAAGTACAAATTAAGCCCTCTGGAAATGGTAAGCTAAACCTAAATTTTCGACAATACTGTATCATTTGTAAAAGACGCATATCTACAAGTATATATGCAACCGATCAGTTAATTAAACTGTCCTACATTAGGAACGGTAACCCCACTCCAGTATACTTGCCCCATCAACCTCAATATCCGAACCTATCCGCGAGAGTCCGAAGCGTTTTGGTCGGAGGCATTCCCTTGTGCCGGGACATCCGGTGTAAACACAGCCAAGTAAGACAAACTTTTAATAAGCAAATAAAACACCGTTAATCTGGGAAATTACCTAGCTTTGGTAGTCTACTTTTGTTCCCTTAGGGAGCTGCTGGTGTATCGTCTGACGATAGACTTCATGATACTGCCCGCGTAAATCCGCACTTCTATACAAATTATTAACCGGCAAAATATGGCAGGGCTTGCGCATTAGCTTTCTGTGTTTCTATGTTCATGAAGAAACCGAAAATTAATAGTAATATAGATACACGTTAATTGTATTTCATGTTAATAATTGTATTTCATGTTTTCAGATTATGGTACAAAGTGCGACAATGGAATATCAATTGGTCGCAGTGCCAGCAGCAGCGACCTTCTCAAGCCCTTGCATAACTTGCCATTTCCGCTGTTGATCGGAGTGAAACAACATGATACCAAAACATTAATGCGGAACAAAAATCCCAACATTCCTGAGAATTCAATGCTACTATTCTGAGCGTTTGGATGTCGTCAAACATTGGAATAGTGTAGTATTCGCATATTATTGGCCAAAATATATTACGCAATTCGTCTTTCCTGCGGGCCTGGTTTTGTATGATATTTTGTTATTGTTATTGGCGCCTACAAGAACTTCCGCGAAAATTAGCTCATATTACTTCTGCGCAGACGTAACTGTGTATGTACTATGTACATACTGTACAAAGTATAATGTGACTGTGACCTTTGCATTAAAGGATACGCTTGTGCATAAGCTTCCAACTTCCACTGCAGGAAAATCTTTATTATGAAATACATAAGAAAAAGAAAAACAGACATACTGGTAATTAATCCGAAAACAAACGGTGAATTCCTTTGTGTTTGCATGCCTCTTGTTATTATTAGCAACATCATTTTCGCATAATTCTTTAGTTAAAGATTATTAGTTTGATCTATTCACTAAAAATCTCTAGCAAGCGTAACTGAATTACTATTTTTTATTTTTTTGACCGAAACGACCTTATTATGCTTGCCAGTAATTGAATATTGTTGAGGTCTGGAATTCGTTCCCGACGTCGAGCGGAAATTAACAAGGCAATCACGTTTCCAGGTGGGGCATATAAAATGTGCCACACCGGCGAATACAGACTGGATTACGCGCACTCATTCTGTACATATCAGCCCTAAAAATAAGAATCGATTGTTGGTGGCTAGTAATACCGGAAACGATTTCGCATGACACCTTGTCAAGGTAGAGAGGCTCTTTCAAGAGAGTATTAGCACTTGATTAGGAGATGCGAATAAATATTACGCCGACGGGGATGTTCCCACGATCTGGCGAAAAATCGATGCAAACACACTCAAACACCAACAACAAGGCATCTTTGTCGATGGTCATATACCGTTCTGCCAGTTAACACACTTGATATTATATCTCTACCGCGGATGCAGGGTTTCCAAAGGTGATTCTCCTTCTATTAAGGCGCTCGCTACTCCGTCGGTGCTGATTTTTTAAGTAAAGAAGGTGCTTTATATTGATTAGCGAAAATGTCAGCCAAATGCTGCATATTGTTGTTGTCTGCGTTCTCAGTAAGTGACCATTATCTATGTAATTCTCCATGATTAAATCTGATTGTTATTCTTCGGGTCGAACTCGCATTGTTGCGCGGATTTTATGTAATTTCATTCTAATATCTTATGCATAACTAACAAAGACAAAAGCAAAAGGTTTATTGTAATACTGTGCATGTCCCAAAGAAGCTCTTTCAATTTATACTAGCTTCTTCAGCTCAATACGTATTTATATTTATTTAGCACATTGAGGATCTATTGCTATCTGCAGTCATGCTGCTGTTATTGTTATTATGTGCCGTTTATTATGTAATAAAGTGCTGCAGCGTACATTTATAGCGCAATTGTATTATTTATGTACGATACTTGCTTGCACTTTATTACATATGTATAGATAAAACGAATGTTTGATAGATAAAACTGTGGAGCTGCATGTTTAGCAAATCCCTAACAATAGTTAAATCTATATTTTTCAAGAAAAATATTCAGTTCGGTCTATAAACTTAATTGCCAGGTGGTTCGAGACGTGAAATCAGCTAACGATACGGTTCCCGATCGTCCGGTAATGGTCATCGCGGTGCCCCAGAACTCAGTTGTTAACGTAACGTTCGAGCACAGCTCATCCATTACCGCCGCTCCATTTGCCTTTCACAATGATCCCATTAACACCACCGCCATGCCCTTTCTCAGTAATACCTCCGTGGGAACTACTGGGATATTGAACTCCACATTGTTTACTTTCGCTCCAAACAATGTGACCTTTGCTCCGGTAGTGGTTAACTTCACCGGCAACACCATCACTACTAGTAAACCGGCTGTCGATGTTGCCAGAGTACCCACTGCGGTTGCCGGGTATGAGGATGCGTTTTTGCTGCCGCTGGGATCGGAAGGTCCGAATGCATTCCGCGACGGGCCTATCAATGCACAACTGCCGGCCGGGACAATTCTGGATCCGGCCGTCACTTCCATACCGGCGGTGGAGAGTGACCCCAGTAAAGTCTTCATCTCACGGAACTGGAGGATCGAAATCAAATTCGGGGATTTCCAGATGCAGTGTGTTGATAATGCATCGGCAGTTATCGATCAACCGCTTGCGATCTCTGTCAAATACATTGTGTAAGCAATTTACATCTATCACGTCTATTATCCGAGTAGGCTAAATAATTATGGCATATCGTGGTTATATAACGCACTGTACCGTAATTTGGTGTTGTGTTAAGCTGATAACCATTATACCACAATTCTATTGCTGATTCTGTTCTCTATAGCATTTAATTTTAGTATTTTAAGTTAAACAGAGTAGTATTGTGCACTGTCAATTACTTAATTGTTCACTATGAATTCAGCGGATCACCACCTCCAGTAATTGCTCCCAACGAAGAAGCGGTGCTTGCTCAAGGAGATATGCCGGTTTCCAGTAAGGCGGCTGTTTAGACTGGCATACAATTATTTAAAATATCATTTAAGTTAGCCTATTTAAATATGTGCGCTACCATACACATGCGAAATAAAAAAGTATTTGTGGTCCTATCAAAAGATATAAAATTGTGGATATTACTCTAATAATTATAATTTGTATTAAAAAACTCCATAACTGTACAGTAATTTATTTATTACTTACCACTTTGTATTGTAGGTGTGCCTATGAATAATAATAAATCTGCCGGACAAGCCGTGATCCACCATAACATGACCCTTCTGCCAGAAAATCTTTCAGGATTCCAGCAGATTTACAATGGAACTTACGACAGCACGGCAAATAATAATAAAATTTCAATCCAAAAGATTGTCACTGCAGAACTGTGTGGAAAAACCACAGATGTAAGTACAGTTAGTAATCGTACGAGTAAACGTAGACAACCGCCAAACGAAAACAAAAATTGAACTGTTTTGCAATAGTTCCAGCAAGGATACATTGAGGTGTCCATAAAGCCGACAATGACTACGTCAGGTATGACAAAAACTTAAAGAAGTGCTTTTAAAATATTCTACGACACGTGATACTTTTGTTGATTTTGGCCATTTTATAGTATGCCGGAATTATAAAGCACTGTAAATAACTGCATAATGCATTGACTTTACCGATTTAAGAGAATGTTAAAAATTAAAAAAAAGGCGATAAACTGAAAAAGTCAGATCTAAGTATATACGAGAAAACATTATAAAAATGATAAAAAAATCTATTTGTTTTTATTCAAACCATTTTTACATTGTATTGCATGGATGCAGATCACGGTGCTCCGGAAGGCTACTACAAGTGTTTTGTTATTGTGAATTATACTCCCGCCGCTCGCGAATCAGAATCATTCTGGTCGCTGAAAGATGACTGTGAATCGTTTGTCCAATCAAACCATTTCAAATATAAGTAAGGACGAAAACATTTCTGTCATTTTTCGATAATGAGCCGTGAATCGTGATGACGTCAAAGCGGTAATTTTTTGCAGCTTGTGGTTCCAGACCAGACAGTACTTCATTGACACTGCTGCCTGCCAAGCCCGCCAAGCCCGTCCCATGCTCAATGAGCATCATTAAGCCCCTGTAAAATAACCTTGCGGTTTTATTCCTTCGATTTCCGGTTCCCAGCGTCAACGCCTATCTATACATCGAAAACAAATTTTGTGTTTCCAATGCTGTTCAATTTCTTAATCGTTCTCTGCGTTTATAGCAGATTTGCATTACTTAGCAGTAATGACAGATAACAATATGTTTGCGGACCTCGCTCTTAAAAACGTGTCAATTTTCACTCGATCAATAATACCTCCGTCGTTGAAATACAGTTAATAATGGTTTGTGATAATATCGATGCCGCTAATTTTTAGGTTTATTTATTGCCTAATTTATACCATTGTATATTAATTTTACTTATCATAAGGTGAAGGTCAATGGTGATGTCAGTGTACATATGAATAATAAGCGAAATTCTGTAAAATGGTCGAAAACCAATGTATTTTTTGTTTTTATTCCCGCAACTGCAAATAAAGAAATGTCTTTTACAGTTGCGTAAGCAAACTATGTTACCGTATTGCAACACCGTTTTTGTAAATTCTGAAAATTTGTATGGGATCCCGACCCTTGCAGCAGTGTATAGCTGTTACTAAACTCCATATTCCGTGCATTTTCTTCTAGCTCATGCTTCCGCCGGTCGATGATTTTTCGCATGAGCTCCACGAACGCTCTCTCAATTTGCGTATTACTCTGCGCTGAGATCTCCCACGAAACCAAGCCATGCTTTTTAGCAAAGTCCATTCCGGCTTCCCGTGGGACTTTTCGCTCCTCCTCCCGGTCACACTTATTGGCCAGGAGAATAATCTCCACGTTGGCTTGACCTTTCTGCCGGATCTCGTGCATCCATTTGTCGCAGTTGCGAAAACTCCGTTCATTCGTGATATCATAGACTAAAAAGAATCCGTGCGCCCGGTTAAAGTACTGCGTCGTAATCGACTGAAAACGCTCCTGTCCGGCCGTATCCCAAATCTGCAGGCGCACTTGCGTACTATCGACCACCATCCGGCGGATCTTAAAGTCCAACCCTACGGTGGCGTTTTCCTGGTAGGTAAAGGCGTCTTCCACAATGCGCCGCACAATACTGGTTTTTCCCACCGCGGTGTCACCGACCATCATGATCTTCATGTGGATTTCGTCCGTGGGCAAGGCATAGTTGGCCGCCAGACCAATCAGCGACGAGGAACGCAGCGACGTCGAGATATTAGCAGGGGTCACGGTTCCCGGGGTGGAGACGGCGCGCCCCATGTCTTTACTGCCGGGAAGGGAGTTTCTTGGCAGCGTGGAAGAGGTTTTGTGTTCATCGTGCACAGGCGGACGACTGGAACCCCGTCCCGAGGGGCGCTCACCGCCCGCACGGGAATAGTCACCGCGCGCATGGGTACTGCTGTGAAGGGCACTGGCCGATGCATAGGGCTGCTGGAGGGCGGCGTTCACACGACATCCTCCTGCTCCAGGTCCCGACATTATGAAAGATGTAATGGGAGCAAAACCGATGCATTAAGATTCCACACCGCGGTACAGTATGCGCAGTGCAAAGTCTATCTTGGGAAAAGCGGCTCTTGCGCTGGGCTCATGTTATCTTTCTAAAGGTTCTTTGGTTTGTTAAGTAGGTAATTGATAACAAAGCCATTTAACAGGAATCCAAGTATGATCCTTGGCCGCATTCATGGTATATGAAAAGAAAATTTGATGCGCGTAACATCGATTTACTGATTGTAAGCAGTGTCACTCCATGCACAGTGTACTTCCATGCACAATATGGTATTTACATATACCATACCGTTTCCAAAAATCTTTACTAAAATAGTGTTTTGCTGCAGGTGAATTCTGATGGTCTTACATATTATTTAACATTAATTTTTAAAAGAAAAAATAATGTTGATCGTTAACATTTTTAATGTAAGCAATACAGTAAATGTATTTATTTGTAAGTAACACGAGGTGCGATGTACAATATTTTTATGTTACATATCTATATGTTGTACAATACAATACACTCTGCATGAAGGTATTGTTAATGTATGGAGCGGTGTAACGAGCTCGCATGTTAATTGTACTCGTACGTAGCGCTAGCGGTGCTTTAAAGTTTTCTACAAGCACGGAGGATAATCTAATAGTACAGTACGGTACATAAGTACTTACTTCGTCAAATGCACATCTTTTTGAAATTTGAGTACAGTACGTAATTTTCTTGTTTCGGCATAAAGTTATAATACTATTTTGCCAAATTTTATATTTTATTGTTTGTCATAATAGCTGTAGCTCAAGCATGGTGTTTACAATTGCTTACAATTGCCATAGGAGTGCCGAAAAACGGATGCAATGTTGTACTTGTTTTGCAGACCGAACTATACATAGAGTACAATGATACGAAGAAGGGTCACTAGTACGTACCTTATAATTAGTCACAAATCTATGATATCACCCGCAGAAAGTCTCTACCAGATTATGTTCTATAAAAATAAGTAAATTATCTTTGTTTCCAGTTTAAACTGCTGCCCCGGCAGCAGCACAGTATCTACCGGGGTATTTTTCAAGTTGAAAAAATGCACGTAGCAAGTTAGCAACCTGAAAAATTACAGGTTGTTAACTTGTTATGTGCATTTTTTCAACTTAAAAATGCCCCGGTAGATACTGGCTGGCTGTAAACATTTACGCATAAATTGTGCATTTGACCTTGGTAAACGGTTAGGTATCTGTTGCTAGGAAAAACTGATGATCTAGCAACCGACAAAATACTGAATACTTATTCTTTCAGATGTCTTTAAAATGTCCTGAATTCAGGCAGTGTGAACAGAAAACGTTAGGCTGATGATAATGGCCACCCGGCAAGTAAGTACCGAAGCTTTACGAAGAGTTGATCTGAAGTCAACTTCATTTTGTTTCTGATTATCGGTAAATTTCTGTCTTACGAACAGTAACGAGAACTGCAAAAATTCGAGAAAATTTGCCATACGAGTGTAAATAATTCTGCAAAACATGACAGTTGTTATTTACCATCAAGCTCTGTATGGTAAACCACCATTATTTGATTCGATAATACAGACATTCCACAATACCGTGAAAACCACAAAAGCCAAATAAACAAATACCGCAATCCACCAGGCTATACTCCACGATAACTTCTGATCAAAATGCTTTAATACAATCAGTCCCATGCAAATTCCCGAAAGCGTGCCCATAATATGGGCAATATAGGAAATGGGCATGGGTGTTGGCTCGGCGGCGTAGCGATCCCAAATAGCCACTCCCAATACGCAACTGGCCACCAGCAGCACGCCGATCATGCGCAACAGCGGCAATTCCATTTGTGTGCGATTCTAAAATATAAAAGCATGTCAATGGGAACAAATGGCTTTATTAGCCTATGGTCAACAGGAAGTCAGAGAGAAATACAAGTCAAATTTTACCAGGAGTATGTTGGCCAGGTGGGCGGATAACAGGGCGTATACACCTCCCGAGGCGCCGACCAGGTAAACATCCGGATCAAATACCGATGTGCCCAGTGATCCTGCAGATTATTCACACGTAAATCACACTATCGTCTCAAATTATAGGGCATGACTAATGTAACTGACACTGGTATTAGTTTTCCTGATTATGTAGTCATCTGATACGAATTTTAATTTACAAGATTAATCATAAATCGAAAATATATCATACCGTATGTTTACCCATAATTTGCAATAGTACATTATAAATAACGAATTTGATTTGGTAGATGCTTTTAATTGCAAAACTTGCAAGTGAGCCACAAACTGATACCATCCAGCTAATAAACTGTATGTCTCTATCTAAATTTTCCTGGGTGATGTCTTAATTTTTAATAGCATTCAACATGTTGAATAAAGTACGTATATACCTAGTTTTCTAAAAGTATAGTTTGCGAATACTATATTATAACAGTATTCGCAAATTTGTACGAGATACAACATAGACGCAGAAATAAAATGCGCGCTGACCTGCTAAAACACCGGAAAGATATATTATGCCGATGCGAAAATTTCCATGGACCATTTCCAGTGGAAGTCCCACAAAAATTTGGATAATAATATTGAAAACTAAATGAAACCACCTGTAAGAAAAACACCAAAAGTCAAATAAATAAATTGCAAAACCATAATAATCTGTCTGAATGTACATGATGTATATAACGTGCACTGTACACCATTGTCAAAACGATCAGCATAATAATAAGAAGCTCATACCGCCATGAAAAAAAAACATTATCTGAACTGTATTTGTGAGTTCTGCGTTATGCACAAAGAAAATTTTACTGTATTATAAAGCTGTACATGTTACCAAATTATTTGCTAAGCATCTTTGCAAACTTTCCCATATGTGAGAATTATTTTTAATTTTCCCACATGTGGGACTCTGTATGTGAATACGGGCGGTTAATGGATTTGATGCGTCGCTCATTCAAAACATCTCCATAAAAGTTGAAAATTATGTAGTTTGTTCGCTATGCGCACACAGCTCGTACCCGGCATGCAGAAAGGAATATGTAATGAATCGCCAGATTTCCAGTCGCCGGTCAGGACGATAAATAAACGGGCTATCGATGGGAACAGGCCCAATTGTCGACACGCTTCCCATCACAATTCCATAGTAGATAAATACGGCAAGCTGGAAAGAAAATAGTTGATTATTTAACTTACAGGGCAATTTATCGGCGAAAGCATGAGTAATTTATGGATTGTTCAATGGTCACTGACAAAAGCCAGTGCGACGAATCAATATACCGCCGACCAACGGTCAAACTAATGGCTTTTGTCAATGATTCAATGCAATATGCTCCTAATCGATAATCTATATTTCATGTGCGCCCTGTTGGGATGAATTTTATTAATGCGTGTATAGAAAGAAGCCAAATCCAGTGCGCGTGACCGTACAAAGCAGAGCACGTCAGCATTGACCACTGCCGACACGAAAACACATGTGCTATGGATAAACTCAGTCAGTTTTAAATGTACGGTATTTATTCCATAAATACAGAAAGCATTGTAAAGTCATCATTGTTTATGGCATATGCCAACATCACATAAAATTTGTTATAATTCCAACTGACCCTTTCGGTTAATAAAAACTGCGAGTATTTTGCAAATACACCTTTCGTAAAGTGTTTTTGTCATATAATAATATCAGCTGTTTACCACCAAACTATGTTATAACATATTTTTCAATTTTTTTAACCTTTTTTTCGTCAAGACTACATTACTATTTTATTACACTACTATAATTATTATACTCCTATTTATAAGAAAATGGTAAACAGTTATTGTATACGAGTTCATGTGATTTAGAATAACAGATCATAAAATGTATCACACATTATAAAATGGATCCTTAATTTTTAATAAGTAACCGAGATTGGCGCAAAAGTAGCTCCGCTAACGAAATCCAGGATGATATTTTTATAAAGATACGAATTTATCAACCATCCAGGACATTTGCTGTACCTCTGTAATGCTGACAGCAATGAGGAAGACCGGAGGGGGTCGACATCGATAATTATCCGCGTAATATCCGCTAAGCCCATCTTCAACCAGAACTTCCTTCACGGCTTTCCTAACGACTTTCTGGACAATAGTGTGCTTGTTATGCTCAATGGTCGGCTTGATAAATCCGAATTCATCGTCAGTGTTATCATCCGACATGTGAATGTCGTCGCCACTTTGTTTCCGCCATAGAAGAAATTTATATAAACTCCTCTCCATAATAGCTAATGAATCTGTAACAATTGACCGAACCGGGCTTCATTAGCTGTGACTATTCTGCCTGATAACTCTTGAGAAACAACAGCTGTTTTGTTTATTATTCCTTTTACTGTGCCGATAAACAATGCTGCGGCGACAAGGCGTTCCCGTTAAAAATATTTGGCGCCAGAGCAGATCATATTAAGTTTGTCAATATATGGCCAAAATACTTGCCAAACTATATTTTTTACCGATAAATTTCAAAAATGCTCAATTTTACCAAATGTTTAATTTTACTCGTTGTGCTGGTTTTGGTAATGGGAAGGATATGTATGGTATCTGCGTCATATCACATAATTATTAGAGAGAACAGAAATTTTGACAGAAAAGTGTAAATTAACATTTCAAAGTGGCAGCTTAATAGATGGGAGTATAGAGAGTAAGTACGAGTACAACACATTACAATGTAAAAAAAAAAGAAATCGGCGAAAAGTCAGCCACGTTAAAACTTTGTATACACACTTACACAAATGATAAGACAAACCGAACATTACCGGTTTCAAAGCTATTTGTAGCTTCGGCTAAGCCACATAGTTACTGGTTGATTACCAACCTGTATGAATTCTGGCGATGAACTTAATATTACTATATAAAATAGATTATTAAGATAAATATCATTATATGAAAAAATGTTTGCGCCGCATAATGTTTAACCGCGTAAAAGGGCAAAAACTGCATTCCATTCTGAGTAAACTTTTCAGAATGCGGTAAAATAAAAATCATGTATATCCATAAGGTACGTGATGTAAATATATGTTTACCTGCAAAAAAATCATATATCCCATAAAGTGGCGCAGTCCAAATGTTTTGACTTATCCGTCAACACAGTCCACCACATAATCGTATACCCACTACTCGACAAATACGCCCAACCAAGCACAACTGCAGCTGACCGTCCACACATTTACATTTGACCAGTCAAAGATGATCATCGGCAGAAATTTGGGAAAATGAATGGACAACATGCCTAGTATGAATGCCGGGCATTGGTTAGATGATCATATTTCCCGAATAATAAAATATCTAAGTAGCGCATAGATTGGACAGATGTGCACGAACAGCTGGAGACGCCCTAGTATATGCTCCACACGGTCCGGTGTCATCGACGAGGTTAACTAGACGTACCACCCAAGGGACACGACCAACCAACTGTTATGCCACATGTGCACGTGTGCGTGCGGAAAGTGCAGTTGACCACTGGTCCATATTGCTATGCTGAAATTGATAACGGGATATCCAGCTGCTGGCTACGCGGTGCCGTTTGGTTATAGAGTATGTACGTTATTAATATTCATATTCTATAACGTGCGCATAGTGTATGCGGGTGAGATGTAAACTAATTTAATTCAATTTATACTGGTACAAATAACTTATGCAAATAACAACATAACACTTATGCTGCAAAGAAAATGATTACGCACTGCGAATATTCATTCACGTGCGAGCTAAAGATATAACGACACTGACAATAAGTACCTTACTCTGTTGCTCCGTTCCGGTATTGTAGTCTTTCGGACCAATGAAGTATTGTGATTGATACAAATCACGTTTAAATATATACCATGATGCAGGTTTTGGAAATAATTTTATCATTTATGTGAATTAGGTCACCGCGTATATTCTTATGTTCTCGTCAGTTGTTCCGAATTTTTTGGTAACGAAGTAACACACTAAATTTTTGCTCTGAAAATAGAGTTTAATTTGGTTGATGTACAACATATACTGTAACTATGATATTTTACTGCCGGTAATCTTAAAGTAACGCGCACAAGAATTCCAGAAAGAAAGGTTTTAAGTTACTGACAGTTTGTTTAAGAATTGGATATATTGTTTACAAGATATTATTATGGCTACTGGGTGCAATAAAGATCTCACTGGGGGCGTTTTATCATCAGCTTGCCTTGTCAAGCATGCACTGTACATTCTTGTGTTCCGCTTGACGGGTCGAAATGTCTCTCTCCATTCCAGACCGGCAGTGTTCTGGCCGCGATAATTATCGCCGTAAATTAGCCACTTTAAATACTGACCACTGGGCCGCTTACAAGCCGGTTTACAATGGTAAACAACGATCTAATCCTTAGCAAACATCTTTGATGGGTTAACCGAACCGCAGCTGCTGCCCAAATGTCACATGTTCATAATCGTACTTGTACTTTTTCGATAACATAGCCCAGTAACACAATTGTATTCGCAAAACTTTACACACATCCTTGTCCGGGTTGCAATTGAAAAAAGTGAATTTTACAAGCTAAACACCGGTTGTACGTAATTAATTCACTAAACATATTCCTGTTCATTATTTACAAAAGTGGAAGACGTTTGATTTGTTGTGAAGCACACTACCAGGTTGAATTTCCAAAAGGTCAAGCAGTGTTCAAAAAATAATTTAATTTCCAAGCGCTCTTAGAAAACTGTCGGATCGGAAGATAGTTTTTTTGGATTAGCTTATCTTAATCAGATGATAGAAACAAGATAATTATAACAAACGCATTCGAAGCCATTTTATAATATAGTTCGATGCACATTCTGTACTAGTACCTTACATAAAAAATTTTCTTTTTTACCATAATAATATATAGTATAGTTGTATTAATGAATGCGTGCCACTATACCGTGTTGCATCGTTTCTAACACGACAGACGAATTGGCTTCGTATAATTTTTGCTTCGGTTATTTGCATACATATTGGTGGATCAGTGCCCGTCCAGATCAATGAACGACACAAAAAAGCGGCTAATGTTTGCACTATTTGGATGCGCCGATTTGTAAGAAAATTTATGCGAAGCAGCAGGATTTCATGCAGCATGTCCCGAACGTTTGGATGGCAGCGACATTCAAACTTTACTGATATGTCATGCATAATTGTAGTTTCAATACGGTTGTACCGCATAAATTACCGGTGTTCGGAAAAAGGATTTATTCAGTATCTAAAAATATCATCTATAACGTATAGACTCACCACGGTAAAGGCTTATAAAGCACAAGCGCACCTGATGATCGAGATATTAACGTCAAAATTAGTATGTAGCAAGAGCCACCAAAAATTTTGCGGTTTACTACACAAATACTTTATATTAACGCCGAAAATACTGCATTCAGTGTTTACTCGTCGCATATGTGCAAGCACAGAAAACAGAAAGATATTGTTATAAAAAAGCTAAACTTTAATTTGTACCCCTTATATCTAGAGATTTATATTAAAAAAATATGAAGATCATACTGCTACGTTTAATTCTGCCAAACGCGCAAGTTTATGCTCATTTCTATGTTATACAGATAGAAGTACCGAATATTTTTGTGTCAGCGCCAGAAGAGCCAGAATAATTTTTGATACGATTGGCGCGGACTGGATTTGACAGATCGACTTCATAATTTGGTCCCCTGATCTATATTAATATCCCATCAGTACGCAAATTAAGCTCAAAGACCGCTCGTGGGTCTATAAGTACTTCTCATTGCCAAAAACGCACGTATGTACGCATGTTCAATAAAGAAACCTATCTCCTGCCTAATAACTCTCAAAAAAATGTGGACTCTTATACGATCCAGAATGAACATACAGACAAAACATTCGGAGTAGCGGACAGCCTACGAAGCGTACAAACACTATACGAGTTGGTTCTACAGAAACTCAAAGGTGCTTTGAAATCGAATTAAAAAGTCAGTTAATCGTTTTCTGGTAATGAACTCAACTGTATTCAAAGTAGTTAGAAAGGGCATTTGGCAGACCTTTACTTTGCTCAAACAAACATGCAAATGCAAACTGTGATAAAATCGCACTTGTCGTTGCGGATGTTCTTATTTTTGTTGGTAATGATTAGCATGATCGCCTTCTGTGCAATGGATCAGCATGTGCTGATTGATAAAGAACTGGAATACGATTCACTGCCGTGTTGGTGCGAGCATTCGAAGCACAAACACACGCGTCAATCTGTTTACCAGGTATGTGATCTTTAATTAGTATTTTAAAAAACTGTAAGCAGTGCATCAGTATAAAGTTTAACTTCTTAGTTTCGAAATCCTGCTGATAATCTCAGAGCTCGTAGACATATTACAGTCGGCATACTCGTACATATAGCATTTTGATTAGGAAATTTTGATTTGTCCTTTATTTAATAGCAATAATAATACTATAGAATACTTTTACTTGATTATAACCTTAACGCAAAACCAAAGCCTGACACGTAAGTACGTCTATTTTGATAAAGCCCAACTGCTTCGATTTATATAACAACACGTAATGACCTGCAATTTTTAATGGTGACGGATCTTGGTATAGCACTTTTTATTGTATGGTCAAGCGTTGCGTTCACTAGAAGGTCTAAGTTTGAAATTATGTTTTATTGCTTGTTTTATTGTCCCGAGAATTGATAAATGCAGTACTCCTTTGCATCTACAGCTGGCAGAGATCCAAGAAAACGGGTCCTTAAAATTTATCAATTTGGACAAGTTCCGGAAAACGCTGAGGTCAAACGAATTCGTCGGACAACGTAAAGTAGCCATAATCAGTATCGTGGGGACGTACCGAAGCGGCAAATCGACACTTCTGAATATCTTGTCTCGATATCTAGCATGCAGTAGCACGGTGGGTTAAGAAGTCAGTCTTGTTACATTTCGCGGTGTTTTCTCATTAACTTCCGTGACCTTTAATATTATTTTAATAAAATGCATCCGTGATGGAATACGGTTCCTCTAGAAATATGTATGTGACGTTTGTATAACGTTGTACTGTGACCAAATTCGATAGCGCAGATTTACGTAAAATACCGCTTATATTTTTGCAAGGAATTATTCGAATTCAAACTAACCAAGGAGGACCTTATAAAAGAGCCGGCACAACGCAATATATATGGAACTAATTTTTGCCGTTTGTATAATTATTCTGAATTGCGCTAGACCACCGGAAGTCACATCGATACAAGAGAATGGTTGTATGAAGACACTTCGGTGATACCGCGCTATTGCCGGAAACGACTTTTTGAGACATCATCCGCTCAGTTTGTCTGCACTAAAGGCATGTGGATCACGGCACATCCCTACCTGATGCCTAATGGGTTGGCGGTGTTCCTCGTTGATACCCAAGGGCTTTTTGATAACCATCTCAACAGCAGCAAAACTGACTCGGAACTCTTCTACGCTTCTACTCTGCTTTCTTCCACAACGGTAAGCTTTATTAAAATTTAGGTATTACCGTATTGATTAATACTGCAAGCACTGCTCGTGAGGCGTATTGTATAAAAATTACCAGCATAATCGAGCGATGTCTAGTTCTTCAAAACCAACAATGCCTTGATCTAATGGAACCCACCAGTCCCTTGCACACACCGCTATCCGCAGTGATAAAAGAGATTTAGAATATTAATTGAAACGATTATAAACAACTGGGAGCTTTGAATAATCCCTCAAATAATGATGGAAATATTTTTTCACGGCAGTTATTGCTGTTTAATGCTTGCTCCGTTTAGCATAGCCCATGTTGTCAATACTAGCGAATTTTTTAACTGTACCAATACTGAAAAGTAAAAATAAGAAGAAAATTAATACCGGAAACTATTAACTAGAATACCACATTAGATCCCTGAATTTTTGCATAGATCATAAACACCAAACAAACTCTGGACCGGGCACTGACGAATCTTCTTGGAGCTCTAACCGTGAGGCTTCGAAATACGATCGATAACAGTGGGAATTCGATACGTAAGCCGTAATGCCGTAAACACAAAAAAATATTTCTGTAATAATTTTTTTTAGGTTTGATATAGCTAACCAGGGCACATACCGAGGCTACAAATTCAGAAAAATCTCGTTTTTGGCAGAAAGGTAGAACAACTATGTAGGATGCTTAAAAAAATTATTTCATGTGCCATGGCCAATGGGCGTGGCCAAAACGAAATTTAAAAGTAAATCCTACACTATGCTGTAGCCTACAAATAATGCACCGTGTCAAACGGTAAAACTTTAAACGATTTTCTTTAATTTGTATATGAAGAAGCTTTTCGAATATTACTTGTAAGTCATAGCACACAGAAGTATTCCCAATTCAGCCGCCTGCGAAACGGGTTTGTAAATGGTGTGCAACGCCTGCTTTAACTTGTTTCGCATGTCGGTACGCACGTGTTAGCTACCGAGTAGATTTTGTAACTAGTTAACAAATTGTTGACACAAATTAAAGTAAGGAGCAGCGGAAACCGATCCAGAATCTAAACTACAATCTGCAGAAAGGGAAACAGCTATTACAATAAGCGAGCAGCACAGATAAATTAAATGAGTTAGCTGCCTTCGTACTGATTGACCAGTATTATAAGTCTTTTAGTGTATGATGCCAAGCATTTCCTATAGGCTACAGCACAGTGTAGAATTTAATTCTGAATTTTGTTTTGGCCACGCCCTATGGACCATGGCACATGAAATAATTTTTTTAAGCATCCTACATAGTTGTTCTACCTTTCTGCAAAAAATGAGATTTTTCTGAATTTATAGCCTCGGTATGTGCCCTGGTAAGTCTAACTACCTAACTCTATACAAATGGTGGCTATAACTGACTGGTTAGTTAATGTTGCCGCAAAGCAAGTGCTACGGGTAGTTGCGGAGATAAGGTTTTTGCATCGTCTGTCCATTACACATAACTTAATAATTTCAATGTTGGTGGCGCATGGTGTTCTTGTTGCAGCATCTGATCAGCCAGTGAGCACTCTGTTAGAATCCCGAAACAAACGACTGCTGCAAGATATTTTATTTGTGATTCGTGATTATCACCTTGCTGAAAAAAATCCGGATGTGTACATGCAGGGAAGCGGAATATTACATTTCGGATATTGTTAGTTTTAAGCTTATTAAGGCTATATAAGCAGCAATGTACAATAATTCGACTGTATCATGATCAGCGCTATATGAGTCATATACGAGTATATCATCATTATTATGACTATAGCTATAACTTCTGCTACAATGACATTATGAATTTTGCATCGTGCAGGAATATTTTGATTCGGATCGGAATGGATCATTGCAAGAAATGCAGTTAGGATTTCACGGCATAAGCTGTTCATTTCTACCAACGATTTCGCTTGATCCTGCAAATTTGCAGTTTACGAAAAATGGTGAACATATATACTACGACTAATTGATAAATTTGGGCAACATATTTTGTGAACTTTTTGCAGATATCAATCCAGTGTTTGGAGAAGCCTGTTCTCAGTTGTTTAGCTCACACTTTAGTCCGCTCACAATTTTTCCAAAAACTATCTTTGGAAAGCAGCTGACCGGTCACGATCTGGCTGAACGATTGAAGGTTTTCAAACAACCTAGATATTAATTTTCTATGATAAAAATATCGCCACACAGTTATTCGAATTGCAAATTAAATGTGTATAAGTTAGTGTTTTTCGCAATCTTGATAATTTGCATCATACAAATTATAGCGAAAACGATTGTAGGTGTATGAAGAAATTTTTGGGAACGCGCGTATTCCCACAGTCCAGGATGCCTTGGAGGTAACTTTTATCACCAGAAGTAGCCAAATATCTCGGACGTTTACTCTGTACTTATACACAGACAATGGGTGGAGCTTTAGTTTTAATATGGAGCAAGTTCATTTCATTGCTTGCGTTGAAATTATTACACTATTACAGAAAGAGCTGGAATTTATCGGCCAGGAGTTCACAGCGACGTTAATAAATCATTACAAGAAAGCAATTTTGCAGGTACTTATATCTATATTCAGTAGGCACAACCAATTGCCTCATGTACTCTGTACTTCAGTCTCTCATATCTTGTAAAATTTAATTAAGAAGTAAGAAGTGATTTAAAAACGAATTATAAAATAGTTAAAATGCTTACCGTTATTTATGCTTAACAAGCATAATACAAGTTTTGCTCATAAACTATACGTATATTTGACCCAATATCATCATTGTTCCACAGCGATTGCATAATCATAAAAATATTCCGGAAGAAGAAATTCGCGAATTGCATTTCTCCCTGCGGCAGCGTCTTGTTTCCGATCTCCGTCATCATGAAGTGCTCATCCGAAAGCCAAAACTTTTGAACGAAGCAACGCAGATTTTGTACTACGAAAGCAGTGAATACCTAGATCGCACGCTTCAGGCTCGCAGATTTTATCATGCTCTGGAGCAACTTAAAAACAACGAACAAAAAATGCAGGTATGTATGCGGACTGCAAAACGTACGATGTTTACTGTCCTGAGGACATTTGATGACAAACAGTGCAAAACAATGCCATGACCTTTCAGATCTTGATGGCTTCCCAGATGACCAAATATGCTCAAAAAGGGATAGTAAGCAAGCTTTATATAGTGTATACTAATGAAAGCAGAAATTATTTATCAAATTAGAATATATGATACTGTATGGAGTGTATATACGAGACTCCGAACGAAAATTCAATGCACAATTTGATTTGGTACTTGTTGTTATTAATATTACAAGGTGCCGGTTACTGACACAGCTGATCATGTGATTTAGGTTGCACAAACCAAGGATGATTCAGGGTCATTTCTCGACGCTGTTTTGCAACCAATTATTCCCTTCATTTCCTTGGGAGCAGCATTTTTGGTGCTTTATATTCTCTACTGGATCATCTCCTGCTTACAAAAAATGAGTTTCCGAAAACAGACTGCAACGAGTCTTTGATAACCGTTATAATTATCAATTTGAATATTACTAAATAAAATTTAGGGATTTTGTGAAACCTATGGAAATAAACGTTTTCATTATGGATCACCATTTACACAACTTTATCTGTACGTATGATTCACAACATTTAAATGCTTTATGTGTCAGAAAGCCAAAATATGAGAGGAAAGAAATAATTTTATATCCATAATAATGTAATTTTTTACTAAAAAACATTATGACGTACAGTACCTAAGCAGAAATTATCAAACGAAGTACGAGGTATGTATAATACAACTTTTCAAAGCACTTTACATGGCAACAATAAGAGTGTCGTAAAACTAGCTACAGAAGTACGTATACCTATAGAACTATCTGTAAGGTACTGTACGGTCTCTACCAAGAATACGTACTTCTACTAAAATTTTCAAATTAATATTGTACAGTAAATTGCTGCTATATTGTTGCTATTAATGAGGTATTTACGAATTCGAAACAGAATTGCAGACATCTAAAAACTCATAGTTTTCGTAAGATAGCTTATTTCACATCTTTCTGGATAATTAGTGGTGTTATTACAATATTTTTCCATCCACTGTGTTATTCCTTGCTGCTTTACATATTAACATCAAAGGGCGCAACCTCATTCCTCATGTGACCTTTGTCAAGCCATGCCCAAAGCTTGCTCAGACTGTGACACATTACAGCATCAATTAGCGCATGTTCTAGAGCAACTAAACAGCGTACAAGCAGAGTGTAAACGGTTCAAGGAAGAACGGGACGCGTATCACGATTCCTGCGTTGCTTCACGGATGGACGTCTTGAAAGGTTAGGGTACGCATCACTGGTAGATGAGTTGTACAATAAACTTATAGGTACTTGTACTTGGAATGTCCAATTGTTTACAATTTTTCAATACCACGTTAATTTCGTTTCGTTTGTAATCTATAAGAATTATTGTCCCAGTAGACCGGAATCTATCGAAGCCTATTCATTATTACTGTTCAGCTTTAAACGGATGAGCATAGGAAATAAAACCACTGGTTTCAGTTGACGATTGATATAAGAAAAATTACAAAAATAATTTATGTGCGATTTAATTTGCTTACTTCTTTTGTCATTGTCAGCACGTATTCGCGAAGGTCGAAGGAGAGATAAAGCAGCACTCTATACTGTCATTAATTATTAGGCAACAAATTGTTCTTCGATCAAAAACAGCAGATCACAGAGCTGAAAGACAAGGTGGCATTGTATCAGGAAACCAATCAAATGCTGTTCGAGAAGTGTGCACATGCCAACGATCTTGAAGACGAAGTCCGGCAGCTCCGTTCACGATTATCCGAAGTGGAAAAAGTTCTGCGTCCGCAGAGCAGTCCGGAATGTATGTCCACAAGACAAAGCTCCGCTCAGCAGATGGAACCAAATTTCATAGGAAAGTATCCCAGTCGGGAAATTACTATTAAGTGTCTGAATGAATACAACGAAACTTTGGCTAATGCTATCAAGACGATAGAACGCGGCCAGGAGCTTAAAAGCTTTCCCCAGAAAACTTAACTTGCGTAGTGGTTACTGCGTTGCAGAATCATTTGCCATTAAATCTTCCCCGTTATAAACGCCAATTCTTTACCCATTTGAAACCATTAATCCAAGCATTCAGTTTCGATCATTCAGGTAAAAAAAAACATGCAACGAAATACATATAAAATCCATCCAAACGACAATTTCCCGCAATATATGTGCGACACACGGATGCATAGTAAAAATATTTGGTAAAAAAACCAAAACCGAACAAGCCCGTATTTATGAGACAATGTCACAGAATTTTAAAAACGAATGTCTTTCAATCGATTCGTTGCCCTTCAATGGAAGTTAGCAACCCAACATGACTAAAAAAGCGATCAAAATTCTTACTCGAAAAAAGGACTATTCCAAAAACGACACTTTTATTCGGCCTTGCCGTCTCCACTTCCAGAGCCATTGGTTTTGACGTCAACTTCCGGTTTGTTATCACCCTGTAAGCAATCAAAGCCTATTCATTATTACTGAATGAAAATTACGAAACGAAACAAAAACATTAACATTAACCGAGATAAATTAATATCTCATTTCAGCAGAATCAGTTTTCGCTAGCGCAGATCTATTATTATGTGGTCTCGTTACTGCTGAATAAAATTCGACGAATTTTATACTGGATTCTACCGTTGAATTGTAATGCAGTAATAAAATCGGAAAGCTTACCAAATAGGAACTAAACTGACGACCGCAGAGCAAATATTGGCATATCACTCACCTTTGAATCTTCGGCAGCGAATTTATCGAACATTCCTTGAAATCGTTTGCGATCTTTGTCCGCTTGAGCACGCATTTCCTTGCTGAGCAGCGCCAATTGCTGTTTTGCCGCTTTATTCTCCGGCTCCAGATCAACAATTCGCTGGAAATCGCGTTTAGCCTCTTCATAGTCTCTCAAGCCGAAATTGGCCTGAAGAGCAACACCAGCATATAATTACTTGAAATAATTCATTAACAGGAGACAACAGATCTGTACATACAGTGCCCTTTCGATAAAGCCCTTTGATGTTGTTGGGATCCAGCGTCAAGGCTTCTTCCGTCGCTCGTTTGGCAGCATACAGATCGCCCAATTTCAAATGAACGGCAGCCAGGTTATTATGCGATACAGCCAACATTTTCTTGCGTTTCTCCTCATTTTCGTCTTTGAATTCCGCGTCAGCGGCCAGCATCTCTTTCATTCGTTCATAATGTTTAATCGCTGCCGCGTGTCTTCCTTTCTGTAGCATAAAAAACCAATATTAAATGAGCTGCAACATTAAACGCAAATTATTTTACTAACCGTGAACGCCTGAGATCCTTTTTCCTTAGACCTCTCTGCTGTTTCGAACTTCTCATCCGGATTCATGCTCCAAGTGTCTTTGGCCTGTCAATTCACTCATCCTCATTAGGTTTTGGATTTTACAAGCTTGATTCTTCAGCGTTTTATTAATCAGTAACATCAACGTAGGACCAAAATTAATTTCCGAAGAATACTGGAAACGGCATTTACCTTGTCGAAATCCAAAAGCGTGATTTCGTAGCGTACTTCCGCATTACCGGGGATCTCCCATTCTGGCTTTCCTTCTCGTCCAAAAGCGACATCCGGGTGAAAAGTAAATAACGAACATTCATGCTTCTTCATTTTCTTCACGGCTAGATCAATGCCAGGGATAAGCTGCAGGTCGTCGTCTCCTTCGTCAACATAAAATTCCACTTCTCGTTCGTCAAACTTGCGCCCCTCATACAACCCGCACAGGCGGACTGGAAATTAATAAAATAATTATAATTATGACTATATACCGCATACCAATTCCACGATGTTAAAGGCTTATCAGTGAAAAGTAAGGTAAGCTAATTCGTTCGCAAACGCTGCAACAATCAAGTTGTCAGCAACTGCTTGCATGTAATTCAATTAAAACGGAAATCCAAACAGTGGCATTACCTTTGGTTTTGGCATTTTCATTGGGCATCGTGTATCCTGTGCCTTTTCGGATAAGCCGCCGTAAGATTTTCTTGTCTTTTCCAGCGCTCAAGTCTTCATCCTAACGTTAACCAAACGAAAATTTATGCCTTCTGTTTTGAGCCGCAAAATTCATTAATAATTACTGTACCGAGTCCTAGAATTTATACATGCCAACTCAGAAAACTCGCGAATTCGGAAGCATTTCAAATAACAACGTTTTCACCGCTTCGCGAAAATGGTTGTCAAAAATGAGAAAAAATCGGGAAAACCCTCATGTAAAAAAACTTACATCCCAGCTCAACAGTTCCACCTGGAAAATCAGCGTTGAATTTGGCGGGATTTTCGGTGGACTACCAATTTTTCCGTATGCATAGGCGGATTTGCAGACCATCTCACAAATCTCACCCTTTTTCATGGTCGAAACAGCCCAATCCCAAGCCTGAATCACCTTTCCTGAAATTCATCCTCACAGTAAGAAAATCTATAAACGTTTTCGACAACTGCTAATGATGACGGAAAGAAGAAAGTGCGCATCTTACGCTTTCCCAGAATAAATTTGAACGGCTCGTTTCGCTTGCGGCTCGAATCGAATACACTGCCATCCACCAGGCGTCCGATGTAATGGACGTGCACCGTGGATCCATCGAATGGTGTATCCGTCCCGGTACCTTCTTTGATGATCTTCTTCAGAACGCCACGATCCTGTTTGTCGCTACAGTCAAGGAGAGCCGGATCCTCAATGTCGAAGTCCACCGGCATCTTCTCCATCGGCTTATCGAAGTCTTCAAAGTAATGGCGCTCTGACATTTTTTCCTGAAAACCAAAACAGGACCATCACGTTATGGTACAAAGGGGCGATGCAATAGAAAATCTGGACTCCACGGTGAGCTAGGACCATCTGATTTTCAAGATCAGGTGCAAAAGCAAACCAGAGCGAAAGGACTTTTGGATCTGATAATCTGATTGCGCGAAGCCGTAAGTACTAGAGCAGGTGAAACTTCAAATACGAAATAAGAAAGTTAAATACCGTTTTAGCAGCCGCAGTTCGCCAAAAAACCTTCTGCGTGTAAAATGTAGCCAGAGATCTACAAATTCGCCAAAGTGATGCCAAAATAGAGTCTATGGAAATGATTCCAAAATTTTAAGAAGAGGTAAAAAAAGCAATTGGAAAGTTCAAATCTGGCAGATTTTTTGTGGTTTCGGAAATGCCGTTTCAGTCGTTTTCCGTTTCGAGAGTTTTCGGAACACAAATTAGGTGTGTAGTGTGTACCACAGCCCACCGCCCATAGAGTCTGACTCATTAACTTCCAACAGTCTACCGCCTCCGAGCCACTGCTGCATGTATCCTTGCTGAAAAATTTTCGGTGTTTTGCTAGTAAGTAGTAATTATGGTAAAAGTCAAAACGTTATTCTCAACTTTTCACAAATATTGTAACGTTGTTTCACTCTGGAAGAAATTTCTTTGTATTGCTTGATAATTTAAAAATAACGCATATACTGATAAAATTGGCCTTTGGGGCATTATGCTGTCGGATTATTTGCAATGAATTCTTCGCCGTCCACTGGGAAACTCGGTTGTTCTGAGTTATCACCGTCTCATCAACGGCGTGATATGGCTCCTCTTGCCAAAGTTCCTGGCCATACGGTAAGGTACTTTGTACAAGCTGGAATTAGTATAAAAGTCGGCACCTAAAATAAAAGTTAGAATGGATGCACAGCTTTTAAAAGCTAAGGCTGTTGATGTCTAAAATGGCCGTTTTGTTTCATTTACAATATTACTGTTACAGTTTACCAATGCTGAGTGGTGAACCGTGCATGCTGTATTAAGTGTATTTCGTAATTTTTTGCACCTGCTTCAGGTGCGTCCTTCTGGCACGAATAGCGACCAACCGAAGATCTCGAAGCATTTGCGAAAAGAAGGTATGTTTCTAAAAGTCAGAATGTGCGTGTTGAGCATGCCAGCTGCAGTATACATAACAATATCAAGCATGCAGTGAGAGTTAATTTGCGGAGCACTACTAAAAATTTTTGTGAATTTTAAAGCAGCTTTTTGGGTTAGCGGTAGCGTTTCCCTTGCAGTATGCTGCGTATTGTTGAGATACAGCGCACAGTGGTATATTATACTTATTCTAGAATTTGTGTTGGTTTTACGGGCTCTGATTTTAATAAAGTCAAAAACAATTTCATTGGCAATAGCCACCCAAATAGTAATAATTGCAAGCGCTGGTGCACTACTTAATAGTTAAAAATTGTTAAAGTTATTTGATTTTTTTATGTTTTCCCTGTGTGATTTACTGCGAATTTATTATTTTGTTTTGTTTATTCTTGGAAAATTAAGGGTGTTGGTGGACTTCATAATGAGAAATTAAAAGAAATAAAATTTGTAAAACTAAATAGTATCTTGTCGACTTGTATACCTGAAACTGATTTCTTTTCACAACAGATCCCATGGTGGTCCGTCCAACAACAAGACTAAGCGATGTGGGGGGCCAGGATCATACCATTGAGGTAATATTATGTATTCGAAATAACCATACTCGTAGTGTACATGAAGCAGGCACAGTTTAGATGTCTCCTTTATATGCACTACCCGTAAGGATTACGGAATAACTTTGTCGAAATGCCAGTTACGAGGGAAGTTGGTATTAACTGTCAGCGATGTCACCGGTGTTATGATGAGAGCAGTAATTCCATACCGTCTGCGTAGGAAATCTGCCGGTTGCTGCTTCACCTTCGCCATCCCGAGATATTTCAGACACTTGGTGTGGCGGCACCGCGTGGTATTTTATTGCATGGACCTCCGGGATCTGGAAAGAGTCTGCTTGCTCATGCCATTGCTGGGGTGAGACTAAATATCCTTTTACCTGTTTTTGAAGAAAAAGTAATCACAGTGGTTGTGACTGTGATTGCTTCCATTTACTTAATTTTATTTTGAATATTATGAAATCCAACTGCGTTTTTTGTAATGAGATCTTATTGCCTAGAAAATATCGCAAACAATTTTTAATAGTAAGTAGTATCAGTTTTGTGTGAAAAACATTTGTGGCCATTTGAAAGTTTCATTGCGGTTTACCCTTCTAGGAGTTACAAATTCCTATGCTGAAAATCGCGGCGCCAGAAATGGTTTCCGGTATTTCTGGTGAATCTGAAGAACGATTACGCGAGCTGTTTAAGAAAGCCGAGGTATGGTAAGTATGTATTTAACATTGCAGTGCATATTTGTATTGAATAACTATTAACAGAATTATTTGAATAATTCACGAAGTTTATAATATTTTGGCTATGGTTTTACGCAAGCCGAATCGACAACCATTGTTGATGGTCATTTTTGCTCTTCATGTAAAAGCAGAGCATCGTTTGAAAATGGTGCACCGTGTTCAGTTCCCACTTCGTTTGTGAGGTAAATAATGGCAGTTTTACGCTTGCAGGTCTACGCGCCGTGCATCCTGTTTATAGACGAGATCGACGCTATAACTCAGAAAAGAGAGGGTGCCAGTAAAGACATGGAAAAACGGATTGTTGCCCAGCTTTTATTTTGCTTGGATGGTAAACAGTTAATACTGTAAAACAAGACAAGAGAACGCATATCTGTACAGCACATCCCTTCCAGAATTAAGTTCGCGACCGACATCACAGATCTTTCTGGTTGGAGCGACCAATGCGCCCGATACACTAGACCCAGCGCTTCGTAGAGCTGGACGATTTGATCGGGAAGTTAGTCTGGGTATTCCAAACGAAAAATCTCGCTTACAGTAAGGTTTTTATTCTTGAGTTGTCTTGCATTGCGGCATATGGATTCTGTTCAATGTAAATAATAAAGTACAAAAAGTGCTGTATATTAAAGTTGTTTATAAAAATTCGATATGGATATGAGAAAAAAAATAACAACCAGCTTTTGCTAGAATATTGGAGCTCGTTACAAAATCGTTAAAACTGTCTACCGATGTCGATTTAAAGGAAATGGCTCACCAGACCCCAGGTTTTGTTGGTGCCGACCTGAAGTCTCTGGTTTCAGAGGCAGCAATGGAGGCCGTCAACAGGTAGGCTGTTTCATCCCTTATAATTATGTGTTTTGTATAGTAATACAATTGTTGTATTAAAATTTGTGAGTATTCACAATGTCAAGTAGACATTCTACATCAGCATTTTTCCTTAAACATTCAGGGGAAGGAATTGAGACACTTTAATTATAAAACAGTAGTAATTTTTTTATAGGGTATTCGGTCAGTTGTCAGATCTCAACCAAAGTTCCGGTGATAAACGACCACAGGATAGTGGTACCATGAATATGGATATCGATCCTGTCGCGGAAAGTCCTGTTACGGGTAAGCGTTGTTAAGAAATTGTATAACCAAGGTCGAAACGTACCGGACCGGTATGTTTCCGCTACTGTGATTGATCTTTTTTGCAGCACGCCATATGCTCTCGACTTCGATTTCTGGCTCCACTGCATTTCCTTTAGAGTGGTTGAAGGACTTGAGTATAAAAATGAAGCATTTTACCGTAAGTCTTGTTTATCGTATTTTGTGCTCCTACGGAAAATTCTTAGTTAAAGATTAGGGATAGCAGGTGCTTTTACGCTGCCGGAAGCCGAAATTCTTTACTGTGAAAGTGAAATGTGTTATTACGTACTTATTAGTATACGAGTATCTATATTAGTTATCTTCGTAATTGTGGTTTTTCCTGCAGCTGACGTTTTTGCAGGGCGCTTTAAAACGAGTACAGCCATCTGCCAAGCGAGAAGGTTTCGCAACTATTCCTAATGTATGTTGGGACGATGTCGGTGCTTTGACTGATATTCGCGAAGAGCTGGAATTAGCTATTGTTGTAAGTTTTATTAAATCTGGAAATGCTTGTACTCCCTGTAGAAGTATGTAGATCGGTGAATTCACATTGCATATGTTGTAAGTTGTAACCAGTGGCGTTATCCGATATTGTGATCGCTACTCTAGTTGTAAATGCACCATTCGCCTTGACAGTTGACAGTAGTCCTTCTGTGTTTGTCAAGAATTCAAACAGCTGTCGTTACGCACTTGATATTTCTCAGGCGCCAGTAAGATATCCAGCTGCGTACGAGAAACTGGGAATTCAGAATCCATCCGGAATATTACTTTGTGGCCCACCAGGTTGTGGAAAAACCTTGCTGGCAAAAGCTGTAGCTAATGAATCAGGGTTGAATTTCATTTCCGTTAAGGGACCGGAATTGCTCAATATGGTAAGGCCATGCCATATTGTTTTTAAAAATTACCTTTATTTCTTTGTTACTGTTACGAAAGAACCTGAAAGCAAACCCTGCTTTGCGAAGAAACTGGCAGCAGAATCTGGCAGCGCAGAAACACTTATTTTTCCCTCAAATAGTAGCTTAATATTGGCTTTCGTTTCAGTACGTCGGGGAAAGTGAAAGGGCTGTGCGTCAGGTGTTTTTGCGAGCTAAGAATTCGGCTCCCTGTGTGATATTTTTTGACGAGATCGATGCCCTCTGTCCACGCCGAACCGACTCCGGCGACAGCAATGCCACTGCCCGTGTTGTGAATCAGCTTCTTACGGAACTGGATGGCTTGGAGCAGAGAAAGCTGGTTTTCGTTATCGGTGCGACCAATCGTCCAGGTGTGGCGGAAGTTGTTGACTACGAGCACAGGAAATTTTGCGAGCACACTTGACGAAATTGTTCCAGGAAATTAATATCGTGACAATTGTTGAAAATCGACAAATGCAAAATTATTATCTATTTAAAAAAAGAAGTACGATGCAAGTGTAAACTGTATTAATTTTCGCGCAAGCAGATTCACTCTCGAGATGGTTTTTTGTGACCTGTGAATTTGGTCTGGCATCCATTTCAGTCGTATTTACTGTTGTTACTTATAGTTTTTTTTTTAAAAATGAATAGTTCTGCACTTAAAAATGTGTTATAGACATTTTGGATCCAGCTATGCTTCGTCCAGGGCGGCTTGATAAGCTGCTGTTCGTCGACCTCCCTGACCAGACGGCTAGAACCGACATTTTACGAACAATTACCAAGGTATTTGTGCAAAGGGTACACCTGTAGCATTTTTCTCATGTCGGTAAAACTACGAGTATTAAGAGTCTCAACATAATTTTATTGAAATAGAACGGGAAAACACCGCCTATGGATGCTGATGTAAACTTCGATGAGGTTGCACTCTTGACAGACCGTTTCAGGTAACATATTGCTGTTCTTTGGTTCATTCTGATGATGGTCAAACCATACACGCGGTAGACTATTAATTCAAACTGTTTCTTTTACCTAGTCTTATTGCACTTATTTTCAGCGGTGCTGACCTTGCTTCGCTTGTTCGGGAAGCGGCCAGTCTTTTAATACGGGAACAACTTAAGTTGTTGCGAGCAGGAAATTGTGGAGCGAAGTTTTCAGTCGAATGCCTCAGTGATCTCATGGTGAAGAAAAACCATATCGAAGACGCGTTGAAAAAAATCAAGCCATCTGTAACTACCGAAGTACGCTGCCTTGACTTTGGAGAAACTAGAACTTTACCGACGCACGGTGTTTCTGTTTTCCAGGTATACCATTCTTATTTGGCGCTGAAGGAGAGGCTAAGGCAGAACTAATGGGAGATTTTCTTCTGACACTAACTATGAAACTCGTTGCAATTTTAGCTTGTCAGAGAATTTGACGATTTGTCGAAAATTTTTTTTCATCAGTGGATATAAAGATCAGTGGATTTCTAATGCACAGGTCTTATAAAAAGGATTAATAAAATCGAAAATGCAGTATTCATGACTAGAACTGTTGAACTCCAGTGATTCGGAATAAAAAACACTCCACATGTTTACAGAAACAGAACACCAAAATGCACTTTCCGCAAATTCCGCTTACATACCGGCGACACCGCTGCAGTTCGTAAACAGTCTTAGTCGCAACAAAGAGATCGCGAGGCACGATGACCCGTGTAGAAAGGCCATCGGCATCCCAGAATTTTCCCGGTACAAACAACCGACCCGCAGAGCTCCAGTCACCATGGAGCGTCGAATACGCGTCGGACCAGAGGGAGCTAATGCATGCCCGGTGACCAGAATGGATTTCCTGGCCACCCTGAGCAGCACCAGCTTCCTCTGAGGAACCGATCGGTGGAGCATCACAAATCCCGGCATAATCTGAAAATCCGGAAATAATCCAGTATCGACGCGACCGAGGGCTAATGCATGCCCGGTGACCAGATTGGCTTAAATGGCCACCTGGGTGCATCAACCCCCGCTCATGCCGAATTGCCGCCACAGAATCCACGCAGAACAGAACAGTGAAAAATTATAAATTAATATTAAGAACTTCCAACAGTAGACGAATGCTATCCCGGTGACAGTGGATTCTGCCACCTAGGCGCATCCGCCTGGTGTTCAAAAGCAAAAGGTGATCAAATCGGAATATCCATGAAGGCACAGTATGCACTTCCGTGTGATTGTAAAGGGCAGCTGAAAACCGAAACAAGCACCAAACAACTTTAGTCAGAAAAAATTACAGACGTAAGTCCAGATTTGGAGAACATTGATGGTTGATTCTAGTCAAATCGAACACGACGCCTAAACAAATGACGGACAGACTGCGCCGTTATCGGGTTTTTATACCTGCTGCTGGCAAGCGGTTGCGAGGGTGTGGTATCAAAAGGAGTTTTTCTGGCACCTGGAGTAGACAGCGAGGCGGTACGAGTGCAGCTGTTGTTAGCGCAACGCAATAACGTCCAGTGATCGGACGACAACAACATGTGAATCGTGACGCGAAAGATTTAACTGATAAAAAAAGTTTCGAAGTTTTAAATGACTTCCGAACCTAAAGTATAGTGAAAAATGACATCCATAATAAACTTCAATTCGAAAGTATATCATAATGTCGGAATTATCTGGAACACAGTAATATTTCGCTAAAGAAAATCCTTTTGTTTTCGTGGGAACATTATTGAGAAGTTAACTTGGTATGAATGCGCCAGACAATAGACATTAGACATACAACTATGCCGGTGGAATGCGGTCAGTCACGACGTACAGCTGATGGTGAATGGCAAAATTAATGCAACTGCACCGCAGCAGCTCTGCTGCAGCTGTACGCCTCGCCAAATTTTGAGTACTTATTTATCACTCCATACATATCGCGTGCACTACTGTAGTTTCACTCTGGTGCAGGCATCAAGCAGGATGGTATTAAGTACAGTTTACGGTGATTTGAATAATTCTTTAAAATTAAGTACTAGTAATGTGAATTTTTCAGATTAATTTGACGTAAATATTTCTTCCATAGTTTGGTGGCATAGATATGACATATTTTCTGGTACGTGACATGCATGTGGGATGGAATATTTTTCTCTTTCGAATCAAGTGCGAATTCCGAAACTTGGATTAGGTATGGGTGTTGGAGTAATAAATAACGTGATCCCAGGGTTGACAAATAGGTTTTATGATGCAGAGCCATTATTGCGTTAAATTATTATTATTTTAAATCATTATTCATTGTTTTGCTGTTTGTGTTTACAGGGACGTCACATTCCGGAGGATATTCGCACGAGGCAGCGGTCTATGCTTTGAAAACATGCGGATATGAACTGATAGGTAAGTCTGTAAGTGGGACTTTGGTCGCTTTATTCTAAGGCTGTCTGTGGAAACATAAAAAAACTGTAAGTTTACGTAAATATCTCATTCGATCGTTAGGTTTTTGTTGGTTGTTTTGGTTTTTGTTGTTGTATTGTTGTTGCTTGTAAGTTGCGGCGCTGACAGTAATGGACGCGAAGCGCTAAATTTGGTTTAATGTTGTTATCAATGACTCAAGTCTGAATCCATAATAAAATGTAATTGTAGGATATATTTAACCATACGAAGTAATGAAAAAGAGTGAAAGGCAGATGTTGTTCGATTTTTGAACGGCTTCGGCAACGAGCAGTATTGATGTGACCGTGTGTTCTTACTTCTACAATAAAGTTGTGTTGTGACTTGTGCAGCCTGTTTTAAGAAACATTTTGTAGATACCGCGAAACGCTACGGAAATGAAGGACTGTTGTCGAAAGCTATCGCAGAAAGTCAGCGTAATCGGGAAGATTTATTTTTAACCAGCAAATTGTGGCCGAGCGATTATGGGAAATCGACTACCAAATCAGCTTTGTTGGGATCTCTAAAGCGGCTCAGTGTGGATTATTTGGGTAATGCTGCTGCAGATATAACATATTAATGCATCGTAGTTGCACGGAATGACACTTTTTGTATAACGTTTTTAGATCTCTACCTTCTTCACTGGCCGCTCGTTCCTGGATGGTGTAGCAATCCCAAGCAATTGCTGGAAGAAACCTGGAGGGAATTAGAACTTTTGTATGATGAAGGTAACATAACTACCTACTTGTACTCATTTTTTTCGTACAAGTATATATACAGTATTTAGTGACAGTTTAACCTGTAGTTATCGGCTTTGGTTTTAATCGTTTTATGGTTGCTGTAGATATTAGGCTGTGGTGGTTTTTTTTGTTATTGTTAGCTGTTATCGACCGTGTCTTGCTTTTTTGTAACCGTTAACCTTCTGTGAATCATATAACGCTGCGACGCTGTAATTTGTTATTTTTTCGGAAAATTTTGTTGATAATATCGCATAAGTGTTTTGATTTTGGGCGCGGCACCATAAAGTAAACTGTACGAAAAACAGTTGGTCAGATTATTTATTACTGTGGTTATTTCTTCCTTATCACCATTTTTAATCTGATTGTCGTTAGGTTTATGTCGAGCTGTCGGCGTGAGCAACTACACCGAAGATGATCTGATTGAAATGATGAATTATGCCAGCATTGTCCCCCATGTTAACCAGTCGGAGTTCCATGTCCTTAATCGATCTCCTTCCCTGCTGCAGTTTTGCCAGGACAATGATATTCAGTTTGAGGGATACTGTCCGTTGGGGAAAGGAACATTTATTAAAATACCGGCGGTTAATGAGATTGCTCAGCAGTATGGGAAAACACCAGCGCAAATTCTGCTTCGCTGGTCTATCCAAAGCGGAGTAGTTACCATACCAAAATCGACAAATTGCCAGCGCCTACGCGAAAATATTGATGTAAGCGTGATTTCTTGATGGTTATGGAGGATTATTCGTCAGTTTTTGTGCCCAAAACTTGAATTTGTACTGGCGTTTCCGGCGCAGCGGAAGTTAGCGGCACTATCACTGGTTAATAAATACTGATTGCATAGAACTGACAAAAGATGAAAATCTGCTACAATTCTTAGGTTTTGGACTTCAGTTTGGCCGATCGACACATGGCTGTTTTGGATGCGATGCATGTTGGTCGATGTCTAAAAAACCGTGAAGGTATGCAAGAGAAGCTGGATAATGACCTGCCTGACGGATACAAGCTTGGATTGTGAAAGTGCAGTATACAGGATACCCGGGATGATATGTCGTCTTCTTAGTCGTTTTTGTGCTGCTGCTATTGATATCGATCTGTTGATTGTGTGATATTTCCCAAGTGATCGTCCCGTTTGTTTCTTTTTTGTACTTTTCTAATTTTTATACACTGCCACCCTTTTTTGTATTTTTTATGTTTTCGACTTTGTGTGCATTTCTGCCTACTTGTGCTTGAGTTTTGTGGTAAGTACTGAAGTTGATAAATGCAGTTGTTAGTGTATCTGATAAAGCTGTTCTACTCTACTTGAACTGAATTTCTGTTTTAAAGATTTTTAGTCTTAAAGAGCAGTCAAAATTGCAATCAATTTACGCAGTTCAATAATAACAAATAATCATGAAATGACTTCAGTATTACTGTATACCGACAGCAGACAGAGCATTAGAATTGGGGATTATGAATTTCAGAAACCTGCTTTCCATTCCCACGGATGAATACGATTGTGGTTTGTGCACTTTGTGGCTTTGTGCTATCCTAGTGGCCAGTTAACCACCCTTGGTGTGCGCTTATTCTTTCGAAGTTCTTCGAAAGAAGATTCTTATTCTACCATTCCGCATCTCCAGCCTCTTACTCGTCATTTCTAACATGCTAATAATAATTCAGATCTTTTCTGATTACTTAACTTCCAACCGCCGTTTTACTCCTTCTTTAAAACATATGTAATTGCCCGCTTGTCATATTACAGAACCATGTGTTTTTATCAACATTTATAGCTATTACGACTTATGCCCAAACTCCACTTTGCTGATTTATATTCTCTCTGTTGCTGCCCTATTATTTTGTGAGCAAACTTACTAACAATCTGTGTGACTAATTTGTCGCCTAGAACAACATTAAAGTTAAGTTAAGTCCATGTACTGGAGATTTTTCGCAGCTGCTTGCTTATCTTTTTCAAAGGTTTTTAAATTTTTTTTTGGTTTTTTTGTCCCCATCCAATGTGTAAAACAAAAAATGTAAAACAAAGCATTTCTGTAGTAAAGCCCCTGAACGTTTCATGTTATTCTACTCGTAGTTTTTGGTCTGAATTTTGATCTCAGATAACCACTGTATCGCTTCGTATAGTACTGTACGTATTACTGCGAGCACTCTTCATTCAGGTGTGTAGTAGCTCTAAGCCTCTAGTTCTACCTACCTATATCGATGCCACAAAAACGTTGTGGATTCTTGAATGGAGTTACCAACATTTATCAGTCCTTGCGCGGATCCCGATTGCTCTCGCGCGTCTCGTGTGCGAAACTTTGAAGAGAAACCAGACGACTTTGAGGAGCATAACCCTCCGGAGCAGCCTGTCGATGGCGATGATGTATCACTATGGTAAATGTTATAAGAGTAAAAAACATTCTTCTGCTATCTACGGTATCATCGTATCCTGTGATCTCATGTGATTTTATCAGCTGTCATATCGTAAACGGCATGTCACAACAGAAAGAATTTCAACGTTGCTAACCATAACCCCCGCAGCACCAGACCAAACCAGCACTGATGGTTATCGAGAATTTATATTTTTTTATTTATAATTATTTTATTTAGAATTTAAATTTTTTTATTTATAATTTATTTATAATTTATTTAGATTGATTTAGAATTTATTTAGAATTTATTTTATTTATATTATGAGTTTAGGTGGTCTGCGGCGGATTCTCCTGTGGAGATTAAGAATAGATCAGCATTCATATCCAGTACTGAACACCTGAGATTCACGGATGCTCTCGACGATCTCGAAGGAAGCTGGTTGCAAGTGTTATTATTCGCGATGGATGTTGAATATCATGCCTGTCCTCATGACGATAACGAATTGCCCCCGCAGCCAGAGACGATTGTAGATCTGGTAAAGTTATACCGCGACGGCGCCGTTTTTCCTGCTGATTTTATCGCCGCAGCCGTGCGGTCTTCGTGCGGAGCCGTCACTGGGCGTTTCTTTCCGGTGCGGTCCAGTATGAATCTCTCGTTAGACAGAATGTTGGCGTACTGGTTACGCCAGGGCAGTGTTCCGGTTCTGTGCGTAAATGTGCCTTTGGAGGATGATCTGGATGAAGGTTGGCAGTATTTTGTCGTGTTCAAAGTGGAGAATGGACGCATTGATTTCATGATGCCTTCGGGATTTTCCCAAACTTTGGATGCTGGACATCTATGGAAGTATCTGGATGATTCCTTCGTGCAGTATGCGTGCCCGAATGGATTGCTAGGAAGACGCGGTATATCGTTTGAGAATATGCACGAGTTAAAAGATATCGGCGATGGCATAAATGTCCTAGGTAAGATTGCTTTCCTTACCGTGCTTGCAGCTTGCTTTTTAAATGTTTATCGCAGTGCTGTTTTTTTGCACAGTGGTATTTGAAGGTTTTCTTGAGTTCTCTGACCTGTCTTCTTTCTGACTTACTTGAAGCTTCCATGACATTGTTTACGATTTTGGTATCGTAACGGTTGTTCAAAATTTACAAAGACTCTTCAGTATTCTGATACGTGACACGTTGCCACTATTAAGTACTTTTACAAATTTCCATTCACGCAATAATTTTGTTTGGCAGTATAATTTTTAGCACATCACCGCAGTGATATAATGCGCCGCAGTGTATCACTCATAAATCATATAAGTATTATTATGATTTTGCGTTTTGTCGCGGTTTTGTTTTTGTGCGTGATTGGCTAATTGGTTGACTAGAATGGCTGAGTAGTGGTTGGCAATAGACCGAAATATTCTGTTGATTAAATCTATCTCTCCGCGATCGTTTATTTTTTTTAACGATAGGTGCGCCTCTAATGCAACAGTTAAGATTGCTGTACAACATCTTTAATTCTTATTCGAGCAGTGTTATAGTTAGAGCACTGAATCTTTTCCTGTCTTTGTGTACATGTGCCATTTTGTTTATTATAGTAAGTGAGATAGTTAATTGATAATTCCAGGTCAGATTGCTTATGCATTAGAAACAAAAAGAGATCATCAAGCCCACTATGGATCTCTCGAAGGACTTTCGTGTCGAGCAACGAAAAATCATACTGACTCTGCAAATACAGATGCGGAATTTATTAATAAAATGTTTTCCGAAGGATCTTCCAGCTGTTTTTCTTATGATCGCGAATCCAGAGTGGACAGTATAAGACTGCCCAGCCAAATGGAAGGGGGGATTTTACTTTTTAGTCGAACGGACCAAGACAAACTTTGCACAATGATAAATGACATACGTGAACCATTGTGTGATCCGAAATTTTAAGTTTTAACGACGTTCTATGTGATGTTGTGACTTGCAGTAATTTCAGTTGTTGATTCATGAATGCTCAGCCTTTTGTACGTTTTTTGGGGAATAAGTTTGGTTGGATTGCCTGATCTGCTCTGCTCTGACTCGATCCGTGAACTGGCCTGTACATTGATACCAAATTACTGCAGAAAATACGAAACTTGAACAATTACCTAAACTGAAATAATCTTCTGGTATTCTGTCTCACTTGAAAACTCCAACTCAATGAATAGTTGAATACCGACATCGGCCTGTCGCGACAGAAACTTGACCAGCAGGCCAGCAGCTAATCCATAATTGCACACTCATACGAGTATAATTATTGTACGAGTATTATGGCTTATACGGTATTTACGCGCTGTGACACTGGTCTACGATCTTAATTGTTCGACTTTCTTATTAATGTTTTCGCTGGCGCAATTTCAGTATACTTGACAAGGATGCCTCTCCGCGCGTATAGTAAACTTTGGTTGGGGGATCTGGATTGCTTAGTGGTTGGGGATCTCGGTTGCTTGAAGCCAGCGGTTGACAGTTGATCCGTATTCCGTAATAACATACAAATCCATTCTGACTGTATGCAGTTAAAATATATTAAAGTTTGTTTACCTGTTGCATATTGTATTGTAACGTATTTTATACATTTGTAGTATTGTATTTTGAATGGTATGAGTTAAACTGCGAATCAGTTATGCATAATTGCAAAGTGCCTATCTAAAATTATTAAACCACTTGTTTGGGCAAATTGCTATTTTGCTGTGATGGTATTTAACGGATAAATGGTCAGTGTTTTCCATCTCATTCTGGTAATACATTTATTTTTATGCTACCTTTGACTGAGCATTAACAACAATTCTGCTAAATTCCGAAAATATCAGCATTTGCAAACATTCGTACCAGACAGCTTCGTGATTCATTGTCGGTTACCATTTTAGAAGTACAGCGACCTTTAGAAATGCTGTTTAAAACTTAAGGAACAGAGACCTGTGTTTTATCTTGTGAGAAGCTGTTGTAAAAGTAGGGTAGCTGTGTTGATCGTACACCCTTGATCCATTGAATTTGTGATCGGACCAAGCTGTAATATGGCTTGACCTTTGCGCATAAGCAATCCACTTTCGCGCATGTCAAGTGTCGTTTGGAAAAGTCATTTTCTAACCCAAATCTTACGTACCTTATGTACAGCAATTCTTAAAGTATAATAAATGACGATACGTAAGTCCCCTTGTGGATGTATCTGTACCGCGAGAAACGTCCGTCAGAAATTGTTTTAAAGATGCTAAATTTTAGTTGAATTTCATTTTACGATTTTGAGATAAACACTACTCGTACCTCCCAATCTGCAAGGACAGGCTGTGCATGGTTTGTATATTCATTTTCCGTATAATTTTCAATTTGTATAAGTGTCATTAATTTTAAATCGTTCTTGAAGTACAAACTAGAAACGTCTCAGTTAAATGTATTTGGTGGCAAATTGCAACCCTACATGTTTTACACCGGAAATGTGCAGTGCTGGTGTAATCTCCCGGTCAGCTGCTGTTTAACTGTTTTTTTTGGATATTTTACTCTGTCAAGAGCACTTAATCATTTCGAGAAGAGGTGGCATAAATTATTGGAATTTGTTGCTGACAAGTGCGGTCATCTTGAAATTAGCGTACAATGCGCAGTACTTGGGAAAAACTGCTCATCGTATTGTTATAGTGGCCAACTTTGAGTCGGCACAGGGTTATGACCAGTACGAGTATGCAGTTTCCACAAATTTTCTCTAGTTTTCTCCAAAATTATTATCAAAATTTTGGTGTGGATTAGTTTAGAAAATTTACTTCAGTAAGCTTAGTTTAGAAGACAGTGTGTCATTGTACATTTGTAGTGATATTCTCATCCGTACAACGGGAGGTATTTGGAACATCATTGGTTTGGATAAAAAACTGGTGTTTGGTTTAAATTGGTGTCTCCGATGATGGACCCTGATGACGGCGCGGCCGTGTTTTGTGATTCTCCGCTATGGGTAATTCGCGAAACATATAACAAGGATTTCAATACTACGGAAAAATAAAATAGTCATGTTTTTGTGGGCGGGCGCCGGATGCTCAGATTGTACTCGATCGTATGACTGTAAGTCAGTCAGTTTATACACGCGCGCTTTTACGTGATATTAATTACAGGACAACAACCTGACCTGGTACACGGATGATCCGGACTTTACCAACTGCTTCCAAAAGACAATCCTTACTGTTATTCCATGCGCATTCTTGTGGATTTTCTTCCCCATACAACTGTGCATTATTGCGCATAAGAAAACATCAGGGAAAGATACCGGAACGTATCTGTTCTGGACGAAGATGGTAAGCAGTGTTGCATTTGATTCGTCTACAGGTATACATGCGCCCTGTGGCATTGTACATGTAGATATTGTATTATGTACAAGTATAATACTCGTACCGTATAACTATAAGATAGATAAATTAATATGATTATTGATCTTTATCGAATTCAGACAATGGGAAGTATATTGTGCGCCACCAGTATTATGGAGTTGATCTTTTCCTCCTATGGTCTGGCGGTGTATGGATCCCGACCGGTACTGGGTTACGACGTTCCCGTCCACCAGTACGCCGACATTTTTATGGCCGTAATCCAGTTATCAACCTACGTAAGTTCGGTCAGGAATGCACTTGTTTTGACGAACAGTAGTTGCCGTGTCAGCTATCCTAATGACACAGTTTTTGAAATATTTACCGATTTGTTTGAAACAAAACTGCTTACAGTGGACCGAATGGAGTTTACCATGTAGCAGACGAGAATAATAACGCAAAGCATAGATAATTCTCATTGCAGGTTTTGTACATTTCTTATGTGGTACTGGACTGGCGGAAGCGGCGCGCGTCTAATGGAGCATTGTTTATTTTTTGGTTGCTGACGGCTATTACGGAAGGTGTGATCCTCCGGACGCAGATAAAACTTCTCATTGACCTTGTAGGTTTTCGTACACATTACCAGTAAACTGGTTATGAAATTCTTATCTAGGTTTAACAATTATTCAATTATTATCCACTTATTTTTAGGGTGTCGACAGTTTAACGGAAAAATTCCGCGTGGCTGTTCAAATAATACAAAGTGCCTTAATACTGGCGCTGCTGATATTTTCCTCCTTCTCTTCGTATTCATGCCATTTCGACAAAGATGTTCAGAGCGTAAGTATCCGCACTGCAAATTCACCTTTCACCTTAACTTTAATACAGTAGTTTTAATATGGTGTTTTTGATTGTGTTGAATTTGTAGTTTGCATCCCCGGAAAGGCATTCGCCGTTCCTCAGTCAGCTGTTGTTCTGGTGGTTTAACCGGCAAGTCTACAATCTCAAAATTTTAACATGACAACATTAAATTTTGAGGTTGTCTAATAGGAATAGTTTGTGGGGACGCATAAAATGCGCTTGGCTTGCTAGTGGTATTGATGTGCTTACAACACTGTGCAAAAGCTGAATTTAACATACGCTCTGTAAAGCCGGAGGAAAGTGTTTATTACACAATTACCGCTAGTCATTTCCTTTATAAAGGGTACGTTACATATATATATCGCCCCTTTTTCGCACGCAACCGTTTTACAGTCTTTTATACGATAAACTGACAACATTTCTCTTTTCTGTACTACACTATTTTTAGGCTTTTTGGGGTTCTTATATTTTTCTTTGCACAACAGAATCGTGTATCGCGGCTGGAAATCAACATTCACTGTGGACAATTTATGGCGATTAAGTCCACAGGAGAAAGCCAAAACCGTGTCGGCTATATTTTTTAAACACTGGGATAATTATGCAGCACGCATGTCTTCTGTTCCGCTAGGGACGGTGTTGTTGAAAGCATTTTGGATGGAGCTCATGTTTAGCTGCTTTCTGAAATTAATCTACAATGCCATGTTGTTCTCGGTGCCAGAACTATTGCGCCGGTTGATCTTCTTTGTCAAACATCCTAAGGATGAAATTTGGAAAGGTTATCTTTTTGCCGCATTGTTACTCCTTGCTTCCATGATCCAGACCATGTCTATTGGACATTATTTCCATCGGTGCAATATTTTGGGACTACGAATACGCACGGCGTTGATGAGCGCAGTTTACAGAAAGGTAATGCGAAATCAAAACGGCAGATTTTTTGTCCATTTTGTTAGATTTTGTTAAAAATTTTCACGCACGCGTGCACACTGAACTGCATTTCTGGCACTTTAACAAATAATTTCTAAATATACTGTAAATAATGTTTAATCCAGGCCGTTGATTAAATATGTCTTGCTTATTACAGATTTTGCGCACCGGGCCGTTTACACGAAGTGAAGCAAATGCAAAACAATTCCAGCCGACTAACCTGATCTCGGTGGACGCGCAGCGGATTATGGATTTATCATCATTTATAAATCAGTTATGGGAAGTGCCACTTCAGATCGGCATTTCCATGTACCTGTTGCATAATGTTTTGGGTGCATCAGCATTTGCTGGATTGGGTGTTATGGTTTTGAGTATACCCATTGAAGTCGGCATTGCAGTGTGGAGTAAGCGACTTCAGGTAGGAGCACAGCAGTGACAAGTAAAATCCATTTATTGTTAGAACAAAGCAAATGGTTTAAGTTATATAAAGCAGTTGTGACAAAAAATTCTGATTATTCATCTAGATTTATACATACAAAGTACTACCTAGAAAATTGAATACGCTACGAATCATGAAACATCTGCATTAATATTAATTAGACTTCTTAGATTGTACTTGTCCAGGTGAAACAAATGGTGGCAAAAGACGCTCGTGTACGGTTAACTGGCGAAGTCTTTCGGGCAATCAAACTTCTAAAACTGCACGCGTGGGAAGGAATCTACGAAAAACGAATATTTCGATTTCGTTCTGACGAGGTATTAAAATTGCCGTACTATCCACTAACAGCGATATGGTAGCTGGTTAATGCAGTTTATTCACAGTTTGCTTTTTTTAGTTGAAAACATTGCGATCGATAGCGTATCTTACCGCGTTCTCTACGTTTTATTCCATTATGTCACCTTTCATTGTGGCTTTAGCAACGTTTGCTTGCTACGTGTTGGCCGGCCATGTTCTGGACAGTGAAGAGGCGTTTGTTGCCATCGCTGTTTTTAACATCTTAAAAAACCCAATGAATATGCTCCCTCCTACTATTGGAAACGTCATTCAGGTAGTACGAGATCTTTTAACAGGATCATAGCTTTCTATGCAATAAAAATTCTCTGTATCTAACATACTCGTTCAACGCAAATTGCTCAAATTATTTATGACATGATACGTACTTTTAGGTCACTTTGCGTTTTCCCGCGTAGTTTATAAATACCAATTTTGATCTTTCAGCAAAGTTCATCGTTAACTATTTTTTGTACCCTAGGCAATGGTGGCGAAAACGCGCCTCACGAGTGCACTTAATGCTGACGAACCCAAACCTTACGTGTCCGGCGTAAGTACCGGCAAACAACAGCCCGCCAACTACAGTACAGCCGTCACAATTCGTAACGGTTATTTCGCATGGTCAGCCGAGCCTGGTCATGAGTGCTTGTCGAATATCAACCTGGAAATCCCAGCCGGCAAGCTAGTCGGTATTGTGGGCCAAGCCGGATCTGGTACATACATTTCCGCAACAAACAAACATTTCCTATGACGCAGCGATCTAAATTATAGGAAAAACCGCCCTATGTCGCGCCTTACTAGGACTGATGAATCGGCGATCGGGAACCGTTGAATCAGCGGTAAGACAATGTTATCTCATCCCAAGACGCGCTGGAAATTATTTTGCACATTTTTAACCGAATAATTATTGCGAAAACGCAACTGACGTTTAGTCCCACCTCGATTCTAACAACTGATCCGTATTATTCGTACAGCCTGGCGTTCTAGGCAATAAGGGAATCAAATTTACAACATGCACGAAGACCCATGCTACAATTTAAAATACTAGTAGCTATTACGAGTATGACAGCAAATTTTCCGACAAAACTGTTTTCCATAGGAATCAATTGCATACATGCCGCAACAAGCATGGCTGCAAAGCCGGTCAATCAAAGACAATATTTTATTTGGCCGGCCATTTCAAAAGTCTGCCTACCAAACCGTTGTGCAGGACTGCGCTCTTGAAGAGGATATTGAGTCATTCCAAGAACGGGATGAAACTGTGTTATCGGATCAAGGTTCAAATTTGAGCGGAGGACAACAGCAGCGGCTCTGTTTAGCGCGAACTGTTTACGGCCATGCAGAAGTAAGGCATAGGTATAGTACTTCTCAAAATAATATAATTACACCCTGCTCTATTTGTGTGCTTTCCAAAATTGCCTCAACAGTTAAAAATATTTTGTGTACTCTGTATGTAAAATTGACTCGTGTACTTCACACACAATGCATAATTAAGAATCTTTTAACTTCACACATAATCTTACACACGTACCTGCACAATAAAAATATATTTTGTGTCTTGATAAAACACGAAATTACGACCAGTATTAATGTTGCAGGTTTTTGTACTTGATGATCCTCTCAGCGCCTTGGACGCAAAAGTGTAAGCAAATCGAATAAATTCGGTAGACATATTATACCCGATCCCAAGGCATGATTTCGTACGCTCGCTTAGCGAGCACAAACGGATACAGATTTCGAGCACCCAGCGGATCGCTTGGCGAATACGCAAAACTGATTGATTCAAAATGGCTATAACTTTTTTCTGCCATTATGCACGACAACTTCTTTGGTATCAAAAATCTTCCCAAATGTTTCTTCACCTTTTGACGCTTTGGTTGATAGATCTCATGAATTAGATCCTGTTATAACAAAAGATTTCATCCAGAACCAGATCCTGTTAAAACAAGATCTGGTTCTGGATGAAGTCTACGAACTAATGCGTCAAAAGATGAGGAAAATTGTGGGAAGATTTTTGATACCAAAGAAGTTGTCGTGCATAATGGCAGAATAAAGTTATGGCCATTTTGAATCAAACAGTTTTGCGTATTCGCCAAGCGATCCGCTGGGTGCTCGAAATATGTATCCGTTTGCGCTCGCTAGGCGAGCGTACGAAATCATGCCTTGGGATCGGGTTAAACGATAAATCTCCGTGTATCGGCAGTGTCAGGTGATTGTGTTAGTGGAATATAACTGATGAACTTGCATTTCGCATTTACACAAGCATTTGCAAACACTTGTATCTACCTACATGTGCTGTAAAATAGTCACAAGTATAGAGTATACAAGTGTAGAATAGCCACAAATATAGCCTTTCGAATAACGCATATGGTGTATATTAATTTACAATTTATTTTGAGAATAATCTAATTTTTGCTCGGTACGATGTCATTATCTGATATATTTTTATGTAAATCACTCTTTGCTACACAGCTTTATGTAAAATTAATAACATTTTACAGCGCGAAGTATGTGTTCGAAAACGTTCTTGGACCAACGGGACTCTTAAAGGACAAAGTAAGGCACGTATACTGTGGTAGTATTAATGCTGTGTTTCGATCGCCATTTGATTTATGTGAGGCCAGTGTGGTTACTTTGCAGTAGCGAATTGCGAATAATTTGCGCGTTTATAACAGTTCTTTATTTTCGTGATCAGACGAGGATTGTCGTCATGAACGGTTACCACTTCCTCCCGTACATTGACCACTTGGTTGTTCTGGAAGATGGTCACATCTCCGAATCCGGCTCTTTCCAAGACCTCCTGCACTGCAACGGTCCCTTTGCCGAATTCATTCAGACCCATCTGCGCAATGAAATTGAAGCGCTGCACGTCAACCCGGCTTTGGATCCTGCGGAAGCCGATCACCGCAAGAAGACGCTGGACGAAGTGGTACAGAAGCTTCCCCGTAGTATGAAAACGTCCCTGCGCGAACACCGTCGCAGTCTGATCGCATCACGAAGGCCTCAGCGGTTAGCCTCGCAAATCTCCCGCGTAGACTCCCTAGAAGATCTTCACAGCCGGCTGAAACAGGTGCAACAAAAAGGGGACAAAGGGAGTAAGGGATCTGATGCGGGTCTTCAGGGAAAAGAAGGAAACGGTGTGAAACGGGCCAGTTGGCTGGTGTATTGGCAATTTATGCGCACGGTGACCTTACGAATAACCATGTTGATATTGCTGACCAATGCGGCATCCACGGCGTTTTCCGTATCGACGAGTATCTGGTTGAGTGAATGGGTGGAGGATAAAAATATTTCCCAAGCCAAAGCTGATGGACATCCTGACAATTATACCAGAAATTTGCGACTGGGAGTTTATGGAGCATTGGGCGCTTTGCAAGGTATGCACGAAGCTGCCAGTAAGAGTTTACTGATTTTTACTAACTAAATCGAATTCGAATCTGGGTTATCAAAATTATTGAGTATTCATGCAGTTATGTGAATGAACGTAGTGTATCTTCATCTATACTTTTGAACTGATCTTAAATATTCGGGTTGATTTTTGCAGGATTATTTTTCTTCATTTCGATGATGTGCTTGGCATTTGGCCTGACACTGGCTAGTCGAATACTGCATAATCGAATGCTGCGGCATCTAATTAAAGCGCCCATGTGGTTTTTCGACACTACGCCACTAGGCCGCATCACAAATCGATTTAGCAAGGACGTGGATACTGTCGATGTCAATGTTCCGCAAAGTCTCCGGCAGTGCTTGAATTCGCTGTTCAATATTTTAGGGACACTAGCAATTGTAGGTTTCGCAACTTGCTGCATATAAGTTACCAGTACCGATAAATTAAAATATCTATATAATATGATGTTTAAGTAATTTGCCGTGTCGTGACTTGATACACACTTATTTTCCGATTGCATTTTTAGCTGATTTATGCATACCCTCTCTTTTCGGCATTCATGGTCCCCATTGCCGTTGTGTATGTGATTTTGCAGGTATGAGGCACTTATTGCACTACAGAAGTGTACCGTCAGTATTCAGTGCTGTTTATTTTTTCATGACCTGTTGCATTTCCAAGGTGTTGGCATTTATATGTTCCTTTTTGCAGTACTTTTACATTACTACCAGTCGTCAACTGAAGCAACTGGAAGCCATATCCCGTTCCCCATTCTTTTCCCATTTCCAAGAAACGCTTAGTGGAGCCAGTGTGATTGATATTTTTAAACAACAAGACCGCTTTATTAAGGAGTTTGAGAATTTCCTGGATCTGAACAATGGCGTAGCATATCTCAGCTTGGTTGCTCAAAGGTCACCATCCATTTCCTAAATGTTTTGTATATACTTACCGATTTGTGTTTGGGTTGCAGGTGGTTATCACTAAGACTGGAACTAATTGGCTGTGTGATCATTTTTATCACCGCTGTGCTGGCTGTATACGGTCGCGATAACTGGGACATCCATCCTGGAATTGTTGGCTTATCTATAACATATGCCGTGCAGGTACGGGTTTTGTTTTGCGCTTGACTTATTACGTTTGATTCGGATTGAATAACATGCCGTCGTTGATGCATTGTTGCATTCCATGTTTCAGATTACGCAGGTGCTTAGTTGGTTTGTCCAAAAAGTTAGCGATATGGAAATAAGTTTTGTTAGCGTGGAAAGGATGAATGAGTACATTAAATGTCCTCAGGAGGTAAGTTTTTGGCTGTCAAAGAGGATTGGAAATTTCGAATGCCAGCTTCTTGTACAGCAAAATAAAACCGCCCCAACCAAATCACAAAAAAATTATTCAGTGCTTCTCGCTGGTGCAGTCCAAGATTAGGTAGATTTCTTTACGTGATTTCTATGTCCTGTAACACAGGCAGCTTGGATCATTCCCGATTCCCGTCCGCCTCCTGAATGGCCGGCATCGGGTGCAATTCAGTTTACCAACTACAAATGTCGGTATCGTCCCGGTCTGGATCTTGCATTAAAAGGATTATCCTGTGATATTCTTCCCAGTGAAAAGGTGCGGATAACAGCGCAAAAAAATGGCAGCCTAACAAAAATATTTTCGGTTATGCGATAGATAGGAATCGTTGGGAGAACCGGTGCCGGTAAAAGCTCATTGTCACTGGGTATCTTTCGCATCGTTGAACCCAGCGAAGGCTCCATTATCCTGGATGGTGTTGACGTTTCGAAGATCGGTCTGCATGACTTGCGATCCCGGTTAACAATAATACCACAGGTTCGTCATTTGTTGCATACAGGATGTTGCACTTCATCGGCACTTCAACAGGAAAATATAAATTTGTGGATGTGCCTATGTACTTCAGGATCCGCTATTACTCAGCGGATCATTGCGGGAAAATCTTGATCCGTCGGGAAAATGTTCGGATGATGCCGTGTGGCAAGCATTAGAAGCAGCGCACTTGAAACACTATGTACGAAGTCTGCAAGGCGGACTAATGCATCCTGTGAGCGAAGGAGGAAGTAATCTCAGGTATGCCGCTCCACTCGCATTAATACGTAAAAACCAAGTACCTGTATATATACGTTATTTTATTATATCTATATAATTTGTTGTAATTATGACCTTGCTGCACACTTCTAGCTCGGGACAACGGCAGCTGGTCTGCTTAGCCCGAGCGATTTTGCGAAAGACCAAAATCCTTATCCTTGACGAAGCCACCGCCTCGTTAGACGCGGAAACGGATGAGCTGCTCCAGAAAACTATTCATGATGAATTTAAGGACTGCACCATGCTGATCATCGCCCATCGACTACGCAGTGTGCTGGACTGTAACAGGTTAGCCGGCTAGAATCGTTTTTAAACAGAAACCACCTTTACGTGTTGGACAACACCTTCAAATGACCATCCGAGTTGCACGCCTTGCGGCACAAAATTTTCTTACTTGAATATAACTGGATTTTCTCATGTCAGGGTAATGGTTCTGGATCGAGGGCGAATTCAAGAGTTCGATTCACCGGATACGTTACTCAAAACATCGAATTCAACATTTTATAGTCTCGCAATGGATGCCAACATCATTCCCAGTTCCGATCACTTGTCAGCACTCGGAGAATCCAGTATGAGTAGCTCGGAGAGTGACCGGAGTGTCAGTAACAGCAAAAGTCCGTCGTCTACCACTATCAGTGCGGCTGATTCCAATTCCTGATTTTTTAAAATAGTCAACTGATTTTTTTAAAATAGTCAGCGTCTTATTTTTACGAAGTCCCATTTCGCAATTTGACTGAAGATTTTGTAACAGCGATCCCGGTGTTTGAGATAGAAGTATTGTAAGGTGATAAACTATGAAATCGTAAACGCCTGGGTCCTGGGGATACATTCAGGGATTAGAGCAGCAAATTTTGTATAAAGTATCTGCTGTAGACTTGTAGGTAGTTAAACTGATCGTAAGTATACGTCCATTAAACCGTGAAGTTACGAAACTATAACAAACAACTCTCAAGGCAACTTCAATTTAACCCAGCTTTATTTGGATGTTATCGGCATATATTTCCATTTCTAGAGAACACTGATCGTCCGAAAACAGTTTACGAAATTCCAGACCAAGTTGCACTTAAACCAATATTTCACATTACTGACGAGGTGCTCCACGACCAAATCCAGAAAACCGACTCTGTTGTCCTCCTCGCTGCAAACAAAACCCATGAAAACAGTGCACTAGACCAATACAACCGAAAATTTTCTTATTCCAAATTATTAAGCGAAATAATTTCGGTTTCGCAGAAAATACCTAACGCCACTGTACAAAAACGACGACACTGCCGGAGTCGGGGACTTTCCGCATAAATTTATATACTATAATTCAATAACACTGCACTCCTGCCAAACGGCAGAACGAAGGCTGCAACAGTAGAACAAATATGAGAACTTACGAATTCCATTTCTTGTCCTGGTCCGAGCTCTCCCTTCTTTTCGGCGGCCTTGCGGTATTCGCCACGATCTCCGTAGCCTTGGCCCTCGCGATAATCCTGACGCGGCGCCGGACGGGGTCTTCTGGCGTCCGTTTGGGGTTTTTGCTTCATGGTCGCGGGAACGATCTCGCCCGGCAGATGCAAATAATCACGGAGATAATCGAGTCCCTGGTTGGTAAGGTAGAAATAATGATGGCGCCAGGCGAACTGTTCCTTCACATGTCCTTTACTTTTAAGACTCTGCAAACGCAATGCAAAAGCGTTATTTCCATGAAAAGGCGATCATAATCGCATTCCCGCACGGTCCGTACCTGAAGGAGTTTCATAACGTGCAGATTGGGGACGTTCTGAATGTTTGGGTGCTTGGCCAGATGTACATCCTTCTTCGCAACCAGAACACCTTCACTGAACAGATATTCAAGGATCAACTTTTCGTGCTTCTTGGGCATCAACATTCTGCAACATAAAAGATTCAATTTTGCTGGGAATCACGGGTAATACTGAGGTATTTTCGGGAAACCGAAAACCACGGGTTTTTGCAGTCCGGTATCGCATAGGCTACGAATGCGGATATCTGGAAACTTACTTTGAGGAATGACGTAAAACGATGGACTATAAAATAACACAAAATAGAGGGTGGAAACCCGCGGATGAAGAGGAAGATAACCACTTAAAAAACGCGAGAATCCCAGAGTTGTCTGCAAATTTCTTTTGCCAAGCGCACTAACCGGGTCCTAATGAAAGTGGGTACCTCGTCGTGTGTGCAAGAATGTAGTGATGGACTAATGGTTTTATAGCGAATGTACCAAGTGAACACAAGCACAGTAATACACTCGAAATGCCACGTGATTAACTAGCGTGCTTAAATGCGCCACCTATGCATCACTGGATTTTGCATTGCGTTTTGCATTTGAATGTTTTTGAACGAAATGATAAATCGTCCAAATTTATAAATAAAATTCGAAGCATTTGCATCTACGATTTTCAGTTTGCTTTTAGAAAGTGCATCCCTTTTGGCTTTTTGGGAACAATTTTGTAATTTGCGATAACGGCACAGATATTGGAAATCTGATCTGGAACACCACAAAACTGCGATTTAACATGCTAGTGTCAAAGCAGCGCTGCATCCACGAATTCGGCAGTATTGCGCTTTTTGCGGCTGTCATCCGATGGATAATTTCTCTTCATCCGTACTCAGGTAGAAAATAATATAATGTGCCAAGATTTTCAAAATTTAAATTTTTCACGGGTTTTAGGGCAAGGTAAACCGCCCTTGCACGGAGATTTCGAGGCGCAGAGGCACTGGATGGAAATTACCTACAATCTGCCTGCTGCGGAATGGTACTGTTAATGAGTTACTTAATTGAATTATTTACATTTATTATAAGTAAATGCTTTATTAAACGTTTCTCTTTATCTCGTTTAGAATTTAATTTGTAAAAGGTTTGCATGAATTACTGGTTTATTGGCAGGTACCATAACACAAGCAACAACGATCTGAATTACTGGGGTTTGGATTACCCACCATTAACGGCTTATCACAGCTGGATATGTGGCTTTATGTGAGTGCAGTGGACTTGCGTTTTCCGCATTTTTAGGTTTGTCGGATTTTGCACTTCTTCATTTTTTACCCTGGTTGGGAATCCCGCCAAACGTTACCACGCCCGTACATATTACGTTTATTAACTGCGGAATTCTTTTTCGGTTTAAATCGGTGTTTTTTCTGTCGTGCTTTTGTTTTACGATTTTCACCTGCGCCGAATTCATGCAGCTAAGTTCAGGTTATTTGTAGCGCCAGCTTAATTAATCCTTCATGGGTGGCACTACCGGAATCTCGGGGAATCGAAACGGAATCCCATAAGTTGTTTATGCGCACAACCGGTAACTGGCATATCATATAAAAATAATCCACAATGACTTTGTTTGTCACACTTGCTTATGTCCTGCGATTTTAGCTATCGTAGCCGACATTCTGATATATTTTCCGGCTATATTCGCCCTTGTATACCAGAGGCGCACCGTGCACGGTGGATTTCCGTACATTCTTCGTATTTGCGCGGAAGCCTGTGTGGCACTTTTAGCACCTCCACAGATTTTAATTGACCACGGACATTTCCAGTACGTGGTACAACGTGCCGTAATCTGGCAGTTTAATTTTGACATTCATAGTTCTTATGTTATTACTGTTAGATTATTGGTTCCCAACAATCTGTTATTTAACTTTTGCTTGTACATATGGTTTTTGTGTTTCCGTATTAACAAAATTTTAGTCTTGTTTAATAATCCGGTTTTTGCAGGTATAACTGCATTAGCTTGGGTTTAACCGCTTGGGCGATTTTCGCCATCAACCGTCGTCAGGATGTCGTGGCTGCCGTTCTGTTTTCGTTGGCCTTGAACTATAAACAGATGTGTCTATATTTGGCATTTCCATTTTTCTTTTACCTTTTGGGAAAATGTTGGCAGCTTCCTCTGGGCAACGGGTTAGTGAAAACTTCTAGAAAACCATTTGTTGAATCTGTCTTACTATTAGAATGATACCCTTTGCAAAAGTGATACCCTTAATTTTTTGCGCAGGTTGAGAAAACTGGCGGCGATTGGATCAGCAGTAATAGTCACTTTCATCGTATGCTGGCTTCCGTTTCTCACCTCCTTGAACGATGCTGGCCAAGTGTTGCATCGGCTGTTTCCCTTTGCGCGAGGAATATTCGAAGACAAGGTGGCCAATATTTGGTGTGCTCTGAACATCCTTATCAAATTGCGGTCGTGGAATATTAGCACTCTGGCTACCGCGAGGTAAGTATATCTGCGTTTACCATCTGCAGATGTTGATTTTATAAGGCGAAAATGATGGCTATTGCGTTGCTATACTGTATGTACGATTATGTAGTATATAGACATCAAATAGTATATAGACATCAAATTTGGATTCTCATATTGTACTTGTATTGACCATAATGTACGCCAGAGAAAATTATGTTGGGTTTATTTGGTTGCAGCTCCATAATCACTTTGGCCTTGTGTTCCATTTCCTGCTGCGACCTTTTCCGAAAACCAAATGAGCAGAAATTCAAGTACTGCTTGGTAAGTCTCTTTTAGATTGGCTGCGTTATTTACTCCACGCCCGTACCTAAACCAGTTCCTCATATTCCGGCATATGGTTTGCTTTTGTTTTCCAGTTGAACTGTGGACTTCTGTTCTTCCTGTTCTCGTTCCAAGTCCATGAAAAGGGAATTTTGTTGGCAGCACTGTATGTATTAACGAATTTTCATGGTAACTAAAAGTGCGGCAGAGTTCAGAAATGAACTGCGGAGTGCTGACTTACCGTTAGAAGCAATAATGCTAGCTGGCATTTAGCCGGAAGCTTCAGTCAGTTTAATTACGAAATTTTTCTGTTATAGTTTAGCGTGTTTTTCTTCTTCAAATTTGTGTATTGTGGCCTTGATTTGACCAATAAAGTATGAAAATTACGAGTACATAAGAAGCACTGGATACTGATTTACTAATAAATAGTAAATATTAACCGCGTCGCTAATAGCGCAACAATAATATGTTTGCAATGTCTTTTTTGGTTAAATCCGATGGTACCTGTGTGCCGGGATAATGGAAACTGATTTTCTGTTAAATATTTCAGGCCGGCAACTTTGCTGCTGTCGGACGATGGATTAGCGTGTACATGGTTCATTGCGGCAGCGACCTTTAGCATGTTTCCCCTTTTGCTGAAAGATGGTTTAGCCATTCCTTGTTTTGCTACAGTGATATTGTTTATGGCCTTCAGCTATGCATTTATTCTCTGGAAGTTCAAGGAGCCGGAAGATAGGGATCGCGATGAGACGGAAGCAATCCAGTATGATTTATTTACGGCTCTAGTAAGTCACGGTTACAGTAACCAACAACAGTAATGAGGAAAATACTTCGGCACTTTGTTTTATAAATTTTGCGGTCGATAAATTTTAAGGCTCTGTTTGTCGGTACAGATAAATTCGATTAAATACTGTATACGAGTATCACCGACCAAGAGCGCCAGTATTTGACACTAGTTGTGTATGCCGTTTTTTTAATAACTGAAAATTGGTTTTTACTTTTTTCAGCCGATAATTCGAGTGCTTTTCTTTTAATGCGTTGAATTTAGAATTTTTGCCTGTTGCAGATGGTATTGTCTCTGTCCGGATTTGCTGGTTTATCGCTAGCATGTGAATTCGCACCAGTTTATCCTCGGCTGCCCGATCTCTGGCCACTCTTGCTCAGTGTGTATGCTTGTGGACATTTTATATTGTTTGCCATCTATTTCCATCTTCGTCAGTTTTCGGCTGAGCCTTTGAAAGTTGGAAGGAAGCTTGCCAAAAAAGAATAGATGGACTGTAAAATTAATTTATATAATTTTCGCATGTTCGCAAGTTGTGTACTTCTGCTGATATTTAGGAACGCACCTGAGAGAGAATTAACTTGGAGTATTGGAAACAGTTTTATTAGTTTGTTTTTAAGTTGTAACAGATTTTAATCGTTTGAATGTTATCGTTGCAAGTATGCCATTGTGTTAATGCGAATCGTGTTGGCGGAAACAGTTAGACGAATGGGATATGACATGTTGTTGTTCTTACTTGTCAATTAAAATCACAATCATAAAGATTTCATGGGAATGCTGCTAATTGTAGACCAAATACAAAGCAGGGAACGGCAAATGCTTGCATGCTATAGAAAAGAGCATGCCGGCCCCGAAATTGAAGACAATAAAAAACAGCATCAAGACTTGGCATAAAAATTAAAGCTAGGGAAATTATTTCGTTTTCTTGTCAGAAATACTGCGAAAGAGATTCATCACTTCATTCTCAAAGCGACTAAAGACCAGATTTCCCTTTTCATCGAAAAATTCAGCAACGGATTTCTTCAGTTCCTGTTCCTTGTCGGGTTGTTTTGCTCCTTCTGTCTGGCGCATCAACTTCAAGGTATACATATGGTCGTATCTGCAAAACCAAACAAAACACTGAATTACAACACGTTCATTACTGCAGGGTAAAGCACAAGGACAAATTAAAGATTTTGGACAAAAACATCGCTAGTTCTGCACGAGTACAGTAGCTCAGTAACTTTAGTGCACCGTGCATGCAAACGTATGAAAGTCTCACAGAGACTATTAAAAACGTACTAGTAGTACTTGTATCATATTTAGCACTCCAATCATCTAGTTCAACATGTATTTTATTTATTTTCATCTCTCACCTGGGCGACATCGGTCCTCATAATTATTCAACGAAAATGGATGGCAAATAAATTTTTTCAATAGTACAAATAGAAATAAATTAAAATTTCCTTAGTTAATCAAGTTTGTGCAAGTGCGATTATTTTCAGAGCTTCAAAAACCGGTGAAGTGGTTAACCCCGTCAAACCTTGCACTGCAGATTATTATTAACCATTAATCCATTATTATACCTAACGGTAAGAAGCCAAGTGACAATTAACACGTACACAAAAAACACATATCCCGGTCATACTCACGCATACTTTTTCAAGTTGGACGTGGCCTTCCAGATGTTCTTGCCCTCCTTGAACACCAAAAACACTCCCTTTTCGACGCACCACAAATACAGTGTCAGACAGCCAACGGTGATAAAATACGAGATGGAACAGAACGCCAAGACCCATTTGGATGCTGGGAAAGGGAAGAGATAATCATAACCCAGAGCAATCAGCGAGAAAGCCACGGAGATCGTGCTAATAACCAGCCGTCCATCCATAATGGCATAATCCTCCGCAAAGTGCTGCTTATTTTCATCGGTGAAAATCTACACAAACGCAACCACAATAAAGCCAGGTTGCGTATTTCAAAAATACTGAGTACAGAGTTCCCATTCCCAAACGTAAATTACCTTTCGCACAGCATCATCTAAAGCGTTTTTCACCGCGTTTCCGTCCCATTTGTCGATTTTCACGGGCTTTTCGACAACCTAAAAATTACAGCTTGTATTTCTCATTCTCCGAGAGACTTCACAGAACCACAGCGACAAATAGGTACTGACGATGAGAATTGTGATAGTGCGATTTGCAAAAAAAAGGTTCTTCTCACCGAAACATCACTTCCACTTGTATCAGGCATTCTCGTACCCCTATAAGGTTTTATCAAGGGATCGTCTAGAATATTTTCACACGCAATCACAAAAATTCTAGGAACTGCTACGTGAGACCAAATGATAAACTTTCGAACCAGATTTTCACTTAAAAAAAACTGAAAATGATTTTCAGAAAATCTTTTCGAAGCCGAGATCACAGCATCTTGAACTTAAAGCGTCATCTAACATAGGCTTGTAAAGCAGAAGTTGTTGGTCCAATAACGAATCGCGACGTCATGACTCCGCCCTAGGCCGAAGTGGCATATTGCGCCAGTTTTAATGCAGGAGTACTACTGTACATACCAATTATTTTTCAGTACGTTTTTATTTGTGTGTTTTAGTAACAATTCCGGTTTCACCTGGTACGGAAGAAATCTAATTTTCTTATCATCCTATGTGAGCAGATTTTACAAACTTGCTGCACTACACCGTGCAGTTCCGAAAACTGCACTCCAGCACGCATGGTTTATCACCGGAAGTTCCTGCACTGCATTTTCACATTCACAGATCACAAGTTTTTAACCGTAAGCACTGACAGTATAACGGAATGTAGTTACTCGAACATTTTTCCCACTTCTATCACCATCAACTATCAAGGCCCCCACATCAGCGCATGTCCAGTAAGACCCGTATGGATGCCACGATATACCCATTTTCGGCATAATCCCAGAACGAACAAAAGTGCGCACATTCATGATCCAGGTCACGCCGAGGTCAGACCGACGGAAGCCGGTCGAAGTTGATAACATCCTCCACTTCGACGGTTGTCCTCCGGAAGCCTCTTTCAGCTAAGATTTCCTTCACTGCCCAGATCAGCGCATCCTTGTCGGCGCGCGATACGGTATGGTGCACTTCCAGTCGTAAAGATGCCACAAAGAACATACTGTGCAATGCCCAAAAACTGGGTTCTTTTACTCGCAATACATTGGGAAGTTGCGCGATCTACAATCAAAAACGGTTGCTGGAACAGACAGCATTTGACTTTACACCGGTATTCAGTTACAATTAGCAAAGTACACAGTAAAATACCCGAGTACTTTTGTTTACGAAGTCGACTAAGTGTTCGTACATTTTGCTTAAAACCGGCAAAATATTTCACACTTTTTTCTCAGCTGAGCTCAAATATTTAACGCTCTGAAACTTCTGAAAAGATTTTCTAACAACACTGCGCTAACCTTTTCAATATACATTGGTAATAAATCGTCCAGTTCCCTCGGTGACCTTTGCATAAGCACATCGATGGCATCTCGGAGGACAGGTATTATCCTAATTAACCGAAGTTTTCTCAGCGAGATTTAAGAAAAGCTCCTTAAATCAGTACAACATAACGCATTTTATGAAAAATCTGACTTTCGCACAAGCATATTACCCGCAAAAGATGAGAAGAGAAATGACCAATGCACAGATCGGATCCGATATATACCAGCCGTACTTATCAATCAGGAGGGATGATATTAGCACTCCAATGGAGCCCAGAGCGTCGGATATGACGTGCAAGAGTATGCCTTTAACGATATACATAGAAACTTAAAAGTTATTTTCTAAATAAAATATAGTTTCAATGGAACCGTTAAAATACCGATCATAATCCTCTACTCTGATCATTAACATCATAGAAAGAAGTCGTGTTCCGTATGTTTTGCTGTCGCAGGTCATAAGTAGCTTGCGGTGATAAGGAATGTCTGCGTAGTCGGCGCTGCGGAGTATCTAAAGTTGTGAAGATAGTTCGGATTTCGGATCATTTTCCCAAATTCACAAGCCAAGCAGTTCTTAATTAAGAACATATTTCATATTTACAAAAATTTTCTCGATATAGTTTTTTGGTTAAATTATAATGCGCTTTTTTGGAACTCGTATGAGCGCTAAAAGCCAGTTACACAATCAAACGGTTCAAACCTGCTTTCTCTCTAATTACTGTAGAATAATAACGTGCACTTACTACTGTAAACGATTATAATCCCAAGAAAATTGACACATAACCCAGCCACACTTATATATAGCAGTCCATCTGATTTCACAACCGGAACAGCCTGGATACGCTATAAATACAACAGAAAAACAATGCCATAGACATCGATAGATATTCCTGTGCAATTTGTCAACAATGATAACTTAGGTATACGGTGCCATGCACAGACAACTATTCCAACATATGTATTTTCCATATTAAGTTTATATTAAACAGGAGATCAACGAAAAATGTTTAGATCGTCAGATAATATTCCAGTCATTTGAAAAATTATTTTGCCACAATCATCCTCACCTTGAAGGCTTCAAAACTTAAAAGAAAACCCACAAACAACAAACACACGGCGTTCACCAATCCGGCAATTGTGTCAACTCTTCCATAGCTACAAAATAAAGCGCATTAACCGTAGGCGAAAAAAACTCATAAGTTGCAGTATTTCTATACAAGGCCAACCTAAATGTTAGTGTTATTAATTTTAGAATAGAAATAAAATGCATATGAAATAAAATGCATAAAATGCATATTAATATTAATAAAATGCAAACTTACATTTATGTAAATTACAGTTACCAACCCTTTTAGTCTTACGCTGTTATCGTACTTTGTATATTTCTTACAAATCTTACCCATACGTATATTGGATATTTGGCCTCCACTGAGCTCGAATTATGGCAGCAGCACAGATACCAATAAAAAGTCCCGTGCAATCAAAAAACATATGAAACGAATCCGAAATTAAGCTCAAACTGTTCGTTAAGATCCCATATGACAATTCAATAAAGGCAAACGTCAGACTGATAATAAAATAGAAGAACAATATACAAGAACCTACACCAGAGCATAGAGCTTTCAGTAAACTAACCATTGCACTGGAAAAGTTTATGCTCGGCGATCATCAGACATTTGCCCATGATTTGCTCAAAATTGATACACATTCAGTAAAGTAATGGGCATTCGTCGAGCCATATGTTTCCACTCCCAACACATTGCAGTACTATCGCTTCCCTGCTAATATTTTCTGTGGTCAGTGTAGTCGGTTACCAAGGAAACATCAGGCTCGTCTCGTCAGGTTTTCTTGTTCTAAATTTCTTCAAACAGCTCTTCTTCACAAAGCCTGCGTATTACATAAATATCAGTGTTATTATAAAATGGACCGCCACAGCATAAACAAACTCATAAAAAGTCTTGCAAAAATTAATCTAAAAGCCATCCATCCGTATTTCGTAAGTCATTTTGCCTGAGTACAAAAGAGAACGTAAAAACATGAAAAGCCATAGTTTCACTTTTAGCATACCTCTACGATGACGGTATATTAGAAAGATAGTAAACACCGGTTAGGAATGCAGAACACAATTCACATGTTAGGAAACTCCAACTGGATATACATATCTCGTAATCCCGCCGATAAAAATATATTCTTTGCCGCAGAAAGTATGTAACGTGGATCGGATTGAGTGGACACTTCCAGTTTTATATTGCCAACATAATGATTACTGCACAGCGTCCAGAAATGAGGCTCCTGGCACGATAGAACGCCAGGAAGTGACCCGACCTAATGAATAGTGATGGGTTAATTATGCAATATACAGCAGCAGTTGAATAAGTTTTTCATTATATATTTTTCATTACTTTGTAAAGACATTCGGGCAAGACATCGTCCAACGAATGGGGAGTTCTCTGCATCAATATGCAGATAGAATCTTTTAATAAAGGTATCACGCTGAAAAGAAAAATCATTCCAGTACTTGCTTACAAATAACGTAAACAGAATGACTCCGCCTTACCTAACAAAAATAAGACAAGCTATGCACATTGAGCATATGGGATCAGCAATCATCCAACCGAATGTTTTTATCAGAATTGACGAGATTATAACTCCTACTGAGCCAAGAGCATCGGCCAAGATGTGCAAGAAGACACCTAAATCAAGGAAATATCTGTTAAGTGCAGCACATCGTAAAACGAAATAAACAATCTAATTAAAGCTAAGTTATTCACCCACACTAATGGTAAGAGTGGGCACCACTCACAGAAAGACATATCAAAGGAAAAACCTCTGCTAGTTCTGCTGACAGAAACATTAGAATCGTTTCTGAACTGCCCCCTAGCGGTAACAAAACAAATTACTAATAACGTTTTGTGCTTTAATACTATTTACTAAAAATGCAAAATAACGAGGCTCTCATATTTATCTTCTTAGCAATGCAAGCCTTTTCAATAATTATGCAATTTAAAAAGCAAAAAATATTGATTAAATCACCAGATCACGGTCAGTTCCCACTTCCCAGTAAAGTCAAGCAAAAATCGAACTACTACTGTAAGTATGAGTAGTGTATCCCTACATACCCTGCATGATTTGACTGCGGGGCGCGTTCTTATCCCCTCCATGACTATGCGAATGTCCATGGCTATGGCCGGCGTGATCGTGCTGATGGTCGTGATGGTCATGTCCGTAATGAAAATGGTTATGTCCCGAATGATCGTGTCCATGATCGTGTGAGCAACTACCACCGTGGTCGTGATTATGCGAGGATACGGCAGGAGCGCTGTGGCTGTGCGAATGACCAGGTCCATGCGAATGTCCTAAACAGGCGAAACTGCTGCGTAATACTTCCTTCTACAGTGCAATTAAAACAGGGAAATGTCAAGTGCTTACCATGCGAACATCCTTGAGACGGATCATGGCCGTGATTGAAGACGAATATCCCGACAAGGTTAACAATGAAACCAGCAACGGATACCAGTAATAAACGTTCATGATGAATTTCCGGAGTTTCAACAAATCTCTGCAACACAGTAATCAACATACGTAGTACCGGAATGCGAACATGGCGCTAAATATCGCTGTATTTTCTGCGTACCTCGATGGCTTCGTTAAAGATAAAAAACGCAATAAATAATAAAAACAGTCCATTGACGAAACCGGCTAAAGTTTCGGCACGGACGTAACCATAGGAGAATTTGTTGGTAGCTCTCCATTTAGTGATAATGGAAGCAACTAATCCAGCCAACAGAGCCGTGCAGTCGAAGAACATATGGAACGAATCGGATATCAATCCCAAGCTAAAAAACGAACGTCACCAGTCAGCATGACCAAATTCTCACATATGACATCGACCCAACTTTTCCAATTCACGTAGCCGCTTTTTACATACAACGTGTGTATATTTTACCTGTTCGACCAAATCCCGTAAAAGAGCTCCACGAAGGCGAATGATAAATTCAAGCAGAGGAAGAAGAATATATTTCGCGAGCCAGCATCGGATAAGATCAATCTGAAAGCAATCCTTATGTATTTCGTAAAGTAATTAGCTTAGACTTCTTTGATTTGGAAGAATGCACAAAAACACATGCAACGTAAACAATTTTCAAATTTAACTCACAATTAGTTACCGTACTCGCAAAGTAGAATCACTTGGAACACGGTATGTTCTTCTCAACTCGAGTATACTGGATCCGCGATCACCGTTCTTACCTGACGTAGCCCGTGATTTTCTCTGTTATTTTCCGCTTCAAACTTGGACTGTAATAAGCGTCGGCTCGGCGATCGGGCAGAAGTCTTTGTGTGGAACCAGCATCATGAAAGTTGATGACAGCTTCAGTTCCCCTCATTGTAATTCAGGAAAGAAACCAGCACGAACGGAAGGACGGCTCAATGGGATCTTCGAGTGCTGTGCAGATGGTTTTCAATTTCAACGAAACAAAATTAACGAACCATGGATGGACTGATTCATAAAATCCCGGATGTGACAGTTCCCGTAAACAGCAAACCAAAATGGCAGCTACTGACTGTGAGAAAGTTATAGGATCCGAATTAATAATAATAATAAGTAATCATAAAATATTATGAAGTACTACGAGTAGTAATTTTACAATGCAACAGATGTATTGCAGAATTTTTCACAGTGATCCCCACCACCTTCAATAGCTAAAGCATAAATATCACTGACTTGGATAAAATTATAAACCCATCGGGAATCGAACAAATTCGTGAACTGCTTAAAATTTTGAAAAATGTGCACGAGTAGCAAAAATTTTGGAAAAATTCAAAATGCACATCAAAATGCTGAGGTGATAAAAAACTCCAACTAGTTGACGTGGCCCAAAGACATTCAAAATACGGTGTTGGTCACGTGGTTTACTAGCACTGCAGCAAGGCTTTTGAGTGCACGTGGGATAAATCTTGAGCACCTGTCTTTTATCCATCTCTGTTCGTATTAAACCGGACGTTGGTTATTTAAGGTTTTTTTTGTTATTTTTATTGCACGTGGAAGTTTTCGATATCTTCATGAATTTTGACCTTCCGTTTATGTTATTCTAACGGTCAAACATCTATTTCTTTCAGAAATTTTGTCGAAAGCACTTCACATATGTCTAACTATAAACAGTTACTGAATAAAATGCGTGCTTTTCGCGATCGATCCCAAGGTCCGAAAGGGACTAGCACCTCCAAGGAATCGCTGCCGCGCGGAAGTGCAGGATCCATCGTTTCAAGCGTTTACGGTAATTGTCTCCGGCGTTAATCGCCGATGGAGCTTGAATTCAATACACTTAATTAAAAGTTTAAAACTAATACAAACGATTATCAGCAGCTGCAGTACTAAACCTTTTGCATTGACCTGTTTGTACGAGCATTGTTATTGCAGAATTCGACGACAGTGACACCGAGATGCCTGCATCAGCTGCAAAGAGTGCATCCGCCGCTGTTCCACCTCCTCATTCTTCTGCTTCTGCTGCACCGTCAAAAGTGAACAATGCTACAGCTCCGCGTGCCCCTCAAACCACGAAGAAAGCAGCGCCTTTTGGAACCACCAGTTCTCACGCTGCCTCAAAAACGACGACAGCGCCTGTCTGCAACGCCCGTGAGCAGGCGTCGAACAGAACGACAGCTTTTTCGCCGTTAACGCTGTCGGCCAAGGGATCGACAACTAGCGCTTTGCAAGCCCTTGTGACCTATCTGGGAGCGCAGCCGACGACTAGTCAACGCGTGAAGGGTTTGGAAGAGCAGCTGGCGGAATTGACCAACGAGGAAAACCTGTATCAGGCCGCTAAGAAGGATTTATTTACCGTGGCAGGGGACATTGTCAAAGAGTACAAGAAAATGGACGAGAACGCGAAGCGCTTCAAGTGTTCAGTGGCCGCACAAAACCGCGAGGCGTTTGCTGTTGCCAGCGTGGATGTTTTGGATCTGGGAAAGGCACTGCAAGCCCATCGTCATCGTGCGCTGCAGAAGCGGAAACGACTGGAAGAGGAGTTGCGGACGGAGAAAGCTAAACCCGGTAGTATTCGCAAATGAGAAATGTATAGAACGCAATCATAGATTCATAATGTGCGTGCTGCGTACGAGCACGTACAGATACAGTCCCAAATGTCCTGACCACCCAACTGATTTGTTCCAGCATTTCTTTTCATCTGAAGATTTGTTTCTTGTTCTTTACTACGCCGGACGCTTATTTGATTCGGGTGAATTTTTTTCTGTTTCGATTTCTGATTAGTTTTCACTGTTAGTGCTCACACATTTTAGTGGTGGGTTATGTTTCTGGTTAAGCTGTGCACTTGATTATCTGCAGTGTTTACCAGCTTATTGATACTGAATAATAATAATTATTACTATTTCCATAATTGTTCTACAGAGTATACCTGAATAAGTTTAAGCCAAGTATTAGTAATTACTCAAGTAATACAATACATAGGCACGATTCAGCCACAGTACTAGTACGTATATCACTGACCACTTTTACCACAGGCTGTGGTCTGGACCATGCAGTCCGGTAGTTTTCTCCCGAAAATACTGCTGAAACAGTCTTGCGTGACTCGGCGGCGCGACCTTATTTTCATATCATTAATTTTGTCACATGGCGTTTGCGAACATGCACTCATGCAGTACTAAAGGGCACAGTAGCAAAAAGTGGGTTTAGAAAACAGAAATTGCTTAAATACGATGGCTACACAGTGGACAGGTGGATTGACGTGTTTTCACTCCCTGATTTGGCCCCGCTACAATGGCATGACGCGCTTTTCTCTGGTCTCTGGCACACTTTGTGGTCCGGTAACGGGTAGACCGTAGTATGTGTAGAAAGATGAGAATCATGACAGCGAGTTGTTAAACTTCGTGTTGCTTTTTTATCTCTCTCATAAATTATTAAGGGGCCAGTCTCGTTAATTTTTTTAGGATATATTCGCTGGATAGTGGAAAGTCATGAATTCGCACTTTTGATCGGAATTGCTAACAAAGCCCGTATTTGAATGAAGAAGCGATAACGTAGCACGTTGAATCCGCAATGCTGTCTTGCAGATTGTTTTATCGTGAACGGTGAATAATTGAATATTGTTATTTTGTCTGCCGTGCGCTATTCCATGGTGGATTTTCCTTTAAACTGAGTGTTCAAATTTTCGCAAATTCTTGTTCTTCTTATTTTCGCCGTTATGATAACTTGAGTCAGCGGTACATCATCAGTTTCATTCAACGATGGCGAAACTTAGCGGAGTGGAGATCATCATTATCATTGGCGTGGGATTCGCCGTCTTCGTCATCCTCTTCATCGTTGCTCACCGTCAGATCGCTCGTTTCAAAGTGCGTGATCTCCTCTCGAAGCCCCTTCTTAAATGCTCCCAATTCGGGGCCTCTCCTTCCTATGTGGCGCAGATTCAGCGCAAAGTCGCTGAAGTTCTGGATATCGACGTCCAGCCACAAATGTGGGACGATCACTGGGTGCGCTTCTTCAACAACCAGACCGTCCCCAACTACGTCTACCGTGCGAAAGCGCTGGATTTCTGTGTACTGCTAAAAATCGAACTTTTAAAATTCGGTCCCCAGTTTTCCTGGACGGCCTTCGAGGATCTGGGCGAATATTTTGACCGTCTGAAGACGGAATACCCCATCGATCGGATCCCCGTGGAGGTGACCATGGAGTTTGTGCAGCTATATCGCCGTTGTCGCTGGGATGATGCGGAATTCGGTGAGCGCGAATACATCCGCATGCACAAGTATGTAACGGATATTCTGGAGCTGCTAGAGAATCTGCGCCTGACCGCGGCGCCCTCCGATCGCTCCTTGAATATTTCCCGTCGCTCCAGTGATTCCGAACGGATAGAGTCGAAGGAATCACGCATGAAAGACAAATCCGCGGGGAAGAAATTCCCGAAAGGCTACGAGCCGTTGGATAGTGATGGGAGTACGGCAGGATCATTACTGACTAAACGGGGAGCGAAACCCTTTTCCAAATTTAAGAAGGCCGCGACGGGAAATCGGAAAGGAAAGGCTGTGAAACTGGAGGAGAATGCCTGGGAAGAGCAGATCCCGTTGCATACGTTTCATGATAATCCGTTAACCTAATGCAACCGGCGCCCAGTGTTTCTCACAAATCTCTATTTCTGTTGTGAACCTCTTGTTTTGTTTTGGATTTTTACTTTTGCAAATTGGCAAATTTCCTGGAATTGACTCGTTCGAGTTTTGTTTGATGGTTTTTTAAACTGCATGTTTTCTGCTTTGAGTTTATTTCGCTTTTGTTTTAAATTACCTTGTATTTATTCACTATTTAACCAGTGTGAACAAAATAGTGTTATACAACCCATTCGAACAATTTTCTGGTTCAAATTCGGTGCTGTATTAAGAACTTACGATTTGTACGATCTCGTATATTCTGTTAGGCAGCGCGTATGTACTGTAATTTTTAGTTGCAATTTAATAAGTACCATTAACTTCCGCGAATTATAACAATGCCAATAATAAATTATAATAATTATTTGTTAACACAGTACCATCATCGCTACTTATGCTGCCCGTTTCTGAACGGCAAATTTTTCCAAATCTAAAACATTTGTGAATTAAGTACATAATTAATTACGGATGAGACATCGTCTCACCGTGATTTTAAAAGTTTCCGGTAGCTTCGCTTTGGCTGTATAATAGTAGTCGTCTGTGACTCTGTATAGTGGCGATGGTGTGCACCGCCGCTTGTCGTTTCCGGTGTGAAAGAAATGAGTAGCGCGCGATCGACGTCTGCTGTGGGATCTGGACGTGTTTGATTAAAATTGTGCCTTTTATTTGCAGCGACGGTCAGTTACCTGCACCACTGTTGAGCCCAAGTAGACGTGGAACCCGTCTCGTTGAACTGTATTGTCCGGTGTCCGTTTGGTCTTTTACCCTGCATCGTGCTGCATGCACTCCTCGTAATACCGAATGCATTCAATGCACTGTCGCACTGTGTACCTGAAAATGCCGTGTAGTGTGTACCGACTACCAAGTGTCCCGACTACCGACATTAGGGGCACCTGATCATGACGGTAACTTAAATCAAGCCTATTATTCATTTGTCTTAACTTTTAAGATGCAACTAACAATGCTATACTTAAGATCTGATTGATGGACAACTTCAAAAACATGACTTTTTATCCGAACAGCTACAGAAAATTGAAGTGAGCCGGATGACAAATGTGACGGCCACATTGATCGGATGTCGGATGGTAAAGGTCATCGTTATCATTTTGGACAAGCGTACAAGGTCGGCTGCTGTCAGCACCTTAAAGAAAGACTCTCAGTTGCAGTACCCTGATCACATTTTTAATCGTTTGGAAGGAAGTTGCCTACATACGCTTCATGACATGAACATCGCCAACGAGATGCACGCTATCTGTAATTGACGTGTTGGGAAAAATCATAATCAAGCGCTTTCCAGAATGTGGTACAATGGATAGCATATTCGCTAACGCCAAAGTGGAAAAATTATGGTTATTCGCACTCGTAACGACAATATGGATTACTTTGAGCTACGGTAAGCTTCGGTAGTTTTGTGAATTTTGGATGCATTAAGTTTCTGTTCTCTTTAATAAAATTTAATCGTACGATTGTGCTTGCCGTTCAGTAGAAATACAAGATACATCCAGTCTGCTGTTTGCTATGGTAGTAGAAAGTAATTAGAAAGCATTACTGCATAAGGCTCTCACAAATTTTTCATTTTGTCTCACAATTATTAGTACGAGTACTCAGATTTAAAATTGTTGCACAATGGCATTTTAATTTTTTCCGCAATATGATTAAGTAAAACTTCATCGAATTTTTCGTAATCTCTATCAGACCGGCTGAACTTCTGAAACCCAGTGCTTGTAATTGTTATTATTGGTAGCAATTCCTGTGCTGCATGTTGATCATACTGGGCCTGTGATAACTACGGTGGGATCGGATGTGAAGTTATCCTGTTCGGCCAGTCAATGGACAGATGGATATACGGTAAGTAAGCAATAATATTATATCTATAGATGTTAACGTTACTTTAGTACTACACAATCACTCTAGGACAACGCGTTATGCGCTGCGTATGCTGTACTCGCATGTACATGTGCTGCAGTTGTTTTTGCTCGAAAATTCTAAACGGAGACTGTAATAATTTCCGCTAAGTACATTTTGAACAATCCCGTTCCTATAAATCCACTATGATGCAGACTACCGATATTACTAAATTTTGCATACATTTGGATAATATTTGTGCAAATATCTACCTTCCCTGAGATTTACGGCTGTGCGGCATTCGTAACGGAAACCGTTTAACCACTTTAGAATAACAGGATGATTGTTAGTTATTTTGTCTGTATAGATAACATGGAGCAAAAACAGTACCGGTGAAGTCCTCACAAAAAATCTGCATATCGTTGCCGATCCCACCAAATTCTCCATTACAACGGTGACCAGCTCGGAATTAGGTAAATAGATATACCGGTACTCTGCCGCCTATAACCATAAGCAGGTACATTTAGTTTCTGTTTCGTAATTTTTGTGCATCTGTTTGTGGCATAATGTACATAAAATACATTTATACGCAAAATAAGTTGAAAGCGGCGACATTTTCAGAATCCACGACATGGACACTGACGGTCAAAGAAGCGGCACAATCGGATTCCGGCGATTACACGTGCTCATTGAAAACCGAGCCACCACAATTTGTTTCCGTTTCGGTTCTCGTGCAGATACCCTTAACATCCGATCTACCAAAAGAGGTGGTGCGATGGGATGTCAGCGATTGCTGTATTAATCGAAATGTCCCCGGTATGTCGTCTTAAAAGGTCACCGCTGTTGTATTCGTAGATGTCCTTTGTTGATACAATGTCATATGTACGTACCAGAATTTACAATTAACATACGTAGACAAAACCATAATACGTAGACCAAAATGTACAACTAATTACAATGACAATTAACATTTTTTGCAACACTTAGGTCACTGTATGCCTCTGTGCAACACCATGTCCTCCGGGATCGATGTCCTCGGTGCACTGCGCACATCGGATCGCTGCCGGCAGCATCATGACCCCTGGTTCCGCTGTCTGGCCAATGAACGCAACCACACACCGTGCTGCAAGCGCCTTCATGTCCCCGACAAATGCCTCGATCTCTGCTTGGGGAATTTCTCCACGGTCTTCCGCGAAGGCAATCTGGACTGTCTGCATTTTGTCGCGGTGATCTTCAAGTGTTTCCACGAAGGTCGCGAATCCATTCCCAGTCCTCCGCGTAGCCTGCGGGTGGCACTCATCGGGGTGGATTCGCTCCGTGTCTCGTGGTCACCGCCGCTAAAACACGGCAAAGAAGTGAATTATACGGTTTTCTACAAGGCCATTGGGGAGACCGATCCGGGACTGCGGCGCGCGGGCGGTCTGACCAAAGCCATGTCGACGAACGCGCTGGGTTTGATTATAACGGGATTAGTACAGGGAGAGACGTATAAAGTGCATGTGGTGGCACTGAATTCCGCCGGGTCGTCGTTGCCGTCGGATATCGCATCGGTGGACATTCAACGACCGGCACCCAAACCAACCGGACAAAACCTTGACGGTATATTTATTTTAAATTTTTCCATTATTCTAATTTTAAATTTTTGGTGGATTATTGCGATATTGATTACGGACGTAAGTCGACATATGGGTACCGGCACTTAATTGTTCATAATTATAGTTTTTTGAGGCTTTTTTCTTATGACCTTACGCAGGACCCATCCACCGACATTTCATTTTCCACATAATCTGTTTGACGGTTTCGGTGGAGGCGACCTTACGAAAATTACATGAAGAGATCTACCGGCATTTAACTTTTTTGCAATTTCTTCATGATTTAACGCAGGTGACCTTACGCAATACAACACCACCATGGATGCCCTGGCGACCTTGCCGGCGGTGGACAGCGCCGGCAGTACCGTCACTTCGGAACTGCTGTCCCTGACCGTGCTGACACCGCCGGCAATGGAGATGGCCCAGTTACAAACGACTGTCACTCAAGTGCCAGATGATCTGGTACTCTTTGACAAGTGCTTCGGCTCCGAGGAGTTTCGCACCAGTTGCTCGGAGGTACTGCGCAGTGGCGCGGGCGCGACAACCCGTAATAACGGCCGGAATATGACGGTTATACGCTGTCGGGATTCCTTGCCACGGTTTTTGAGCTGTGCGGCGGACGAGGGCGATCATCGCAAGTGCTGTGCACGCAATGCGGTGCCACAGCGCTGTCTGGATTTGTGCACGGGCCAGCCCAGTGGGATATTCGATATCTGTCATGTCTTCTTGCCACGCATCTTAACTTGCTTCAGGTAAAACCCGAAAGACAAATTTTCTTTCAGGCACAAATTTATTTTCATGAAATCGTTTTACAAGACATGCGCAGGCAAATAATTCCATTTAAATACATTGTATCTGTACTGCATATAAATATACAGAATACTGCGATTTTGTGTTGTTAGTTGATATGATGCGGTTGTTGTAAAATAGTAAAATAAAGGTGAAGGCAAGAAATAAATAATCAGATGATATAAAACTAATTTCAAAACGAGATTGGAGATAGAATTTAATATGCAAGGTAAACATTGCGAAAATGAAACGATTTGGTATTTTACAAATATTCTTGAGAGCCTCCCTGCAAATATTGTATAGTTATTTGAAATCCTAATAATTAATGTATAGAATTACAAACTCTCAGTTCTGACATCTCCATAATACAAAGTAATACTGCGTTATTAATGATGACTTTCATTAGGGAAGGCATTCTCTTCCTAACGAGCGAACCAATCAGTGTCTCGGCCGAACTACGCGAATCGCAGATTACCGTCCAGTGGCAGCCACCGGAAACCAATCCGGAAATGGTCGAGCAGTACATTGTGACCGTCGAAGACCGGAAATCCGCTGAACCCATCAATCTAACCGTCCCGCGCGATACCCACACCATCAGCATCGATCCGCTGCCGCCGCTGGACAGTGAATATCTCATTTACATCCAGGCTGAAAATTTTCACGGTCTCTCCCGCCGCAGCAGTTCCGTCATCATCAACACGGGCGATCTCAACACCGTCCAGCAGCAGAACATCCAACAGGAGGCCGCGGCCGGTCCCGGAGCCGGACCGGCCGTGGCCATCGGCGTCAGTCTGGGCTGTGTGGCCATCGTGGTCATTATTGTGGGGACGACGTACTGTGTCCGCCGGCAGCGGGCGGTCATCACCCCGCCGACGGTGCCGCCCACGGAGACGCCGCCCGAAGAGAAACTGCCCAAACCGCTGAATGCGTTTTACATACCGGGATATTTTGGCAAGCGCGGGATGTCCCGGCAGAAAGCCGGCTCGACATCCAGTATGTCGTATGCGACGTCGTTCAGTCTGCGACCGCGGTCCAGTAATTCCAGTGAGCCGGTATATTCCGACGTATCCGGAGCGTATTTGTGGATGTTTGGCAATGATAAGCGCATGTCACAGAGGAAGAGTCAGGGATCGCATCCGGCGTGTTCAAGACGGGCGTCGTCCGAGCAGAACATTTATGATAATAACATTCCCATGCGACCTAATTAGTTGGTGTGCAGTGCAGTTGTCTTATGGTTTTCGATTTTTGGTAGTGGTAATATATTTTCGTTTTGTATTAAAGACATTCATGTTACATTGCCGCAGTTTTATATAATCAGATATACGGTTTTTGTTATTCATTTACGTACGTTCTGGAATCATTAAACCATGCAGGTTAATTTATAACCGATGTTGCCTATTTCCAGAAACAGGTAAAAGCCGCACAGGAAATGTTCGGTGCTTTTGATTTATATACTGCATGTACCAGAGCAGTTGCCTAACTGTATGTGACCTTAATGAAGTCAGTAATACTGTAATTTAAATTTATCTGCGACCGTTGCGCTTGTATGTGGCGCTTGTATGGGGAATATTCTATTCTTATAAAATCAGCACTCGCTCAACCTTTAATTCAACATCGCGACAGAAAATTTATTGCGAGAAGAAATGCTGCTGACAGCCCGACACCGACACGCAAATTGCTGGTAAAACGGCGAAAAAGATTTCATGGAGCATAAGTAATGGGCGCAGATGGTGGCATATAATTCATGGTCAGGTGGCAGCATGCCATCGCTTCCGGTTCATCGACGCATTACCAGCACCGTTTTTGCCAACACATGTGTCAGCACTACTTTAACACTGAATTCAAACTGAATTAATCAGTAAAAAAAGCCCATAGAAAAAACTATGTATTTCAGATTTCAGGGACAATTGATTGGGTTCGTGGGGGTACAATTTGTCAACTCCGTTATAAAAAAACTCATTTTGAATGCAGTCTCGAAGCTGTGGGTTTTATAATATGTAAGTGGGAAAAACGTCGGAAGAAAATCGCAGGATCAGCAGTGAAATATGGAGCGGCAATACCGTTACAGCAATATTGGTCATTCATGATAACAATTCTAAATCGTCTACACCATAATTCAAGTACGTACGGATGTGCAATGACCGAGTAATATATATGCAACCAGGCTGGTCCAGGCAGCACGCTATGCTTATGAAACCAGTAAATTTAATTAGTGGCATTTAAGACCATAATTAATTCATGCCCCAGGATGCTCTAGTTTTAATAACAAGCCCATCGACAATTTAATGAATAATCCAGTTGTGGCTCTCCATATTCCACCATCGCTCATACATATTATTCAGTCAAAATACAGCGCATACACTGGCGTTGACAAGTTGCTGGGGTTTTTAGATTAAGTAAACATATTACCATTTCATGGCGTCCTTAACAACTTTAGAATCGATAAGTTTTGTAGCAAATTGGAATCATGCCGATCCTTTGGCAATGCGAGGCTGCTAAGGGAAGATATGCGTCCAATGCAAAAATGGTTGAGCTCGCTGGATAAATTGTATAACCACAGTGTTTACAAGAATGTCCAACAGTGTGTAACATGATTTGACCTCACCGGAAATCGATTGGCGGACTACTTCGGCAATGTCATCCGGCTTTCATGTTCAACAAGGCAAACGCCAAGGCTGTTCCCTTAGGAAACATTATTTTATTAGCTGCTGAAAGAAATCACGGAAGCCTGATTTCCTGACAAAACCACCACCATCTGGAGGTCAGGACTTACCGGTGCGGCTCGATCTTGTACTTGTAAAGGTAATTTATTAGGTTTGCTACAATAAAGCTGCGCCTTTTGTTTGGTCTGGTTGATTAAATACGTTAATTTTGCTGGCATAGACAAAAAAATTTCCACAGACTTTAAATGCCACAAAACTTTGATACAACCGGCTTTTGGGAGTTTCTCAAAAGCAGTGCACAGCCCGGATAAACAATTAAAACTTTATTCATAACGAAACCCAACGGATGTGCAAATTATATATAACTCTGTCGCATCACACAAAGCAGCAAGTCAAAACGAAGCACTTTTTGGTCCCATGCAAAAAAAAACTCAATTTGGCAACGATGCATCAAACTATTAAAAAGCCAGTTAAAAAACGGAAAATTTTTCAAGACAAGAAATAAGCACAAAGCAAATCCAACTATACAAGCTGTCCCGGATCACGCGGAGGTTTGGGCGGTGGGGAAATATGCGAATGACCGGAGCCACCGATTGTCATCTCGGCCGACTGACGCTTCAGACTGCTCACTAATACCGGCGGCTTGCGGGTCAACGTTGTATCCTTAAACCCGCCTGTACCATTGCGGGTCAACGTGTGGGCACCGGGAGGCGGAGAACTAGGCAGGTTGTCGTTCTCACGGTCAGAATTCTGGAATGTCTGGACGGAGATGGGGCGCGGCTGGATTTTGGTCAGACGGACATCGCTTTCTGTTAAATGAAGATTTTCAACGTCGATCACGTCGCGGTGCTGCTTGGCTTTGGTTTCCGTGTGAGATCGCAGTGAGAGCATCGGTGATTCGCGGGCTTTATTGTTACTGAAGCGCGATGCCGCCGAAGAGCCCAGATATAAGGTGCCTTGTTTCATTTCCAGCTACAAAATGACGCGCAAATTAAATGAAGCATTATGACAGCGATCATCAAAACAATGTGCCTGTATCATATGCCAACTTCTGCAGCACGTATTTTACCAAGTCATTCGCCACTTCAACGATTTCCTAACCTGTGCCCACTCAGCGCAACTCTTGCGGTATAGTATTCGAAGAAATTACCCAATACCGTACGCTGTAAATGGGAATACAAAAACACCAAAATACGTTTTTTTGAACGTGATAATTAATGATGGAAATACCACTGTAACTATAATACTAAGTGTTACTACCGTGGTGTTACTATAACACTACGCCAGGGATGAGGGATGCCAACAAATAACCAGAAATCTGTATAAAATTATCAAGCTGCTAGCAAAACCCATAACCAAAACTTTAAATCGATAGCTATTATTCCACCATTAATATTGTATTACTTTTCCATCTCAGAAACGAAAATAATTTTAAGTCGGTGTATCGGTCACTGCATCATCACTGCAAACATCCTCAGATGTCAGAAAGAACGAATTAGCCGAACTTCGGAACACACTGTCCTAACAAGCGTCATGATAAATAATGCGTTTTCCCGAGAGATGTGACTGATTTCAAATGAACTCAATAAGTCGTAGCTGCATTCTTTTCACAAAGCTCTACCGTTAAGAATGTTCACCACCGTGTCGCCATCCAAGTTAGAAGATATCACACTTGAAAGTGGTGAGCAAATGGTCCAAGATTTTTTTTACTACTCCTATCGAGTGACGAAAAGGGATACTTGAGTACAAGAGTTGCCTTGACGTTAAGAACACACATACTATCTCTTCACTTTGTCGCGACCTGATTACTTCATAAATCAATCACGCTCCGCTGGAATTATTCCTCATTTGCAGGCACGACAACGCAACGAAGAAACGAGCCGGGTGAAAAACGGAATGCCGACAACTGTTTTAATGACCCGAATTGTCTAATTAATCTTCTTAGGGAAACATTAAAGACAAGCACGATTTTCTCAACATCTGTATACGATGGGATAAAGAGCAACGACAAAACGCTAACGATCAGCCAGTAATACCCTGCAAATGAGTGCACGCAGATGTACGTAATTACAAAAAGCAAGTCGTAAATTACTTTTGCCAATAATTTGCAGCAAATGCCCCACGCGAATGCTAAACTGCAACATTTGCATAGTATGCAAGAAATCATCAATTATATTATGATGGCAGACTGGGTGCTGCAAACAGCTGAATCGATAGCGACTTTCAAAAACGATGAAAACGCAAAAAAACAACAGATTTGCAATTGTGGAAAAAGTTCTGTGAAAGCCAAGAAGAGCGGCAAAAGTAAAACCCCATACAAGAAGCAGTCTAAAAAAGGCTAGCAGTGTTTGAAATCGAATATGCTTAAAATAAATATCAGTGTTCCAGGCATAACGTGTTAAGACTCGCGTTAATGCATCGGTTCACTTGACTTCTCAAAGTGCGGCACATTTGCAAGGCACCGGTAATATACAACCTGATCCTGCTGCATTACAAATCGCTTTCGTTGACAAAGTTATAAAAAGTGGAAAGTTGCCTTAAATCTACTTGGCAAAGTCGTAACCGACACCGACATGACACGCATTCAATCAATAATAACGATCTCCTCTTCAGGCCAACACATTTTAGCCGAGCAAAGAAAGAGGGGCAAAATATATCAGGGAAATTTTATTATGGAAAAGTGCAATATACTGATAATCCTTTGATTAATACACAAAAGCCGCTCCCGGCCACCCCGGTCCAACTTACATGAATACGCGTCTTTTCCCGCAGATGATAGACTCTCCATACGCATCCGCACAGCAGCAATCCCAATGACAGCAGTCCAATGCCGGTCAGGAAACTGGCAATGCCAAACCACGCCAAAATCCTATAAACACATTTTCCACACACTCTGATTTACGAACAAGTGCAATATGAATAGAAACATGACACCGAAAATGTGTGAGATCCATGTAATTATGTCCATTACCGATATCCCATCTTATCCGAGTCATGGTAATCAACGAAAAATCCCATTACTGTCAAGCCGGTTGGAATGAGAATCACCGCAAATACCAGGGAGACGATTCTAAAAAGCGAGCACAGCTTACATATTATTGGCATAATGGGAATTACTACACGGACACAAAATCCGGTTATTGAGAATTACAGGAGAATTTTGTCGCGCTCACTGCAATGGATCAATCAACTAGCAATTACCACTTGCCACACAGCCAGAAAGAATGCAATTTACGCAAATGAATCAAATGGCCTGTTACTACTCCCTGCAATCTCTGTACTCGCAGTAAACATTCACTAGTTCTTTGATCCAAGTAAAACCCTCCAAAACATATTACTACTTTTTTATGCAACCATTTGTACAAGAAATTACAAGACCCATTTCCTGGCTTGGAAGCAACTAATATTTTTATTCGCCGGTAGTGTAACCTACTGAGTAAAAATATTCAGAAACAGAAATATTAAAATTTTGCAAAGGAATATCGCGACGTACTGTATATTTACATAGCAATACTGTTTCAAGTTTTAACGAGCTTTCTGCTATTTATATGCACCATAGTGATAACGGGTACAGTATTCACTGCTATAAATTAGAAGTTTCGATAAAAACCTTTGCACACCATGCGTACTACTGATGGAAACGCAAGTGGAAATTAAAAATGATTGCCCGAATAGAAAAGGTACGCATAAGGACGTTTCTTCCATCGTCCAATCGTGTTTGCTAATTCAAGCATGAAATTGGGAAGACGTCACACAATCCGCGGATACTGGTTGCCTGATCAAAGAAGCGGCAATCCAGGAAAGTGTGCGGAGAGAGTGGGCAGCAGTGCTTTACAGCTTTACACAGTGTACTTTTATCGGGGATAATCCGCTCACTCGCCACAACCATGAAGCGCACAAGAGCCGGGAATACGCTACAATTAGGCCACACGGTGTCAGATATCACGGCAGCTGTGTCTAGTGGCTAATTTTCTTCCCAACTCTTTTTCCCGGCCAGATTTTATCAGCACCACTGTGCAGTTTCTGTAGTTGTCCTGAGCACGATCAGTGCTTCCCCTCTCGGCGGTTATACACATTACATACTCCGACTCTCAATGAAATCACCTGTCAGGCTCACAAAGAAATTACAAAGACTGGCAAACTGTTACAAAACTGTCATTAGCTAGTGTTTGGTCTGTAATTTTATCGTTTCCGCTGAGTTATAGAGAAATCACGGAAATACTAAGTGTTTATTCATTGTCGTCAAATATCGCTTTAAAATGGACGCTAGCTGCCAGTAGAACAATTTATTAAGGCGCGATCGATCAGCGCCGCAGTCAATTGCAATCATATATGCCCTACACAGCACGTCGAATGCCTACCATAAAACAGATTTACTTAATCCTACTGTTTTCGTGATTACGGAAGATCGAAAAATTAATGCTTTTCCTTTAAGTACGGCGATAACTGCAATACTGCGCGATCATTTCTTACGCGATGACATTTGCTTCGTTACATCACTTACGCCAGTGTGGAGCAACATCTCCAGGGTTGCCTGTTAAAAAAAAGAAATTTGTAAAACCGTTTCTAATTCTGAAAAACAACAGCGTTTAACGAGCAACCGATAAGTGGAGTGGACTCACCGAAGATGTCCGCGGACGTCACAATAATCACACAGCGATTTACAGCAGCTTTTGCCCATTGCACAGCACAGGGAACAGGGATTACAGCAGCACAGACACATGACGATAAAGATAATGGCGGCGATGCTGATGGCCAGCTGAACACATCGTCCGAAAATGATGAGCGCAAAAATTAGAGCAGCAGGCAATTACGCTTTCCCTGTTGAGCTTGTTTAGCGCAATAAAGTCAATAAATCCATGTTAAACATGATCCAACTTTTCCGCCGCTCTGCTGCAGCCGCGTGCAAAAAGTCACTGTCCGAGAGAAAGAGTGTGTGCAGCACACGATCGGCGCTACTGGAATGGGCCCACCAGAATGTGCACTCTAACAAAAAAATGCTGGTCTAAGAATAACGATATAACGTCAGAAAAAAATCGCCGGCCTGCCAGAACTGGCATACTGCGGAATAACAAACACGGGCTACCAGTCTAGCGTCAAACCGCCGGAAAGATGCTGCGAAGGGAGATAAAGAAACACAAACTGTTTAAGCAAATACCCGTGTGGATCAGTGTTTACAGGCTCAATCAGCTTAACGGCGTATGCGATAAAATCATGTTTCGTTCTGTACGCTTGGTTGCGAATGGAACGAACAACTGCTGACCGCAACGATGTACAATACAGCACAGGCTAATAAAAATGCTTCCTTAAGCTTTTAACACGACGATCGGCTTACCTGCTGGAACAGAGAAGATAAAAATAGCAAACTTTCAACAAAAAAAGTCTGCAGAAAACTCGTTATTCACAGAATTCGTATCACACAATGTGAATGGCCATAATTTTAGTTATGAACTGTTCGGTCTGGGCGCAGCTGGAAACTGACAACTGGATTTCGGTGCCAGGGTGAGATCGTCTGATCAGTCATTACGAAGGCACGAAATAGGGGGTGTGGCTGTTTTACTCGATGACGATTTACGACAGAGAGGCGGATCGGTGCACTGCCAGGTTCCGCCGAGTTTTTTATGACGTATCCAGAAGAAAATATCCGAGAAATCGGAGAATGTTTACGACAGTATGTTTTTGGCTTCCTGAATTATCTCCAGAAGCAAAGCTGGTGCAGTGACCATTGGTCAAGCGCTTCACGAATTCAATGTATCGTACAACATCGGAATTCTTACAGCAGATTTTGTAATACTTATTTATCTGTAGCTTGTGTGACACAAAAAACTATACGAGTAGTGTAACTGCCGCTAAAAATTTGTTGAAGAACTGTAATAAAAATCTCATGCTAAAAGGTTTAAGTGCACTTATACTAGAATTGTCTAACTGGCCAGTGACGACGGCACCGGAAGTGGAATCTATTGAAACGCTTCAGAGGTCAACTTTAGATGACTTACACTGTTAGGTGTTAATGGTTAATTAATCACGTTAGCGATTGGTCCGATTAGTCTGCAAGCACGCACAAACAACGAAAACCAAACCAAAACTTTTTGCACGAAGCCTGCTGCGCGAAGATATGAAGGTTTAAGACATATTATACAATTTTATAATGTATGTGTTTGTATGTGTTATATGTGAACTGTCAATATCTGGTCTTCTGAAAGTCAGTTCTTCTCCACCCAGAACTGTCCTGTACACGCTACAAACTGGAACTGTCCTGTACACGCTACAAACTGGAACTGTCCTGTACACGCTACAGGAACACTGGAAACTTCCGAAACAAGACAAAAAATGAAAGCAGTACATGTAGTACTAGTACCAAGAGGCAAATTTAATTCATATGAATAATCATCCTGCCGAAATCCCAGATAATGCCAGTAGGATTGTAAGTACTGGCATAACCGTACATCTGTATTTTACATTCTACCCCTTCCTGTTAATTGGTAACTGTTTACACTTTTAGGGATCTTTTGATTCGAGTTTCAGAAAAAGCTCAACTATGGCCTACACGTATTTTCACAAGCCTGCACATAAAAATGGCAGTTCTGCAGTATTGCTTATATCCCGCTGGTTTTCAGGAATATTAATTTGTAACACGTTAACCATGCGTCTCCTAGGCTCTATAATTCCCAACCAGTTTTAGGCTTTTCTGCTATGGTGAGCGCTTCTTAGGTTTGTGTTATCCTAGTGCACTAGGATAACACAAACCACAATCATATTCATCCAGTGTGAAACTGTGAATTGAAAGCAGGTTTGAGGTTTCTGTTCTAATGCTCTGTCTACTGTCTGTGTACAGTAATATTGCAGTCATTTTATGAATATTTGTTATTATTGAACTGCGTAAATTGATTGCAGTGTAAGTTGACTGATCTTTACGACTAAAAATCTCTAGAACAGAAATTCAATTTCAAGTAGAGTAGAACAATTTCATCAAATACAACTGCACCATTTTATCAACTTCACTGGTCAGTACTACAAAATTCAAGTACAAGTAGGCAGAAATGCTCACGCAAAGTCGAAAACATAAAAAGTACAAAAAAGGGTGGACGTGTATAAAATATAAAATACAAAAAAGAAACGGGACGATCACTTGGGAAATATCACACAATCAACAGATCGATATCAATAGCAGCAACACAAAAACGACTAAGAAGACGCCATCCCTGGTATCCAGCATACTGCACTTTCACAATCCAAGCTTATATCCGTCAGGGAGGTCATTATCCAGCTTCTCTTGCATACCTTCACGGTTTTTTAAACATCGTCCGACATGCACTGCATCCAAAACAGCCATATGACGATCGTTCAAACTGAAGTCTAAAACCTAAAAATTGTAGCACATTTTCCTCTTTTGTCAGGGCTATGCAAACAGTATTATTAGCCATATAGTCCCGCTGACTTCCGCCGCTGTGCAGGAAACACCAACACAATTACAAGTTTTGAAGCTTTGGGGCACAAAAAAATTGATGACGAATAATCTTCCATAACCATCAAGAAATCACGCTCACATCAATATTTTCGCGTAGGCGCTGGCAATTTGTCGATTTTGGTATGGTAACTACACCGCTCTGGATACAGATCATCTTCGGTGTAGTTGCTCACGCCGATAGCTCGACATAAACCTAACAACAATCAGATGAACAATCGTGGTAAGGAGAAGATAACGACAAAAATAAATAATCTGGCCAACTGTTATTCGTACAGTTTATGGTGCCGCACACAAAATTAAATACGTATGGGATATTATCAACAAAATATGTCAAAAAAAATAACAAATTACAAAACGTCGCAGCGTTATATGATTCAGATGGTTAACGGTTACAAAAAAAGTAAGACGGTCGATAACAGCAAACAAAAATAAAAAAACAAAACCACCACAGCCTGATATTTACAGCAACCATAAAACCAAAGCCGATAACAACAGGTTAAATTGTGCAGCAAAAACTGTATATAGATATACCAGTACGAAAAAAATGAGTACGAGTAGATAAGTATACCTTCATCGTACAAAAGCTCTAATTCCCTCCAAGTTTCTTCCAGCATCTGCTTAGGATTGCTGCACCATCCATGAACGAGCGGCCAGTGAAGAAGGTAGAGATCTAGAAAGGTTATACAAAAAGTGTCATTACTTGCAACTACGATCCATTAATATGTTATATTATATCTGCAGCAACATTACCCAAATAATCCACATTGAGCCGCTTTAAAGATCCCAACGAAGCTGATTTGGAGTCGTTTTCCCATAATCGCTCGGCCACAGTTTGCTGGTTAAAAGTTAAAAATAAGTCGTTGCGATTACGCTGACTTTCTGCGATAGCTTTCGACAACAGCCCTTCATTTCCGTAACGCTTCGCGGTGTCTACAACATATTTTTTACGATTAAAACAGGCACAACATAACTTTGTTGTAGAAGTTAACACACGTTAACATCAGTATTGCTCGTTGCCCAAGCCGTTCCAAAATCGAGCAACATCTGCCTTTCAGTCATTTTCATTTTGGTTAAATATAAATATCCTAAATATTATATCATTTATATGGATTCAGACTCAGGTTGATAACGACAACAAACCAAATTTAGCGTTTCGCGTTCATTACTGTCAACGCTGCAACTTGCAAGCAACAACAATACAACAACAAAAACCTAACGACCGAATGAGATATTTACGTAAACTTACAGTTTTTCTGTGTTTCCGCAGACAGCTTTTAGAATGAAGTGAAAAGGTCTCACTTACAGACTCACCTATCAGTTCATATCCCCATGTTTTCAAAGCATAGACCACTGCCTCGTGCGAATATCCTCCGTAATGTGACGTCCCTGTAAACACAAACAGCAAAACAATAATGATTCTGCATCATAAAACCTGTTTGTGAACCCTGAGATCATCTTAATAATTACTCCAACATCTTAATAATTAACCCACCTAATCCAAGTTTCGGAATTCGTACTCGATTTGAAAGAGAAAAAAAAATATTCCATCCCATATGCATGTCACGTATCAGAAAATATGTCGTATCTATACCACCAAACAATGGAAGAATATTTAAGTTAAATTAATTTGAAAATTTACATCAATTTTAAGAAACTCATTTAAATCAACGTAAACATAAACTGTAATACCATCCTGCTTGATGCCTGCACCAGAGTGAAACTGGCATGGTCTGTGTATTATATACACAGACATTGAAACTGGTGTATGGAGTGGTAAAATATTACTCAAAATTTGGCGAGGCGTACAGCTGCGGTGTTGTTCATTTAGTTGGCCAATAAAGCAAGGTAGCAGTACACGGCTTGCCATTCAGCTGTACGTCGTGACTGACCACATTCCACCGTAGGGTTGTTAACGGTGCGGTTTTTTACCAGTGCACCGGTGCAATTTGAAAAAATTGCGGTGCGGTTCTGAAAATAAATTGGTACGGGCGGTGCGGTTTTTGGGAAAAACCACACCGGCGCACACCGGTGCGTCTGGGTAACCGCGTTGTCGAACACCGGTTAACCACCGGTTAACCGAAAATTATAATTAATATAAATTCGTAATTAAAATAAATAATTTTTGTGAAATAACGCTGTAGGCTGGTTCACGCCCACGGGACGCACGAGCTGTCACGGTCGTACATTTGTATTCTGTAGCATGTAAAAGTATTCACTCGCAGCTCACATGTACTGTATTAGAAGCTCGCTTGATAGTTGATACTCTAGCTGCTGCAACAACCGGGCTGCCATAAGGAAGAAAATGTGCAGCACTGGGAGCAAGATTTTGACTTGATTTTCCACGCTCTGCAGTTGTTTCAGTCAATAAAACTCCAAAAAAATCAGTTTCGATATCTTAGGTTTTTATAGTACAGTAGTTAATGTTAAAGTTAAGTGCCTTATTTTTTCTTTTTAAAATAATCCTCTTCCCTCTCCCTTCTCTCCAGGAAAAAAATCTTTTAACTTTTAATCTTTTACATTAAACCTTTTCCTCTTTTAACTTTTAATCTTTTACATTAAACCTTTTAGCAATGTCTGGCCTCGGTGCAGTCGTTGATGTGTCTTAAGTCTGGGTATCCTACGTACTGTAAAGCACTGCCAAGAAGTTGTTGAGACTGATGAATAATAAAATCGGTAATTAATTGCTCTTTCGGCTATTTACTTGCGCTACACGGCTACACCGGTGTACACCGGTGCGGTGCGGTGTGAAAAATTGCGGTGCGATTTTGGATTTTAACCGCACCGTCCGGTGCGATTTTTCGCTTTACACCGGTAAGCTAGGTGCGGTTTCTTATAAAAAACCGCACCGAAGGCACACCGGTGTACACCGCACCGCACCGTTAACAACCCTATTCCACCGGCATAGTGGTATGTCTGTTGTCTGGCGCATTCATACCAGGTTAGGCGCCATCCATAAATTACGTCACGCAAAAAATTGGACATTTTGATACCCCCCTCCCCCTGTGTCACCAATGCTAACAAACTTTGATCCCCTCCCCTGAGCGTTACGTAACAAAATGAGAACCCCTCCATCGATATAGCATGTTGACGTCATCATCGTAACAAATTTTTAAAGCCTCCCTCCCCCCTCGTAACAAACAGTAACGCTTTCAGGACCTCCCCCCTCCCCCTACTTGCGTGACGTAATTTATGGATGGCGCCTTACCGTATTTAAACTTCCCACGAAAATAAAAGGAATTTCTTTAGCGAAATATTATCGTGTTCCAGATAATTCCGACATTATGATATTTTTCCGAATTGAAGTTAATTATGGATGTCATTTTTCACTATACTTTAGGTTCGGAAGTCATTCAATAGAACTTCGAAATACTATTTTTTATCAATTAAACCTATCGCGTCACGATTCACATGTTGTTTGTCGTCCGATCACTGGACGACGGACGTTATTGCGTTGCGCTAACAACAGCTGCACTCGTACCGCCTCGCTGTCTACTCCAGGTGCCAGAGAAATCCTTTTGATACCACACCCTCGCAACCGCATGCCTGGAACAGGTATAAAAACTCGATCAGGCGCGATTCAAGTATTACGTAACGCGATTTTTCGTGATTTTTGACCACCCCCCACCCCTTGTAACACCGCATAACAAAATTTTCAACCCCCCTGCTGAATACGTAACGAAGAGTCCGACCACCCCCCTATAGAAATTCAATTAAAATATATTAATTTTTTTCGTTTTTTTATGGGGTGTCGGCCAGCACGTAACAAAAATTTTTGCACCCCCCCTACCCATGTAACACGGCGTAACAAAAAGCCATGACCACCCCCCCCCACCCCTTTGCGTTACGTAATACTTGAATCGCGCCTTAAATAAACGACGCAGTCTGTCCGTCATTAATTTTGTTTAGGCGTCGTTTTCGATTTGACTAGAATAATCAGTGCTCAGCAAATCTGGACTTGCGTCTGTATTTATTTTTGACTAAAGTTGCATGGTGCTTGTTTGGGGTTTCAGCTGCCCTTTACGATCACACCGAAGTACTGTGCTTTCATGAATATTCCGATTTGATCACATTTTGCTTTTGAACAGCAGGCGGATGCGCCTAGGTGGCAGAATCCACTGTCACCGGGATAGCATTCGTCTACTGTTGGAAGTCTTAATATTTATCACCTGTTCTGCGTGGATTCTGTGGCGGCAATTCGGCATGAGCGGGGGTTGATGCACCCAGGTGGCCATTTAAGCCAATCTGGTCACCGGGCATGCATTAGCCCTCGGTCGCGTCGATACTGGATTATTTCCGGATTTTCAGATTTTGCCGGGATTTGTGATGCTCCACCGATCGGTTCCTCAGAGGAAGCTGGTGCTGCTCAGGGTGGCCAGGAAATCCATTCTGGTCACCGGGCATGCATTAGCTCCCTCTGGTCCGACCCGTATTCAGTGTTCCATGGTGAGCGGTGCTCTGCCGATTGGCTGCTTGTACAGGGTAAACTTGGGATGCCGATGGCCTTTCTACACGTGTCATCGTGCCTCGCGATCGTACCGTGACTAGTTGCGGCTAAAAACTGTTTACGAACGGCAGCGGTATCGCCGGTTGGTAAGCGGAGAGTGAGTTTTGGTTTTTCGTGTTTCTGTAATTATGTGCACTGATTTTTTCGAGAAATCGCTGAGAAGTAGTTATGAATATTTTATTCGATTTTATTAGTCCTTTTAACTTTTAAGACCTGTGTATTAAAAAATACTCTGATACTTAATATCCACTGACGAAATAAATTATTCGACAATTCTAACTTAAAAGATAAAACCGCAACAGCAAGTTCCATTACTAGTTCTGTCAGAAGAAAATATCCATTACTAGTTCTGCCTTAGCCTCTCTTTCAGCGCCAAATAGGAATGGTACACCTAGAAAACAAACACAGTGCGTCGGTAAAATTTTAAGTTTCTCCAAAGAATCGTTAAGGCTGCGTACTTCTGTAGTTACAGATGGCTTGATTTTTTTCAACGCGTCTTCGATATGGTTTCTCTTCACCATGAGATCGCTGAGGCATTCGACTGAAAACTTCGCTCCGCAATTTCCTGCTCGCAACAACTTCAGTTGTTCCCGTATTAAAAGACTGGCCGCTTCCCGAACAAGCGAAGCAAGGTCAGCACCACTGAAAATAAGAGCAAGATAATTAAGACACGTAATAGAACCTGTTTCAAAATATTCTACTGCGTGTATGGTTTGACCGTCAATCGTCTTTAGACAAAATAAAGGACAATGTTCACCTGAAACGTTCTGTCAAAAGTCCAATCTCATCGAAGTTTTCATCAGCATCCATAGGCGGTGTTTTCCCATTCTGTTTCGAAAGAAAGGTATGACTTTTAACAGTTTCACCGACATGAGAAAAATGTGATAGGTCATATCCTTTGTGCAAATAATTACCTTGGTAATTGTTCGCAAAATGTCGGTTCTAGCCGCCTGGTCGGGGAGGTCGACGAACAGTAGCTTATCAAGCCGCCCTGGACGAAGCATAGCTGGATCCAAAATGTCTGTAACACATTTTAAGTGCAGGACTATTCCTTCTCAACGAGACAAAAAACTATAAGTAACAACAGTAAATGCAACTGAAATGGATGCCAGACCAAATTCAGAGGTCACAAAAAACCATCATCTCCCGAGTGAATCTGTTAGCACGAATATCTTTACATCTGCATCGTACTCCTTACGATTTAATAGGTAATCATTTTTCATTTGGCAATTTTCAATAATTGTCACGATATTAATTTCCTGGAACAATTTCGTCCAGTATGATCGCAAAATTTCCTATGGTCGAGTCAACAACTTCCGCCACACCTGGACGACTGGGCCACCGATAACGAAAACCAGCTATCTCTGCTCAAAGCCATCCAGTTCCGTAAGAAGCTGATTCACTACACGGGCCGTGGCATTGCTGTCGCCGGAGTCGGTTCGGCGTGGACAGAGGGCATCGATCTCGTCGAAAAATATCACACAGGGAGCCGAATTCTTAGCTCGCAAAAACCGCTGACGTACAGCCCTTTCACTTTCCCCGACGTACTGAAACGAAAACCAATATGCGTATAATTTTAGGGAAAAATAAGTGTTTCTGCTGCCAATTTCTTTATAAAGCAGCGTTTGCTCTCAGTTTCTTTTGTAACACAGAAAAAAAGTAATTTTTAAAAACAATATGGCATGGCCTTACCATATTGAGCAATTCCGGTCCCTTAACGGAAATGAAATTCAACACTGATTCATTAGCTACAGCTTTCGCCAGCAAGGTTTTTCCACAACCTGGTGGGCCACAAAGTAATATTCCGGATGGATTCTGAATTCCCAGTTTCTCGTACGCAGTTGGATATCTTACTGGCGCCTGAAAAAAAATAAGTACGTAACGAAAACTGTGTGATTTTCTTGACAAACATACTGTAAAGGCGAATGGTGCATTTACAACTACAGTAGCGACCACAACATTGGATAACACTAATGGTTAGAACACGTGCAATGTGAATTCACAAATGAAATACTTCCACAGGGAGTACAAGCTTTCCAAATTTAATAAAACTTACAACCATAGCCAACTCCAGCTCTTCGCGAATATCAGTCAAAGCACCGACGTCATCCCAACAAACATCAGGAATAGTTGCGAAACCTTCTCGCTTGGCAGATGGCTGTACTCGTTTTAAAGCGGCCTGCAAAAACATCAGCTACAGGAAAAGCCACAATTACAAAGGTAACTTATGTACTAATAGCACATTTCACTTTAAAAAGAATAAAGAATAAAAGAAAAGAAATTCGGCAAAGAAAAAAAGAAAAAAGAAAGAAAGAAAGAATAATGAAAAGAATTTCGGCTTCTGGCAGCGTAAGAGCACCGTAAGATGTTATCCCCTAATCTTTAAAATAAGAAATCAGGTTTTTCACACTTTCTTCACAAAATGAAAGTGTCCCGTAGAAGCACAAAATACGATAAACAAGACTTACGCTAAAATGTTTCATTTCAATATTTAAGTCCTTCAACCACTCTAAAGGAAATGCAGTGGAGCCAGAAATCGACGTCGAGAGCATATGGCGCGCTACAAAAAAAAAGATTATTCACAATAGCGGAAACATACCGTTCCGGTGCCCTTGGTTATACACTTTCTTAACAAAGCTTACCCGTAACAGGACTTTCCGCGACAGGATCGATATCCATATTCATGGTACCATTTTCCTGCGGTGTTTTATCACCGGAACTCTGTTTCAGATTTGACGACTGACCGAATACCCTACAAAACAAATACAACTGTTTAATAATTAAAGTGTCTCAATTCCTTCCCCTGAAATTTCTGAAGGAATATGTTGGTATAGAATATCGATTTGGCATTGTGAATACTCACAAATTAAAAAAAGCCAACTGTAAAAAAAGCAACTACACAATACGCATACGTATAAGGAATAAAACAGCCTACCTGTTGACTGCCTCCATTGCTGCTTCCGAAACCAGCGACTTCAGGTCGGCACCAACAAAACCTGGGGTCTGGTGAGCCATTTCTTTTAAATCGACATCGGCAGACAGTTCTAAAGATTTTGTGATGAGCTCCAGTATTCTAGAAAAAGCTGGTCTGTTATTTTTTCCTCATATCTATATGGATTTTTTTATAAACAACAATAATACACAGTAGTGACAGTGCTATTTGTACATTATTATTTGCACTGAACAGAATCGATATGCCGCGAATTCAGCAAAGCTACAAGCCATACATTGTCATACATACTCACCAGGGCCCGTCACCGGCTACAAATTCAGAAAAACTTGATCTTTTGCAGGAAGTTAGAGGAACATTGGAATAAGCAAAAAAAAATTATTTTCAGCTGCTGTGATGAACGGGCGTGGCCAGAACAAAAATTGAAAGTAAATTCTGCACTGTGCTGTAGCCTATGGGCAGTGTACCGCATAATACGTTTCAACGTTCCTGAACAACCAGCCTGTGGGAGGCCAGTTTAACTTTAAATGCTGTTCTCAAAATTTTTATGGATTTCTTAAATACTTAAGCAAACATAAATTTCACAATCCAGCCGCTTGTGAAACGGGTTTGCAAATGGTACGCAGCCCGCGCAGCTTGTTTCTGCCGAGAGTGATCGGTGCGCGCGTGTAACTTCGATCTCGCAATGATTGAAAAATTGTTAACACAAATCACATCCCATTTCTGCTGAAAAACATAAATGTAAACTGTATCATCTCCAGAAACGGTGAACGAGTATTTATAGTTAAACTGACCTCGTACAGATTGTTCGGTATTGGCGGTATAATACTGCATTCAGCGTAGGCGATAGTTCCCATAGACTACAGCACAGTGTGAAATTTAGTTTCAAATTTTGTTCTGGCCACGCCCATTGATCACAGCAGCTGAAAATAATTTTTTTTGTTTATTCTAGTGTTCCTCTATCTTTCTGCAAAAGATCAAATTTTTCTGAAATTATAGCCGGTGACGGGGCCCTGGTCAGTAAAACCATGTAAGACAACTCAGGAATAAAAATCTTACTGTAAGCGAGATTTTTCGTTTGGAATCCCAAACTAACTTCCCGATCAAATCGTCCTGCTCTGCGGAGCGCTGGGTCCAGTGTATCGGGCGCATTGGTCGCTCCGACCAGAAAGATCTGTAATGCCGGTCGCGAACTTAATTCTGAAAGGGGTATGTATTACCATAAAGATATCAGTTCTCTTGTCGTTAACGCATTGCAGTTAACGCTTTACCATCCAAGCAAAACAAAAGCTGGGCAACAATCCGTTTTTCCATGTCTTTACTTGCACCCTCTCTTTTCGGGGTTATAGCGTCGATCTCATCTATAAACAGGATGCACGGTGCGTAGACCTGCAAGCATAAAACTGCAATTAATTACCTCAACAAACGAAGTGGGAACTGAACACGGTGCATCATTTCCAAACGATGCTCTGCTTTTACATGAAGAGCAGAAATGACCAGAAACAATGGTTGGCGATTCCGTTTGCTTAAAACCATAGCCAAAATATTCAAAACTTCGTGAATTATTCAAATAATTCTGATAATTATTCAATAAAAATATACACAGAAATATTAAATACACACTTACAATACCTCGGCTTTCTTAAATAGCTCGCGTAATCGTTCCTCAGATTCACCAGAAATACCGGAAACCATTTCTGGTGCCACGATCTTCAGCATAGGAATTTGTAACTCCTAGAGAAGTAAACCGCAATGGCACTTTCAAATGGCCGCAAATGTTTTTCACAAAATAATAAGTAGTAACACTTAAAACAGGTTTACGGTACTTTCTGGACCATAAGATCTCATTACAAAAAACGCAGTGGGGATTCATAATATTCAAAATAAGATTAAATGGAATCACAGTCATAACCACTGTGATTACTTTTTCTTCAAAATAGGAAAATGATATGGCTCACCCCAGCAATGGCATGAGCAAGCAGACTCTTTCCAGATCCGGGAGGTCCATGCAATAAAATACCACGCGGTGCCGCCACACCGAGTGCCTGAAAGATCTCGGGATGGCGAAGGTGAAGCAGCAACCGGCAGATTTCCTGCGCAAACGGTATGGAATTACTGCTCTCGTCATGATACTAGTGACATCGCTGACAGTTGATACTAATTTCCCTCGTAATCGGCCGACCAAGTTATTCCGTAATTCGTAGTTCATATAAAGGAGACTTCGAAAATTTGTCTCTTTCTGCTTCACATGCACTACGGTTATTTTCGAATACATAATACTACATACCTCAATAGTATGCTCCTGGCCACCCCCATCGCTTAGTTTTGTTGTTGGACGGACCACCATGGGATCTATTGTGAAAAGAAAATCAGTTTCAGGTATGCAAGTCGACAAGATACTATTTATTTTTACACATTTACAGTGAGTGATTTACAGTCTTTTAATTTCTAGTTATGAAGTCCACCAACACCCTCAATTTTCCAAGAATAAACAAGACAAAATAATACATTCGCAGTAAATCACACTGGGAAAGCGTACAAAGACCATTTTGAAAAAATTTTTCATAGTGCTCTCCAAAGTAACTCTAAACGTATGCTTGATATTATCATACCGCAGCTGGCATGCGCAACACGCACATTCTGACTTTTAGAAACATCAAACAAACCTTCTTTTCGCACATGCTTCCACATCTTTTGCTGGTCGTTATTCGTGCCAGAAGGATGCACCTGAAGCAGAGGTAAAAAATTATACGAAATACAGCATGCACGGTTCACCACTCAGCATTAGCAAACTGGTAAAGCAGTACTGTGAAATTGTAAATGAAGCACAACGGGCATTTTGACATCACCAGCCACAGCTTTTGCAAGCCGTGCATCCTTTCTGATTTTTATTTTAGGTGCCGATTTTTATACGAATCCCAGCTTTGTACAAATACCTTACCGTATGGCCAGGAACTTTGGCAAGAGGAGCCATATCACGCCGCTGATGAAGAGACGGTGATAACTCAGAACTACCGAACTTCCCAGCGGACGGCGAAGAATTCATTGCAAATAATCCGACAGCATAACGCCGCAAACGCCAATTCTATCAAGTATATCCGTTATTTTTAAATTATCAAGCACTACAAAGAAATTTCTTCCAGATTGAAAAAACGTCACAATACTTGTGAAAAGTTAAGAAAATTATTACTTAACTTAGCTCCATAATTCAAATCACAAGCAGTTTAATAACAGTACATACGATACTTCTAGTGGACGAGTTACAGTATCACGACTACAGTCACTAAATAATTTTATAAATTTCTGAGTGTACATCAAAATACGGTAGTAACCACGTGCATTAGCGCAACTGTACAGCAACGTGTGTGGACACGTGACAAACTTTGTTATCGCAACTTCTATCCTTTACCTTTTCCTATGAAAACTTTGGATCGGTTCCGGTCTTTCGATTCATGTCAGTCTCCATGCTTTTACAATCCATCACTTTCGTTACTTTTTTGCGTTTTCGGTCGACCTTTTGGAAAATTAGTCCTCCATTATTTGTAATCATATCCACGCGCTTTAAAAAATACGACCTTTACTGCGATTCGTCCCTATTCGTATTACATACCAGAGTGGTTGGAAAGGTTTTATCATCGGGTCATTATCTTCGGAATGGAAGGGATGCAGGAGAATCGCAACGATGTATTGGCTTTGGAGGTGAAATGTGAGTACAGTAAAGCAGCGTTTTAGGGTTTCAAAGTAAAAAATTGTTCATGTGGCTAACAGGAAAGGACAGTTGTGTTTATGTGTTATCTCCGAAACTACAACCATCGATCAGGTGAACTATGGATATTGTTTTTCCTCTAAATCACCTAAAACACAGATTCCAGTTGAATTTTAGCACGCTTAACCATGACCTTCGCTAAATTTAAACCGCCACCAATGAGGACCAGCAATGCCAGTCTGTTTTTACTGTTTAAATTATTGTTTAAAATTTTTTACTGCCTGTGTTTACTGTTTTCTGTATCATTTTAAGCAGTTTTACTTTTTACCTGCGCAAGCTCATTGTTATCTGAATTGGCTACCCGAATAAACAACACTCAACTAAATTTAAACTGTTTGTGTTTAACTAGGTATTTCAACAGCGTTGGAAAAAATTCCCCAGCTTATAACGTGCGACGATCCTTTGTTAACGAATGGTCGGCTACTGGAATATTTTGCCGAAAGTGTCAAAGACGGCCAAGTTGTTGCCCACGACATCAGCAAATTTGTGGACGGAAGCGCGAAAGTGCGTACGGCCCGATTTAATCGAGCATTCGTTGTCGCAACCAACAGCGTGATCCCCGAGAGCTGCTTAACGTAAGTTAAATTCTGTAGACATTACAACTGAGTTCTTAACTTCGTAATACTGAATAATGCACTACGATTCCATTTCTTCGTTTTCGACGACTACCACGTTGCATAATTCGTTAAGATCCCATATGATAATTCAATAAAGGGAAACGTCAGGCTGATAATAAAATTGAAAACCAATATATAAGAACCTATATCAGAGCTTAGCGCTTTCAGTAAACTAACCATTGCACTGGAAAAGTTCATGCTCAGCGGTCATCAGACATTTACCCATGATCTCTAATAAATCTCCAGTTGGAATATTTTTTGATTTTCCTCATGTAATATGACGCAGGTTAGTCAGTAGGAATGTAGGATGATCGGTGGTATCGAAGTTTGATTATGACTATAAAGGTCATTATGGAAATGAATTAATTCTTCATGAGTATTTCCTCTGTGTTTCAACGAGTCCGAATTCGTGATTCTCGCCGAGGATGCAGACTGGCAGTGTGTCATTTTGACGTCACTAACATACAGGGATTTTACGGTGCGCCAACAGGAGAACTACGCATTCGCTCTGTTTCTGTTCGTGTGCTGTCATATAGGCGGTGGTGTGATACCGTGGCAAACGCACTGTCGCATAATTTAGGAATACTGTAAATATTTTTATCACACGTTTTTTTCTCGTTTGAAGAGGATAGTTTTCTGTAAATTTTCATGTATCTGCCCAATTAACAAACATCGCAGTTTGCGAAAGCGCGCTGTTTAAAAAGTGCCGGGATAAGCACTTGTTGTTATGGGCCTACGATGACTTCCCGGCGCACCTTAGGCGCACGGCTCCCAACCGCCACAGGGCGCCATCCGGGCGAGAATCGTCAATTCTTGCTGCAGAAATGGCGAATGAATATAATTTAAGTATTAAAATTTCAGTGGATTCACGCGGATTTTACGGGATATAGGCTTGTGCGTCCGATCAGGTATATCGTTTATTATATTCATTTGCTTTCGTATTGATCTTGAAACGTTATCTGCTCTTAGCTTACTGTGTTGGTAAGATTTCTCTGCTGCAGCACCATTGTACGTTATAACTTGACGCTTCTCTTGTGGTTTTCAGCGAAGTCATCTGAATTTGACCTAGATTTCGATAAGCCGATGGAGAAGATGCCGGTGGACTTCGACATTGAGGATCCGGCTCTCCTTGACTGTAGCGACAAACAGGATCGTGGCGTTCTGAAGAAGATCATCAAAGAAGGCACCGGGACGGATACACCATTCGATGGATCCATTGTGCACGTCCATTACATCGGACGCCTGGTGGATGGCAGTGTTTTCGATTCCAGCCGCAAGCGAAATGAGCCGTTCAAATTCGTTCTGGGAAAGCGTAAGATGCAGTTTCCTCTTTCCGTCGTCATTTTTATTGTGAGGATAAATTTCAGGAGAGGTGATTCAAGCTTGGGATTGGGCTGTTTCGACCATGAAAAAGGATGAGATCTGTGAGATGGTCTGCAAATCAGCCTATGCATACGGAAAGATTGGTAGTCCATCAAAAATCCCGCCAAACTCAACACTGATTTTTCAAGTGGAACTACTGAATTGGGATGTAAGTTTGTCTGTGTATTAATTTTAGCTTTTGTAGATTTTGAGATTTTCGGAACCGATTTTTTCGAAGCGGTCAAAACTGAAAAGTATTTTATGTTTGCGTTTGCATAGCGCTTTTGTATGTAATTCGTAACTCTTGTGATTTGTGTAAAATTCTTTGGGTTGAGTATTAACTAGAAAAGTGCACTCGCTTTTGCGGGCACTGCATGACCGAAGAGTAGCGTGAAGGGTAGATTTAAGGGTTAAGTAAGGTAAGTTCTTGTCGTAAGGGTTAAGTTCTTGTGTTGTACCAGAACTAATGCAACAGATTACTGAAGGTAATCTGCTGCATTAGTTCTTGTGACTTTTTGGTCACCTCAAATTATCGCTACAGAATGTCATAAATTTTTCGAGGCGCATAGAAACGAAATTAAATAATTGGCTCATTAAAACGCAAAGCACTAGTAAATACGCTATCGTTTGGTTTATTTCAGGATGAAGAAATTGGCACAGAAAAACTTGTGAAACGGATTATACGAAAGGGTGCTTCCACGCCCAGTGACCATTCCTTTGTTGAAAGTATGTATATTACCGGAATTTGCATGACATCGTGTTTGGACAGGATTAGCCGGAAAGCAGTTTTTGGCTGCATAGCTTTTGCTTCAAAGAAAAATGCAATATGACTTTTCACTGATAACCTTTTAACATCGTGGGATTCGTATGCGCTGTGCAATATCATAGTCATAATTACTTTGTTAATTCCAGTCCGCCTGTGCGGGTTGTATGAGGGGCGCAAGTTTGACGAACGAGAAGTGGAATTTTATGTTGACGAAGTAGACGACGACCTGCATCTTATTCCTGGCATTGATTTGGCCGTGAAGAAAATGAAAAAGCATGAATGTTCGTTATTTACTTTTCATTCGGATGTCGCTTTTGGACGAGAAGGAAACAGGCAATGGAAGATCCCCGGTAATGCGGAAGTACGCTACGAAATCACGCTTCTGGATTTCGAGAAGGTAAATGTCGCTTCCAGTATATCTTCGGAAATAATTTTGGTCCTACGTTGAGGTTACCGACTAATAAAACGCTGAAGAATCAAGCTGTTGTGCAATTAAAAACCTAATGAGGTTGTGAATGTACAGGACCAAGACACTAGGTGCATGAATCCGGATGAGAAGTTCGAAACAGCGGAGATGTATAACGAAAGAGGATCTCAGGCGTTCACGGTTAGTAAAATAATTTGCGTTTAACGTTGAAGCTCATTTAGTACTGGATTTTTATGCTATAGAAAGGAAGACACGCGGCAGCGATTAAACATTATGAACGAATGAAAAAGATGCTGGCCGCTGACGCGGAATTTAAAGATGAAAACGAGGAGAAACGCAAGAAAATGTTGGCTGTATCGCATAACAATTTGGCTGCCGTTCATTTGAAATTGGGCGATCTGTACGCTGCGAAACGAGCCACGGAAGAAGCTTTGACGCTGGATCCCAACAACATCAAAGGGCTTTATCGAAAGGGAACTGTAAGTGCAGATCTGTTATCTTGGTTTGTGAATTACTGCAACGTAGTTAATTCACATACTGGGGTTGCTCTTTAGGCCAACTTCGGCCGAGAGACTACGAAGAGGCTAAACGCGATTTCCAGCGAATTGTCGATCTGGAGCCGAACGGATACGAAAAAACAAAGGAGTATCTCAAGACGATCGCTGATATACAGGATGCTGCGGAAAAGGAAGAACATAATAAAAGAATGAAATCGATGTGCGGTATGATGAAAAATGTTCGCAAATGAGTACGGATAAGGCCAGGCCGTAACCTCCTTTGAAGGGCAGCGAATCGATTGGCAGACATTCGTTTTTAAATTCTGTGACATTGTCTCATAAATACGGACTTGCTCGGTTTTGGTTTTTTCTCCCAAATATTTTTACTATGCATCCGTGTGTTGCACATATATTGCGGGAAATTGTCGTTGGGACGAATTTTATGTATGTTTTGTGTTTTATATGTATTTCGATGCATGTTTTTTTGCCTGAATGACTGGAACTGAATGCTTGGATTGATGGTTTCGAATGAGTAAAGAATCGGCGTTTTTAACGGGAAGATTTAATGGCCAATGATTCTGCAACGCAGTAACCAATGGGCAACTTAAATTTTCGGGGTAAACTTTATGCTCCTGGCCTCGTTCTAACGTCTTATAGCATTGGGCGCGATTCAAGTATTACGTAACGGAAATTTTCCACTTTTCGACCACCCCCACCCTTTTGTGACCTTTATCCATGTATTACTTATGGGCGGGTAACGCCGGACCCACCCCCACCCCCTGAGCCGTTACGTAATACTTGAATCGCGCCTTGGCCAAAGTTTCGTTGTATTCAGTTAGACACTTCATAACAATTTCGCGACTGGGATACTTTCCTAATAAATTTGGTTCCATCTGTTGAGCGGAGCTTTGTCTTGTGGACATACATTCGGGACTGCTCTGCGGACGCAGAACTGCCGGATTTCGTCTTCAAGATCGTTGGCATGTGCACACTTCTCGAACAGCATTTGATTGGTTTCCTGATACAATGCCACCTTGTCCTTCAGCTCTGTGATCTGCTGTTTTTGATCGAAGAATAATTTGTTGCCTAATAAAATAATTAATGGCAGTACAGACTGCTGTTTCTGACAATGACTAAAGAAATGAGCAATTAAATCGCGCATAAATGCTTTTATAATTTTTCTTATTTCAATCGTCACCTGAAACCAGTGGTGTTATTTCCTATGCTCATCCGTTTAAAGCTGAACAGTAATGAATAGGCTTCGATAGATTCCAGTCTACTGGGACAATAATTGTTATAAATTACATAAACGAAATTAATGTGGTTTTGAAAATTGTAATTGTAACTGAAACAATTGGACATTCCGAGTACAAGCACCTATAAGTTTATAACTGATCTACCACTGATGCGTACCCTAACCTTTCAAGACGTCCATCCGTGAAGCAACACAGGAATCGTGATACGCGTCCCTTTCTCCCTTGAACCGTTTACACTGTGCTTGTACGCTGTTTAATTGCTCTAGAACATGCGCTAACTGATGCTGTAATGTGTCACAGTCTGAGCAGGTTTTGGGCATGGCTTGACAAGGTCACATGAGGAATGAGGTCGAGCCCTTTTATGTTAAGATGTTACGTACAAGGAATAACACAGTGGATGGAAAAATATTGTGATAACACCACTAATTATCCAGAAAGAAGTGAAATAAGCTATCTAACGAAAACTATGAGTTTTTAGATGTCTGTACTTCTGCTTCGATAATGTAAATGCCTCTTTGATAGCAACAAAATTACTGTACAGTTTTAGTTCGAAAATTTTATAGAAGTACGTAGGTATTCTTGGGGGAGACCGTTACAGTACTTTACAGATAACTCTATACTACTTCTGCAGCTAGTTTTACGACACACTTTTGCCATGTAAAGTGCTTTGAAAAGTTGTATTGTACTCGTACCTTGTACTTCGCTTAATAATTAATTTTCTGCTTAGGTACTGTACAGATACGTCATAATGTTTTTTAGTAAAAAATTAAATTATTTATGCATATAAATTATTTTCTTTCCTCCAGTATTTTGGAAATTAAATTATTTATGCATATAAATTATTTCTTTCCTCCAGTATTTTGGCCTCCGACATATAAAGCACGTAAATGTTGTGAATCACACGTATAGACAAGTTGTGTTAACGGTGTTCCGTAATGACAAATTTTATTTCCGTATGTTTCACAAAATTCTAAGTTTTATTTAATAATATGTTAATTGACAGTTATAGCGGTTATCAAAGACTCGCTGCAGTCTGTTTTCGGGAACGTATTTTATGCAAGCAGGAGATGATCCAGTAGAGAATATAAAGCAGCAAAATGCTGCTCCCAGGGAAATAAAGGGAATAATTGGTTGCAAAACAGTGTCGAGAAATGACCCTGAATCATCCTTGGCCATCGCAACCTAAATGGTCAGCTGTGTCAGTAACCGGCACCGGTAAGACTACACGATTGCATGTTGCACTCTTTATACGAATTAATCAGAATAGAATATAATATTAATAACAACAATTACCAGATCATAAGTTGCACTGAATTTCGTTCATAGCTTTGTATGTACACTCCATACAGTATCATATATATAGATATGCTAATTTGATAAATAGTTTAGACTTTCATTAGTGTATCTGTACACTACATAAAGCTAATTGCTTACTATTCCTTTTGAGCATATTTGTTCATCTGGGAAGCCATCAAGCTCTGCACTTTATGTCATCAAATTTCCTCAGTATGTACAGTAAACATCGTACGTTTTCCTACCTGCATTTTTTGTTCGTTGTTTTTAATTTGTTCCAGAGCATGGTAAAATCTGCGAGCCTGAAGGGTGCGATCTAGGTACTCACTGCTTTCATAGTACAAAATCTTCGTGGCTTCGTTCAAAAGTTTTGGCTTTCGGATTAGCACTTCATGATGACGGAGATCGGAAACAAGACGCTGCCGTAGGGAGAAATGTAATTCGCGAATTTCTTCTTCCGGAACATTTTTATGATTATGTAATCGCTATGGAGAAATGACGATATTGGCTAATTATACGAACAGCTTACGATTAAAACTTGCATTGTACTTGTTAATCATGGATAACGGTAATCATTTTAACTGTTTTTGTATAATTGGTTTTTAAATCACTTCTTACTTCTTAATTGAATTTTACAAGATATGATAGACTGAAGTACAGAGCACATGAGGCAATTGGTTGTGCCTACTAGCTGACGATGAACACAAGTACCTGCAAAGTTGCTTTCTTGTAATGATTTATTAACGTCGCTGTGAATTCCTGGCCGATAAATTCCAGCTCTTTCTGTAATAATGTAATAATTTCAACGCAACCAATGAAATAAACTTGCTCCATATTTAAACTAAAGCTCCACTCATTGTCTGTGTATAAGTAAAGTCAGAGATATTTATTTGGCTACTTCATAAAGTTACCTCCAAGGCATCCTGGACCGTGGGAATACGCGTGTTCCCAAAAATTTCTTCATACACCTGCAAGCGTTTTTCCTATAATTTGTATAATGCAAATTATCAAGATTACGAAAAACACTAACTTTACACATTTAATTTGCAATTTGAATAACTGTGTGGCGATATTTTTATCATAGGAAAATTAATACATAGGTTGTTTGAAAACCTTTAATCGCTCAGCCAGATCGTGACCGGTCAGCTGCTTTCCAAAGATAGTTTTGGAAAATTGTGAGCGGACTAAAGTGTGAGCTAAACAACTGAGAACAGGCCTCTCCAAACACTGGATTGATATCTGCAAAAGCTTCCTTGTTCACAAAATACGTTTCCCAAATCTATCAATTAGTCGTAGTATTTATGTTCACCATTTTTTCGTAAACTGCAAATTTGTGGGATCAAGCGAAATCGTAGGCAGAAATAAACAGCTTATGCCGTGAAATCCTAGCTGCATTTCTTGCAGTGATCCATTCCGATCCGAATCAAAATACCTGCACGATGCAAAATTCACAATATGACATTGTAGCAGAAGTTATAGCTATAGTCATAATAATGGTGATATACTCGTATATAGATATGACTCATATAGCGGTGATACAGTCGGATTATTGTACATTGCTGCTAATAAAGCCTTAATACGCTTAAACTGACAATATCCGAAATGTAATATTCCGCTTCCTGCATGTACACATCCGGATTTTTTTCAGCAAGGTGATAATCACGAATCACAAATAAAATATCTTGCAGCAGTCGTTTGTTTCGGGATTCTAACAGAGTGATCACTGGTTGATCGGATGCTGCAACAAGAACACCATGCGCCACCAACACTGAAATTTTGCAAGACGATGCAGAAAGGTTATCTGCGCAACTACCCGTAGCACTTGTTTTGCGGCAACATTAACCGAGTTACAGCAACCATTTGCATAGAATTAGATAGTTAGACTTAATTATAACAAACCTACAAAACATTACTACAAAACATTTTTTTGTGTTTATGGCATTATGGCTTACTTATCGAATTCCCACTGTTATCGATCGTATTTCGAAGCCTCACGGTTGGAGCTCCAAGAAGATTCGTCAGTGCCCGGTCCAGAGTTTGTTTGGTGTTTATGATCTGTGCAAACATTCAGTAACCTAATGTAGCATTCTGGTTAATAGTTTCCTGTATTCATTTTCTTCTTATTTTTACTTTTCAGTATTGGTACAGTTAAAAAAATTCGCTAGTATTGACAACATGGGCTCTGTTAAACGGAACAAGTACTAAACAGCAATAGTTGCCGTGAAAAAATATTTCCATCATTATTTGAGGGATTATTCACAGCTCCCAGTTATTAAAATCATTTCAGTATTCTAAATCTCTTTATCACTGCTGATAGCGATGTGTGCAAGGGACTGGTGGATTCTGTTAGAACAAGGCATTATTAGTTTTGAAGAACTACCCTAGAGATCGCTCGATTATGCTGGTAATTTTTTATACAATACGTCTCACGAGCAGTGCTTGCAGTATTTATCAGTACGGTAAACCTAAATTTTAATAAAGCTTACCGTTGTGGAAGAAAGCAGAGTAGAAGCGTAGAAGAGTTCCGAGTCAGTTTGGCTGCTGTTGAGATGATTATCAAAAGCCCTTGAATATCAACGAGGAACACCGCCAACCCATTAGGCATCAGGTAGGGATGTGCCGTGATCCACATGCCTTTAGTGCAGACAAACTGAGCGGACGATGTCTCAAAAAGTCGTTTCCGGCAATAGCGCGGTATCACCGAAGCGTCGTCGTACAACCAGTCTCTGGTGGTCTAGCGCAATGCAGTATAATTATTCAGACGGCAAAAATTAGTTCCCATATATATATATTGCAGTGTGCCGGCTCTTTTATAAGGTCATGCACCCATCCTCCTTGGTTCGTTTAAACTCGAATAATTCCTTGCAAATACAGTATATAAGCGGTATTTTTACGTACAGTACGTAAATATGCGCTATCGAATTTAGTCACAGCGCAGCGTTATATACGAGTACACGTCACGCGCATATTTCTAGCGGAACCGTATTTATCACGGACGCATTTTATTAAAATGAAATTAAAGGTCACGGAAGGTAATGAGAAAACACCGCGAAATGTAAAAGGATTGGTTTCTTAACCCACCGTGCTACTGCATGCTAAATATCGTGACAAGATATTCAGAAGTGTCGATTTGCCGCTTCGGTACGTCCCCACGATACTGATTATGGCTACTTTACGTTGTCCAACGAATTCGTTTGACTTCAGCATTTTCCGGAACTTGTCCAAATTGATAAATTTTAAAGACCCGTTTTCTTTGATCTTTGCCAGCTGTAAATGCAAATTAAGGAGCACTGCATATATCAATTCTCGGGACAGTGCATAATTAAGCAATAAAACATAATTTCAAACATAGATTTTCTAGTGAACGCAACGCTTGACCAAACAATAAAAGGGCTATACCAAGATCCGTCACAGTAAAATTGCAGCTCATTACGTGCTGCTAAATAAATCGAAGCAGTTGTGCTTTACATTAAGGTATAGGTACTTACGTGTCATGCGTTAGTTTTGCGTTAAGGTTACAATTAAGTAAAACATTCTCTAGCATTATTATTGCTATTAAATAAAGACAAACCAAAATTTCTTAATCAAGATGCTATAGGTACGAGTATGCCGACTGTAATATGTCTGCAAGCTTTGAGATTGTCAGCAGGATTTCGATACTAAGTAGTCAAACTTTATACTGATTTCAACTGGTGCACTGCTTACAGTTTTTAAAATACTAATTAAAGGTCACATACCTGGTAAACAGATTGACGCGTGTGTTTGTGCTTCGAATGTTCGCACCAACACGGCAGTGAATCGTATTCAGTTCTTTATCAATCAGCACATGCTGATCCATTGCACAGAAGCTGATCATGCTAATCATTACCAACAAAATAAGAACATCCGCAACGACAAGTGCGCTTTTATCACAGTTTGCATTTGCATGTTTGTTTGAGCAAAGTAAAGGTCTGCCAAATGCCCATTCTAATTACTTTGAATATAGTTGAGTTCATTGCCAGAAAACGATTAACTGACTTTTTAATTCGATTCAAAGCACCTCGAGTTTCTGTAGAACCAACTCGCATAGTGTTTGTACGCTTGCTTCGTAAGCTGTCCGCTACTCCCAATGTTTTGTCTGTATGTTCATTCTGGATCGTATAAGAGTCCACATTTTTTTGAGAGTTATTAGGCAGGAGATAGGTTTCTTTATTGAACATGCGTACATACGTGCGTTTTTGGCAATGAGGAGTACTTATAGACCACGAGCGGTGTTTGAGCTTAATTTGCGTACTGATGGGATATTAATATAGATCAGGGGACCAAATTATGAAGTCAATCTGTCAAATCCAGTCCGCGCCAGTCGTATCAAAAAATATTCTGACTCTTCTGGCGTTGACACAAAAATATTCGGTACTTCTATCTGTATAACATAAAAATGCGCATAAACTTGCGCTTATGACAAAATTAAACGTAGCAGTACGATCTTCACAGTTTTTTATTATAATTCTCTAGATATAGAGGGTACAAACTAAAGGTTAGCTTTTATATAACAATATCTTTCTGTTTTTTGTGCTTGCACACATGTGACGAGTAAATACTCAACACAGTACTTTCGGCGTTAATATAAGGGTGTACTTTATTAACTGGCGGTATACTAAAGTCACAATTTTCTATCATAATAAGGGTGTACTAATTTCACATAATATAAAATATTTGTGTAGTAAACCGCCAAATTTTCGTGACTCTTGTTACATACAAATTCTGATGATAATATCAGGTGCGCTTGTGCTTTATAAGCCTTGACCGTGGTCTGTACGTTGTAGATGATATTTTTAGATACTGAATAAATCTTTTTCAAACACCGGTAATTTATGCGGTACAACGGTATTGAAACTACAATTATGCATGACATATCAGTGAAGTTTGAATATCGTCGCCATCCAAACGTTCGGGACATGCTGCATGAGATCCTCCAGCTACGCATAAATTTTCTTACAACAAATGGGCGCATCAAATAGTGCAACCATTAGCCGCTTTTGTGTCGTACGTTCATTGATGTGGACGGGCACTGCGCTAGCTGATCCACCAATATTTACAGTATGTATGCAAATAACCGAAGCAAAATTATACGGAGCCAATTCGTTTGTCGTGTAACGTGTTAGAAGCGATGCAACACGGTAGTGGCACGCAGTCAATAATACAACTTGCATATTGTTATGGTGCAAGAATCAGATTTTTACGTAATGTACCAGAACAGAATGCTTCGAACTATATTACCTAAAATATGGCTTCGAAAGTAATTATCCTGTTTCTGTAATCTGGCTAAGATGAGCTAATCCAAACCGAACTGTCTTCCGATCTGACAGTTTTCTGTGAGCGCTCGAAATTAAATTATTTCTTGAACCCTGCTTGACCTTTTGGAAATTCAACTACGATCATGCTTCGCAAGAAATCGAACGTCTTCTTTTTTTGCAAATCACGAACAGGAACATGTTCACTGAATTACGTACAACCGGTGTTTAGCTTGTAAATTTACTTTTGCAATCGCAGCCCGGACAAGGACATGTAAAGTTTTGCGAATACAGTTGTATTACTGTGCTATATTATCGAAGAAGTACATGTACGATTATGAGCATGGACAGCAGCTGCGGTTCGGTTAACCCATCAAAGATGTTTGCTAAGGATTAGATCGTTGTTTACCATTGTGAACCGGCTTGTAAGCGGCCCAATGGTCAGTATTTAAAGTGGCTAATTTACGGCGATAATTATCGCGGCCAGAACACTGCCAGTCTGGAATGGAGACATTTCGACCCGCCAAGCGGAACACAAGAATGTACAGCGCCATGCTTGACAGGCAAGCTTATGATAAAACGCCCCCAGTGAGATCTTATTGCACCCAGTAGCCATAATAATATCCTGTAAACAATATATCCAATTCTTAGACAAACTGTCAGTAACTTAAAACCTTTCTTTCGGAATTCTTGTTCGCTCTACTTTAAGATTACCGGCATTAAATATCAAACTTGCAGTACTACCGTGGATATGCAGTACATCAACCAAATTGAACTCTATTTTCAGAGCAAAATAAGTATTACTTCATTAGCAAAACAACTGGCGAGAACTTTAGAATATACGCGGTGGCCCAATTCACCTAAATGATAAAATGAATTCCAAAACTGCATCATGTTATATACAGTATTTGAACGTGATTTGTATCAATCACAATACTTCATTGGTGATCAGGAAGACTGCAATACCGAACGGAGCAACAGAATAAGATACTTATTGTCAGTGTAGCTATATCTTTAGCTCGCACGTGAATGAATATTTGCAGCGTGTAATCATTTCTTTGAAATATAAGTGTTATGTTGTTATTTGCATAAGTTATTTGTACCAGTATAAATTGAATTAAATTAGTTTACATCTCACCCGCAAACATTATGCGCATGTTATAGAATATGAATATTAATAACGTACATA